AATGTTCCACTTTTTGTGATTGCATGATTAAGGTTCCCCCTGGCTTTAAATGGACAACGGTTCCTAATACTTCCGCGTGAGTTACGCGTGGCTTGTCTAACGTGATAATTCGCGCGTGTTTTGCCTAGAAGCTGAAAACTCGTCTGAAAGATTTTTCATTCTCTAACAACCATGGAAATGATTATTTAATTGTTAAAGTAAACCTCTATGTCCAAGAGTCTTGAGGAGATTCTAACAGCATGTTAAAGAGGATGTAAAACTAAATTGCCCATGTAGTTTTTGCAAATAAAGGCATCAAGTAAAATATCGATTGAAGTAATGCATACCGTCATTTTCAACAAGACATCTCGTTTTTATGGACGATCCGTTCCATTGAGTTATTAGTCATAACCACGCCCGTTTCTCTGTAAACATTGGGTCAACTACATTTGAAAGAAGTCTCCGTCCGTTTACAATGTAAACAACCCAGTCACTCGTAAATTCAAGCATAGGTTTACGTACACCAATAAAAATCTCCGCTAGAATAAATTGCTATAGCCAACATGTTCAGTTTATGTTAAACAATCTAACCCCACCTTAGTACCGGGATCGCAGCAAGTTCTTACAAGCCGATCACCCTGTACAATAGCAAAATACACACCAATCTGTGGCTAAGCTGAATGTTTTCGATATATGGGGAGACGAACGGTCGCGGGCGGAGAAACATCCGTATTTAAAACAAAGGCTACGCGATTTCGAAGTTATGACTGCACACAATCCTCACCCTTTCACTATTTGCATTACTGCTGCAGTTTTAAATCCTCATCGTTGTAGATCGATGATCAAAACGATATTTGTGTCGCCATATCTAACCGACGGAATAAAATCAATGCCATTTTCTGAGGGTTGTGCAAATGTCGCCCTCGCTACAAGTTGCCCTTTTATTTTTCATGTTCATATAAGCCCTTTGAAAAACTGCGCCAACTTCATTGCCCTGATAACACTTTGTTTGGTAAATTTACATTGGCGTAATTAACTCTAACTCGTTTAGTAAAAAATCAGGAGTTTTTACATCGATATGCTTAACAAAATACTAGAATGTGGTATACGTCACAGAAAGCGTTGGTGTCCCTTTCCATCAAAAGTAAAGTAATGTTAGCTTCGATTTTTTGGCGGCACATTCTAATCGCTTTCTTTTGATAGGAAAATTCCGTGTTTCTAGTTTTCTGACCCATTGGAAGGCCTATTTGACCCTTGGTAAATGCTCAATGATCGATTCTTCGCCAGCTTCATGTACGGGTGGTCTCAGCCACAAACTAATACGTGAAAGCATCAATGAACAAAGTGAAACGTTTACAAGAATAAGACTTTCCGGCACGCTTATAGATGTGCCACGAAAAACCACGCACATTACACTCGACAAAGCAAACGCAAAACAGAGCGGAAGAAATGAGCACATGGAGTTGGACAGATGTATTTGAACGGCGTATTTGGAGAATAAATATAGTTGGCTCTGCTGTATAACTATGATAAGACCACAAGTTTATTGAACAAACTCATTTACGAAGTTACTCAGCTCTGATAATTACAATGATTACCGGTAAACATGTACCCTTGGTTGAACAACTTTCCTACCAACTTTTACGTACATTGTAGCTCTTTCGCTAATTTTTTTTAGTCTTTAAATTCAACTGGCTCACTTTCAAAGATTGGTCCTTTTTGCGGTAACCCAGCTAGCGGAAAATTCGAGGAATACGGAAAAATAACAGCGTCGTTGGCAATTTGAAACTTAACTCGTAAAGGAAATTCGGAAACCTTTGTGTCCGCAGATTGCATTGAACTGTTGGATCAGTTTTGAGGTAGGAAAAAATTCAGCGACGAATTTGCATGAAGTTTACGCCGAACTGAGTTTATGAGGACACTGATTCCTTTCCAGAGGGAAGAGTGAAAAAAATTCGCCGTTTTGTTGCTTAAACAAATTGCTTCTAGACCAACTTGACTCTGAAGAAGGCCGATGTCACCGCTGCAACCGTTCAGGATGGTGGAAAATAGTTGTATTTCATTAGTATTAAATAGCTTTACCAGAAAATCTTGTCAAGCAAAATAATAGAAACAAGTTTCCTTAAGATAGATTATTCTATGATCGTGTTTTTGTCTCACTGATTTACGGGCGAACGTTTCATGTAGGTTGATCAGGAACTCTTACACTGAAAGAGAAAGGAAAATCTGTAAAGCCTGCTGTGAGGCGAAGCATCCTCGACTGACTCATTTGAGCAGTACTTTACTTGAGATCTCTTTTTTCATATTTTGGGTGCAACTAAAGATTGCCTCAAACCGCAGTTGTTTTAAAAATGTTGGATATTGAGAATCTTGGCTTCTTCAGAAAATTTGATACAATTAAAATTGTGATGCAACAACAAGATTTTTTCATCTGCCGTTCAAGCTCGAACGGAATTACTGCCACAACCAGTAAACAACAATTTATATTCATTTCTAAACCCGGCCATCAGATGTGTATTTTTTCAATGTTTCATTTAGAGCTGAAGAGAAACATTGCCAGCTTCCCAGTTTCGTACTCTCAGTGTTTCGATGATTCAATTACGCGTAGTTAATTCAGAAAATTCCTATCAATGCGTTTTAACGGACATCTTCTCAGTGTGATTCAGGGTGCTTTCCTCTCGCCTCAATATCTCTCTCTCTGTCACTTTTTTCTCTTGTGGGCAAAGCTCTATGGCGAATTATTCTACTTCAAATTTTTCCTTTTCTTTTTTAATCAAGAGTCAAACAAAAAACCCTCTCGCAGATAATCCAAAGGCAACGGTGTTGTGAGATTCAGGAGAAAGGCGGCCGGCCGTGATTTCGTTCTTCCCTCGCCCTGCTAAGTTTCTTTTTGTCATCGGTGAATAACATGAATCTTGTTCATATCACTGCTGATAATGCCGCAAACCCCTCAAGAACATGAAAAGAAATCAACAACTGTCCCTTAGACACGCCAGTTATGAACAAAGAATAACAGTGACATAAAATTGAAATAAGTTGAAATAAAATTTGAAAAACGGAAAATTGAATTCAGACAATATTTCGTAATCTCTAAGAAGCTTACATCTTAAATAACTCTTCCACAAACACATTAAAAACAATACAGTATATACAAACGCCTAGAGTTCTGTTTGACCTCGGGAAAGATAACAAAGCAAGCTTGAGCGATAAACAGCCGAAGTTAAAGAAAAAAAAGCTTGTAAAAGATTTTTTCTCGGCTGCATTTTCATGAGAAGCTATCGTTAAGGAAACTCTTGCTGATCACTGTAGTCTCATGAATCTGTTATAATGTTATTACAAACCCCCAGATAATACATAGTTTATTCTTTGTTTTCACAAGGATTTTAGTCCGATAAGCGGATTGTTGAAGATTTAGTTTTTCCATTAGTTGCTATAGTTTTGTTTAAGAATTAATGAGGTCAATTTGACATACCACGATGTTTAAACGTTCCCTTTTGTCTGCCTTCGATTCTTGGTTTACATTTTTGATAAAATACCTCGAAAACAGGTGTAGTGGATGAACAAAGGCCTCTGAAGGCACAGCCGACAATCTCATCTAACGCATTTTATTCCAGGCTTCATTCCTGCTGTGAAATCTTTTTTTTTTACCACTACGACCCCGAGGACCCGCGTTTATCATAGTGAGAAGACCAAGCTAGTAAAAGCAACCTGCAGCTAGAATAACAAGATCTATAATAAGGTTACTGTCTTTATAAACCGAGCTAAACCGCTTTGCTAAATGCTGTCTTTTCTCCAATAGTTACGTGAATTAAAAATGTTTACGAAACGACTGTGTCAAGTTAGGTCGCATATCAAGTGGCATGGGAAAAATCGAAAAAAGCCTTTTTTCGTGAAACCACTTAGTTATTAACCTGTGTTTGAGAAATAAGATGGATAAACAGTAAAACGACAATTTCAGTCGCTAATTTAGTCCCTGAAATAACAATTCTGCGAACCGGAAGTGTCAGGGGTAAACATCAAATGATCCCTGCCCGCATGTATAATGAATGAAATGTGTTTCTCGGGACTAGTGTTTGTAAAGCTAAAATCTATTGAAGTTTTTCTTTTCTAGTGTCAGAATAAAATAGGAGAGTCGTCGGCGTATTTACTTAAATTGACTACCCTTCAACAATATTTCTTGACAACAGGGAAAGTTATTTGTTTATCCTTCATCGTATCAATATTTACAGCACACACGAAAGGTTCGCAAATAGGAAAGAAAAATGTTTATTCAGTAGCTAAATCGCGCAATACAGACAAATACGTTTGAAAGGATTGGTAGATATTATTAATAGAAAAGCTGTAACCCACTGTGGTCGCCTGGGGTAAAAGGTCTCGAGGCACGCCTCGAATAGTTTTTCAGCAAATTTCAAAAAAAAATTACCGCAAACTTTCCGAGTGAATACCTAATCCTTTGCCAAATTCATGTTTCGCCTGCTCGTCCTGAATTAGAACAGAGCATCCTGTAACGATCGATGTACAAAATCTTTCTGTCATCCGTAATTTTTTGGGCTTTCCTGTATGTTATTTAAGTACTCAAGAGCGGAGAATACCCATTAAATAAAAAGATAAATCAATGTCTCAGATTTTATCACTTTATTACGATTTTGAACTGATGCGATTTTTCTGATCAAAACATATTTTCAAGGAAGATTCATCCGCAGTTATGTGTTTCCCAAATTTCGCTTCAAGACGCAATACCTGCGAAGTTTAGATACAAATCTTTCGGGTGATCTACGAGTTTTAAATGTTGTGGGCAACAGATTTGTCCAATTATCAGCAAAATGGCACAAACGGTAACTTTTCGTTTAGTTGCAATTAGCCACGCTTAGTAACTAAGGCTGATCAGACGTGATCCTGTTAGCCTTGCGTTCGTGCGCTATCGCTTGAAAACCGTTTATAACCACAAATCAAGAAAAAATCTAAAACTGTCCAGCTCTTGTTCATGTCGGTTCACACATGCTTAAGATAGTCACCGTGTGTTAGTAACCAAGAGTACGGCAGTTCAGGCAGGTACACTGACTACACAATCCGCTCGAACGCGGCGAACCAGGAACAGTCCAAACTGAACTGTAAACGTTGAGAGAATGAGGGTTTATTCCTGTGCTGTTACAGGTTAAAGCTGTGCAATTGTTACAGAATCCCTTCACAGGACTGCTGTAGTCTGTGGGAACGCTGAATCTTGGAGCAGGAAAATTCCCGTCTACGCGTGAAGATGAAATCTTAACCAAATCTGAAACCGTCTGCGCTCCGACAGTGTTCTCGTTTATCGAGGTGGTTTCGTTCATTATCTGTTCCCTCCTCTCTTTCGCTTGCTTATTCCCTAATATGTTTACAATACTAAAAGGGTGAATTGGCTCTATTGCGCAAGGCTCTTGCTTCACCTGATTTACAGGTATGTTTCTCTGCGCTTCGCTTTGATCGCCCGTGGAAGAATCCTCCATACAAGGACTTTTTGCCGAAGGTGAATGAATTAAGTCTTGAGCAGTCGTCTTTACGGCTCGTCCATCTTGCTTTAGAGGGTTTTTAGCGGCGTGTCCTTGCAAACTGTCGTTCTCCTTTGAGCATGCCTCCAACTCTGTCGAAATTCCATTGTCTTCATCTCCTTCGTCATCTTCATCCTCCTTTCCGCGGTAGTTTCTCTGTCTCCTTCGCCTTCTTCGGAAATTTCCTTCCTCGAACATTTCCTCGTAAGACGGATCCAAACTCCAGTAGCATCCCTTTCCGGGATCGGAGCGCTCGCGAGGTATTTTCACGAAGCATTTGTTTAACGACAAGTTGTGTCGAATGCTATTTTGCCAGCCTCGTTTGTTAAGGCGATAATACGGAAAGTTCTCCGTGATAAACTGATAAATTCCACTGAGTGTAATTTTTTCGTTTGGCGCTTGTTTGATGGCCATGGAGATAAGAGCCACATATGAGTAAGGAGGTTTTGGGAGTGGCTCTTGTTCACGGAAGAATATTCCTCCGCCATGGCAGTTCAGAGCGAAGCCAGCTCGACTCCATTGAGGATAAAATGCTGAAGTATAGCTCGGTAAAGCTGGGTGAAAAGATGGCTGACACATGTACGGCGTAGGATAACAACTACGGTGCGACGGAAACATCTCGTTTGAGTTCACTTTGCGATCTTTAAGGACGGAGTGATAAGTCTGGAGATCTTGAGCAGCAGTCAGGACTGCTTGGAACATCGGAGGCACTGGGAAGAAGTCGCACGGGGTTGTGACTTTTATTTATGGACCACCGGCACTGTTTGTTTATAAGATAAGTAGAGCTTTTGTGTCAAATTATTTATTTACAAACAATCCATAACCGCATTTAGACCACACATTGGCCGATTAGAGCGGAAACAGGTTGCTTGGCAGAAAACTCATCTCACGCACTAATGACTCATTAGACAACATTTCACGGCGTCACAAGACACATGCATCGCTTCTGCAAATATTTACTTAGAAAATCGAGAACAACGCCTTTATGACTTACCCACACTATCATTTGATTGTTTACGCCACGTTTGAAATGGAACAATCTCGAACAACAGCTTCTTTCGATTACTGTCAGCCAATGAATTTTATTCATGAGCTAAGGACAAACTGACCCAGTATTTCCGGGGCATCACAGCGTTTAATGCAGTTTGGAAAAGCAGTTTAGGTTTGTTTGAAGTTAAGAAAGCTTTCACGGGTTAACTAAGGACAGTTTAATGGCAAGCTGATTGTTTTTGCGCCGGTTCACGAGACTTTGGGACGCCAGGTTTTTTCTTTCATTTATTAATAACCATGGTATAGAGTAACAAAACAAGGCTTTTTGTGTTTGACTATGTCAATTGACTCTAAAAAAGCAGCTTGAAGGTAATATTTTTTTTTTTTTGTTTAAGAACCCAAAGAGCAGCTCTTTATCAATTCAGTACAGTATTTCTTCAAGACGTGAAAGAATTACTTTCGTAATGCTTTAGTCTCAAAAGGATGACAGCGGTTAACCTTCGCACCACTACAGAAGAGTAACAATAATAACAAGATTTTGATTTTATCGATTTTTTTAGGACTGTCGGCTAATTTTCTCGTCCTGTCGTTGCTGGGCAAAAAAAAAAACTGAAAGTTGAACGTTAATGCATTTTCTCAACGGGAATCAGTGTTTGTAATTTACAATATAAGAGGTGAAAAGTTTAGTGAGAGGCCGCATCGGGGACATAGTTTGCTGACAAGCTTTAAGAATAAAAAGACAAAAAGAACAAAATATTAAAAGGACAAGGAAGCTGGTAAACTCGAAATTTAGAACCAAGATTAAATTCCAGCCCCCCAAAAAATGTCCCCGCTCAGGATTCAAGCCGCGATGAAATCTTTACCGCTGCTATTTTCAGATGGATGAAGAAGAAAAACTGAAAACATTACCTAACGCAACAGAGAGTTGAAAGGTTACATCTCAGCTGGACTGTGCTTGATCATTTGCCTATTCTTCCCGTTCCCAAAACAAAATAGGCGCGCCTTTCACAAGCCGGAGGGGAAATTATCGCTATTAGATGGTGATTTCTTTGTTTATGGGGCAATTTATGGCAAACAAAGGCATTTTTAAGCCGAATGGCTAGTGGGTATTTAAAAATGAAGTCAGGTGTAAGGTGGTGTCATAAACGATTAGCAATATTTAGCAACACAAGTTGAGAACACTCTCGGAGATCAGAGTCCATTTCTCTTATTTTTGAATTTTTCCTTGGAAGAGTTTTTCTCTCCCGTAGAGCTTTAAAACGAACCACACTTAAGAGCGCCAAGGAGGATGATGTACAGAAAAAGCGATAGAAGAATTTGACAATTGACTAAAGGCTCTCAATACAATTTTCTTCCTTCACTGAGAAGTACTCGTTCGCTCTATTCAGTCGCAAGCAACATGTCAGTTGACTTTGCAGCTTAAAGCCTGCTTAAAGAAATCACGATGCCTTTAAAGAGCACAATGCGAGAGCTGCAATTGAACATTATAAACAATTAGTCCTCAGAGAGTTGAAAAGATATGGGAGTGAAATCAATATGATTCACCTGCTGGGATGAACTTGGCACCAGGAAGGACAAAGAAGGGAAAAACATAGTAAGGGAAATTGTAAAGTGCTATCAGTATTCAATAGTTATGCCTGAAGCTATTTTTTTTCTAAAAAGGTTTCTTCTTCTCTAACATCAAGGGTCGAAACTTCGACTATCCATAATATGAACGATAACCGCACGAAAATACAAAAATATGGCTTCCATCTGTAAACAATGCCGTATCTTCTATAAACAACTGAAATTTTATCATTAGATTTAAACCGTGCTTCAACATTTTTACCATCTTTCTCGACTTTTAATCAGATAACCGCTATCGAAGTGAAACTACCAACCCAACCGCGAGTTTACATGCCGATTAAGACGAACTAACTCGTCTCCGACCAGAGAAACATTTCATTTGGAGTTAATAACTTTAATAGTTTCGGAATGTTTTCCCCTGATATGCTTTTGCTTCTGGATTGTACCTCTCTCAAGCTTTTTCGTCTGATTACCACATGAATAAGCAAACTTTCACTGTAAAGACGTAACTCCGGAAAGCGAAAGGTGAACTGAAAAACTGTCTGCAACTTTGTCTTTACAAATCCTATAGAATTTCCGCAAAACGGACATCAAAATAAAAGTGATAAGCTTAAACGCAAACTAACTGCACCGACCTTACGCAATAAAACTCACCAGTTCTAAGAAATGACAGATTTTCAAGTTGTTTGAGAAAGCGAGAATAACAGGCTACGAGTACATTTCAAAGTGGGCATGGTCAATTCTTAGGCTATCAAAACCGAAAAAGAGACTACCACTGGCTGAAATTATTCGCAGCAGAAAAAACTGAGAAGTTTCTTCCCACAATATCGACACATTACCGAAAAAGAAAGGCGATGAGAACAAATATAAACATCAGTAGGAAATGAGTGTTTGATCAATCACCAATTTCTCAGGCCTTACTACAAGAAACATACGGAAAACAGTGAGGAGAAATTGTATTAAGAGTAAAGGGGTTAATCGCTACCGGGCTTAAAACTGATATCTGTCTAACACACCCTAAAATTAAACAAACTTCAGTTCAGTTGGTGTTCTTCGACACGACGTTTCGCGAATGAAAGATTTCTAGTCTCTTGGCTTTTTGTGCGGGAAAAACAGATTTGAATACACGGAGTCAACAAACTCCCACGTAACTCGTTAACTACCACGTAACCACGCGAGTCGGCAGATACACCGCCACGCGTCCACGCGCCCACGTAGTCACTCAGAAAAGAACCATACAACAGGTAGCTTTAAATGCTTTGTTCATACCATACAAAAATATTCCTATTTTTCAACAGTATTTTCACTTAGGAAGAAAAATCATTCCACAAAATCATTCGTCAAGGTTTACACCATGGTTGTAAAAACTCACAGAGCTTAAAAAACATTGTCACCCTATATACATATCTAAATCTTCAGCAAGATGCTATCGTAAATTTTATCTGACAAGAAATGTTGCGCTATGTCCACTTCTGTACTTGCATTATTGTTACTGTTGATTTTCAGCTGATAGATAGGTACACAGATTAACCATCTTCAGCACTAGCCAATTGTAAATAACTCCTGACACAATGCCGATGTCCACGTGCACATCACGTGTGTTACTTCACGCGCTTTCAAAAGACAAGGTTTTTGCGAGTGATGCGTTTCCTTTTATTCAATAGAGTTCAAGCTCGTAACTTTGCGGTGTTCTGCTTATGAGGGCCATAGTCCTATCTGCTTTCTAAGATTAGAACGGGTAGCTGACGTAATAAGCTAAACCCTCTCCAACAAGCTTCAATCACATTTCCTGTAGACGACAAAACAAAACGAAAAACTTTTTTTTTTTTAAAGACTTACTCCAGCGATTATCACTGAGTCAAAAAATATACAGTAGTATTTGCGGAGTAAAATAGGTTAAAAAAAACTTACCATAGCTTAACTTGTCTTTACTTATCACTGTATCCTGGTCACCTCGGTGAAGGGTTCGGAGAATTCTAGAAAAAATTACCCTTTGAGTCACTCGTCCCTCAAAGCTCGAATGAAAGAGTCAAAATATTCTTATCTATCATTCCTGGGTGAAATATCGAGGGAATTTGACTGCTTTAACATGAATGATTCGACTATAATTCTAGGGAAGAAAGGTAAATTATTCGACCCAAGTAAACATTTCTATTAGCGTCAGTGTTAGAACTACATATCCAGTAGGTCTTAATCAACTAAGGTGTCAAAAAAAATAACAGTGCAGGCAAAATACGGATAACGAAAGAGTTAAATTGTCTAAGGAAAACTTAGGCGCCACAAAACGAGACTTCAATGACCACTTGCACAAAGATTCAATTAATAAATTGTTATCTGCAAGAAGAGACAAGCAGACTAACTAAGGCAACCGAACATTTTTCGAGTCATGGCTAGAACGCATTACGTCCATGGTCACGTTCGCCAATCACGTCGCACAACGTTTCAAATTGCTTGAGTGATAAACAAAGGCAAAGCATAATAAACACGTACCTTAAGCTCCATAACCTGAAAAGGTAAGTGAACTGTTGCGCCTCTGTGCTCTATAACTAGATAACCTCTTTTTTCTGATGCCCGAACCACCTTTACAACTTCTCCTTTCTTCAGGAGAACTTCGCTTCCGTCATCTAAAGGTGGCAGTAAAAAAAAAAAATAATAAATAAAATTTATTTTCTTATTTTGCCAATTATAATGAAGCACATAGTCCACTCACCTGGATAATCCATTTTCATGATACGATTTTGTGGGAACCCCATCTTCATATTTCCTAACACAGTATACGGACGGCTTTTAGGCAAAGGTGGGGGAGTCTCCTGAAAAGATGGCCGCAAAAAACTTAAGATTCTGTCCTTGTTTCCATTTTCGCGGTATTTTTGTTTTAGATCGATCACAAAGCGGTGTAGAGTAAAAACAATGCTCTATCTTACGTTACGAACTATTTTTTCATACTAAACAGCAGTAATCCTAAATGAATCACTGTATTCCCAACTCTCTCCTTTACGAAAGCCAACCTACCATATCGATTCCGAAGAGACAGCATGACTGGTCTGCAGCCTTCGTGTCAACCCGAAGCTCATCCGACAGGGAAACTGATCTGCGAACAAGACTGTAAAAAGAGATATTGAGTTAAAGCGACGAGGCTTAGTTAGGGGAGAAGCAAACTACAGTCTTGGACGACATCGCGAAAAAGCAATCAAAGTACTTCATGAACGTGGGACAAAAATAAAATCTAAGCTATGCGTCTTGACGTCGTGGCAAATTCACTATCAACCTTAACCTTATCCCTCCTTACTACTCTTCAAATACCTTTGGCTATCGGTTTACAATATTTACCTGTGATTAGTTTTGCTACCCTGCCGGCCTTTTCTCTGAAGTTCCAATGAACGTTTTAGGTTTGGCCATCTCTTTCGACAGATCCATCTCCTGAGCCAGCATTGGATCGTCACCACGGCCTTCACTTTTCTTTCTTCGTATAATTTGTCCAATTCTTGCTTCACAACCTCACTACAAAAGTCCACGACAAGCAACAATTATTGTGCAAAGCCTGGCACACATTAAAAAAGTATCATGATGTCCATCTGTTTTGTTTCAACGTCTTCCCTAATTCCAGAGGTTTTTCCTTTCTATTTTGCACTGAAATTCTGAGCGTTACATCAAAAAAAAAAATGCGAAAGAAAGACTCACTAATTGAGAAAACTGAAAATGAAAAAGAAAAAATAAATGATTGCAAGTTACCTGTAGAAAACGTATCTCTTTCCCAGTACCCAAGAGCCAAACATGACGTCATTATTGGGCTTGTCAACTTTTCTCATCAGCGTCTCCAGAATATCTTTGCAATCCTTATACCCAGTCTCCTCCAGACCCCGGACTTTTCTCGGTGAGACAAAGCTATATTTCTTGGCGAATGCTTCAAGTCGAATGCGATTAGCGAGGGCTGAAATAGGATAATTATGTATAAGAAATTGCTGATTAAACCGCATTTTGTGTGGGTAACTTTTTGATAAAAGTGACAAGGGACACGCAAAGCTCTTCCGAAATGGTTTGCATCATGTGATCTATATTCATTGTTTTTTTGTCGTCAATTGTATCACGATTCGTCTCAAGACCTTACAGAACAACGGGCTCTTTTCGTTTTCTATACTTAGGGAAAAACGGCTGGGATTTTCAGTCGCTTTACACTCCATTTAAATGTGTTTAACCCGTTCGCTCCCAACATCCCATCAGTAATTCTCCCTACAGCCTGCCATACGATTGTTATGATGTTAGTTCGGAAAATTTGGTATTCGATCAAGTAATAACACCCTAGTTAATATTTTCCTTTATTCTTATGACTTTTCTGCTTAATATTGTACTGATATTGTAAGGAGAAATTCTGTCTTGGTAACTAAAGGGAGTCTAAGGGTTAACTACCTGACTGTAACAGTTGAAGAGTCTCGAATATCTGCAACACTCGAATCTGCTGGCTGACAATTCCACGGTCGAAGGAATATGGCTCCTCACGGGTATTTATCTAGCAGGAGTTTAACGACAAAGATTAAAACTAACTGAAACTAGCTGCTTTCCGAGGGAGAGTACTGTTGATAACTTTGGATACAGAGTGAAAAGAGATTTGTTTGACGGAAAATGTATCAATTGAGACACCTTTCCTCCCTTCTGGTAGAGCACAAAAAATTGTGCCGACCACTAAAAAAGTTTTTAGATTTTTATTTCACTGAACACATGAAATAAAAACTTCATGCGTCACCAGAAGAGCACAAGATTGTAAGTAGAGCAATGAGTATGGAAAGTTACCTGAGATTTGTTGGTTTTGCTTTACTTCGCTCTGTGATTGGTCCATAAAACTCGCGCCACACTCTCAACCAATCACTACTTGGTCGCCCGCGTTTTCCCGCGCTTTAGGCAGTTTGGTTACTTTCACCTTGAGTTTTCATTAGCTCTTTAAGGTATTTTTTTTTACATCTGATTGACTGTTGTAATAACGTTTGTTTTCTTTTCATCTGATTGGCTGTCGTGATGACGTTTGTTTTCTTTTTACGACACTTAATCGGAAAATGCTCGAACAACAAAATAGGATAGTTAAAACACGCCTACAATCATAACTTGCCTTTATACATCTCACAAATGTCGGTTGCGCTTGAACCAGGGTTTTGAGGAGACCATCAATTTTTTCCTATAAAAAAAAGTAGAAAGAAAAATTAGACAACACACCGTGAAGGCGTCGATGGGATTTAATGATACAAAACTGTGGGTTTCTTTAACCCTTTCCCTCCCAGGATCTCATTACTATCTGTCTCACAATTCTTATGATGTTAGTTCGGAGAATTTGGTTTTGGATCAACTAAAAATATCTTTTTTGATAGTTCTCTTTATTCTCTTTACTTGTCTGTTTGATATTGTACTGATATTGTAAGGAGAAATTCTGTCTTGGTCAGTCGCGGGAGTTAAGGGTTATCTATTCGAAAGACGAAAATTTGATAAATAAGCGAGGAGGAAGAGAATCTCGCAGTAACCGTCCAGGGCAAACTTTTTACTCTTGCTCGAGACATCAAAACATAAAGAAAAAGATTAGCCCTTGGAAAACTGACCTGAAATCCTTGAGAAAATGTACGAAGAGGAGCATCAGCTGTTCCTGCGGGGCTGTTATTTAAGAACAAAAAAGTTGTTTTAAACGATGCTGCGAGAGGCAAGTACTGCTTGCGCCTTTAATCCTTTACATTCTAACATCCGTATGTATATTCTCCATACTGTTCTCTATACATTTACAATTATATTGGTAAGGAGAATATGTTCAAACATCGAGAGCTTCTTGAGGCGGTGGTCACTTCCTTTATTCGCAAAGCCTTAATGTTTGATTCAGCAGTAGTATCATGATGTATACAGAAGTTAAATGCAAGGCACTCTTAGGGGCTAAAGGGCTAGCATGTTATCTTCGGCTTAGAGCATTCTTTCACCTCAGAGTCAGTCCTGTATTGCAATATTTTTTTATTTAACACTGTACTTTGATTGGTCGAGAAAAATCACACCACTCTCTCAAACGATCAGATGCGAACTACAACCGAGCACAACCTGGTAACTACCCGCGCTTTCCCGCACTTCAGACAGCCTCAATGACAAGAGTTCAAATGAACCTTTGGAAAAACAACGTTCTGATGGTGTAAAGCAGTATTCCTTAAACCAAATTAAGCCGTGACGAGAATCATGGATAGTAAAATAATTGTGATTGTCTCTCACCTTTGCGCCTCCTGAGCAGGGGTAGGTGATATCCTGTAAAGTACCCCCTTGGGAGCAGTTGTCTGTCCTTGCTGAGGTTTCAAATCATTGGTGAAAAGATGCGTAGCGAAACCAAAATTACAGTTCTTAAAAAAAAAATTAAAAAAAAAAACACTCGCCGTTATATACCACTACTACTTTTCTGTAAATCTGCGTGAAGAGCCACTAAAAAACAGTATTAATTGGTATACACGGAGAAACAGCTCCGCGGTCGACGTGACAGACACTTGGCGTCACAGAATACCTTTGTTGCATGACGTTTAAGTTAATTCTGTCTTCCTCGAGATTGAAATAACAATATACATTTAGTCTTTTGCCACTTTTAATCTGGTCGCACGTTTTTAACAACCACATGACGGAACATTGTGAAGAAATACTAAGCAATACTAATTCCTTGCCTGGTGAAGCCAGTCTGAATAACAAACCTGTCTTGAGAACACACATATAATGTCATCATTAATTGAGTCTCTGTTGATGTTAAGAAGAGAGCTGGCATCATATACGACCTACAGAGAAGCAGAACTAAAAGTCAGTGTGTGCTGAAGAACGTCGCGTTCAATGCGTCGCGTTCAGAACGTCGCCGTCCTAGAAAACTCTCCCATACCAGGTTCCCAATCAGAAAAAGGTGTGATGACTTTGATTCGGTTTGACCACAATTCAACACTGTAATGTTAGCAAAAAGAAGAAGTAACCTCTTTTCCAGGACCTCTCTCCTCTACCCCCCTACCCGTTTCCCTCCGCACTAAAGCCAGAAAGAGAGAGAGGAGAGAAGAAAAAGAAAGAAAAAAACCTGGACACGAGGTTGAAAGTAAAGAGCTTCAACTCACATTTCCATTGTAGTGCGATACTCCAAAACACGAACTCTCGGAATCTGGATCAAAAAAGCTGAAACGAAGAATCGTATCAAAGAAATTACAAAATTTTTTAATTGACTCTACCCGCTCCGGTTCGGAATCTGACCACCTCCATATCGAACTATACAAATACAGTATGCTATTTTGTTCCTCTACTTTAATCTCGGTACAAATAGAGTTCTTCGTCGGTCATAGTTGTTTCGAACGTTAATTAACATTTTTATCTTACCTATCGCTGTCTTTATGCTGTCCCTTTACTTTTTGTAAGAAGTTCTGGTAGCTTCCTCTGTAAGAAATATTAGCCTTGTTGATACTTCCGCAACATTGCCATCTAACATACAATCTTCGCTGTGAATCCATAACTTTTATACTAGTTCTTTATTGCGTTTGATCACTCATTTACCGTTTTTCTTTTACCATTTATTACACATAGACTGTTTTAAAAATAACCGTTGTTCATATACGTGTACCTTTTCTCGCGTCTATTAACACTAGCTCGTTTTCCGAGCATGTCAGAAACGTGTCACAGGTTTTTCCACCTTAACACTACTGAGTTGGAACGGTTAAATTTTTTCTATTTCTTGCTGAATGTTTTGTTATGATTAAAGCTACTGGAGCAGTGTTCTTTTGTGTGTCGAAAAAACCAAATCCAAAGTAATCCTTAGCGAGCAATCAGAACAAAGGTTTACATCATCGAAAGTAATTTGGGATTGCTTTGCTTAGCTTACAGGGAGCAGATAGCGCTTCAAACGCGGGAAGACGCAAACAACCAAGACGCACTTTGTTTCATTTTTGCACTTGAATGTTTGAGAAAATGGCGAGAGGTTTCTGGACCAATAACAAGGAACAGAGAGCGCTTCAAACGCGGGAAAACGTAAACAACCAAGATGCACTTTGTTTCGTTTTTGCACCTGATTGGTTTGGAATAGCGAGAGTTTTCTTGACCAATTACAAAGTAATCCTTAGCGACCAATCAGCACAAAGTTGACATTATCATTGGCCAATGAGAGGTCAAGGTGATTTTTATCAAGCAAACTGCTTGGACATGGGAAAACGCGAATGACTAATAAGTCACGATTGCTTTAGGTTTTGCATCTAAATGGTTGAGGGGATCGGATTGCGCGAGTTTTCTGAACCAATTTTTTGGAGGTAAGGAAAACCAAAACAATCTCAAATTACTTTCGTCAATCAATTGGTTCTTAAAGAATGTAACAAACATAGACCTTCACTGTTTAGGAAAAAGAAGACTTTTCCATAAAATGAGAGTTGTAAAGCGCGATCACCTTCTTACCTTGCGAATAAGCTTTCTTTATCCAACACTGTTAAAATCCCAGCACGCTATAATAAAGAGAGTCAAATGAAAATTATGATAGCTTTCGATTCGACACCAAACAAAGTAAGATCTTCCAGTAAATGGTTTGAACCCGGGGGTAACATGTAATGGCGTATTTTGACCTTAAGACTTAAGGTCTAGCAACAACGAAAGGTTGTAATCATAATAAATATAATCATCAGATAAGAATTTTATGATAGGGCGGATTGACAGCTTACAGGATGCCTTTCGAAGGAAACTAAAGTATGTACATGACTATCGCCAAACAGAACAGAGGCCAACATTACAAGAGGTCAACAAGAACTCAAGACAATTATATGCAAATGTGGTCAAGCGCGGGAAAACGCGGACGACCCTGACGCGGTTTGTTTCACTTTTGCATCTGATTGGTTAAGAAAACGGCGAAAAAACGAGAAGTTTCTGGACCAATAACAGGAAACAGAGAGCGCTTCAAACGCGGGAAAACGCAAATAACCAAGACGCACTTTGTTTCATTTTTGCACCTGATTGGCTCGGAAAATGGCGAGAGTTTGCATGACCAGTTTTAGAGAACAGAGAAGCAAACCAGTAAACTCCCGAATCACTTTCAATATTTTTGAAAAATATTTTTAAAATTGCTCTCAGGCATTTTTTAACGTACCTGGCAAGTGAGTAGCTCAATGCACGGAGCGTTATCAAAGTAATCCACTCCAAAATCTGAAAGAACACCTTCTTCCCTGTAGAATGAAGAGAGGTGAAAAAATTAAGGCTTGGATCTTGGATCCTTCCTAGAGAGGGAAATGTTAAAAAAAATCTAGACGCAGCTTAAAAAGAAAAAAAGATTTGAAGCAATACCTGCTGTACTCTTCTCTGCTCTTGAATATATGAGTGTTATAGAAATGTTGTAATGTTTCAGAGCACAGATTTACACAGAGCTGTTCAAGTTGATTCACCTATTACAAGAGAAGGACAAAAAAAAAATCAATGACACCCAGAATTGACAAAAACAGATTCCAGCAGATAGTGAAGGGCATACTCTTCTTGTATAAAACACCTGAGAGACTAATCATTAAAAAGATTCTTCCAGTCAGTGTTGGTGAAGGGGGGGTTACTATGGTAACAAAAAGAGGGACAGGTAGGGGAGACCCCCAATGGCTCAAAATTTGTGATCCAAAGAATTATCAGCCTGATGCAACATGGAAGTGCAAGTTGAGGGCAATAAGCACTTAACTTTGTAGCTATGATATTCACCATGCCTAGTACATTCCTTGACTTATTGACAGTTATTGATCCACGTCATACCTCACTGTTTTCAAAGCCGAACATATCAATGATGCCGATGAGTCCAGAGGCTCCCTTGGTGAACTGGAAACTACCATCCAGGCTGGGAGTGGATGGGGGAGTAATCACTGATAAAATATCAAACAAGATGGAAAATAAATTGAAGGTAATAACATAAACATCAGATTTTTATGCTAAAAAAGTTATCTTTCTGATGTAAGGCTAGTGAAATCCATAAACCCTCTGGCCTCTTAAAATAAAAATTTATTTTGGTGAGCTTAACATGTTTCTATTAGCAGGCTTAACAACCTTAATGATACTCTTGCTAGTCTTGAAGGACATGCATGCTACCAGTTGAATAATGAAAGGAAAAATATATATTACCCCAGTTTTCACCAAAAGGAAAAAATGAAGTTATATTATATCTTAAGAAACTGTCTAACTTATTACTTACACAATATTGTACAAAATTCCAAAGAAAATTAATTTTCAATTCAATGTTTCAAATTTCACAATACCAGGAAGTGATGCCATTAGCAAACCATTGCTGGAGGTAAGTGGACTTTTACCCAGAGACCCATTTGATCCAGGAGAACTGGATGCAGTCCGCAATGACTCATAAGATCCTTGGGGTGACACTGACATCAGACTTGCAGGTCTCTTGTAGCTGTTGACTCGTCGGACAATAGCAGCTACTGTCCTGCAGTACAGTGCCTTGGCAAGACTGTCTCTGTTTGAATTTGCCTAACAAAAAGGAATCAAAAGACCCTTTGAGTCAACTCTGAATAGAGAGGAGGATTTGGAGTTGAATGTCACTTCGAGACAAAGGGTTATTGGAGATTTTGTTTACTCATCCACTTGAATCCCTTCTTGATTTCTATGAAACTTGCTATTAAGCAATATTGCATAATCCAGTCTTGCATAATTTTGACTGCTCTTCGTTACTCATTAGGTACATTTCCACTTGCTGAGCACTTAGGATAAAAGAGATTGTCAATTAGTTACACACCTAAACTTTGATCAACTTACAGTAACAGAGTCACACAGCGATCTAAGAATCTGTCCCCTCACATTCTTGGTTTTTGTGGTCAGACCTCTGTACAATGAAACCCCAGAAACACCAAGAAGAGCAGCAACAGCTTTGATTTCTGACAAAAATAGAAGAAATATTTTCAACCCTTTAGTACCCTCATTTAAATCCTTCGTTTGATGACTGGATTATTCCCTAATACTTGAAATTATTACACCTACCATTATTTCCCTTGACATCAAGTTCAAGACCTTCACCATCAACGAACTCTACATTTCCAAGTAGAAGAATTGCCACTAAAATTCTGAGAACATCCACAAAAGGGATACCCAGAGAGGCCAGAGCTCCCTTAAAAAAGAAGTAGTCCATAAATTAAAAAAAAAATATGCATAGTCAAGACCAAGAGTCAAAGGATGCAAGGTTTACTGACATGGACCATCTAACTACATTATATAGAGTAGAAATAATGCACAAATCAATTACAAATATCCTTTGACATTGTATGTTGGATAGTTGGTTGTTTTGTACTGAAATCTAATGGAAGCCTCACACAAGACCTGTCACAAGCTGATTCTCTATTTGCTTTTCCTGCCTTACAAAGTATAACAATTTGATCATTAAAAACTTATTAGATATGCTATTGTGTAGTTCTGCAGTGTGTTTTGAAACTACACATAAAAACAACTATAGTAATAAAATATATAAATGAACAATCATTGAAGATCACAATTACCCTCCACTGCTCAAATTTAGCTCTGAACACTTCCTCGTCTTCATTGTAAGGAATGGGACTGCTACTCAGGTAAGACAAAGTGTGCACACTGTAGCCTTGAAGATGAAGCTTAACTAAAAAATATGAAGAGAAAAAAGGCAAGTTGAGGTAGCCCAGTGTTATACAACCAGTGAAGTCTGAAGAAATGTGATGAAAAGTGAACAAAAAAATTATATTTAAAGTTTTCTCTTGATTTAACACTAAATTCTCGGTTCTCAAATTTCAAAAAAATGTATGGCAAACAGTGTGGAGAATTGTTATTTAGATCTTGGAACTGATAGGATTGAACCAAGAATAAATTTGAAATACAGCCTCTCTTTACAATACCTCTTTCCTCCTGAGTGATCCCATATAACAGCTGATAAAATATGTGAAAATTTCTTTCCTTCTCTGGTGGACATACGACTCTTGTCTGCAGCAACAGAAAGTCAGTTCTCAGAGTTGTAGCTAATGATAAGAACTGTGTAGACTTTAAGAGAATTCTGGTAACAACATTTTGTTCCCAATCTTGTGCAACCCCTTCACAGAAAGGCTTCCACGCTTCACATTTATAAAATGGCAAAGGCAAGACATGGGAAGACAACATGGTTAGCAATCACTCAAATTTTCCTAATTTCCTCACCTTATAACAGCGGCCTAGATGCTCGAGTGTGTAAAAAGTTTATCAAAACAGAAGTTCATTCAAACCTTTTCATGTTGTTGGGGATGGTGGGATTTGTTGCTTGCTCTCTAGCAGGCAATCAACTCTTTCTCAGCCAGCAAGTTTAATCAGCAGCCCATCTGCACAAAAGTCTCTCAACACAAGATGGGACAAGAGTTGTGATACCTCCACTCCCTCGGCCCTACACCCTTAACAAGGCATCCATGGGGTAAGGGTAACAGTGTATTATGGCTTTGATCAGAAAGCATGATATGAAAGTGTATTATGGCTTTGATCAGAAGCATGATATGAAAAATGGATTAAGATTTTGTTAAACTCTTCCTTCATATTCAACACCTTGCAGATACTTACAGAATCAAGGAGATAGCACTGGAGTTTGGTTCTCGATATCAAACCATCAGACAGATGGAATTCAAAAAGAGTCCCCTAAGACATCAAGAAAGACAATTAGCAGATTAATAACTACTTTAAAGAAAAAGAAATTGAACAAATTTTTCTTAAAAAACATGGAAGGTATAAAATACACTAGTAGCATAATCATACCATTCTGGAGGAATCTGAGTTTGTTGGGGTCTTTGCGTTTCCTAGAGATTGGATCACAGCTACAGAGGCCAGAAAGTGCTAAAGGATAAAACAGAGTCAACATTTTATAACTATCAAAGGACAATGAATTCAGATACCAACTAAGCCCTCTAAATTTATGGTCATTCATCATTACATTGTTATACTAACTCCCTTGCTGTTACCTCACATCGAGATACCCAGATATTCAGTAAGTGATGTTATGGCCAAAACCTCCATAAATGGTCATTTATTCCTGATTTTAATATCACTGTTGCCCAAAAGGCTGATTACATATTTCAAAGTAGATCACCTCAGTAACTGACACATGTCTCCTTTCTTAGCATATTTACCCACTGAATCTTCCACAGTGTAATGGATGTTACAATATAAATACTCTAACCTTACAGATATCGGAATCCATTCCTCCCCCAGCCTGTTCTAAGAGATGATGGACAAGAGCCTGGGCTGTGAATGTCTTCCCACTACCTCCACTCCCACTAAAAAATAAACAAATTTCATTTTTTATGTGAAAGGTGCAAAATTAACCTCTTGCCTTGTGTATCGCTCACCAGATTAGGAGGTCCAGGCAAAGACATTAAGGTTATAGCTTTACATAGGTTATCTCTACTGTTAGTAGTGATCATAGATTGCTGATGTGTTTTGTTGTTGTTGTTTTCTCATCATTCAGAGATTTCATTACTGTTCTAAATTTCAAGACCAAGATTATCCTGTATGGTGTTGTTACAAATTTATTTGGAAGAAATATACAATCTACCTTAGAACAATAACTTGTGGAGCACTGGAATAAGCCAACTTCCTTGTCACTCTTTGAATAACTGTCTGTAGTCTTTGATTATCTGAGAAACTCTGAGGCAGGCCTGTTCTGGACTGAGCTCGATCAAATGAATTCATAGCAATCATCACAGAACCTAAATTTGTCTGGGAAAAAGGAAAAGAAGAGAAACAAGAGATTAAAGAAAATAAACACTCTGAGCTTATCTGTCGAGGCCACGTGAGTGATTTAAAAACTTTTCAAATGTTCTCCTATTCCTAACATTCCAACTAGGTTATTATACTGGAAAACCAATCAAAAGTGTAGTCTAGCAGTTTTACAAAATAAAATTCAATTTTCTATGGGTTTACCAGTGCAATAGATGATAGGTTTATGACCAATCAGGGCACTTTAAGTATCTCAATTATTTTATTATGGTTAATTAATATATGATGGATATTCAGAACCTTCAGCACCACAAAATGTAAATAGCAAATGATACTTATTTCCTAAATATGGAACCAAATATTCTAAATTTTCCCGTGAAGGGAAAACTTACCACACTGGTGAAATGGGAATTTAGACATTGTACTTAAAGGTTCAAAAGTAAAGAAGCATTGATTTCCATCAGATGCATATAAACAAGAAGAGGTTGAATGTCACTGTTTCCATTTTATCACCTACATAATTTTCAGCTGCAGCACTTCTTTGTTGAAGAACTTCCAGAAGTGCAGCTTCTGTGATTGGTCCAGTGAGATGGACTAAGTCATCTGGTGGTAGACTTGTTTTATTACCACTCACTGAATTTGAAGCCATACCATTTGTCTTAACTGAAAGAACAAAATGAATCCAACTCAAGAGAAAAACTCATGACTTTATATACAAAATAGCTCTTATTTCAAGACTAATGATTCAATGTGACTAAATAAATAGACAATCATGGTTGCAAAAAGCACTATTCACCTGTTTGGTGTAAACTTATACTGAATATAATTACCTTCTCTATGATCTGGTAATGTAACTCCATTGAGCCTGATGCTTGATTTTGCTGTTAGTAGGGCTCTTAAGCTCATCAGTTCTGTGCCTAGTTTCTTTAAGGGGTCTTTCACAACAGATCCAGCTTCTACATTCCATCAAAATATAATGATATTATAATTATTATCAAAGGAATATGAATATTTGCCTTTGGAAGTTACAGCTCTCTGAGGATATCTGTTATATTTTGATAAAGTAAAAACTGCAGGACCTGGTTGTTCAAAGGGTGAATAACATTATCTGCTGAATAAATCTTTACCCAGTTGATAGCACAGTACATTTTGTCAACACTTATGCCCTGGATAGCAATTTATCCTTTGGATAGCATTATCCACCCTTTTCTACAACTGGACCCAGAAGTTTTTCCAATCAAACACAAAATTAGGGTATCTGCAAATCTCTATCAATTTTCATCCCACACAGTATTAAAAATTGTACACTTTTTAACACCTGTATATGATATTATACATTTTTGGCACATCAAACTAGAAAATACCTCATTGAAATAACAGATGGTATTTCTCGCTAAGTTTTACATATTTTTCCTTTCTTTTGCATCCAGTTCTCTTAAGCTTTTCACTCCCAAGTTCTCAATTGTAATTCTCCTTACTGTCTGTCATACAATTTTTATGAAGTTGGTTCAAAGAATTTGGTATTGGATCCACAAATAATCCCCTAATTGATATTTTCCTTTATTTTCATCACTTGTCTGTTTGATATAATGTTGATATTATATGGAAAAGTTGTCTTGGTCACTCATGGCACTGTAAGGGTTTATATATTTTTTCTTCAATTCAATGAAATCAATCTTCAGTTTAATTCAAACAGAATCTCAAAACAAAAAGTAGAGAACACATTCCTGCGGCGTTTGAATACTGTACATCTTCAATTTGCACAATCTTTTCTTCACTCATTTATCTTGCCTATAAACATCAACCTTTCACAAAAAATGAAATTTGAAATCATCACATTCTTTCAATTTGTGTTTGGTTCAAGTTTAATTGATAGAAATTTACCTCCAGAGATAAGAAACGAAGAATGTTACAGTTCAGAAGCACAACGCTTTCCATACTAATTACATTACGCGTCTGCTGTTATCTAGTACATAATCTACCTCATTCTTAATCTCATGCGTTATTTGATATTTGATACCAGACTAGAAGTTTCAACTAATGACATTACAAAGCCCAGAATACATCCACGATTTTAAAATTACTTCAGCTCTGTTTCAGCCCAGTTCATATTTCAAAACTACCCTATTTATACCCAATGTCAACAAACAAGCAATGCGTAGATCCTTGGGGCCAATTTAAGTTGGTCATTAACTAATAATTCCCACCTTTCCCCTTTAAGAGGCCGACATAAAGATGACGTACTAATTAACAAAGAATTCTCTTCTCAGGAAACATTATTACTGCTTCTAAATCACAGTAGTGGTTGGAGGTAGACAGTCTGTGCCTCTGCTACCAATGTGCGTTTCGAACCTTTGATCAATTGGTATCACTTTCTAGCCTACCCTCCATATCATTCTTAAATCTGTGATTTGCTGTCCCACATATTGCAGAACGATTAAGTTCATCCCCTCTTTTAAGACTCTTTATCTACCATAATCTACTCCTTTTACACGAGATAACTTTAGTATTTAGTAACCCTGCAATTGATACAAACAATTCAAAAGCTTGGAAGTAACTGAAGCGACGCTTTTCAGAAGTACACAACAAAATTCCTCTCTCACCTCGTTTGGCAGCATGCCTTCCATCCAAATTTTTCAGAGCAGGACTTGAGAGTAAATCATTGTGCAGTAATCCAAGCCGTTTCCCCATAGCACTGAGTTCCTGGAACAATCTTTCGTTTACATCTGACCCCTGTAACTTTTCGTGATCCCTTCCATTTGCCAGAGAACGCTCCCTAAAAGCTTTAAGCTCCAACCGAAGTTCTCCATTTTCCTCCGCTAATTTCGATGTGAGCTTCTTCTCCTCCCGTAGTTTCCTCGAATCTTCATTGTGTCGAACTTGAAAGCTTTTCAACAACTGTTCATGAGTGTGTCGTTCACTTGAGATTTCTTCGCGCATGTTAACAAGTTCATCTCGGAGCACTGCATTTTCCTTCCGGATACGATCAAATTCACCAATATCCTGAGGATTTGGATTCTTTGCAGCCATTTGATATGCTCTGTTAAACGTTCAGCGGGAGGACATTAATCCCTACAGGCTAAAACAAGAGAGCTTTTAACCGCCATATCGCCGAACTGACCGCACACACAGCCTCGCAGTTTGAAAGATTTGTTCACTACAAAAACGCTGTCAACCTGGCCAATCACAGCGCCGAATTCACTCCCGGGTCGGTGAAACCGACATTTCCTGTCTTCAGCTTCGTCTTTTACATCTTCCCCAGACTGGAAAGTCTGAAACGAAGTCATGCAAGTTTCTTTGTCAGGCTTTAGGAAGGTTTTTTTTTCGGACGGGGAATTGTTTGACAGCAGCATGCGTAACATATACAACAGGGGAGGGGAAGGAGGCTAGCGTAAAAATCCCCTCCCCCTCCCCCTCCCCTTCAACCTTCTGGACAGAGCTCGATCCAGATGACTCGTGCTTACCGAATCAGGCAAATTCTGTGCGAAAGGTGTTTTTAAAACTGACTAATTTAACACAATAGACAGTGACTTAGCTCTTTTCTTTTCTTGTGCGATTAATTTGGACCAAAAAAAGTCGTTGTCTCTCTACTAAGAGATTGAGGAAGGAAGTTGGTTGTCTCAATTAGGAAGTGGAGGGCAAGGCTCCGCTTGTTTGCTTTCTGTGCTACGATCAAGATATTAACAAAACAATTAAATATCAGCAAACGGAAGAGAATATACTGTTTTATTCCGTTTTTTGAGGTAAGACCTGTTCTAATATTGATCGATTTAAAGATACGGCTCGAGGCCCTTAAACTGCAGGAGTGGATCCAGGATTTTACACGAGTGATTTGCACCAACTTAACTGGGGGTAAAACAAGAAAGATAATTGATTTCTTGAATTAATGAAAAAACTGAGAAATAATAAACGCGGACTTGGGATCATTTGAGTTACTTTTAAAAATCACTTGAGCTACTCTGGATCCAATCGCGTACTGGTACAGTCAAGAAATCGACCTTAGACCTCGTTGAGCAAAAAACAAAATAAAAATATGATAGACCGTTGACACCTTTATCTGCCTCAGATAACAGAAACAGGTGGTTAGCGGGAAAACGAATTATGGTATAGTTATTTAATTATCCTTTCATTTTTCTTTCTCCAAAAAAGGAAAACATGCCTTTATCAAAAAGTTGAGGATAACATTATGACTGGCAAGTGTCAGTTTTGGCTATTACAGGCTACACTTTCTATCTGGTTACTGATGCAACAGCCCATTAGGGTGTTAGAGGTCTGTAAGTCACAAGTCATAAGTGAGCATTTCACAAAATTTTCTGGTGTCCTCCCATCCTTGCAAAGGTTACAACACTGATAAACAAACTGAAAATGCACCAAAAATGCTCTTTAATAAATAAATTGCCACACTTTTACAAATACAATTAACAAAAGGTTTTTGACCAGACTAAGCACACGTAGTATTTCAGTTATTTAAAAAATGTCACTTTTACAAAGTAGACCTTTTTGCATATATTTGACAATTTAATGCTACACCATTTTAAGAGTCCCACAAACAAGTTCAATGTTTCTATTAAGCTTACAAAGAGCCTCAGGATTCCTATGGTTGAAAATTATTAAACAAAAATTGAGAACTTTTTAATTTTGTCAAAAATTGGACACACTCATCACACCTTATTGAAAATTGCTGTAACAATTATTTTTATCTTTCACCAGAAAACTGAACAAATTTTTGCATCCAAGGCAAAAGATTGTCACTTGCAACAACATTCTCTTACCAAGTTAGCTAATAAAGGAAGTATACAAAAAGTACCAGGACAAGGCCATGCAGATGAATAGCAAATGAAAACTAAATCAAGGCTTACAAAATTCACTCTGTAGCTCTTATAATGTTTTCCTTTAAATAGTAATCTCACCTTTAGATAAATACTCTGATAAATTCATATCCATTGTATTCAATGTACAAGTCTGTTGTCACATCAATCTACATGTTCAACCGTAACTAATATATTCTTAGCCTATGTCAGTTAATGCGAAAAGTTTGCAGCCAAGGTTCTTGAACTTCTCTTCACCTCTGAAGCTGTTTTAGGTCTCTGCACTGCATCTTTGGTTGTAACATGTCCTTTAATTCTTGGTTGTGCACTCTCTGGTAGACTCAGTCGTTTCTTTGCCCTTGGTTGAGCCGTAACTTTGGGTTGTTTAGTAATACTTCCAATACTTTGTCTTGATGGTCTATTTGGAGGTTGATATCCACCCCCCAAGCTAGATCTGGATGGCTTATCAGGTTTTCCATATGTATTACCTGTTGTTTTGGGTCGGTTGAGAGCATCATCCTTTTGAAACCTGGGATTACTAGGTAAAAAAAAATATATATATATATAATTAACACAGTGAAAAAAAAAGGAATTAGTGTGGCCTAGCCACATGCGAAAAAGATGTCTACTCTCAGAGAGGCTAAATGCAAAGTGTGATAAAGTTAACCCACAGAGGTTTCTCTGGAGCTGTGGCTGGTCTGGAGTTTGGCTTCTTAGACCTTTGAAAAAGTAATTGAAAAGAAACTTACATTACATTCATGAAAAGCAAATGAAACCAGCCTTGATCACACAGACTTTAAACAATATCCAAGTTAAGAATATATAAGGTTTAGAAGTAACACTAAAAAAAGAAAAAAAACTATGAAAACTATGAAAACCAGAAATATTTCTAGAATTTCACTGCCTTATCAGGACAGTTAATCACAGAGTAACTGACCTGTAAAAAACTGCAATAATTAGTCTGTTGCATGTGTGCATTTGTAAAACATTTCTGGAGTTAAAAAAAATAGTCAAGATAAATGCAACATACCTTGCTCTGTCAGGTAGAGGTGGAGAAGTATGTCCCTGCTGTGGTTTTAGAACCCTTTACACAATCAAACACAACAAAGTTTGTACATGAAACACTGTAATCATTATAAATTAATGTTACCTTGGAGTTTTCTGAGCCACCTCAGAATGGCTACAAGCACTTTGTTACTTATTACTACTACTGTTTCGGCAACATCATACTTACAGGCAAAAATTCAAAAGCATGCATAAGAAAATCCAGTTTTTGCATAGTATTTAAGAGGATTATACATTTACCAACTGCTTGCACACAAACTAACCTGATGTTCCAAGTTTTCTTTTTCTTCTCTTCCTTCAGTTCAGGTTTTGGCTTCACCTCTGAATTTACAGTTTGTGTTACAGAGCTTGGAATGAAAAAATTAAGGACCAAAAGTAACAAGACAGATTTACTATTGTCTCTTATATGGCAATGTTCTTTGAAATCTCAATCCAAATAACTAACAGCGCAACTTACAGCAATCTAAGTTTTAAAAGGATACGTATCTAATCCTTCCTGTCTTCTCTGTATTGCCCGTAAAGTGACAGCAGATAGTCTTGACTGGCCTATAGAGCTCTGATTATGTTACAAAATGAAGAAACTATTATTATTACAGAACTGTAAAATTTATCCAATACCATATGAAAATGCAGATTAAAAAGTAGGGAAGGATCATTTCTCTCTTTCAGTTTCTTACCAAAAAGAAGCTGTAAAAAAAATCAAGAGCAGCATAGAAGACAGTTTTTTCCCTTCAAATTTGCTGTAACTGTTATTCAGTTAATAGGCAATCTATCATATTCAACTTTACATGTATCATGCAACTAGTTCAAATATTTCACCTTCTTCAACTTCTCACTAACAAGGGAGCTCACTTAACAATTAAAGGCTATCATTGTCAGAAGGTTTCAATGTGTCAACAAATGAGAAAAATGATGTAAACAGTTCTCACTTACCCTGGTGTTTCTGCGCTTAGCCTCTTTAGCTCTTGCTAAGTCTCTTGAATGGGCTATGTAGGACATTCTCTCCCTTACAGATATCTTAAAGAACAAGTCATGTAGACTACCTCTTGCTATTCTTAGCTATAAAGGAAAGAAAAAGTTTCCATTTTCAGGAAGACTTTCCAAACCAGAACTTTAATCAATCACAGTCAGACAATTAATCAGTGTCAAAACTTCACCAAAGCACCGGATAGGGAGCAATGGAGTGACATTATAATCTTTCAAAACAACATTTCCCTCTAACATCATATATATCCCTTCCCTCAGGTTCAAACTTCTGTGCTCTGTTTCAACAATTGGAAAAAAAATCTGTTTTCAGATCTTGGGATCTAATGTTTTGTAATCATAGAAGTAAAAGGAGGGGCAGAAAAAAAGATCACTCAATCAGAACAAGCACAAGTGACCACAATGAGATGGCTGGGAAAGTCTCCCCAAAGTTTGTCAATTAATGCAGTTGAAGTGAACATACATGGCCCTCAACATTCTCTTTGAGTATCTTTTCCTGAACAGACTGTGTGTCTTCTTTACATATATCTTCCAAAACATCTCTAGTGTCCTGTGGAAGCAAAACTGAAGTCAATCCATTATAATAATATTATTATAATAATTATTGTGTTGAGTTAATTGTAATTATTGTCATGGTTCCCAATTTCAAAATAAAGTACAGTACTTAATAAAGTATCCTCACCTTGACTGTCTTTATCAAGCCTTGTACCTTGTCAGTTTTCATTAATAACCTCGTTAGAAATCCTTTGGCATGGGCTGAGAGTTTGGCAAATTTATCCCGTCCATTATACACAAACTAAGGAATATAATACAAAATGTCTGAGACCCACAGTGATCATTGCTTCTAATAAATTTATACCCCTACAATATTGTTCAGAAAGAAATGATTGTATGAAATAGATTGACTAGACTCAATTCCTTGAGAGATGACTTAAATTCTCAAAATGATATTGAAAATTTGGAGAACTGGAATAGAGAATTTGTTTCATAATCAAGAGCTCCTTTGATCCAGAGATGATACTGTAAAGAGGAATTAGGTGTAGTCACTCTTAGCAGTCAAAGGGTTAACCTAAGATGACTCAAGTATCCTAATAATGAACTTTCATCAAGTTTAAAAGTTATGGTTGAGATGTCCAATATATACATTATGAATACCTGGTCATCCACTTCTGATGAGAAGATCTTGGAATCCTTCCATGCAATGAAAGGATTCATGTTTCTCTGCTCACTTTTTCTTCTATTCGTAACATCACCAGGAACATTCTCCACAAAAGCATTGTTTCTGTTTCCTCTGAAAACCTCAACCTCCTCTCCAACATGGTTCTCTTTATCAGAAGATGATTCAGGTTCAACATTGTCTTCATCATGGTTATCAAAATCAAGATTCTCTCCGCTTAGTTCTAGAATAGAGTACATTTCACCTGGAGGCATTGAAATAGGTCTACAAAGGGGTGCTGTTCCTGGTCTGTGATAATCTGCAGATGATCTATCAGTTTTAACTGTACGACTTTCTGATTCCTCAAGGAGTGCCTGTGTTAGGTCTGATTGCTTTGTCAAAGGTACAGAACTAGACCGTGGTCTCTCCATTGTACAATGCTTGCTGTGGCTATGAAAGGAAGCATGTGCATGCTCTGAACCAATTCCTTGTACCCTTTTTTGTTTTTGAAGCCTTTTCAGCTCCTGTTGCTTCAGAGCATCTAGTTGCTTTTGTTTTTCCTCAAGGAGTTTTTGCCTTAGTTTTTCCAAGTTTGCCAGAGTTTTATCTTGATCTTGGACAGCTGGTATATTTCTAGCTTGTTTTCCTGAAACTATCTTTGAGTGAGTCTTGCCGCTTGGTATTTGCCTTGTAGATGGCAATCTTGTCTGCTCTTCAAAGTTTTTGTCACGGATGCTCTCAGCTGGTGAATCTGTACTCTTTTGAATGGAAGATCCTGTGGGCTGTGATTCTATAACGGATGATTGTATAGTTGGAGCACTGTAATCTATAAAGTGAAACAAAATGATAATCATTCCAACTTTAAAATATTACAAATTGTTGGCTGACTTGCTTTACTTACTGGACTTGATCATTAAATAAAGCATGAAAAATTTGTGTCCAATAGTGTAAAAGTCCAATTTATGTTCAATAGTATAACAAATTGAATTCAACTGCTATTAAACTATTTTTTTATTTTCTCACTGCTGTTACCCTCTACACAGTCACAAAGGACTCCAAGGGAACAGTCAGGCATTGTCACCAACTTTATCAGTTTCATTGTTAAATTTATTCCCAAACAATACTGAGTTTTTATTTTCTTTAGGTAATTTCACGATGAGAGCTAATTGTATACTTCATAATAATAATAATAATAATAATAATAATAAATATATATATATATAATTAAGATTTAGTAGAAATTAAGTTATAATATTAAAACTATTTCTGAAAATGTAATATTGCTGAACACTTTCTTATCAATTCATAGATAATTTTCCATATAATCTTAAAAATACAGAGCAACAATATATTTGATGTCAAAGCAAATTAATTTTGTGACAAAAAAAGACAAAGCATTTATCAATTAACTTATAGTCTCACCTGATGAGGCCACAGACAAAACAGTAGATGCAAGTGAATCAGACACTTGCCCCTTCTTGTCTGGAAACAATTCAAGGGAGCCTCGCAAAGTAATTTCTGAAGCAACAGAGAGTTTCGAAAGTGGTCTTTTAAAACCAAAGGTTTCCTTATTTTGAGTGCAGCTAAACAGGAAATCTTCACTTGCAAATTTTCCAGGCAAACTTGTAAATTCTTCCCTAGAATTCTCGTTTCTTAATGGATGGCCATGGTATTTATATGTTCCTCTTTGATTTCCAGAGTTGGTATTTGTAGATTCTGGTAAATAATCCATCTGACTGTTCACTCTGCTTGTTTGCTTATTATGATTACTGCTTTCAGTCCAGTCGCCTAGTAATGAACTGAACTGTTCTTGTTTTGAATTTCTTTCAGTGTTGGAAGTAGCATCACACACATATCTTCTATCAAAGTCAGTCTCAAACAAAGCAGATTGCATATTATTTGGATATAATGTTCTACTTCCTATCTGATCATTTTCTGAAGTAAGTGTCCTCTCTCTTAAATCCTGATCATCAAATTGAGCTTCAGTTGACTCCTTCAAATCCCTTTGTTTCTTACAAAACAAAACAATTATTATCCTCATTAAAATCCCAATGAAGAGTCACTGTTCAAGGTTAAAATGTTCTGCTTCACATCAAAAGTGACTTCGTCATAAGAATGATTACTGCACTCGATCGTTATAAATTATAGCCTGCCTCTTTCAAGAATGTGCTCTACATTCTATATTAGTTAGCAATGTTTTTCCCAAAGTTAAAGAGCTAGTTCTTCTCTTCTCACCTGAATCCTGTCCATGACTGACATGACTTGTAGGAGTAGATCTGAATACCTTTCTCTCCTTCTTTCAAACATTTTGGCTTCACATTTGACTGTTTCCCTTCTATACTGACGCATTTCAGCTCGCTCTTTCTCTGTGAGCTGGAAAACATAAATTTAAGGAGATAACAATTCAGATATTTGCTAAATTATATTACACCTAGTCTACCTTTCACTCAGACTAAACAATGAAAAATTGTAACAGGCAAACAAACATAACAGGAGTATGTCACACTCCTGCTCTATCACTTGTCTCCGATGACTGAGAGCCTGGGACAAGCTAAATGAATAGGCGTAGTTTTCCTGGATCCCATGATGAAAAAAAGTGTAGAAAAGGAGTTTGATGTAATAAGCCATTTTGCAGTTAGCCTGTTCTTACAAAAACAAATTGACTGTCATTAAGGATTATGGAAAACAGGATTTTAAACAACACAGTCCACTAGAGAGCAATTTAGGAATAAGCATTGTCTTTATTCCTGACAAGTGGAGCCAGGAAAGCACAACATGACCCATGAGACCCATTATCAGTTTAACAAATAATTGGGAAACAATTATTCTAAGTCCTAATTAACCAGTGAAAAAAGATGAATCAAGAGTAAAACAACGACACTATGATATTCTACAAAGAAATATGAATAGGTTGATGTTAATGACAATTCAGTAAATATCCTTTCATTAGCACCGTGATATTACGAATGATAAGTCACAAAAACCTAACTACTAAGTCTAATACGGTATGCAGTTACAGCTTCCATAATGTTAAGCTAGGATAACTCAAATGATTTCTGCAGCGACAAAATTACGAACATTACCAAGTGTAATTGGAAAGCTTGTTGTGAGCGTTTGAATACATCATCGGATATTTTTAATTTTAAAACTGAAAGGCTGTTGTTTAACTTGTGTACAGTAGAGAAATATGTAAAATTTGATTAGTTCATGAAACAGAAATTAAGCATACTGCATCCACAATATCCGAGTGTAGTAACGAATGATGAGTTTCAGTACGATTACCAATGTAAAATAGCGCGGAAAGAGCTTAACAAAACAGAATAAGAGTACATCTGTATTTACAAACTTCATTTATTTGGCGATGACGCCAAAAACATTGTGTCAACATTTAAGCTTGCAACAAAAATCAAATCGGATTTGAGATTTACGGCTCTAAAAGTTTCTTTCTATAACGATTCAAGCATTAAAAATCCTACCAGAGGTGGTGGAAGGGCCATGCCATTGAATGACAGTATCGATTTGTGCGATTTCGTCGAAAAACGAGCGTTGTTTGCAAACCATTTGTCTTGCTGTTCACTGCTTGTTTGTTCAAAGAGCGCACGCAAACAAGATGGCATCTCCACTGAATGTTTTTCCTGAAATAAAAATGTTTCGTAGCGTTTAACTCGATGTGCTTATTTAAACGACTGCGTTAAGAAACTTCGCAGAGTCGTTAGAAAGCCTAAAAGAAAAAAGACATGCAGAAAGACTGTGTACCTCAAGTTCCCGCGCCATTTTGAACCCGAGATTTAATCAGCGACAAGTCTGTGTACGAAAGGAACGACCGCAACAACCTGGGTTCTACCAAAGGCCTAACTTGTCTCACCTGCGGGGGAGGGAGGGTATCATTTGCTTAAAGAAACATCAAAATAAATAAGCTTTAAAAAAAACACTACTCCGACGAGATGGAAGGCATTTAGAATCTAAATTTATTTTTTTTTTTTTTTTTTTTTGTAAACGTAAGAAAGGATTGTATCTTATTAAGCGAAAAATGCTCTCTAAATCGCTTCGAAACTCCCCTCACCCCAGAAAGGCTCTGGTTGGCATTCGTCATTCACTCGTGAGCACTTTGTGCAGGAAAATGGGAAATTCACTCAGTGAACGCGAGAAAAATGAAGCTGACTTTGGAGAGGAATTGTACGAAATAGTGCAACAAATATATCCAGAACATGCTGATTACATTACTGGTATGTTACTGGAGTTAGACTGCAATGAACTCAAACGAATTCTAACCTCAACAAATCGTGAAGAGCTTCTTTGTAAGATTCACAAAGCTGCAGGGCATGTACTTCCCGAAAGGTAAGCCAAAATTACCAGTTGGTTAGCGTAAAGGCTTTTACTCGGACACTTTCGATCTCTTCCCCAACGATCTTCAAGATCGCGTGATTGAAATCCTGTTGATTCATTCCGAAGTCGAATTAAAGACAGCTGTTTTCCCTAAATAAATTATTACTATAGCTTGCCTTTGATTTTCTCAATCAATTCTTTAATCATTTTTTTTCGCCACCAAAATTGTCCCCTTGTCTTTCTCCTATTGGAGGAAATGGCAGCATAAATTAGAGGTGTTTAATCTTGTTAAACTTTCGGAAGATTTGATATTATTCTTTTAGATTTAGATAAAAGCAGATCAGATTATTTTTTCACTTGAAAGGTTAACATTAGTTTGTTTTGTTGTAAATATTCCCTACATTTCCGTCAAACAAAAGAGCCCACATAAAATCCTATTGTCCATGAAATTGCTCTATGACTATATAATTATTCTGATGAAAATTTATCAGAATTAACAAATTTGATTTATGATAAACCATGGTGCCTGTTTGTCTATCTTTGGTTCCTGCCACAGCAATAATTGTAACAAAAGTAAGTTTCAGTATTATTTATCAGTGTTATCTTTGAAAATTTATATGGAGATTTTTAAAGTGAAAATAGAGCTTGTGATGAAAATTTATTGTTTTGAATTGAAGGGTGAATTTTATTTGACATGTAAAAGTAACTTTTAGCAAAAATAAATCACTGGAATATCACAAATACTGAATTTGTTCTAATTCCTATTTCTAATGGTTCAATTTTGTTTCTAGGGTGAAAACATTTCAAACTAGATACAATTTTTTGTTTTTCTTTGTTAGAAACTTTGTACTATCAGGTAATCTAAAATTAAGTAAAATCAACTTGAACTTTTACAGCTTGGAAGAAAAACTGAGTGAAAGTTTTATTTTAACCACAATGTATACACCACTTCTGCAGGTTAGATTGTCAACAGGTCAAAGATAGCGCAAGTGAACAAAGCACAAACCCTGAAAATCCTTGTCTTTCTTTCAGAGGGAATTCACATGTAAGAGACTCATCCACAGATATATCTGATAAAAATAATAAATTAGAAAGATGTAGCATTTTACCTTCTGGATCCTCTACACACCACAATGACAGTCTTAAAACAAAACAAGCCTTAGGTGAACAGATGTATGCCTTGATTGAAGAGCAATATCCAGATGATGCAGAAAAATTGACAGGAATTTTGCTAGAAATGGATATTCAAAGTTTAGAGCTCATGATCAAGGATTCAAACTTGTTAGAACAAAAACTGGGAGAAATCATATCACTTTTGGAAAATGACTCTGGACAAATCAAAAATAGCCAAATGGAGACAGCATGGAGGCAATGTCAAGATAAGACTTCTATTGGAGAAGAACTTTATAATTTGGTTAGTGAACTTGGCTGTGATCAAGCTGACAAAATCACAGGGATGCTTCTAGAAATGGATGCTTACGATTTAGAAGTGATCCTCAGAGACCAAGAGGTGTTAAAAGAAAAAGTGAATCAGGCATTGTGGGCACTCAATAATCAGAGTGACGTAAGTGAAACTATATCACCCTCAACAGGACAGGAAGACAAAGCAGTTTATGGTGAACAACTGTATTACAAAATCTGTGAATGGTTCCCAGAGAATGCAGACAAAATCTCTGGTATGTTGTTAGAAATGAATATTGCTACTTTAGAAATGTTGCTTAATGATTCTGCAGCACTACAAGAAAAAGCTGCATATGCTGCAAGCATCCTCAGAACAACAAAAACTAACAGTGAAACACAACACAGTCTACCACCTTCTGAAAAATCTGAAGCAGAAACAATTAAAAGGTTAGAAGAGAAGCTCTATGATATAATAAATGATTGGTATCCAGGAAAAGCTCATAAATTGACAGGCATGTTGATGGATATTGACAGTGCAGCATTGGAGAATTTGGTTTTAAACAAGCAGATTTTGAAAGAAAAAGTTGAGGGAGCATTAGCTGTCCTACACAGAATGGAACAAACTAGCTCAAACAGGTGAGCAGGTCAAAAGTATTTACAAGTCACCTTTAAGTATTTCAAGTAAAATAATCAAATAAATCTGGAGTTCATTTCCTTGTGGGGGACTCAGATTCCTTCTTTGTGTCACATTTGTAACAGATATGATTGATATCTCTGTCAAACTCTATTTTTCCATTTTTTTATCTATAATAATTTACAATTATTCACCTAAGAGGAGAAAAAACATCAGCCAGTTTTAACGGTGAAAAATTGTTTCAGTATATACCACACAAAAACCCAAAAAATTGTCTCATTTGGCCACTCAGGGGTGAATTTTACTTGTAATCACCTCTAAACTAGCCAATCAGCACATGCAAAAAGCACAGTCAACAGTGGTATGTACTAACTGTAAATGTAAATATTTGAAACTTTTTTAAATTTCGAAATTGATCTTTTGCCTTTGGAAAACATTTTCATTGATATATGAGAAAGTCTTTATTATATCTTTCAATGTGCAAAAGTTCTTCTCTCAGAATGACAAGGCATATCCTGAATCCAAAACCTCACTTTGATAAGCTTTTGCAAGAGTTGTTATTTTTGTCTCTCTGAACGTGTTGTAAATTAGTCATGAAGGCCCATTTTGCAGGGAACCAACTAAACACTGCAGCCCAGGAGATTCCATGAAAGACGAGTTGGGAGAACAGCTGTATGTGAAGATTGAGGAGTCACATCCTGAAAATGCTGATAAAATCACAGGAATGCTTTTGGAAATGAGTGTAGAAGACCTTCACAGACTTCTGAAAAATCCTCTGGAACTTCAAGAAAAAATAATGCTTGCAGAAAATGTCTTAAAAATTGACTGATATTACCATTAAAAAATGTTTAATGATGTATTGGATGGTATTTTAAGGTGAAAGACAAGACAAAGGTATGAATGAAACCATCAGCTATTTTACCCATTGGTTTTCTGGAAAACAATAAAATTGAATGTTCTGTTAGATTCCACAACTTTCACTTTCATGATAACACGGTTTCCCAGGGTTCTTTATTAATCAAGAAAAAAAAATGTCAAGAAAAAAAAAAACTAGAATATCTTCATTAAAAAAGGAACTGGTTTTCCCCTCAAGAATCTTCAAGATTTTCATGCATCATTGTTTCTCTACTTTTGCATAAAGTCAATTTTTAAAATATTTTGATACAATTTTTTGTTGTTGCTATTATTTTGTCATTTCGGAACTTTGGGTTTATTCGCGTATTTTGAATCTGAAGAGGGCGAAATTAACTTAATTTTGCATATTTTAACTGAAACAAGAAGCCTAAAAACGTCAAAAAAGACAAACCCTAACTCCACTCATCGTTACTTGCAAGGGGGAAGGTTTTCTTTAGAAAAATGCGCACATTTGTTACTAATTGATCAGCAGTATTTCACAATGGGGCAGAGACGGGAGTCAAAGGTTCTGGAGATACTCACCCCTCCCCCACCTCCCTTCTTTTCCTCTTCTCCTTTAACGTACATTCTTGAACAATCAAATTTTAAGGTCGAACTAGAAGGGAGTTTTCTTGCGATTAAGCAAACGACAGCGCTTAGAAAGGGCCTAAAGAAAAGTTTTTACTTCCTTAAATGTATCGCACGGCCTTATTTTGTTTATATTTTCTCGTTTATCGTTTACAATAGTTCATGGAATCATAAACAAAGACGCAAAAAGAGAATGTAACCATGAAATTCAAACTTGACATTTTCGTTCTTTGTTTATTTACATGGATATGTGACTTGAAAACGAAACAATTCCAGCTATTAAACACTTTTTCTCGAGAGGAAACACCTCTTCATAGCACTCAGAGACAATGCGATTTTTTAATTAAAACAATTTGAAACTTAAAATGTCCATTCGAATTTTTTATTTTTATATTACTTATTTTCTCATTCAAAGAGCGTCCAAACTCATTCTAAAGGAATTGATACGAAAGACATTCAATTCTTTCGCATTTTTAAAAAGACTATTTGTCATTTTCCTGATGTACACAAGATCACCCCCAACCCCCTCTCGGCCACGATTCTTTTCCTCCTTTCCAACGGGCGATCTCTTCATACCACGCCTTTAGTTCTGAAGACGTCATCTAGAGAATCCTCTCACGGGCGGTTCCTCGGCTGTTCCCGTCTTGTTTCTTATTTCGGTTAATGCAGATACTGAAATCGTCTTCTGTTTTAGTTTGTATCTGTCTACCCAGGGGGAGGGTGAGCCATTTCTTAGCGAGTAAACCACCCTCCTCGAATCTCGTTTAGCGTTTTGCTGAGGCGATAATTGGGGCTCAGAATCATTCGGTAATGTGATCGGTTCCGATCGTAGACTGCTGTTTCGTGAAGTTGCTGTACGAGAGATTACTGCTCCGTCATATGATGGAGGAGCGTTAGGATTAGGAACAAGTTCTTCCAGAGTTACGTCCTGATGAAGAGAATTTAGAAATTATTGAATTGAAATATTACAAAAGGTATAAAAAAATCGCTAAAGCCTTAAAGTAAAACGTCGATTTGCTTCCAATATGTGAATTCTCTCTGTTATTTGTGTTTGCCTGCTTTTGGTCTCCTTGGCATGCCACCACCCAGTCAGTCAGTCCGTGCATAATTCAATTAGTTGGACAGTTAAGGGAGCCATTTGTTTTGGTTGATGCGTCTCCCAATTACTGTAAGTTAGATCTGCTGTCAGTCATTCAATGCCTCTAAAACATATTTGAGTTTCAGCTGGGCATAGGTGCGCTTTGAGTTAAGTTAAGCTTCTCTTAGTAAACAACTTAACTCTCTCACCGTGTTTACTCCTATATATTTGATTCAATAAAAATTTTCCTACATCATACGTACATCACCTTAAGCTTAGTTTCGTGATTTTAAGTACGTATGTAAAATAAAAAACATGGCTAAGAGAATAACTTTCGTCGATTTAGATAAGATGCAAGCTCCGCCAAATGAGTTAGTATTGAAGGGTTTTTCTTTCTTTTGCGAAAATGTCATGAAAGGCATTATGATAAGAAGGAGGCCATTAAACTCAAGATGAATCCCAGATATTAATCAACTTCTGTGATACTATGAAGTTACGCCTTGGCCGGCGGAAAACACGGAAAGACATCGTAAACACAATGATGGTTTAATGAACCGCATATATATATACGTTTACCTTACCTTTCTTTCCGCCTCAAGTTGTTTTATTTTGTTTTATTTTTCTGAGAATTAACCTAGTTCGCCATGATATTCACAAACAATACGCAAACATATTCTCAGTCGTCGAGAAAAACGGGAGAAAGAAGCATGCAAGCTTCTGTTACAAAAGTCATCTCTGGGGGTTTTAATTAACATGAATGACCCTCAAAAAAACATTCCGTTCGGTTCTAGTCTAAAACACCTGCACCACCATTTTGTTTATCTTTCTTTTTTATCGAAAAATTTTCATAACTGATTTTTTTTTCCTCGATAGAGGTTTATTCGGAAACTTTGACAAAAGGTAGGCAAAGTAATAAATGGGGCGGCCGTTTCTTTCCTTTTTTCTTTTTTTCTTATCACTTTGCTCTGTGTTTTGATGAATTAAAAAACAACTAGCCATAGCTGTCTTTAAATGCCATGTCAACATAAGGATGGCTTTTAGGTAAAAAATAATGACCTTTCAAAAGTTTACAAGCTCGGAAGCATAAATTTGTGATATCAAATTCCTTTGAGTAAGTGAAGAATGTTTATGCACTTTAAAGTGAAACACCTTTTCAACTATCTTTTATAATAAGTAAAAACTCCAAATATTGGTCTCATTCAGTTTTCACAACAGATCCTTACTAAGTTGAAATTTCAACTCCATGGACAGATACTAAAGTTTTATTTTCGACAGAAGCAACTGTTTCCCTTCAAAAATTATCTGAATTTCAACACATAAAAAGGGTTAACGTAGATCCCTAGTTCCTTCACCAGTTAATTATCCAAACAATAATTCGCAATTGACAAAAAGTCTTAACAGAAGCCCATAGCTGAGAACCTTCCCCTGCAGAGACTTTTCCCTTCCACGGACAACACTCAATCATTCCGGTCATGGACCAATGACTTTTTTGCTATAGTCTTAAATGGTGTAAAACCCGCGAACTGAGTTGGTTAACGGCAACATTTAAACTATCCGTAATTTAGCCTCGTTAATCGGTCAATACTTTCAAAATGTTGGCAACAAGAAGATTTTTTCAGGTCATTAAAGGGTTTGAAACTGGTTCTTGCACTCAGAAATAACATAAGGTGTCCCATGGCAACTTTGATTAGCGAGTTACATCAAACAGAAATAGAAAAACACAACTTGCCGAAAAAAGGGAAAAATTGAAACTAACTCACTTGTCCTTCCTTATAAGCGTTTGGCAAAGCCATTGATGTAGACCTGACCTTTGACGGGAAGAAGCCATTAAAGATGCGTTTGGGTTTGTGCATGGGACGAATTTCCTGGAACGATTTCAACGTGTTAAAATCTATGATCTTGGGACAGCTAAATTGTCTTTTGTTCCTTGTTCCTAGTATTCTGGATTCAGTTAGGCGGTTGTTACCGATTCGTGTTTGTCTACCGTCTAGAACCACTCCGGACTTAGTTGTTACGTTATTGACGACGTTTGCGATTGTTGGACAAAATCGTCTCTTGTCGCTGACAAATATCTTATCCTCTAGGCTTGGGAAAACGATTATTTTCAAAGAAGTCACCGGCTCCATGTCTCAGGGATGAACTATTCGAAGAAAACTCCGTGGAAATAGTTCTTCCTTAGAAACATGGACTCCCACATAGCTTAACAACAAGCGTGTCTCGTTAGAAAGAGAGGTGATTAAGTGATTCACTCCAGCCACTTGACATAAACTCTGTTATGCAAAAGACTTATTGAAGAAGGATTTAGTCAAGCCGGCTGTCTTCCCGTAATGAGAAAGCCAGAAGCCAATTAAAACCCAACAAGATTATTCCCATGTGGACTAAATTATTATCTTAAGGGTTTGACGTAAAGGTTATTATTGAAAAGAAACAAATAAATGCTGCTTTTTCATTAAGTGAAACGAAAAAGCTTCTTTCAGTTGAGCCGTAATAAATTATTTTCACACGCTGCACAAACCTCAAAATGCAAGGTTTCCTTGTGTATTTTGCTGCGCGTTACTCTCTCTGGCTTGAGCTCAAGATAAATAAGTAACATTTGCTAGTACACGCGAACAAATAGTATGATAATGATAGCTAAATGATTCCACTTCGCTTTTGTTGGCTGGGATTAGCGAATTAGATGATCGTTGAAATTTATGCAGATATTTTCTTTAGCCGTGCCGACTTTTGGTTTCTAAGTGGCTTGTTTTCCTAGTCAAGCTCGATTTTTACGGAACTAAATCGCTGAAAGAAAGAGTAAACCCATAAAAATTGCGTCTTCGAGTGTGCTAAGTTTTACCATTAAGCTAAAAGGTCTCGTTGGCTACAGTTCTTGGTTCATGTAAAATTTCATTAGAATTTCACGTTGTTCGAATTGTAAACAAAGCTTAAGGCTTGTTACGAGGGTTATAATGCGCAAATAGAGGAGTATATTAATTACACGTGATATTGCACTGAGAAAACTGAGAACCCTCTCACAAAAAGTAAAGTTACTGAAACGACAATGCCACTGATGATCTGTTTTCAAACAGACAAAGGATGATTACAGTTCACTGCCTTAAGGGGCACAGATTTAGTTATCCTTTTCTTTTAGGTCTGGTGTGTTAGTTGTCAAACTTCATTTTTCGCAATTTTGAACGAAATAAAAACCAGCGCGTTCACTACGCTTACAAATTTTTAGCTTGTTTCATCGCTCACAATCTGTATGCCTGTTAAATTGCTGTCAAGACTTTCTTGTGGACAAACATCAGGTATTAAAACTAAACGAGAGTAAAATCTTTATTACGCAATCGTGGGCTAATAAAATCGTGCGTCTAACTCGTAAAAACCAAGTGAAAAAGCCGAACATGACGTGATGAGTACAGAATCATGAACTGACTAAGCAACACAAAAAATTAACAAAAACAAGCACTTATTGACTAACTGCCTAATTAATGGCAGTCTACAGCCTCGGCATTGACTCCACAAGGCTTTGAAAGCGTCGGCTCAGCTTTTGAGCCTAGAGGCCTGAATCAAACGGACACTTTTGACCCACTTTTGTAGACAAGAGAGGTCAAATGGGAACAGTGACAACTTTAACGTCTACTTATAAAGGGAAATAATTCACGCTTCAAAGTTATACGTCGATGGAACGCCCAGTCGCGTCCATGAGAATACGTGCAAGGCAATAATTAGTACTGTGGACTAATTGCCGTTTCAGGGATAAAGAAGCTATTGTGATTTAATGCCAATAAAATCTGGTCTTGAAACTGACAGAGAGCGAGAGAGATCATGTTTTTCGATCAAAGTTTACCCGAGTTTTTGTACTGCCGAAAGTTGTTTTTTTTTTGTTCTTTCCACTTCTATTATTTGCCCCGGGAAGGAAGTCCCAAATATAAATGAAGAGGTTGAACACCGCACCTACACCGGCAGTTATAATCACCGATCTTGTTCCGCTTCTGTTAATTTAAACTAAAATGACTACCTTTGGAGCTCCCCTAATTGCCTCTTGATTGTATGGTGAAAATTGAAGGAGAAACCCAGTTGAAACCTTTCAGGGGTAGCTTTAAACATTTTAAACGATAACTGCTGTTTACGACTATTAAAAAGAAGAAGCAAGTAACTAACAGGATTGACGAGAATTTCTGAATAAAAAAAGAAAGAATATATATAAAAAATACCGGGAAGATAAACGCTGGTTACAAACAAGGTACACGAAATTCTCGAAGATGCACAAGCTCCTTCAACAAGTTCATTTTATTTTGAAGACGCTCAGCCGTACAACTTGGAAGTCTCTCACATATTTTTTTTATAAAGGCAAACGACTAGTTAAACTAAAGATCAACACTTTTTTCTGACGGCTTTCTGTATCTACAGTTTAAGAGTTTTCAAGACAGCTGCTTTTGTGATTATTCAGTGTCTAATGACAAAATGCAATCAACTTCTTTTAAATAACTGTTACAGCATGGCATAGACTATAAACAATAAAATGTTAGACAAAAATTTCTGATGCGAAAGCCACTTTGGCCAAACTGGCAGAACTACAGACAAGTTATTTGAAGTATTGGCTGGAAAACAGCGTTAAAATTTTCCAGGAATATAAGATTAAATAAATGATATTGATCTGGGGAAAAACAAAAGACAAATGACTAATTAGTAGAGATGCGAGCACAAACTAAGTCAAACAGGAGTAAAAGGACTCTCAAATCATGATTGCTTGTTTTCTTAATTTATACTTACCAAGTTTAATCCAGTCCATGATGCATGTACTATTTTTTTAGTCTTCTGGTCTGTGTGGTGGGTTGCCACAAGGCTGAACCATTTTCTTAAACAAAAATTGCATGATAATTTTGGCAAACTGGCAAATAATAAAATAATATTTATCTAACATCTGAACAAAAGAATTTTAAGCTTAAGCAGTAGAGTCAATACAGTGAGATTGTGATGTCATTAACAGAAGTCATGGTACTTAAGATGTTATAATTACAGATCAAACTAAAATTTTTTGTTACAAATGAAAACCTTCTGATTCAAAATTTGGAAGCTGCACTATTGGGCTAGCCTACAGAATAAATGTATTTTAGAGAGAATGACCATTATCTCTCTAAAAGATATTTGCCTGCCATCTTGCATATTTAAGCAGAACACTGTTGGAAAGAGAAATAAATTTCTTCATCCATTACAAACATCCTGCATTGGATTAAGATTTGAATGACATAAAAGTGTACCAAATACTTTAAATCCCCAGATCTCATTAGTAATTCTCCTTACTATCTGCCAAATGATTTTCATTATGTTAGCTAAAGGAATTTGGTATCTGATCAATTAGTTATCACAAAATTGATATATTCTTTATTCTCATCACTTGTCTGCATGATATTGTATAGATATTGTAAGGAGAAATTCTGTCTTGGTCACCTGTGGGAGATAAAGGGTTAACAGAGACACTTACCTCCAGAAGGTTGAATCTAGTTCTAGCTCTTGTTTCATTCTCAACCAGGGCAAAGTAATCCAGTAGATTATAATGGCCAATATATGAGGCTGCACTATCTCTGTGCTGGTTCACAAGCCACTCACTAACAAAATTGAAATGAAAAAACACAACATTAAAACAAAAACACAAACAAGAAGAATACTGCATCTCCATTATTGGGATGAGACGCCAGGAAATAGATTTTAAATCTCAGTTCTGTATCAACCACATATTGACAACAATACTCAAGGTGGTTCCTCAGAAAGAAGTATCGAACAGTTTCTTTTAAACTTTCCTTAAATGTTCCTTATCAATATTTGTTTGGAAGAATACTATAAAAAAGATAGGTCACCATGCCTGTTTAAGAGATATAATGGGCGCATCTTATCCCACTTATGCCTTTACTGGCACTAGTCACAATCATAATTTCATTGGTTTAATGTACATTTTTAGGTAGCTGGAAGCAAGGAGTTTTTAAAGTAACAATTAAAAAACTTAATAGGTAGAACGTCTCAAGCGGATGGAACAATTTGATGTATGATTTGTGGAAAATCATGCAATTTTAAAAAAACATGGACTCAAAAAGTTCCTCGAGTCACTGCTTCATGAACACTTATAGCCGTGTCTTTTTCCCTTAGATCAATTTTTTTTTATTTCTCCACTTAAAAGGGATAGTTTAAATGCACCATAATTATGCAATAAATAATATAGGTCACCATGCTTGTTCAAGAGCTAAAGACCATCGTACTTCTTTACCTGGTCCATTGATTGAAAAACAATACTGTGTTCTCAGAAAGTGTGCATGCTTATTCACCTGATTACAAGATTTTTATGTTCAATGCAGGATGCCCAGTGCAATACTGAGGAATAACCTTAACTGATCAAAACAACCTTAAGCAATTTTTTCTCAACAGTAGGAAATCATTAAATAAATGAAAATACTTACAATTTAGTTGTGTCTGAATGACCAGTGCCAACATATTTTGATTGTACTGAAACAAGGGAGAAAGTTGGTAAAATATTTATAAAACAAAATTAAACAACAAGCTAGTTGTTGCAACCATATCATCTAACACTGAGGTCTTTCCTTGCAAGCTTTACTATCTAAAGGAATACACCAGGCAAACCAACAGCAGAATGATAGACCTTTTCTGTTGAAACCAGAGACTGAAACCACAGGCAGACCACACTACGTGTTCATGGTTAATAATTGTTGACATGAGATGAACAAAATCTATAAGGGTTATGATTAAAGCATTGAAAATTGCATATCTAAATTATGTCTTGGTCTGAAAATCACAATAAAGTTGAATGAAATGTTAATCAATGCACTCACAGTATGTTTTTTCACCTTAATGGACCACTTGAATGGTCTCTTCACAAAATTACCTTTTGGCTGGAGGCTGTGCACAGAAGAAAAGGAGACAAGGCTTGCAACTTGGTGGCCGGCTGCTGCTACTTCCTCCACTAAGACTAGAATTAACCTTAAACTACTACTTCAGTTTGAAGTGCAGGAAGTCGCAGCTGCCGGCCACCAAGTTGCGGAGCCTTACTCGTAACCCTCATAGATTTTGTTCGTCCCATGTCAACAATTATTAGCCATGAACATATAGTGTGGTCTGCCGGAGCTGAAACTTTTTAATGATGGATATGTACGTAACAAAATGAATGTCAAGTTCTAGACTCTGATGTTAATGATCAAATAAAGCCGGTTTTAGTGCAGTACAACTGGTTATGATTAACAATTTTTTTAATAATAAGCATACTTACAATGTTCAAGTTGGCTGTGAATGTTGTATCTGTCTGTCTGCAAGTTAAAATGACAAAAAATCTTACATCAAATCGCCAATTTATTATTTGGCAAGTTACATCACTAGTTGATGGACTACCTTTCCTTGATTATTACAAAACCGATCTCATTTTCGAACGTTTTGAACTCTAAAAAAGAATTTAACTCACCATTTTCGTGCGTCTTTCAGATCACCTACGATGGCGTCGGTAGCACGTCGGTGTAACTACCTCAGCGGTTCTTTTAGTTAACGTATGCCTATTGCGCGCTAAATTCAAAATGGCGGTTAGGGTGGAGGAGCTCTCGAACACCGAGCCGCAAATTGATGGCATTAGCGGCGAGAAATATCGAGAGATAGGGGATCAGGCAGTGTGGTCGTTATCATCATGTAAACCTGGCTTCGGAGTAGAGCAGCTTCGTGATGGAAACCTAGAAACATACTGGCAATCTGATGGGCCACAACCGCATTTGGTGAGCATTCAATTCCGGCGGAAAACAGCGATTCAAAACATTTGCTTGTACGCCGATTACAAAGCAGATGAAAGCTACACACCGAGTAAAATATCCATTCGTGCTGGGAATCACTTTCACGACCTACACCAGATAGAACTGATAGAGCTCGAGGAACCAAGCGGATGGCTGACAGTGTCTTTGTCGGATGGGGACAAGCCTTTGAAAACATACATGTTGCAAATAGCAGTTTTATCCAATCATCAAAACGGAAGGGACACTCACATGAGGCAGATCAAGATTCACGCGCCTTTAACAGATACTGGGGCTTACAAAATGCCCACTTTTACTTCTGTGGAGTGTGCTATGTACAGCACAATCAAGTGATGCAGGTTGTTAAATAATTATCAAATATTGACTGCTACCGGAATTTGGCTTTGGTTAACAAGTTACACCGTTTGCAAGCAGATAGTGGGAGATAAGGGGAAGGGTTACATGTAGATTACTGTCCTTGGTTGTTCAAAGGTTGGATAAATCTCTATCAGCTGGATAATGCTATACATTTTGCTATCACTTATCTGCAGGGTAGCGATTTATCAGTTGGATAGCGTTATTCGCTCTTGATACAACCGGGCCCAGGTGTATTGTGCCAACTGGAGTAGTTCAATTTGGCTTGTTAAAGAGTGGCTGCCGAGTTTGTTGTTGAAGTTATTATAATTCATGTCATGATCCATCAGATATTTTTTGCTGAGCAGGATTGGTCTAAATGCATCACATGATTGAATTTTCTGTGGCTAAAACTGTAATAAGTCTTTTTTTAAAATTCAATTCAAGATGAGAGAGCATATAAGGAATGTTAAAGAAGAAGGGAAATACTTTTTTGTTTAGAAAACATCCCATGCAGCACACAGCAAGCTGTTCATAAAATTTTGTCACACGCATTGCTAAACATTTGAGGGATAATAAACACAGTAGCCTCTATTTTGTGTGAAAATATGCTTTTGTTTTAGTCCTTGGACATTATCTGTTCCTAAAGACAGAGAGTTTTCCTTGAGCTTTGCTCTCAGAAAACTGTTTGAATCTTGGAACAAATAATGTCAGTAGACAAATATTCATGCATATTCTCACACCAAATAGAGACTTTGCTTACTCATTGACATAGAGGAAGGGGAAGGGTTACTTAACATCCTAAGCTCAAGTATGGGGTTTCCCTTGGTTGCTGCTGGGTGAAGGTGATATCCTTATCATGTTATTCAGGGATTTCAAAACAAGCCAGAGACTGCTGGAGTTCTGCCAGCTACTTGATAACATGTTGCTGGTTACTCTGTTCAAAATAATTACCTGTCGGCCCTTTATGAACTTTACACAATCACTGACTTTTGCCAAGTCTGATGCTTACTTTAAAACATTTTCAAACCCCTGGTTATTGGTTTGGATAATGCGAATGAGTCCCTGGATTTGTTAGTTCCTGTGATACACCCAGATTGAAGAGATCTTTGATCAGTAATTTTGATCCAGACTATCTCAAGCATGGCATCTTCTGTGTGTTTTGTAAATATTTAATATACTATACTATGCAATAAAAAGTTTATTTTTGCATTTTATATAACTATTTACAAGATATACAAATTCCCTTTGTTATCCCACAATTAAAATAGGTAGTGTATTAAAGAAATAGATTTAAAATGCTTTAAAACTTGACAATACTATTACTACTTATACAATGATAAAAGCTATCGTGTGCTTGATGAATTAACTTCTACTTGCTATCTTTCTCAGGCTGCTCCTCCTGTGCCATGTTTTTGTTCTTACCAATTAAATGTCATCTTTGATCTATTACCAAACAGTCGTATGACAACATGGAATCTATTTGTTAACCATGATCAAAATTTTGGCAACTATCATGTATTATATAATAAGCTCAGTTATGTACGCATTCTGATTAGTTCTTACTTATGGTCTATTGGAGGACAGACGTATCGACGATGTCATCATTAAAACTTTTTTTAATTCTTTATTATATAAAACAAATAGATTCCAAGTTGTCATGCGTCTGTTCTGTAATAGATCACAGATGACATCAAAATGTGGTAAGAACATCAGTGACAGACTCAGCTGCGCCTCGTGTGCCACTTTTTTGTTCTTACCGCATTTTGATGTCATCTGTGATCTATTACTGAACAGACGTGTGGCAACTTGGAATCTATTTGTTAACTAGATCTTGTCCTTCCTTTTCTGGATTATTGTGCTCTTTCAGGGGATTTCTTTCATCATTTTGTATCCTGCAGGAGCAGTTCTCTAATTCTTTTGGGTAACGTTCTTGGAGATACTCTCTAGATCTTTTATCTGCCTGGAATTATGAAAAATCAAACTTTAGACTATGTACAGCAACTAAAAGGGCATTTATGTCTGTGTTTTTGTTACTTTCATGCTAGTATTGGTCTCATTTTCAGTAACTGGTATGTTATCAGCTCAAAATATTCTTAAAAATTATGATTATGAACTAATTGACTAGGTTGGTCAGGTTGGACAGGAAAAGATTTTGGTTTCAGTTATGATGCAGGGACTTGTCTATATATGTCATGACAGAGAGCCAGATATTTGCCCATGCAGCCCAACCAAACTCAGTCATCAGGTACATTGTTATAATTTTTCAGTAGCCTCTGTTTTGTTTCTTACTTGTCTTATTGGTTCAGGTATTCTGAACCAACAGGTGGCATGTACAAGACTCACTGCTGTCTCCAGTCCTATCTTATGGCCCACTGATATGTAGATAGGATTATGAGATTCTTGGGTACTTCTCAATGCCTGAGTAAAAAACAAAAATAATTGTGATGTTCTTATAACAGGAGGAATAGTAATAAAAGAGATTTAGTGCCATGTTTGAAGAAATTGCCAGTATTTACTTTTTTGTAACCAAATCAGTTAAGACTGATAGGATTCAAGTTCACCTGCCAGATGTTGACATACTGTCGGTTCACTTCAGAAGCTGCCTTGCTTTTTTAGTCTCCCAGAAAAATCAATTTTTCTACAGTATACAAGAGTTCTCCTAATTGTTTGTGCATTAGGTGGAAAAAACACTGTGAAGTCTCACTTCTGGGCAGAGGCAAGAGGAAAGAGGAATTGAAACTAAAATAGTTTATGCAACCTTCTCATTCTTTCCCTTAACATTTAGCTATAGTTTGGCAATTTGACCAATCCTACCTTTCCCCAAATTGTGCCAGAGTCACCTATCAGTGGGAAACTGTCTCCATTAGATTTAAGACAGTTTTTGATCTGTCAAGACAGGAATGTAGAATAATTGTTTTTACTACATACTTCAAAGAGTTAGTTGACCATTCAAATGACATTCCCCTCCCCCCTCCTACCAGAGAGGGTTACTGGTCTGCATTAACTTTCCCACTCCTAGAGATTTCAGTTTCATATTGGCTTCAATTTTTTTTACAAATGATGGCTCTTGGCTTCAAACCCTTTATCTTAGTTTACAGATTCCAACAGCATTTCTTGAGCCAGGGTTGGTATGGACATTATCTGGTACTACTTTTCTCTTGAAAGTTACTTAATTGTGAGGAAATGTTCTTATCTTTAAAATACCTGAGCTGCATGTTTGGAGTCTTTCTTTATCCCATCCACATGGAAAAGGGTCTTGGCCACTCCTACAGTAGGGATATCTGTCAGCACTCCAAGGTGACAAGCAATTCCAAAACCTGCCAGTAATAAGATCGAGTATTAGCTAGAGTGATATATTTTGTCCTACTAGTGAAAAAAAATTATGATTCTTCCCCAGTAACTGGTCTTCCAGTTAGTTAAAAGGGAAAACAATTACATCAACATTATCAGTTGACTATGTTCAGCTCCAAGAAACCCAGTAAATAATTATATTTGGTAAATATCCTAATTGCAATAAACCTCATCATTATGATAATAATAAACTGATAAACATACCTCTGGGGTGCAACATTCCATTCCCGTCAACTAAAATGATCTAAAACAGCAGCAAGAACAACAATAACAATGTATGTCAATAACATGAACTCAGCTGATCTAAACTCATTCTCTTTCTAATCAAATGAATTTTATATAATGTCAAATACCATAATTAATTTTGATTTAATTTTGATCAATGAAATGATCTGTATAGCTTTTAGTTGATGAATTACCATCTCAAAAATCTTGTTCACCTGTGGAAGTAGATGTGGTTTAACTTTTTTTAGCTTGGAAACTGCTTCAACAAGGAACCCAACTTCTCTGAAAGCCAGGAATTCTGGTATGTAAGGTAATTTCAGATGTACAAGGGTTAAATCCTCATACAAAACCTGTATTTAGAGAAGTATTCACAAGATTTAACACGTAATAAAATAAATCCTTAACAGCACTTCAGAATGTCTTCAGTTTTGATTAACCTTGTACAGTACCTAAAAGTATTCATGTTAACTGCACCTTACCTCAGGTTACTAGGGCAGCGTTGAATAAACTTCTATGTTCACAAAGTTTAAGGTTACAAATAAGAGTGACGAGAAATACTTTTTTTGGAGAAGATTAATTTTCCAGGAGGAATGTGTGGGTATAGTACCTCACTAATTATGAAGGCTCCATACCAGTGATTCAAAAGCTATACGTGATTATTGTAAAATATATTTTCTAAGCCTCTGGAAGCCAGCTTGACTCTTTGTGAGCAGTTGAGATATTAATATGTATTCAGGTTCCAGTGAGGGGTTGTGCAGCTAATTTCAGGCCAAACAAATATAAATTACCATTTCACCCTTTAACTCCCAGAAGTGATTAACATGAAGCTTCTCCCCATAATATCAATACATTACCCAACAAACAGGTAATGAGAATACTCAAACTTATCAGGTAGAAATTTGTTATCTTGATCTTACACTGAATTCTCTTGACTGATTTACAAGGAAATGTGAATCAGCTAGAGGGGAGAATTAACAATTAGATCTTAGGAGTTAGAGGGTTAAACTGAAACACACCTTAAGTTCAGGGAAGGAAAGTACAACCAAGCAAGCACAGGCGTGATCTGGATCATCTTTGACAAATGATATGTCAACTCCTCCGATTAGATTTAAGTTACTAAATGGATTATTCGTGGATTCACCCCAAATGATACAGTCCTTGCGCACAAGCTTCTCCTTTAATTCGATTTGTTCCCTAACGATGTAAAATCATGTTTCTGAATTGGCTATAAACATCAAAAAAGTAATCTAAACATTTGTTAGACAAAATTGATTATAGTTTATCGATTAAATCAAAGTTTATTTCGTTAATCCTTTGAGCGATTTTTAAGTAAAAATTAGGAATACATGACATGCCATAAAGCTTTCATAATCTATCATAAGTAGTCACCATATAACGAACCTTTTCCACTTTTCGACGATTGCATCTTCCACCGGCGATTCTCGATCGTGCCCTTCGGCCATTTTGGTCTTTCTTCCTCTCGTAAAGGACTTGCTAACAATTTATTTTCATTGTGCAAAATTATCCTTTCCTTTTTTTTACAAGGAAAAATTCATCCGTGCTTCCAGTAAAAAAACGTCGGAAAAAAGCCGAACGATGACAAGATTTGGGCAAAATTGCATCAGAGTGTAAGTTTCACCATTTGTAAATTTCGCGGGATAGGTACAAGTCAGGGCAGAAACACTTATGAAAGCGAGGCTCTCCCTATTATTTCCATGGAAACAAAGGGTGAAGAGTTGGCTTGTCGCCATATTTGTTTGGGTTGATAAAAATTGTACACATTTTAGCATTTTTGTAGTGTATTTAAGTGCTTACACCATGGCAGAAAATCAGGAAGGTGGTACAGCACAAGAAAGTGGAGGATATGACTATAAACGGCTGCATAGTTACCCTTTGATTCGGGTGAGTTAAAGGGAATTGAATCGCACAGTCAGTATGGTGGTACAACTGTTGTAGTAGTAATGGTGCACGTTTTTCGTTTGAATCACTCGGTTACATGAGGCCTTGATATTTCCCTTTATACACTTTTTTCAGTATTCGGATATGAATGATGAAATGCGGACTGAAGCGATGGAGCTCTGTGTAACAGCTTGTGAAAAGTTTTCAACGAATAACGAGGTAAATAAATTTTGTTTACTTCAAATGTTATTAAATTTTATCATGATCGTGGCCGCTTGGATACCTAATAAGTTCAGGTGGGAGTATTCAACTTGCTTCTTGGTATCCTTAGCTCATTTTAGATGAACTGCATGACCGGAATTTTTATAATCCAATTTTATTTCCATGCTAAACACTAGTTTCCTACTTTAGACCTCCTTGTCCTCCACTGGGGGCTGAGGTGAACTTCTGATTGGGCTGAATAAACACCTTTGTCCTTTACCGTTTGGAGCCAAACAGTTGAAATGGAATGAATTATGTAAATTTAATCAATATTTTGCTGGCAAGACTCTATTATTTTCAAAATAAATTTCACATTCTCACAGCCCTTCTTCCAAGTAGACAATTAACTAGTCACATCCCACCTCCACAGAGTAGCTCAAGGGGTGGCCTACTGGTAACGTTTGCAGTGCTGAACTCTGAGTTGAGATGTCCAGCTTTTGAGACCTAGCTGGTCGATGTGTTGTATTCTTGGGCAGAAAACTTAACCCTTTAACCCTGTGAGTGACCAAGACAGAATTTCTCCTTACTATATCTGTAAAATATCATGCACACAAGTGATGAGAATAAAGAAAAATGTCAATTATTGGATGACAAATTGATCTGATATCAATTTCTCCAAACTAATATAGCGAGAATTGTTCAGCAGACAGTAAGGAGAGTTATAAATATGATCTTGGGAGTTAAAGGGTTAACTCCCACAGTGTCTCTCTTCACTCAGGAGTTTTAATAGGTAGTGGCAAAGTTTCAGGGAAGCCTGATGAAATGCTGGGGATATCTTGCAATGGATTGGCATCTCATCTAGGGAAGAGTAGTAACACTCTTAATCACTTCATGCTAAGGGAACTGATATGAGTTCTGGCTATAATAGCCACTTAGCTTGAGAACAGACACAGAGTAGCTAAATGCAAAAGGAAAGCTGTGTTCAATCCTATTGTATTTCAGGCTGCAGCAAAAATGATCAAAGAAAGTTTAGACAAGAAGTTTGGTTCTTCCTGGCATGCTGTAGTGGGTGAAGGTTATGGTTTTGAGCTCACACATGAAGTCAAAAATCTTCTCTACATGTATTTTGGAGGAACTGTGGCAGTTTGTGTTTGGAAATGCTCCTGAAGAGACAGAAAAAACAATTGCATCTACTGTAGGCAGACTGAATTTAGTTGATGCAAAGTGTAGCATCTGGCATTTTGTTAAAACAATATGCTCTACCTGAGAGGAGTTGTGGTCATACTATATTCTTTTAATGATATTGTTGTCCAATTTGTACATATGCATTAAAATGTCATTATTCTGAAACCAATAATCATCATTTTAACTGACTTCCAAAATAATAAATGGTTGGCCTCTACGTTAATTTTCCTGTATGGTAGAGTGCGTTTCAATATAAATTGAATGCAAATGAAAATCAGCATACACCATAATATTTCTCTATGTTCTGATTGGTAGTTGAGAATACTTTTGTTTTGATTTTTCAACACTCAATTGGAAAAAAATTCCCTGTCCTTTCATCTTTAGTCTCACAACTTAGACGACACCTGAAGAAGATATGAAAAGTGTTATTGAATTTAAAAGTGACTGTGGAGGGGGAGTACATGTGTGGTGTTGCATATTTTGTACCATTAGGGTTCAAACTGGCATTTACTTTAAAGAAAACTACCCTTGAATAAGTGATAACTAAAAATAAATGCCAGATTAAAAAAGCAATACATTTACTGGTATGGGACACTGTGGCTTCAATCAAGTAGAAGCAATGATGAAAAAAGGAAAGTTGATAACCAGAATTCAGAATTAGACATCTGATGATGATTACATTTATGATAAGGACCACAGCACATGTAAATTAACAAAAGATCCAGCTTCTTTATTTGTTCTTCCTTTACACTATAAAATGTGATTTGCAATGTTTTAATAGCACTCTATACTTAAACTTTGTTGTTACATCAAATTCAAGATTTTATAACATTACCTTACATAATTTTTGTGTATAATGATCTTTTTTCTTTAAAAGTTTTCGCTCTACTCAGACTACCTTGCTCTGGCTTCAGTCAAAATAGAATATTAAATAGTATCATTTACATTCAACTCACTATCTCTTTTCTGATTGGCTGAAGTGTACAGTGAATTTTAAAATCAGCACCTGGGATGTCATCTAGCAGCAGATTATCCAATACAAAGGTCATGGGTAATCATGTCATGTATGGCCACAGTGCATGATTTCTAAGGCTAATCATGTCAAGTTTACACGCTTTGTGTTGCATGCTGATTTGTAAATTTTTACATGTTAAGAAATAAATTATCAGTTCCATTTCCTGTTGTGATCATTTTTTTTTTCATTCATTGTAAGATGAAACAATTATTAGATTCAGTTTTATTGATATCCAGAATAATCAAGGTCTCAGTAAGGGTTATCAGCCTCAGCCTTTGGCTGATAACCCCTATTTTGACTTTGCCTATTCTGGATATCGCAAAAACCTCATCCAATAATGTTTTATTATACTGAATATCCAACATTAATTATATACACATATTAGTGTTAACATTGACCTATGAAATGGGCAACAAATTAACACAAAAATCTTAATATTAATTCAATTTAGATAATTTGGTATAATTCTTTGTACTATAAACCAAAAAAAACCACTCACAAAAATAATCTCCTTTAAGAAACAATTTTGGAAAGATTGGTTGAGATGAATGAGGTATGTAATATTATGTTCATGCAATTTCCTTTTATTAACCCATTCAGTAAGAAATACATTTTCCTCACAGTAGACTCTTCTTTTCTCTAAATTCTTGGGTTCTTCACTCACAGAGAAGATATTCCAATTCACGGAAAAGATTAGAACGTGTAAAGTTTTCTACCAGCAGCATGGTCACAGAGAGGTACACATTCTGCACCACATGAAGTTCTGTTCCCACACCAGGGAAAACAAGAAGGTCTTTCAAACAATTGTAGAGAGGACAAACTTATGTCATCACTGTCTCTAAAATCAAAGTTTGCCTTTTCTATCTTTTCCCTTTTCCTATAATACAATTTTCGTACAACAATTACAATAACACCTATCAAAAGGCATATGACAAAGATAGCAATGATAGCTCCTTTTGCTGCCCTGTCTTTGCTCCTCTTTTGGGCTGGTTTTATAGAATGTAGACTTTCTAGAAAAACAAATAAAAGGCATCCATTTTGTCAGTCAAATATCCAAGCAGTGAGCAATTGATGAGGCGTGAGTGGTCCAGTGGTCTGAGCGCTGGACTCTGGGTCGGACAGCCCGGGTTCGAGTCCTGGCCGGGGCACTACGTTGTGGCCTTAAGCAAGCCGCTTCACTAACCTTGCTTCGTCTTCTCGGATAAGACGTTAAGCCGGAGGTCCCGTCTCCTGCAGGGTTTGGGGTAGGAGACGTTAATTTCCCACGCACGAGATTACTGTGTGATGGATGTCCTCCCCTGGGTTGGGTTGGGTGGATTTAAGAGGGGTAGTGCCCCGTATGGGACTCCATGTCCCGCTACACTAACCCAATTGGCGTCCGTCTATTCGTAGACGTACCCAATAAAGTTGTTATAAAATAATATTAACATATGAAATTTCATGGTTCCCTGTTTCTGGAGAAGTATGCTCCTGGGTTTAGATGTTCAATGCCTTGATTAAAAATCACAAATTATGTTAGGTTTCAGTTTCAATTACTGCAAATATATGGAAAATCATATACATGTGAACTGTGCTTGAAGAAACGAATGAAAGGGATCCTCGCAGTTAAGAGTACTACTCAACTAGTAATGAAAATAAAGCCTGAAAAAAATTCGCGGGGATCGCAGGATCGAGGATCGCGTTCATGATTTCAGTTTCAATGACAAATTTTGCCATGTGAACTAAATCTTTCATTGGAGGACACCAAATTGTCTGAGAAACTGCCTGTTCAGAAGACAATTCAACATCAACAGATTGAACTATTTGGAAAGAAAAGGAAACTGATTTTTTTGTTTTCTTAATGATAAAGTGACCTTTATGAATCAGAGAACTGTTTAAATAAATACTACATGTGTCAGCTTCCCCTATAACATGGTTTCTAATATTAAGGCATACACTGCTTTACAAATAAATAGGAAAAAATATCTTACCAGGGATTTGTAGTATAAGAGATGTGTTAGTATTACTGACACCATTCATCACTCCAACACTGACACAGAAGTTTCCAGAATTGCGGAATGTATGATTCACAATCAAGTAGCAGGAATTATTGTGTTCCAGAGAGGGACTGCAGTCGCTTCCCTGGATTTTGCTGCAATGTCTTGAAACACACCAACGAAAAGACACTGGCAGGCTATTTGGGAAAGAAAAGAGGCAATTAAAAGATCAGTTTGCTGCCAACTCTACCTAAAATATCAATATCATTAACCATATCAGTAGGAGATACAGTCTGTTGCAAGAAACATTTATACATGCTGACCAAAGGATGCGCTTTTGTGCAGTTTTCCAAACAACAAACTTTCACATGGAAGTCTGGGCAAGAACTAGAAGCTCAAAAGGTTAATTGACCCTTTAACTCCCAGAAGTGATTCGCATGTAACTTCTCCCTACAATATTCATCCACCCTCCTGCAAACAGGTAATGAGAGTTCTCAAATGTATCAGGTAAAAGTTATTATCTTGATCAAACACCAAATTCTTGCAACTAATTTAAAAGGAAAGATGTAGCAGCTAGAGGGGAGAATTAACAATCAGATCCTGGGAGTTAAAGGGTTACACCTCTGACCCCTAAAGGTGAGTGGCATCTAAATTCTCCTTACAGTAGTGACTTGAATCAAATGTAAAAGTGACATGCATAAAGGAAATGATCACCAATTTGGGAAGTTCTTGATTGCTAAACAAATTCTCCTTGTCAGCACCTTAAGAAATGTATCGAGGACAGAATGGAGAATATACATACTGATTTTCAGGTGTAAAGGGTTAACGGTTCAAACTGATAACCCTTTGCATGCTGGTAAAATGTATGGTGTTGTCGAACAGATAGAGATTTAGTCAGTGGATAGCATTATCCAACCTTCAAACAACCACAGCCAGTAATTTATAAATATATAGATGTATATACCAAATTTTCAAAGGTATATTGAATACTCAAGAAAAAGTAATTACCTTCCATTGCAAGAGATGTGAAAAGCCACTGGTTTACCTTTAGTAACATTTTTATGTTGCACTTTAAGAGATACAGGTGCTGTGAAGAGAATGAAATGGTAATGATGTTGATAATTTATTACAACTAGGTTGCCAACAGAGAAATTATATACTGACATTTGTCTGCACTACGGTAAAAATCATTGCAATGCTTCACGGAGAATAAGACTAATAATTTATTCCAGATACAATGTCAACCAACTAGAGAGACATAACAGTCTTACATTCCAAGCCCTTTTCAAAGGGGACTGTAATTAATTCCAACTTTTTAGCTGAAAACTTTTACTGAGGACAGAGCAAAAAAAATGGCAAAATTAGACAGCAGGCCCCAGTTGTTCCAAAGCTAGATAATGCTATCCAGTGGAAAGAGCAGTACACTTTGCTCTCACTTATCTGCTGAAAAGAAATTTATCTGCAGTTGGATAGTGTTATCTGCCTTTTATACAACTGGGCACAGGATGATAAAAAATATTCACATGTAAAAAAAGGTTTCTAGTGCACAAAAGATGGGACAAATTGGTTAGAAGATTGCATTTTGTCAAAACTGTGACATGTTTTTGTTTTACAGGAAACCTCTCTGTTAGAGAAATAAATTCACATCCTCACCTTTGACAAAAACATTCTTGGAGATAAGGGGAAGCTTGGGTGCTTTATGGTACCTGGTTTTGACCCTGACCGTCACCCACACATGATATTCTTTTTTTTCCTGGTACTTGTGAAATATTACATAGCTACTACTATTTCGCTCTCTAGAACCATCTCCAAAATCCCAGTCAATGGATACACTTGTGACTTCTTTGAATGGATCCTTGAATTTCACCTCAAACCTAGCAGGAATGTTTATTGCAATTTTTTCCTCGTCTGACGGCAACTTTGGACCAGGTAAAGAATCGATCACCAGGTATGCTTTAACATTTGCTTGAAAAGATAAGGTAGATTATGCCAAAATAATCATGAATGACATTATAAAAATACCATGTTTATTCACGACCCTTAAAGTACAGCAGGACTGTTAAAGGTACTTTGCTAAAGAATTGGTGATGTAATCAGAATTTTCAATCTCTCTTCATAAAATGTCCAGTTACATTCCCTGACAAACTCATTCTTTGGAGAAAGAAGGAATAAGGAACAAAGGACATTTGATTATGTTTACATGGATTTGCACAGAACAGGTTATTTTAAATTAATTGTGAAGGTTTTAAAGGCCACCATCTACCTGTAAATTGAAGATCTTTAAAAGCAACTCCTTTGCAGCGTTTTCCCCCGTAAAATCCATAGATAACAACTTTCACTGTACAACTTCTCACAGTGGTAAAATTGTGACTCAATTGACTTTTACATGAATTTAACAGTCGAGTTCCATCATCAAAGTGCCAGTCATATGATAAATTGACATATCTATTGGGACTATCGATTATGACAGCAAGGTTAACTGTTCCTGCGATGAATTGATCTATGTCTTGGGAAGAATTCTGATAAGCCTCCAAAGATGCAGATATCTTTTCTGCAAAAAGATATAGCAATAAAAGAGATTAATCAATACGGCACACATTCATTTGGTAACATTCAAAACTATTAGAGAGTGAACATTTGTAGCAAAACAAAAGGTTCACCAAATAAAAGGGCACTTATTTTGTACTTATTTCATCCAGCTTTTTTTCCAATTTGCTGAATTAAGAAACACCAGCCACTTTGTAAACATGGCATGATAGTAAATGCAAATAGTTGAAAGTGTCACTTGAGCAAAGGCAAAGAAAAAAATTGGGAGTGATCATCTTCCAAACACTCATGCCTAAAACTTTTTGCTCTTCCAGTTCTATAGCACTGCGTTTACTTACTGAAGAAATGGAATCGACTTTATAGCTCTGAAGACCTTTTAACTTGAAAAATCACCCAAAATACCATGTATTGAAATAAATGTTAAATAACGCCAAAAATAATCAAAGAAAGGACTAAGTCATTATAGGTCATTAATTCACAGATTACAGCGAATCCATTCTGAAAAAAAGCACTTTGACCTAGAAGGTTTGATTGGCCATAATTTTCTACTTAAATGGCAATTAATAAAACGTAACCATTATCAGAGAATTCCAACTCTGTGATCGCGAGGAGGATCGGCGATCAGAACATAATTATTATCCTTGCATATTTCATACTCTGTCAGAAAAGCAGATGGTGACGGTGTGAATTAAGTATCAATTTTCAAGTATCAATTTTCAGTCCAACCGGACAAACATTTGTTAGATATTTTGCTTTGAAATTTTGACGGCTAATAAAACAATGTTCGTCAATCGATATTTTTCAATGTTTATCAACACTTTTCTGCCTGGAATTATATTAATGTTGTAAAGAGAAATCCTTGTTTAAATTTATTTCTTGTGCCATACAGCAAAGCGACACTTTCCAGAAAGTGAAAGTGCTTCAGTCTGACAAAACATATACCTTCAGTTCCATAAACTGTAATCTGTGTATGGTTCCTAGCATAATACTCGGTGTGCCCACTTTCTGACTGCTTTCGTTTGCTGGAATTACGGCTATTATACTCAGTTCCAACAATAATCCTCACAAAAACAAAAACCGTTTTCTGTCCTTCGCTAAACCATCGCCATCGAAAGCTATTCCATCTGTGTGTTGTTTGGTTCTGTCTGATCAATTCCAGATCGGTAACTCTCCACGAGAATTCGTATATTATATTTTCAGTTTGTCCCAAGTCTCTACTATTTGCTTTGGGTTTCAGCACAACTTCGGCTTCGAAAGCTGTTTCCTCTCCAATTTCGCTTCTGTGGCTATGTGATATCAGCACTTTGTACTCCCCAAAATAACTACGACAAGGTAGAGCAAGAAAATTTGCGATGACGAGAATATGCAAGGATGCATGCCGACGCATGATTTAGTCTGTTTTGAAGTTTATCGTTGCTCTACTATCTTAACGAAAACGGAATACCATGTATAGAGACTCCTGTTACTTTCCTTTGACGTAACGCGCATCTTATGTTTCGTAAAATATAACGAAATTGCAAAACATGCCAGGTCGAAAGTTCTACTAATAAAGCATGATACTTAGCAACCACGCGAGATCATTTAGACGGTCAGCATTAGATTCCATCCACCAAAACCACCTCGGTCGAGAGGGACTGAGATGGAATATTTAATGACTTGCAAAACATAACCGAAAATTCTCGGAAATCCGCAAGTGATGTAGCCGAACATCCGAAGCTGTAAATCCCATGATTCTTGAGGAACAAACAGAAACAGCATAGCGAGAATTTTAAGTCGCGAAACATTGATGGTAGACATGCAGATAATTTAGGATACGTAAATTCTGTTGATGAGGCGCATAAACTTATTGCGGAATTTGAAACAGGATTGACGACGAAGTTTTCTTTCTTTAAAGCTGTCAAAGGTTTCGGGAACACATATATATATTGATATAGCTCTTTAGCATTACAAAGCTTTGCTATCGCTATTGTGCATTCTCACTAGTTTATCTAGTTCAAGCCCTCTAGCATGGCTTGGATGATACCACAATTGTGGAATCATTCGGGTTAATTTAATGCTTACACCTCCTTCCTTGGACAGAAGTCACAAAATACTGGGGGAAGATGCATGAGATATTTAAGGAGCAAAAATTCGTTTTTTACTGGTGTGCCTTTCCTAATTTTGGGAAGGAAAGTGTTCAATTGCCAGCACGGCATAGATATAACAGCTGGAGAGAAAAGGAAACGAAAAGATGCAGGAGAAGTACTGTATATAATAATTTCTTTTTATCCTCAACCTTTGTGTTTCTGTCAACTATGGCTTGCTAATTCGAAAGGTCAAATACTTGAATTGGTCATATGACATTGATCTCAGAATACTTTTATGACAAACGTGATAACAGTTCAATCTTGGCTAAATTGAAGATGGTTTAGAAGTTAACAATTATAAGAACTTTTCACTAACATATGCTGCTGACAAAGGAGAAAATATATGCAATTCTGCATTTTTTGCTTTCTATCAAGCAATCATATGTTTGCTCCTTATCACGCTATGACACTTCCGTTTTGTCACATTCCAAAAAATAACTTGAGAAATACACTGTCACTCATCTTACACTGTTATATTTACCTATTACAGAAGGCTGGAAACAAAGATTTTGTTTTCAAGAAAATAAGATTTCTTGTCCAAGACACAAGGAAGTTTGACTGCAAAGCACAGATAAAAGTGCGAGAAATTTTATTTTTTTCAGAGAACAAGGTAGTTCTACTCATGTATAAACAGAACAAATGCGATTTAATAAATCAGATATGCGGCATGACTCCTTTTCTTCCATCCCCACTCAAAACAAGCAAACACACCTATAGAGGTTCCAGTCTGGTCTGCAAATGAAAAGGAGGAAGGTGATCACTGCAAAATTAAGCATTAGGGTTCTTATTTATAACATATTGATTATTGTATACTGATATCTAGAAATTAAGGTTGCAAGTAGCAGCCAGCTGAGTTATAGTTTGAGTTTTATCAAGTCCATTACTTTGTTAAATTTAGAGTAACCTTGTCTTGAGAGAGGAAAATTGAGGAGCTGTAATATACTTATCATCAATTAGGGACCACAAAGAAAAATTTATTTATAGAGACTTTTAAAGGAGAGGAGTAAGACTTGTGACAAGCTGGCAGACATATAGATAAACTTTACTGCTAAATGGGTTACAATACAAAGTGCTAAGTATTTGGATCAGCTATGGCTCAACTTAAACTTTGCTTTAACTTCAAGTTTAATCCTTTGTGGTTTCCTTTCTCTGTGTTTATTTTTCACGTTATGTACACAGAAGAACACAAAAATGACAAGGAATGCTTTTGAATATTAAGAGGCTGGAATAAGCAAGAAACCAAAACTGAATTTTAAACAGTACAAAGTTAATTTGATCTTCCAATGTTATTTAATTTTAACCATTAATAGAATTTGCTATTTAAATTTATCCCCTCCATTTTTCTGGATATTTTGAGCAAAAACAAACAATTATCACAAAATGCATGGTATACAATGGTTTGATTCACCAATGTGGCAAAGGCCTTTCACTGTCTATCCATAAAAAGGGAAATAGTTTGTAAAATGTAAGACATTCTGCATCTTGAGCATATACTTATTCATCCATGTGAAATTAAAGGTTACTTGAAATAAATGTGAAAGATTTGTAGGATTTTCAGACCCCTGATAACAATTACTAATGTGCTGATTTGTTGTACTTAAAGGTTATGATTTTAGCGGAAATAGTGGAAGAAATTTCTGGACCTGGAATTTTGTTGCAAATGTCTGTTTAAATCAGTTTAAGTCGGTTAAAACTCTCCTGTTTCAAGATTACATGATTACCACACCAGAACCTTTTGTATTCTATATCGTGCACCATGTTATGATTATGGTTTCAATAATAAAAGGTGCTGACTCAAGAACTTTGCAAAATATCTCTACATACACAGAAATAGATTGTGGTTATGTACTCCAAATAGCAGGTCACATCAGTCTTCTGTAAGGAAGTAGCAGAAATTGCTATGGTGGTTTTGGTGGATGGAGAGGAACATCCACCAAAACCACTTTATTCTATGTGTTAAGAGTTATGATAATCATTATGAACGTTTGGTCGGTCAGCAATTGTGCACCATAAAAAATAATTAGCCAGAGCACTAACTGCTAATTAGTGGTATAAATGTTTTGTCTCCCTGAACATCTAACAGTGGCTATAGATAAAATTAAATTTATTAAAATATATTGTTAATGGTTTTGGTCAAAGTTTTGGTGGATGTTCTCTAATGACATCCACCGAAACTACGTAACATCTGGGCACCTTTTAAATACGTGAAATATCTGCATAAAATTGCGTAAAATGTTTCATAATACTACAATCGAACAATAAATTAATACTTACCATTTCTTGAGTAAAAAGTTTTGACGCAATTTCCCAAACAAATGATACACTTAGGTCATCGGGATAAGTCGGCATGTTGTCGTAGCTTCGTAATTTTCATTTAGTATAACAAGTCATGAGTTGTCCATCATTCCATCTCAGTCCCTCTCGACCAATGGAATGGTTTTGTTGCGCATGCGCCAAGGATTCGGGATTTTGATCTAACTGAGCGATCGACCCTTTCTGTGATATTTTTGGAGAGGGATGGAAGAGTTACAAGTTTACCCATTCTGGATACTTGTGGAGTTTGCTGGCTCTTCGGATGAGGATATTTTAATGATCAAAGCGCGAACAAAACGCGAAAAAAAAAGTCGAAAACTTGAAGTTTGAGATTTGATTTGCTGACGATCAAGATGTGCACATGAGACTACAAACCTTGAAGGTTAGTCTTAAGATGTTGATGTCTTACTTCTATAAATCACGAAGTGATGTGTGGAGGCGATCGTGAGATATTCGTTACGATAATAGAAGGTAGTTTACAATTTGATCTTATTTTACTTCAACTTTGAAATAAAATTACGTTAAGTTCGAGGTGGCCCCCAAGCTTCAAATCACTTCAAATAACATCTTATCTTCTTTCTCTTTGTTGTCCCATTGGACACAAGGCTTAAAAAAATCTTCCAGCTTCAGGATTGAGTTGCTCTTTCTATAACCTTCGGCGAATTCGTTTTTGGGAGGTTGAGGTGGATTTTTCAAAGTCATGGCTCACAACTGTCTTTGGCCATTTTGCTCTCCAAGTCTGTTGTACTTGGTACGTAGGCATGCGTCTTAACAACGTTTATAGTCTTGCCTCGATCATCTGCGGTTTTATCTAATTTTTTTTTTGCTGTGTTTTGGTGAGAATTTTTCTGATTGCCCTTTTGGGCTTGAAGGGCTAACTAGAGGATAAACTTCGGTAGAACTTGTTTTATCACATGGCCCCCCAAATCTCTCACCACTGTCAGTTCATTGTTTATTTATTTAGCCTTCGGTCTAACCAGTTCATTTACCTCAAAAAAAAATCCGTGGGCTTTGTCTCATGAGCTTAAACTGGTGCCGTTTTCTTCATGTTCATGTGTTATTCGAAACGGATGGCGTCAGCTTCATTCTGTCTTGTTTATTTCAGTAGAATACTTCTGCCATACGAAATGAATTTTGAGTCGAAGTGTACTATAAAACTCGCAGATTAAAATTATCTAACTTTCTCTGGTTCTTAAAACATGAGGTGAGCGATACAATAAATGAATAATTACTCAAGGGGCTGGAACTCTCTTTCTTTAGAATGTGAACTACAGTATTTGTCATATTTGAAAACGAATTTCGGGTTAAAATGTCTTCAAACCAGTTTGACTTGTATTTCTCTATGCCAGATAAGTCTTGATCCTTCGATTTTTATTTCTTAATTGAGACTGATGATTGGAATTAACTATTGTGTTCTCTGCTGTTTAGGTAGATGTGAAGTGACCCCACTACATATGGTCAGTACTATTGACAGAAAGGATAGGTGTGACATTTGCTGTGGCAAGCTGGCATTCAAGAGAATGTCATTAGTACCAGAAGCTTACTACTGGTATAAATTATCAATCTTTTGTTCTCTCCACACAACTTGCCTCAACTAGCTTATGCTATATGCAACTTGTGTCTATACCTTTTTTTGCAACTATAAAATTACCAATAAAGTTTTTTGAAAGTTTTGTCCAAATTTCATGGGAAAACAATATGAGGAGTGATCAGGTGAAATATTGTCCTGTTCCATAACAGTGTTTGAGCTTCCAGGCAGAGCTAAAAATTTCTTAAGCAACTGATTTATGATTTTCTGCCTTAAAATTAGCACAGCCAAACCCCTGGCTTGAAAACTATTAATTTCTGCAAATAGGCATCCAAGCTGATGCCCATTACTGCAGAATATGCAATATCAAAGTCCCCTTTTGACTTAGGTCTCATTTCTCTAAAATCTGATAGATGTAAAGCATCAATTTTCATAAAGAGATCAACAAACCTCTTCACATTAGTTTAATCTGACCTCACTAAGTCTTATTCCTGAAAAGAAAAGGCTTTTTTTTATTTTACCCTCACTGTTAAATATCAGCCTTACTGGTTCTTTGTTGTTTAGCATGTGTAAGAGTCTTTTCAGACCATCAAATTGTCACACAACTCTTGTAATTTAATAGGTTGGAGAATAAGGTTGCAAAGAGTGTATATGATTTTTTTGTGCAGTTGAAATGATAAATGATAGTGATTTTCACTGGGTAATAATTGATTTATTTAACTATTCATCTTACAACTGGAAGCCCAAAGTAGTACTTGTTTTCTTTCACAATTTCCCCACATCATCGATCATATCTGATGATATTTCCGAGACTAATGATTGAAAAGACTTTATCTTACTCTGATAAAATCCATAATTATTCCTCCATTTCTAACCAGATGGAGCTACCATATCTCTAGCATTAGCATTGTCTTACTTTTCTTTACTCGACATTGACCTTTTTTATTTTGGTAATCGGCCCTGCCGGTTGTGATTCATGTCAAAAAAAAACTTTTGAAACAAAACATAAACCTCTGTAAACTTTACATTTTTGCCAAAATTGGAGGTACACTGCACTAGCAGTACAGTTGAAGCTCTAAAAAACGCTTACAGAAAGGCGAGTACTTCAAATGATCACCGATAACTTGAGATAGCAATGACACGATAAAAGTATACTATCCAATTCTTCTGTACTCTTCGACAGGCCACTTGCATCCTTCAAAAATAATCGGATTCTCGAGAGTGAAACCGGCAGGCGCATACCAGCGGTTTCTCGTATCAAACTAAAATTTACCGGACTTGCCCTCTGCTATGAAAACCTGGGCTGGGCGACTTTGAAAATGGTCGATATTGTATTAACGTGATTAATTTATTGTACATAATAGGAAATTGAATTTTGAAAATTTACTGTAATTTCTTTTTATTGCTGGAAGAAGAATGACCAAAGTATCTTTTTTTCTTCACGTTGCCAGGTCAAATTTTGTGAGGTAGCGTGACCCATGGACTTGTGATGATTGGTTCTCAGTCTCTTCTCGAATATTTCACAACCAAGATGTCTGCTTGTTCGCTAGTAAAATTATCGGCCTCTACCATTGTGCAGGATGGATGTATTGTGGAAAGATATGACTTGAGCACTTTGCCAAGAGCTGTTCTACAAGAGCTTCTTTTGACTTCCATTTCTCAATCCAGGATTCTCTGTTTAAGAACTTTGATCGTGAACTGGCCTTTAAGACAACTCATATTGCAAAATGTTCAAGGTTTTGATGAACCGAAAGCAGTTCTGCTGGCGTACTGTTTGCAGAAATTTAAATGCGATTTACAACTTGTCGACATTAGGGGATGTAACATTGGTGAGTTATAGATATTCGATATTTGTTTCACGTCATAAAATTATGCAAATTTTCATAGCCTTTATACTGTTATGCACCTATCAATATTAAGCCTGAAATGTTACCTTAAAACTGTGGGGTCCTCCCCCCTTTAAGTTTGACGGGTTCATTACATTTTCCCCCTTGGGAAGGATACCCAATGTAAAATAACTTGGTGAGACGTGCTGCCTTACTCTTCAAATCCTTATTCTGATCAGCTCTTTATACAAACACATTCAGAAAGTTTTAGAACTCATATGAGCGTCGTTGGGAATCTCTAGCAATGTTTGGAGGTCGTCTGAACACCTTATTGATGTTTGGAAATTGTCAGTTTCTCTAAATGGGGTAAGATCAGTTTTCTGTAATTGGGGTTGGATATCTCACAAACTGAGTAATATATGTCACCCAAAGCCCAACTTTGTTGCCCCAGAGGTATCTGGTCTCCTCTCATCAATACAACCCTGGCTTAAACTTCATCTTTTTTGGATTTTTAGGTCTTCATGGAACCACAGCATTTTGCAAGCTTGCAGGAGATATTCAAGTTTCAGACAATGATGTGTTGGGAATGAAAATTTTGGACACACGTCCAACAGCAGAATATATAAAAGAAAACTTTCCAACTAAAGCTTTATGCCAGAGAATTCCTCCAACAGTGGTTATGCTAGATTGTGTTGTTGACAAAGACAACTGTGGCCTTGTAATCCAGGCTTGCATCAAGCACTCAGTTATTGATTTAAAGATATCACATTTGAAAGTAGATTCCATTAGAGGGAATAAGCTTCGCACCTTGTTGTCTTCTTTGGAGGTGGGAAGAAAGATAAGTTATTTACATTTCAGTTATAGTCAATGACAGTCTATCAAATATAATCATGATCAGTTATAATTGGTGGTAGAGTTTTGCTATGTGGTGCTCTGCTTCATACAGGGAAAATGTGGGATAAAAATGGGAAAGGACACTTTTTTTCAACCCTTTACACCCTAGCATCAGTATGCATGTTCTCCATACTGTTCTTTATACATTTCCTAAGCTTCTAAGAAGGAGAATTTGTTGAACAATCAGGAGCTTCTTTAAATGGTGATAATCTCCTCCATTCTTGTGACCTTAATGTGTGATTCAGATTGTAAGGAGAAATTACATACCAGTCACTCTTAGGGGTCATAGGGTCAATCATTGACCTGCTCTATTTCACATTATATAACAAGCTCAGTTATGCACGCATTCTGATTGGTTCTCACTTATGATCTATTGGAGGACAGATGTATAGATGATGTCATCATGAAACCACTTACCACATTTTGACATCATCTGTGATCTATTACTGAACAGACGCATGCCAACTTGGAATCTATTTGTTAAATATAGCACAAAGTGCAGAAAAGAAAGGAAAGCAGGAGAGAGGTCTGGAGGATTCCTCCCCTTCTGTACCACTACCACATGTGTGTTTTCTTACCAAGTAAGGAGGAGGCCTTTGTAAGAGAAATAATGTTTTTATAAAATACTTTCATGTTGATATTCACCATTTTCTGTTTTACTTTAGTCTTCAATCATCAAAGGCTTAAACCTGGAAATGAATGGGCTACAGGAAGACGGAATCAAAGTTATATCCCCTATTATCTCAACCTTTACGAACTTAACAGATCTTAATCTTTCCTACACTGGTATAACAAGTCAGAACACTTCTGCTATTCAGGAAATAGCCAATATTTGCCATAGAGTAACAACGCTAAGAAAGCTTGATCTTTCTGGTAACTATATCCGGTCTGGAGTAAATACTATTCTCAATCATCTACAATCACCCTTGACTCATCTGGATCTTAGAGGATGCGGGGTACGAGAATCTGACCTCCGTGAAATGTGCAAACTGGACACTTTAGAGCATTTGCAGTCTTTGAAATTAGATGGCGGTGCATTTGTGAACTGTATCAAACTGTTGTGCCGTTTTGTTCTTAAGTCAGCAGCAACGTTGGAGTATTTGTCACTTGAGGATCACATGTTTAATTCATCTTCTGTTTCTCCCCTTTGTCAGATGATCACAACACTGCCTTTGCTAAAGAGATTGTCACTAAGCTACAATCATTTTTCACCTGATGATTTTAGAACATTCAAAGAAAACTTTCCAGCTCTAGAATTGGTTTATAAGGAGTGGCTCTATTAACTTCGGAAATTTGAATGAAGTTTTGCTGTATGTTAGATTCAAGGTAAGCAGACATGCATAGTAAAGAGTGAAAAACACGTTGCTGTCTGCCGGGACTTCGGTTATTTGATAAATGCCTCTAAAACTCAGCCTCTACATTACTGGAAACAAAAGACGGGATGTAAATAGGTTTTTGGATGGTTTTTGGTGGGGCTGTCCTGGTGTACCGGTACACGGGGGAATTCCTATTGTTTTCATATCCATACATGGAGTTGTGACGCAGTTCGTTAATGTTTCGTTCCTTTGTGTACCGGTACACGAGGACACAACCTTTTTGGTCATAAATGAAATTAAAAAAATATTTCTCTCCCTTCAAGGTACAAGACAAAAACGTCCCAGATACATTCTTCTTCCTAATCAGTTCATATAGCCTGCGACCAGGCCCTTATTATTAATAAATTATCCCTGCAGGATACGCATTTCTTAGCTCGTGGGAAGATTTGAAACAAGTCGGAGAGAGGTTGCCAGGGGTCCAGGCATTAATGATGAGGCGCCAGACCACTTGCAGACCTCTCCCGGCCAGCGTTGTTCGGGCGAAGGAAAGCCTGAATCGAAGCGCTAATAATGAAATTAGGGCCTGCTCGCGGACTACAATTCAGATTTTCTGCGTTTGGTAAGCAAAGAAAATACTTTCACCCAAAAAATTGCTCAAGAATTTATTTTAGTGTACTGATACATTGATGAAAATTTATCTCCCTTAAGACAATGCTTAAAACTTGCTCAGGTGATAAGTGAAATTGAAAATAAGTTGTGTCACCTCACTAGTACGATTTGATAAAACAGTTTTTCTCACATAGCCCTATAGGGTCTGAATATAAACATTCATCATGGGAAGTTACGGTAAAACCAAAGAAGATATAAGAATTAGCGAGAGGTGCGATTTTTGCTCAACGACGCACGCCGCAATATATTCAAAACGGTGTGTCGAATGTCTCTCATCTTCCAGCAGTAAATTACAGGGTTCAGAGATGAATTCAGAAATACCAAAGTCATCGAATAATGGTAGAATTTGATCAAGGTGGGATTCAAACCATATAATGTCACTGCAGACTGGCAGATACCGATAGGCAGATAACAAAGAAGAAACACAAGGCACACGTAGAATACACTGACTGCAGTTTTAAGGATATTCGAAATACGAAACATCTCCTCAGTCTGTTCTGTTTGTTGCATGCCGTGAATCTGATTCTTGTGGCGTCTCACCGTTAAATAAAGTCGCCAGTAGATAGTTGAAGTTAAAATAACACCGCCAGCATTTAGAAGGATGGAGATAAAAAAATTCACATAGTTTGAAAGCCACAACGTGGCGAAAGAACGAACCAGGGAAAAAACCCAAATTGATATGACCACCAGAATGATGCGCCTGTGAGTTACAAGTTCTTGGTATCTGAGATGAAAATGAACCGCTAAGAACCTGTCCACGCTTACAGCCAGAACATTTAACAACGAAAGCGCACAGAAAACATTTGCACTTAAGAAATAAATTTTATGTTCAACACAGGTTAAATTTATTTGTCGTAACAATCTGACCAGAAGCGACGTGTAAAATGGCTGAACCAGTAAACCAACACCAGCGTCAGAAACGGCAAGACTCGTAAGCAATATTTTCAAAGTCTTTGGTAAAGACGAAGTTTTTCGTATTACGTAGATAGTTACTATGTTCAACACGATAGCAGTAAAGGAAAGAAAATGGTTGAAGACACAGTTGGCGAGGTAAGACGTGTAAAGTTCTTCAGCATCAGATATGGAGGGGAAAAACTGCCTATAAAATTCGCAATATTTTTCCTTCATACTATTGATTGACTGTCAACGTTTCTTTAGCCATTGCATTGAGCGGTACGAAAAAATGTTTCAAGGTTTCTCAATTCGGCCCAGGTGATCCCTCTCTCGTCTGCTCCAAAGAATTATATGGCAAATCTTCTTCAAAACGTTATTCTCAGCTCGAGACGGAAAGGGTGAATTATTGAACTGTTCAAGGTTTTCCGTTTATGAAGGAAAATCACTGCGCCTCTCAGTAACATGCGACATGCTGTGGGGCTTGACACCGAAATTGCGATTTTCTTTCATGCTGCGATCAATCATCTTCCAAACGGACATTTAAAAGCAGAATTAACAACATGTACCGATATTCTCCAATCACAACTCAGAAACATGATTACCTTAAGATTACAAAACATGATTGACGGTTACGTACAACGCATTTTCAATTATCTCTCTCGAACTTTATTGTTTGCATGTTAATTGAAAAGAACAACGAAACCAGTAATTGGTACGTGTGGGTTGAAGTTTCTCATAACCAATCGGAACATAAAGAAGTTAGGATACTTCATAGTTCGAAAAGTAAAAGGACGTCTTACACTTGGCTATTTCTTAAGTCGAGATTTCTAGCTACATGTCTGTAGTCGCCAGGTAATTTAACGTTTCAGGTTAGAATCAGTAGAAGTTAATTAAAAAACAAAAAGCAACTAAAAAGATACTTTTTTACAATTCGTTAGATATGCTAATCAGTAACACATCTGCGCTATGTTTAATCAGCTGCTGCTTTTAAAATTGCTATTGATTTCCTTTAAGGACAGAAACGCCATCTTCGAGTGTTAAATCTTCAAGAAAAATACATGCCAGGCCTTCTGTAAGGAAAATGGAGTGAAATAGTAAACGGCGCCATAGTAGCTGCAAAGTGAAGACGAGGAAGACTGGGGTTGCGTAGTTCATTACGCGACCCTACTCAAACTTCCATCGGGTTTTTTTTTTGTTGTTGTTTTTTTTCGGTTTTTTTTTTTCACCCCTGTGCTACTATTGCACTATGGTAGAGAGATGTTGGGCGATAAAACGAGCGGATCTGCGCAAAAAGGCAGTCCACCGGAACCGACTTCGAACAAAGTTCAAAATAGCGGCAAGTTCCGAAAGGATTTAGCGGACGACCAGTCAATCTTAGAGGAGACTTTAATTTTGCCAGTGTTTTTTTCTTTTTAAGTAAAAAGAAACATTTCCTTTCTACCAATGTCACTGCGTCGTCGTCTAAGTTTGTTATAGATAAGTTGACAGACACAGAGGTGAATGTTGTGGAGAAAGAGCAGGCAGTTAGGGCAGTTCTTAGTGATGTTGAGGTGAGTACGTTTGCTGGTTTGTTGACGACGGTTTTCCATTTGCCTTTTTTGGTACAGGTAAAGCTTTTGCCCGGTCATTTAAATCTTTATTTGTTCCGTGAGATTTTTAAAAAAATCCTAAAGCGCGTTTCGATAATTAGAGAATGCGACCTCACTTACCTTTTGGTACACTCAGAGCTTTTGTCTGGTAATTTAACTACATACCAAAAAGTTGTTCACTTGAAGATTAGCTCTGAGTGTACATACATCCAGTCATCCAATTATTTTTTCAAACACCTTGGTGCAGACGTGCGTTTATGGTTGTTGATACGGTAGCTACATGTCTGTGGTCGCCAGGTAATTTAACGTTTCAGGTTAGAATCAGTAGAAGTTAATTAAAAAACAAAAAGCAGCTAAAAAGATACATTTTTACAATTCGCTAGATATGTTAATCGGTAACAAATCTGCGCTTTGCTTAATCAGCTGCTGCTTTTAACATTGCTATTGATTTCTTTTAAGAACAGAAACGCCATCTTCGAGTGTTAAATCTTCAAGAAAAATACATGCCAGGCCTTCTGTAAGGAAAACGGAGTGAAATAGTAAACGGCGCCATAGTAGCTGCAAAGTGAAGACGAGGAAGACTGGGGTTGCGTAGTTCATTACGCGACCCTACTCAAACTTCCCTCGGTTTTTTTTTTTTCACCCCTGTGCTACTATTGCACTATGGTAGAGAGATGTTGGGCGATAAAACGAGCGAATCTGCGCAAAAAGGCAGTCCACCGGAACCGACTTCGAACAAAGTTTGGCTTTTTCAAAATAGCGGCAAGTTCCAAAAGGATTTAGCGGACGACCAGTCAATCTTAGAGGAGACTTTAATTTTGCCAGTGTTTTTTTTTTTTAAAGTAAAAAGAAACATTTCCTTTCTACCAATGTCACTGCGTCGTCGTTGAAGTTTGTTATAGATAAGTTGACAGACACAGAGGTGAATGTTGTGGAGAAAGAGCAGGCAGTTAGGGCAGTTCTTAGTGATGTTGAGGTGAGTACGTTTACTGGTTTGTTGACAACGGTTTTCCATTTGCCTTTTTTGGTACAGGTAAAGCTTTTGCCCGGTCATTTAAATCTTTTTTTGTTCCATGAGATTTTAGAGAAATCCTAAAGTGCGTTTCGATAATTAGAGAATGCGACCTCACTTGCCTTTTGGTACACTCAGAGCTTTTGTCTGGTAATTTAACTACATACCAAAAAGTTGTTCACTTGAAGATTAGCTCTGAGTGTACATACATCCAGTCATCCAATTTTTTTTCAAACACCTTGGTGCGGACGTGCGTTTATGGTTGTTGATATGGTAGCTACATGTCTATGGTCGCCAGGTAATTTAACGTTTCAGGTTAGAATCAGTAGAAGTTATTAAAAAAAAAAGCAGCTAAAAAGATACATTTTTACAATTCGTTAGATATGTTAATCGGTAACACATCTGCGCTTTGCTTAATCAGCTGCTGCTTTTAACATTGCTATTGATTTCCTTTAAGGACAGAAACGCCATCTTCGAGTGTTAAATCTTCAAGAAAAATACATGCCAGGCGTTCAGTAAGTGAAACGGAGTGAAATAGTAAAGGGCGCCATAGTAGCTGCAAAGTAAAAACGAGGAAGACTGGGTCGTGTAGTTCATTAAGCGACCCTACTCAAACTTCTCTCGGGTTTTTTTTTTTTTTCACTCCTGTGCTACTATTGCACCATGGTAGAGAGATGTTGGGCAATAAAACGAGCGGATCTGCGCTAAAAGACAGTCCACTGGAACCGACTTCGAACAAAGTTTGGCTTTTTCAAAATAGCGGCAAGTTCCAAAGGGATTTAGCGGACGACCAGTCAGTCTTAGAGGAGACTTTAATTTTGCCAGTGTTTTTTTTTAAGTAAAAAGAAACATTTCCTTTCTACCAATGTCACTGCGTCGTCGTTGAAGTTTGTTATAGATAAGTTGACAGACACAGAGGTAAATGTTGTGGAGAAAGAGCAGGCAGTTAGGGCAGTTCTTAGTGATGTTGAGGTGAGTACGTTTACTGGTTTGTTGACGATGGTTTTCCATTTGCCTTTTTTGGTACAGGTAAAGCTTTTGCCCGGTCATTTAAATCTTTATTTGTTCCATGAGATTTTTAAAAAAATCCTAAAGCGTGTTTCGATAATTAGAGGATGCGACCTCATTTGCCTTTTGGTACACTCAGAGCTTTTGCCTGGTAATTTAACTACACACCGAAAAATTGTTCACTTCAAGATTAGCTCTGAGTGTACATACATCCAGTCATCCAATTTTTTTTTCCAAACACCTTGGTGCAGACGTGCGTTTATGGTTGTTGATGTGAATGTTCGTCGATGCGCCAGCGCGTCATTACTTAAGTGCGCACCTTTGCAACGACAAATGCGTACGTACACAAGCTAACGCACATTTTACTTGTATGTGCATACTCGTATATGGTTACGCATATATGTATACGCACATTTCATATGCTTACGCGTATTAAATAGTTTCTGCAAAAGCGGTCCGCTGTATTTCCCAGAAATTTTCTCTCAACTTTTAGTCACATATCTATCTAAATCAAAAGGATATTGAAACCTCTCTTGTGTTTTGAATATATCGCAAAATATTTTTACAAGGCTAAAACGGCTTCGGCCCTTCAAGGCACATTCTTATCAGTCGCGAAAACAGTTTATAACACAAATTTCCGAGCATTTCATTTCACGATGTTTTAGCTTCAAAAACATTTCTATTTCACATGGTTAGAAAAAAAAGGTGTGATCATTTTTACATCATGTTCTGAGATTGTATCAAAAGTTCTGCTTCGTTTAATGCCTATTTTCCGATGGTGTTATTAGTTGATAATTCAAGAGTTTCATTCCATTAATCCCGGATTTTGTTAGTTCTTATTTCCTATGCCACGACGATGAAGGAGGCTAAAATGAAACACTTTTTACCCTGGCCTTAGCGAATGCTGTTAAATGGTGTTTGAAACCTTTCATTTTCAGCTCAGGTAAGAGCCACTGGGAAACTGGAAGCAGAAGGGAAAAAAAAAAACAAGATCAGAGGCATTCTGCTCTGTTTTCCGCAAAAAGTTATTTTCATCAGTGATGTACTCCTTCTGTATAGGACGTCATTTAAACCTTTCAAATCATCTTCCGATTGATGCCAATAAATCACGTTTAAAATTATCTTTTCAGCTTCACTAAAACAGAGCAGTAATTGACGCCTAAAACGTTGATAAACCTATGATTTAAGTCTGGGATCAATCAGTGATGAAGATGATCGATCGATGTAAGCCATAGATTACTCGAATTAAAAATGCGTCAAGATTGTGTCGTTCGACAAAGACTTTTTATGTCAAAGCATCAGTTGAGTTGGTTGTCTCAGAAACACTTATTATCATCTTGTAGCACTCAGTAGTTTGGACAACTAGAGGCGGATTAGATAAACCATATGTTTGTTTGAAGTTTCCAATTGAAAATGAAAGGGTTAAAAATGTCCTGCTGTGGAAATCTTTAAGTGAGTAACATCATTCATCCCATTATTTAATTCTTTTTCAGTTCAGTCTTGTCACTTCATTTTGGTAGAATTGCAAATAGAAACAAAAACTTTCCCGAAAGCTCTTAGCTGAATTAATATGATTTAACTGTCTTTGACATGTATACGCGCTTAAACCATTGTCATGACCAAACCTGACTATTGCGAAAATAAATAAAACCGATCGGTATCCTTTGACGCCCTTTTACTAAAAAAATTAATTTCCTTATCCCACAAGTTTATTCTTGTAAATAGGTTAAAGAAAAACCTTATAACGTATTATTGGTGTATTCGTTCAAAGAAGATGATATCACAAGGGAAAGTGAAAAGTCTGAATTTTTAATTTATCAAATTTTTATTTCACTTACTCTGTCAAAAATTAAAATTAGTTATAACATTTAAAAGCGATCTTAAATTTGCTTTACTCTCCTGTTGCTTTGCTTTATATAAAAGTTGCTGTTTCTCAATTTTGCATTTGATTATATCATACTTTTTTATATATAAAAACCCGATACAAATGTGGATTTACAACTACGTTCAGGTTTGCGTTCCTGAAAAACGCTCCAACTTTTCCTAACACAAACCCTGATAAACTGCATGCAAACTGTGTTTGTTTCTGGAAAGCCGGTTCACTCTGCCCTTTGCTATTATTTTAGCTTTTTATAGTAAATCGAGGAAGCTTTTTATTTCGCTGGCTCGCTCAGCGCTGATCTAAGAGAAAATAAGTCTTTAAGCGGACGAAGTAGCCTTCAGTTGGTGACATCACAAGGGCTCATTGCCGACTGTTCAGTACTAAATTTAATTTCCACGCCATTGTTCCTAGACATGCTCCGAAGTATGTTCACAACGGCGCACCGAATGTGTCTCATCTTCCAGCAGTATATCACAGGGTTTAGAGACGAATTCACAAAAACTAGAGTCACTGAGAAGAGATGTAAACTCTTCAATGTCACCGTCGGACCGTAGAATCGTATGGCCGTCACAGAGCACCAATAAGGCGCGTAACAAAATAAAAAAGCCACATACACGTAAAAGCTAACGAGCGCAGATTTTATGACACTCGATAAATTTGTTATTTCCCTAGGCTGTTCACCGCGTGCTTGCAAGAACTGAATCCTATTTTTATGATATCGCACGACCGAATAAAGCTTGATATAAATTACTGTCGTCACAACAAGGCTACTTATTTGAGCAAAGGTCTGAATGATGATCTGAATAAGGCGCAGACCACTCAATATTATCAAAGAAGCAAATGCACTGAACACCCATATTGAAATCACCACAGCAAGAACGCGTTTGTGGGTTACAAGTTCCTTGTATCTGAGATGAAGATTAACTGCTAAGAACCTGTCTACACTTACAGCCACAACACCAGCAAACGAAGCTTGAGAAAAGAACAGGCCGACGTTACTGAACATTCGGTAAGTGAGGCAGCTCGGGCTGTTTCGTTGTAGCCAACTGACCAGTAGTGAAGTGTAAAATGGCTGAACAAACAGACCCACACCGACATCAGAAACAGCCAGACTCAAAAGCAAAGTCTTTGTCGTCTTTGGCAACGATTGAGTTTTTCGTATCGCATAGAATGTTACAATGTTTAGCATAACGGCGAGATAGGTCAGAAAATTATTGAAGACGCAGTTAGCGATGTAACTCCTGCGAAGTTCTTCATATTCAGAGGTAAAGGGAAAATATTGAACCAATGTTTCGCAAAACATAATAAGTACACAAGCAACAGAGCAGCGGAATGGAAAATCCGGCTGATCAAACTTTGGCAAGGAGCTTTAAAACCGCATCCAAATTTTGTTGTTTCAGCCTGAGGACACGTTATGATTCCAGGGGTTAATTACAGCCTTGAAGAGAACTTCGACCAATGGTTAGCATATCCTTTGACGAGACTTTGATATATTGCAGGTGAAACTTTTGCTATGAGTTGAACTGAGTCAAACGTACCTCCAATATTTCGAGAAATGAGCGTGCTTCAGACCATTATGAGGTTACTTTTGATGTGGAGAAACTAGAACTTTCAATCAGTGCTTTCGGAAGTCGCCTGAATTCGATTTCTAGACGTGGAGTCTCGTTGTGAATGCGAGGCTTAACAAAAAGCTTTTTAACTCACACCGATCTCTTTCACCTCTTCCAGTTGTACATCAAGCGATGGCTCAACCTTTACTGATTCTATAAATAGCACGATTAGTGGGTATTATCAGAGAAAGTCATGTTAATAGCAAAATATCCGAATCTAAATGGTTCTTAACACTTATTTATTTCTTTGGGTAATTAAGCACAAGAAAGGTATGATTTAACCAGTCAAATTTGAAGCTGCTTGCAAATTGATCAGACAAATTTAACTACTTTGTTCATGCTAACCAATCTAAATAAAGGAAATTTAATCTCTCTTATGGGTAGGTTGTCTCATAAATGAACTGGGATTTCGATGCAAGTCGGTTACTAGCGGTCGTCCGCCTTCCATAAGACCCTTTATATAATTACTGCTGCCTATCAAATTTCTCATATAATTACTGCCGTCTGGTAAGCCTTCATACAGGCTCTAATTTTTGGATTTAGCGTGGGCTTTCTTGCGAGTGAGTTACGAGCCGGCAATGAGGTAAGGGTGGGGTCTTAAAAAGAACCCCCCCTGCAAGCCATTTATTCACGAACGCAACATTCTGAAAGCTTAGGAATGACAGGCTAGTTACCGAGTTGTCAACAAAAATTATTGTTAACACCACCCTTTTATGATGCCCAGAATGCCGGAAATTACATTTGCGAGCTTTTAACGGCCCATTTTCCCTGCACAGCAGTCCATTACAACATCGGGGTCCGCTGATGGAAATTGAAAAAAGGTAATTTATGACCTTTTATTTCCTTACCACTGAATCTGTTTACCGATATTAATTTACAAAGTTAAAAAAAAATTGCCAAAATTTACAAAACAAAATCATGAGCTTTAAACACATATATTAGGAAGATTTTACCAAAATCTGATTTTCTACAACAGAGTTTTGTCCACTTTGTTATAAACGTAGTGTGATAGAGGAGTTTGTGTCGGTCAATTCAAGGAGCGTTGTGTTTGGTCAAATTGAAGTTGCATGACCAATAAGAGGGCTTCAAAAGAGTAGTGGTGTTGAAAGCTGACATTTGTTTTTGTTTTTGTTTTTTTTTCGCGCACCTAAAGGATTATTTTTTTGAGCCGTTTAACAGCTAACCGTTAAGAGTAATTAAATGACCGTGTGTTCGACGTAAGGGGAAAAACGTCTTCTGAGTTTCCTCATACACTTAAATTTTTTATCATTCATAAAGGCTTACGCCGGACAACAGCCGCCTCTCGATGTTACCGAGCCCTGAGGGCGTTCGCATTAAAAGGCATTAATAAAAACCTTTTACGATAAAGATGTTTAATGGCTGGATTAACCTTGAATCGTATCACGAAAAATGTTCACGTCATAAATTGTAAAGGCTCTTAGATACCTACTTGAGTTCTTTTATTTCGAAAGAAGACCTGAGATGTCAAAAAAATTTCACTCTGTTCGAAAAAAAAAAGTAATTGATGTACCATTAGGGAGGGTATCACCGCTCAATTTACTTAAGAAAGCTTTTAAACTGGAAGTATGGTCCAGAGAGAAAGAGCGGCCGTTTGGTTTTCTCCTAATCAGTTCCAACATATCGCTTAGAGATAGAAACATTCTTAAACTTTTAATTCCAATGAGTGACCAAGTCAGAATTCTCCTTACAATATCAATACGATATCAACCAGATAAGTGATGAGGATGAAAAAAATAATCAATTTGGGGATAATGAGTTGATCCAATTCTAAGTTCTCTGAACTAACATCATAAGAATGTATGGTTGACAGTAAGGAGAATTACAAATTCGATCTGGGAGTGAAAGGGTTAAACAAGACTGATCAAAATGGCAGAGACCGTCGTCAAATTTTTAGCACATTTTTTTAATAAACAATGAAGATGACGCTGAACGATTCCTCAGAGCAGTTGGTGTCACATTTTAAAAGGCTACTTTTCCTAATTGCTTATTTTGCTCAACAAAATCAAGACACCAGGGAACATAAGTATGACAAGTTTACCTATAGGAGGTATGACACACTGCTGATGCGCACAAGGAAAAGATAAAAAGCCACATCTGAGAAGCATTTACGGATCGAGACAGCTAGCCACCAGCTGGAGCCACTTAGTAGCTTATGTAGCTCAAGGTTTAAATGGGCATCAGATGAAAATGAGGGTAGCACCGCTAAATACATGCACAACACCATGAACTATCCGATTAATAAGCGTTTTAACTAGTATCAATAGATAAAAGTAATATTCTTTAGTGGTTCCATGATGACAAATCACACTGTCTCCAAAAATTGTATGTAAAACTAAAAAAAAAAAAAAAAACTTAACAACGCCAAAACAATATATCCAGAATATAAGACTGCCCTGAGGCTATCTGAAAGTCGTAAAGTCTGTGAAGTTTAAAATCTTCTTTAGTATAATTTTTTTGAGCACTGTAGTGCATTTTGTGGGCTTAAATGGGGATTTTAGCGGCCTGCTAAAATGTATTTGACCCGCTCGCGCGCTCGCGTGACCAATCAGGCTGTTTTGTTCTCATTTTTTTGGTCATTTTTTATTTTCAAAGTGCTCTCCTAAGTGATGATGATAATAATTTAGTTTATGTTCGCGGGCATAAATACGTTTTAAAGCCTTCTCAGAATTAGTCTACCCGTTGCCTAACGGCTAGGGCTGAAATAACTTTGAGCCAGGCGAAAGACATATTTACGCCCGTGAACACAAATCCTTTTGTTTTATCAACCCACGTTCGTGACGAATCCTCAGTATCTCAATTTAACAGTTCACACATTACTCATCTCTCTAATATTATCATTTTTAAGCTTTAAGACTTTTATCAATAATTTTTCAATTTTGTCGTTTTCAGAAAGTGAAATATTCGTAATGCTTTTCCTTGCTTCCGCGCAAGATGTTGATTTAGTGTTTTTCTATTCATATACAGAAGGCTATTTCCTTTGTTAATAAAATCAGCTCAATATAGAGGTCAAAATAACTCAAATAAAGGAAATGAATACATTTGCCTTTCACTGTGTGCTCGAGCTCTAGGCTGCAATTTTAACTTGTCGAAAGAAGCTTGTTCTCTTCGATGGTCTAATCACTAAAAATATATCCGATGAGGCAGCATTTTAAAGCTTAGACAAAATTAATTTTTGGTGAAAATGAACAATTATCTTTAAATACAGAACTTGATATAAGTTCAACTAAGTTCTCGTTCCCTGCGGCCAGTCAGAACCCGCGCAGCTGCTGACTTATTTACAAAACATGGAATGAAAGATTATTTAACTCACGAAAGAATACTTTTGAACATCTTTCGCAGCGAAGGAAAAGTAAAGGAAGAACACTTTTATTTTCTTCTCTTTGGATTTCATTACTGTCCCGAAGACCCCTGTCGTTGAGCGCAAGGCTTAAAACAGTGATGTAAGAATACAACGAGCCATCTTCCTAGTCTTTTTTTTTTAAAGGGCCTCGTATTTCCTGTCAGTTTTCGCTAACAGAAATTGTTTAAAATGTCTGGAAGAGTACATATCTGTCGATATGAGAAAGTAAAGGTATACACCTAATTGGCGCCGTAAAAGGAGTCGTAGCTTTCTTCATTAGTGGCAATTGAGATCAGACAAAAAGGCCAAAAAAAATTAAAAATAACCAGCATTGTCTTGACCTTAAAAGCAGCTTATGTTCTAAGGTACAAAAAATCTTGCAGAGCACTCACTCTTCTTTTAAATTTTTTAACTGATGATGCAGAAAAATAACCTACCCATCTCAGATATACTGTAATTATTGTGCAGTTCAGTGCGATCAGAAATGAGCGAGACCAAGAATTGTGATCTTATCGTCAGTTAAGAAATATCAGTTGTAAGAGCGCAGTAAAGGTGCAACCGTCCGACTTCTCAGTTTTTCATGAAAATCAGGCACAGGAAAACTGAAACATTTTACGATAACATGGACGATAGTCCATTCGCTGTTTCAAATGCAGAAGTCCTTCTAAACTGACTCTGACGACGAATTAAAAGTACCTTTTTTATTTAAGATTATCAGAGTCAAGCTGATGATGATGACTTCCGCTCAGGTTGTCAGCCAACGATTTATGTCATTCACAACAATCATTTTCGAGTGTACCCTCCCTAATGGAAAAACGATCTTGACGATAAACAAAGGTAGCCGAGAGTCGCTTCTAAGCCGACTAAATTTGTTGTAAATAGATCATTTTTAACCGAAGAATTAAGATTACTTTTCATATTGTATAAAACTCTGTCCCATACCTCAATTTTTCGACTCCGTCAAACTTACGACCCTAAAATCCGCGATATCACCAAAAAGAAGTTTTCTCAGACTCTGCGCGGACAATTGCTCAGGAGAGATGGTCTGGGAACTATATGACTGCGGCAATCGTAACTTCTCAACACCACAATTACTGATAAAAAAGGCGATTTATTGACGGTGAACGATGTGGGTTGAAACTTTAAAAATAAACAAATAATACAAAATTACAACAATTGATTAAGTAAAGGTGATAGTAAAGAAATACACTGAGCCAACTTGAAACGACAATATTTACATTGTTACGATTACTGGAAAACTGTGCTTGAGGGAAAAACACTGTCCGAAAACAAAATTAAGAATAAAGGAACTGCTTGAAAGCGAACTGCGACTAGCGCGACTACAGAGAAAACTAAGTTTATATACGCACGAAAGACTAAAATTAATGCATGCGAAAACGACTAACTGAAAATTTAATTGACGCTTATAATTGCGAAAGAAACAATAATGAACGAAAGTATGTGATAGGGAAAACAACAGAGGCCATTTAACCGGTGAAAAAACACTAACAGACGACGACAAACAGTAACGACACAAACGAGACACCCTAATTAATGATTAAATACATTCTGCACGCTAAGATCTTACAAACTATGCTTAAAGAAAAACCCTGGGGGAAAAAAAGCAGAACAAGCTGTATATGCGCTGTACAAAAGTAACGTTTATGTAAAGAAGGAGATCATAACAGACCAAAACGGACCACAGATATTTGAGGGTAAAGAAATTAGACGTGTAGAAATTTACATACATTTTCATTTGTCTTTGAAAAATTCTGGGAAGTGAATGAAGGAAATCTTAGTTCGCTACACAACTTGGTTCAGCGTAAAATTTCCGTACAGCCCCATACTATTGTAAGACCAAATCTGTTTTCCCAATGGCAATGTATTGTTTTTGTTATTTTTTTCTCTATCCAAGAACTCAATGCATAATGTAGTATGGGGCTGTGCGGAAATTTTACCGAGCGGATTTCTATGGAGTGTCCTAAAACTAAAACCAGATTGAGTAATCTCCATAGCAATCAGAAATGCAGAGGAATACGACCAGAAGCAAAAAATGAGAACGTATGTAAGAAAAATTAATAAATCTGCCGCAAGCTTGAAAGTAATTATCACGAAGTCGCGATTTTTTTTCTCTCAGTTTTCAATTGGGTTCACTGAAAAAGCGACTTGAGTTCCTTTTTTCACCAATCGCAAGACAAAGTTACAAAAAACACACTGAGAAGTTCTGAAGCTCGATCACTTTCGGCACTTCCTTGAAAACCGTATAAGTCAATTAGGAAGGCTTATTTCTGTTCCAAGACATGCTCTTTAGTGAGTCCATTAGTGCCTGTCTAATGTGTTTCATCTTCCAGCAGTAAATCACAGGATTCAGTGATGAATTAAGAAAAACCAGAGTCACTGAGAGGAGATAACATTTTTTCAATGTTGTACTCGAGCCGTAGATTTTAATGCAAGCCACGCAGACGTAAAAGGGAACATAGCAGAGTAAAAACACTATATATACGTAGAATACACTGACAGCAGACTTGAGTTGGCGGGCAAAATCTCCCATTTCATCGATGCGTTCTTTTGGCTGTATTTGCAGCGACCGCATGTGAACTTTGTGGCGTCGAGTAACTAAATAAATGTTGATGTAAATCATTGCTGTAAGAAGAAAACAAATAACTCCAGCAGCTGAAAGAATTAGGTTCTGAGCACTGAAAGGAGCCCAAAGTATCATAAGGGAAACAAATAGACCCAGAAGCCAGTTTGATAAGATAGCAGCAACAACACGTTTGAGGGTCACAAATTCCTGGTATCGCAGATGAAGATGAACGGCTAAGAACCTATCTACACTAACAGCGACAACACCCATGAACGAAGCTACGGAAAAAGTAATGTTGATTATCATGAAGGCCGTGAACGTATTACAGTTAGGATTGCTCTGTTGTACCCAGTTCACTTGCAGAGACGAATAAAATGGCTGAACAAACAGACCAACGCCAACATCAGAAACTGCAAGACTCAGCAGCAATGTTCTCAGAGTCTTTGACAGCGTCGAGGTTTTCCGTATCGCGTAAATCGTCATAATATTCAGCATAATAGCGGTATAAGTTAAGAAAATGTTCAGGACACAATTAGCAAAGTTAGTCCATCGGAAATCGCTGATTTCGATAGCGGAAGGAAAATACTGCATGAACTCCTCGCAGAACTTTTCATTCATTATTTTATCGCAACTACGCTCCACAAAAAAGGGGGTTTTACTGTTTAAATTTCAGTCACTTTGTTCGGAGTTTATAACAGTCCACCTGGGAATTAAACCATAATTATGGTTGTCATGGCTATAAATAGAACCCTTTATGAAAATTCAGCTTCTTTACATTTCAGAGATGTCGAGTACATAAAACAAAATGATTTGATGTCTGCAGCCATACACGAGAGCCATGCTATCATTCCCAATTCAAGAGTTCCTTTAAACTAATACAGAGACCAATAATCCTCGAACTGTCTAAGCATTAGGTTCGGCCCATTCAAAAATTGGAGTTTTTCTGTTTCAACAACCTGGTCATAACTGAAGTAACATGGTTTGATGCTACTCTGGTTTACATTTCTGTAAGACTACCCTGAGGTTATCTGAAAGTCGTAAAGTCTGTGAAGTTTAAAGTCTTCCTTAGTAATATTTTTTTGAGCACTGTAGTACATTTTGTGGGCTAAAATGGAGTTTTTAGCAGCCGGCTAAATGTATTTTGACCCGCTCGCGCGCTCGCGTGATTAATCGGACTGTTTTGTTCTCATTTTTTTAATCATTTTTTATTTTCAAAGTTCTCTCCTAAGTGATGATGACAATAATTTAGTTTATGTTCGCGGGCATAAATACGTTTTAAGCCCTTCTCAGAATTGGTCTACCCGTCGCTAGCGGTTAGGGCTAAAATAACTCTGAGTCGGGCGAAAGACATATTTACGCCCGTGAACACAAATCCTTTTGTTTTATCATCCCACGTTCGTGATGAATCCTCAGTATCTCAATTTAACAGTTCACACATTACTCATCTCTCTAATATTATCATTTTTAAGCTTTAAGACTTCTATTCATAATTTTTCAATTTTGTCGTTTTCAGTAAGTGAAATATTCTTAATGCTTTTCCCTGCTTTTGAGCAAGATGTTAATTCAGTGTTTTTTTATTCATATGCAGAAGGCTCCTTCCTTTGTAAAAAAAATCAGCTCAATATAGAGGTCAAAATAACTCAAATAAAGGAAATGAATACATTTGCCTTTCACTGTGTGCTCGAGCTCTAGGCTGCAATTTTAACTTGTCGAAAGAAGCTTGTTCTCTTCGAAGGTCTAATCACTAAAAATATATCCGATGAGGCAGCATTTTAAAGCATAGACAAAATTAATTTTTGGTGAAAATGAACAATTATCTTTAAATACAGAAATTGATGTAAGTTCAACTAAGTTCCCATTCCCTGCGGCCAGTCAGAACCCGCGCAGCTGCTGACTTATTTACAAAACATGGAATGAAAGATTATTTAACTCACGAAAGAATACTTTTGAACATCTTTCGCAGCGAAGGAAAAAGTAAAGGAAGAACACTTTTATTTCCTTCTCTTTGGATTTCATTACTGTCCCGAAGACCCCTGTCGTTGAGCGCAAGGCTTAAAACAGTGATGTAAGAATACAACGAGCCATCTTCCTAGTCTTTTTTTTTTAAAGGGCCTCGTATTTCCTGTCAGTTTTCGCTAACAGAAATTGTTTAAAATGTCTGGAAGAGTACATATCTGTCGATATGAGAAAGTAAAGGTATACACCTAATTGACGCCGTAAAAGGAGTCGTAGCTTTCTTCATTAGTGGCAATTGAGATCAGACAAAAAGGCAAAAAGAAAAAATTAAAAATAACCAGCATTGTCTTGACCTTAAAAGCAGCTTATGTTCTAAGGTACAAAAAATCTAACAGAGTACTCACTCTTCTTTTAAATTTTTTAACTGATGGGGCAGAAAAATAACCTTCTCAGATATATTCTAATTATTGTGCAGTTCATTGCGATCAGAAATGAGCGAGACCAAGAATTGTGATCTTATCGTCATTGTTCATATATTTGTCAGCCGTTTATTGTCTCTCTACGTGACTGACAAGGCTTTTTTCAAGCACCTCACGGCATGTGTTAATTCGGGCAACATTCCTTTCAGTATCTGCAGCAGTCGCGCGGCAAGATGGCCAATTAAATTGTTGCATGTGTGACTTTACCTTTTCCTGTGATGCACGCTTTGTGCTGCAAGACACGTTGCTCGGCAGATGTGTTCTCTACGTTAATTGTAGTTGAATAAACTTCATTTCATTCTTATGGCGTTTGCGACCAACATAAATGCTGATGTGATAAGAATACATGAAAGTCATATATTTGTACTGCGGAAAATACATTTTAAGCAAATGAAGATCATCACAGTATATTTCTCAACTGCTTAAGTTGAGTATATACTGTGATGATCTTCATTTGCTTAAAATGTATTTTCCGCAGTACAAATATATGACTTTCATGTATTCTTATCACACCTTCTCCATCCACGGGTATATAACGAACTCACAATTGACCAGCTCCCAGTTGGCTTGATGGCTCAGTTGGTTAGAGCGCTGCACCGGTATCGCAGAGGTCATGGGTTCGATTCCCGTTCAGGCCTGAATTTTTTTCAGGCCTTATTTCTCAACTGCTTAAGTGGAGTATATACTGTGATGATCTTCATTTGCTTAAAATAAATGCTGATGTAAATCATTTTCGTTCCAAGAAAACAAACTGTCTGCCAATTAAAGAAAAGCCAAGTTCTGACTTGAAATGAATAAGACCAGAAACATGACAAAAGAAAACAAAAGGAATGAAAAAAAAAGTGAAAAAGAAAAGCAAACTAATGAAATTAAAGAATTTCAGAAATTTCTGCACTGAAAACTTATTTGGCACAACGCTAACGACTGTCGTTCAACTGCATGGTCTGTCGAATTTAACTCACTGTGGCTAAGTTTTGGCCTCTTAGCAAAAAAAAATTAAACAGTAATCAACATCTCATTTGCAGTTTCTACGCCAAGAAATATGAGTCGTAAGAGCGCAGTTAAGGTGCAACCGTCCGACTTCTCAGTTTTTCATGAAAATCAGGCACAGGAAAAACTGAAATATCTTATGCAAACATGGACGATAGTCCATTCGCTGTTTCAAATGCAGAAGTCCTTCTAAACTGACTCTGACGACGAATTAAAAGTACCTTTTTTATTTAAGATTATCAGAGTCAAGCTGATGATGATGACTTCCGCTCAGGTTGTCAGCCAACGATTTATGTCATTCACAACAATCATTTTCGAGTGTACCCTCCCTAATGGAAAAACGATCTTGACGATAAACAAAGGTAGCCGAGAGTCGCTTCTAAGTCGACTAAATTTGTTGTAAATAGATCATTTTAACCGAAGAATTAAGATTACTTTTCATATTGTATAAAACTCTGTCCCATACCTCAATTTCTTAAGCTCCGTCAAACTTAAGACCCTAAAATCCGCGATATCACCAAAAAGAAATATTCTGACTACACTCAGGCGAGATATTCAATGTGAAAGATTATTTAGGAGGAGTCAGCCAGTCTTGTAGTCTACACATCCTACTACAATCTGCAATGTACTGCAAGTATTCACTGAAAATGAGGGGTTATACAAAAATAGGCTGTGCTACGCCAGATACGAAACACCACTAAAAAACCACTCTTTAGAAGTGGCCAAAAAATGTGTGGAAACGTATTCCTCATGTAATGCTGCAGCACTAGACCCCGAGGAAAGGGTAACTAAAATAAACCTAGTTACACTACTGAACACAGAAAATTCAATGAAAGCAGTGACATTTTACAGAGAGTTGTAAAGCAAAATTACATTAAATAAAAAAAATAAATAAATAAAAAAAGAAAGCGGCCAAACCTAAGACTGGCCGACGTAGAATGACCTAATTTCCCATGCGAAACGCTCAAATAATCCGAAACTACCGCGATGCCATGCGAACCTCTTCAACGTGCCGTCAGAGTATTCATTTCTGACTAATTCGTTCCAGGTCACTCAAACGTCAGAAATTACATTTTCTCAGACTCTGCGCGGACAGTTGCTCAGGAGAGATGGTCTAGGAACTATATGACTGCGGCAATCGTAACTTCTCAACACCACAATTACTGATAAAAAAGGCGATTTATTGACGGTGAACGATGTGGGTTGAAACTTTAAAAATTAACAAATAATACAAAATTACAACAATTGATTAAGTAAAGGTGATAGTAAAGAAATACACTGAGCCAACTTGAAACGACAATATTTACATTGTTACGATTACTGGAAAACTGTGCTTGAGGGAAAAACACTGTCCGAAGACGAAATTAAGAATAAAGGAACTGCTTGAAAGCCAACTGCGACTAGCGCGACTACCGAAAATAAAGGTCCCTGAACAGAGAAAACTAAGTTTATATACGCACGAAAAACTAAAATTAATGCATGCGAAAACGACTAACTGAAAATTTAATTGACGCTTATAATTGCGAAAGAAACAATAATGCACGAAAGTATGTGATAGGGAAAACAACAGAGGCTATTTAACCGGTGAAAAAACACTAACAGACGACGACAAACAGTAACGACACAAACGAGACACCCTAATTAATGATTAAATACATTCTGCACGCTAAGATCTTACAAACTATGCTTAAAGAAAAACCCTGGGGGAAAAAAAGCAGAACAAGCTGTATATGCGCTGTACAAAAGTAACGTTTATGTAAAGAAGGAGATCATAACAGACCAAAACGGACCACAGATATTTGAGGGTAAAGAAATGAGACGTGTAGAAATTTACATACATTTTCATTTGTCATTAAAAAATTCTGCGAAGTGAATGAAGGAAATCTTAGTTCGCTACTCAACTTGGTTCAGCGTAAAATTTCCGCACAGCCCCATACTATTGTAAGACCAAATCTGTTTTCCCAATGGCAATGTATTGTTTTTGTTATTTTTTTCTCTATCCAAGAACTCAATGCATAATGTAGTATGGGGCTGTGCGGAAATTTTACCGAGCGGATTTCTATGGAGTGTCCTAAAACTAAAACCAGATTGAGTAATCTCCATAGCAAATCAGAAACGCAGAGGAATACGACCAGGAGAAAAAATGAGAACTTATGTAAGAAAAATTAATAAATCTGCCGCAAGCTTGAAAGTAATTATCACGAAGTCGCGATTTTTTTCTCAGTTTTCAATTGGGTTCACTGAAAAAGCGACGTGAGTTTCTTTTTCACCAATCGCAAGGAAAAGTTACAAAAAACCACACTGAGAAGTTCTGAAGCTCAATCACTTTCGGCACTTCTTTGAAAACCGTATAAGTCAATTAGGAAGGCTAATTTCTGTTCCAAGATATGCTCTTTAGTGAGTCCATTAGTGCCTGTCTAATGTGTTTCATCTTCCAGCAGTAAATCACAGGATTCAGTGATGAATTAAGAAAAACCAGAGTCACTGAGAGGAGATAACATTTTTTCAATGTTGTACTCGAGCCGTGGATTTTAATGTAAGCCACGCAGACGTAAAAAGGAACATAGCAGAGTAAAAACACTATATATATGTAGAATACACTGACAGCAGACTTGAGTTGGCGGGCAAAATCTCCCATTTCATCGATGCGTTCTCTTGGCTGTATTTGCAGAGACCGCATGTGAATTTTGTGGCGTCGAGTAACTAAATAAATCTTGATGTTAATCATTGCTGTAAGAAGAAAACAAATAACTCCAGCAGCTGAAAGAATTAAGTTCTGAGCGCTGAAAGGAGCCCAAAGTATCATAAGGGAAACAAATAGACCCAGAAGCCAGTTTGATAAGATAGCAGCAACAACACGTTTGTGGGTCACAAATTCCTGGTATCGCAGATGAAGATGAACGGCTAAGAACCTATCTACACTAACAGCGACAACACCCATGAACGAAGCTACGGAAAAAGTAATGTTGATTATCATGAAGGCCGTGAACGTATTACAGTTAGGATTGCTCTGTTGTACCCAGTTCACTTGCAGAGACGAATAAAATGGCTGAACAAACAGACCAACGCCAACATCAGAAACTGCAAGACTCAGCAGCAATGTTCTCAGAGTCTTTGACAGCGTCGAGGTTTTCCGTATCGCGTAAATCGTCATAATATTCAGGATAATGGCGGTATAAGTTAAGAAAATGTTCAGGACACAATTAGCAAAGTTGGTCCATCGGAAATCGCTGATTTCGATAGGGGAGGGAAAATACTGCATGAACTCCTCGCAGAACTTTTCATTCATTATTTTATCGCAACTACGCTCCACAAAAAAGGGGGTTTTACTGTTTAAATTGCAGTCACTTTGTTCGGAGTTTATAACAGCCCACCTGGGAATTAAACCATAATTATGGTTGTCATGGCTATAAATAGAACCTTTTTATGAAAATTCAGCTTTTTCACATTTCAGAGATGTCGAGTACATAAAACAAAATGATTTGATGTCTGCAGCCATACACGAGAGCCATGCTATCATTCCAAACTCAAGAGTTCCTTTAAACTAATACAGAGACCAATAATCCTCGAACTGTCTAAGCATTAGGTTCGGCCCATTCAAAAATTGGAGTTTTTCTGTTTTAACAACCTGGTCATAACTGAAGTAACATGGTTTGATGCTACTCTGGTTTACATTTCCACAATGTAAGACTACCCTGAAGTTATCTGAAAGTCGTAAAGTCGGTGAAGTTTAAAGTCTTCCTTAGTAATATTTTTTTTGAGCACTGTAGTGCATTTTGTGGCCTAAAATGGGGTTTTTAGCAGGCGGCTAAATGTATTTTGACCCGCTCGCGCGCTCGCGTGATTAATCGGACTGTTTTGTTCTCATTTTTTTAGTCATTTTTTATTTTCAAAGTTCTCTCCTAAGTGATGATGACAATAATTTAGTTTATGTTCGCGGGCATAAATACGTTTTAAAGCCTTCTCAGAATTAGTCTACCCGTCGCTAGCGGTTAGGGCTAAAATAACTCTGAGTCGGGCGAAAGACATATTTACGCCCGCGAACACAAATCCTTTTGTTTTATCATCCCACGTTCGTGATGAATCCTCAGTATCTCAATTTAACAGTTCACACATTACTCGTTTCTCTAATATTATCATTTTTAAGCTTTAAGACTTCTATTCATAATTTTTCAATTTTGTCGTTTTCAGTAAGTGAAATATTCTTAATGCTTTTCCCTGCTTTTGAGCAAGATGTTAATTCAGTGTTTTTTTATTCATATGCAGAAGGCTCCTTCCTTTGTAAATAAAATCAGCTCAATATAGAGGTCAAAATAACTCAAATAAAGGAAATGAATACATTTGCCTTTCACTGTGTGCTCGAGCTCTAGGCTGCAATTTTAACTTGTCGAAAGAAGCTTGTTCTCTTCGAAGGTCTAATCACTAAAAATATATCCGATGAGGCAGCATTTTAAAGCATAGACAAAATTAATTTTTGGTGAAAATGAACAATTATCTTTAAATACAGAAATTGATGTAAGTTCAACTAAGTTCCCATTCCCTGCGGCCAGTCAGAACCCGCGCAGCTGCTGACTTATTTACAAAACATGGAATGAAAGATTATTTAACTCACGAAAGAATACTTTTGAACATCTTTCGCAGCGAAGGAAAAGTAAAGGAAGAACACTTTTATTTCCTTCTCTTTGGATTTCATTACTGTCCCGAAGACCCCTGTCGTTGAGCGCAAGGCTTAAAACAGTGATGTAAGAATACAACGAGCCATCTTCCTAGTCTTTTTTTTTTAAAGGGCCTCGTATTTCCTGTCAGTTTTCGCTAACAGAAATTGTTTAAAATGTCTGGAAGAGTACATATCTGTCGATATGAGAAAGTAAAGGTATACACCTAATTGACGCCGTAAAAGGAGTCGTAGCTTTCTTCATTAGTGGCAATTGAGATCAGACAAAAAGGCAAAAAGAAAAAATTAAAAATAACCAGCATTGTCTTGACCTTAAAAGCAGCTTATGTTCTAAGGTACAAAAAATCTAACAGAGTACTCACTCTTCTTTTAAATTTTTTAACTGATGGGGCAGAAAAATAACCTTCTCAGATATATTCTAATTATTGTGCAGTTCATTGCGATCAGAAATGAGCGAGACCAAGAATTGTGATCTTATCGTCATTATTCATATATTTGTCAGCCGTTTATTGTCTCTCTACGTGACTGACAAGGTTTTTTTCAAGCACCTCACGGCATGTGTTAATTCGGGCAACATTCCTTTCAGTATCTGCAGCAGTCGCGCGGCAAGATGGCCAATTAAATTGTTGCATGTGTGACTTTACCTTTTCCTGTGATGCACGCTTTGTGCTGCAAGACACGTTGCTCGGCAGATGTGTTCTCTACGTTAATTGTAGTTGAATAAACTTCATTTCATTCTTATGGCGTTTGCGACCAACATAAATGCTGATGTGATAAGAATACATGAAAGTCATATATTTGTACTGCGGAAAATACATTTTAAGCAAATGAAGATCATCACAGTATATTTCTCAACTGCTTAAGTTGAGTATATACTGTGATGATCTTCATTTGCTTAAAAAAATATTTTCCGCAGTACAAATATATGACTTTCATGTATTCTTATCACACCTTCTCCATCCACGGGTATATAACGAACTCACAATTGACCAGCTCCCAGTTGGCTTGATGGCTCAGTTGGTTAGAGCGCTGCACCGGTATCGCAGAGGTCATGGGTTCGATTCCCGTTCAGGCCTGAATTTTTTTCAGGCCTTATTTCTCAACTGCTTAAGTGGAGTATATACTGTGATGATCTTCATTTGCTTAAAATAAATGCTGATGTAAATCATTTTCGTTCCAAGAAAACAAACTGTCTGCCAATTAAAGAAAAGCCAAGTTCTGACTTGAAATGAATAAGACCAGAAACATGACAAAAAAAGAAAACAAAAGGAATGAAAAAAAAAAAAAAAAAAAAAACAAACTAATGAAATTAAAAATTTCAGAAATTTCTGCACTGAAAACTTATTTGGCACAACGCTAACGACTGTCGTTCAACTGCATGGTCTGTCGAATTTAACTCACTGTGGCTAAGTTTTGGCCTCTTAGCAAAAAAAAAAAAAAACAGTAATCAACATCTCATTTGCAGTTTCTACGCCAAGAAATATGAGTCGTAAGAGCGCAGTAAAGGTGCAACCGTCCGACTTCTCAGTTTTTCATGAAAATCAGGCACAGGAAAAACTGAAATATCTTATGCAAACATGGACGATAGTCCATTCGCTGTTTCAAATGCAGAAGTCCTTCTAAACTGACTCTGACGACGAATTAAAAGTACCTTTTTTATTTAAGATTATCAGAGTCAAGCTGATGATGATGACTTCCGCTCAGGTTGTCAGCCAACGATTTATGTCATTCACAACAATCATTTTCGAGTGTACCCTCCCTAATGGAAAAACGATCTTGACGATAAACAAAGGTAGCTGAGAGTCGCTTCTAAGTCGACTAAATTTGTTGTAAATAGATCATTTTAACCGAAGAATTAAGATTACTTTTCATATTGTATAAAACTCTGTCCCATACCTCAATTTCTTCGGCTCCGTCAAACTTAAGACCCTAAAATCCGCGATATCACCAAAAAGAAATATTCTGACTACACTCAGGCGAGATATTCAATGTGAAAGTTTATTTAGGAGGAGTCAGCCAGTCTTGTAGTCTACACATCCTACTACAATCTGCAATGTACTGCAAGTATTCACTGAAAATGAAGGGTTATACAAAAATAGGCTGTGCTACGCCAGATACGAAACACCACTAAAAAACCACTCTTTAGAAGTGGCCAAAAAATGTGTGGAAACGTATTCCTCATGTAATGCTGCAGCACTAGACCCCGAGGAAAGGGTAACTAAAATAAACCTAGTTACACTACTGAACACAGAAAATTCAATGAAAGCAGTGACATTTTACAGAGAGTTGTAAAGCAAAATTACATTAAATAAAAAAAATAAATAAATAAAAAAAGAAAGCGGCCAAACCTAAGACTGGCCGACGTAGAATGACCTAATTTCCCATGCGAAACGCTCAAATAATCCGAAACTACCGCGATGCCATGCGAACCTCTTCAACGTGCCGTCAGAGTATTCATTTCTGACTAATTCGTTCCAGGTCACTCAAACGTCAGAAATTACATTTTCTCAGACTCTGCGCGGACAGTTGCTCAGGAGAGATGGTCTGGGAACTATATGACTGCGGCAATCGTAACTTCTCAACACCACAATTACTGATAAAAAAGGCGATTTATTGACGGTGAACGATGTGGGTTGAAACTTTAAAAATTAACAAATAATACAAAATTACAACAATTGATTAAGTAAAGGTGATAGTAAAGAAATACACTGAGCCAACTTGAAACGACAATATTTACATTGTTACGATTACTGGAAAACTGTGCTTGAGGGAAAAACACTGTCCGAAGACGAAATTAAGAATAAAGGAACTGCTTGAAAGCCAACTGCGACTAGCGCGACTACCGAAAATAAAGGTCCCTGAACAGAGAAAACTAAGTTTATATACGCACGAAAAACTAAAATTAATGCATGCGAAAACGACTGACTGAAAATTTAATTGACGCTTATAATTGCGAAAGAAACAATAATGCACGAAAGTATGTGATAGGGAAAACAACAGAGGCTATTTAACCGGTGAAAAAATACTAACAGACGACGACAAACAGTAACGACACAAACGAGACACCCTAATTAATGATTAAATACATTCTGCACGCTAAGATCTTACAAACTATGCTTAAAGAAAAACCCTGGGGGAAAAAAAGCAGAACAAGCTGTATATGCGCTGTACAAAAGTAACGTTTATGTAAAGAAGGAGATCATAACAGACCAAAACGGACCACAGATATTTGAGGGTAAAGAAATGAGACGTGTAGAAATTTACATACATTTTCATTTGTCATTAAAAAATTCTGCGAAGTGAATGAAGGAAATCTTAGTTCGCTACTCAACTTGGTTCAGCGTAAAATTTCCGCACAGCCCCATACTATTGTAAGACCAAATCTGTTTTCCCAATGGCAATGTATTGTTTTTGTTATTTTTTTCTCTATCCAAGAACTCAATGCATAATGTAGTATGGGGCTGTGCGGAAATTTTACCGAGCGGATTTCTATGGAGTGTCCTAAAACTAAAACCAGATTGAGTAATCTCCATAGCAAATCAGAAACGCAGAGGAATACGACCAGAAGCAAAAAATGAGAACGTATGTAAGAAAAATTAATAAATCTGCCGCAAGCTTGAAAGTAATTATCACGAAGTCGCGATTTTTTTCTCAGTTTTCAATTGGGTTCACTGAAAAAGCGACGTGAGTTTCTTTTTCACCAATCGCAAGGAAAAGTTACAAAAAACCACACTGAGAAGTTCTGAAGCTCAATCACTTTCGGCACTTCTTTGAAAACCGTATAAGTCAATTAGGAAGGCTAATTTCTGTTCCAAGATATGCTCTTTAGTGAGTCCATTAGTGCCTGTCTAATGTGTTTCATCTTCCAGCAGTAAATCACAGGATTCAGTGATGAATTAAGAAAAACCAGAGTCACTGAGAGGAGATAACATTTTTTCAATGTTGTACTCGAGCCGTGGATTTTAATGTAAGCCACGCAGACGTAAAAAGGAACATAGCAGAGTAAAAACACTATATATATGTAGAATACACTGACAGCAGACTTGAGTTGGCGGGCAAAATCTCCCATTTCATCGATGCGTTCTCTTGGCTGTATTTGCAGAGACCGCATGTGAACTTTGTGGCGTCGAGTAACTAAATAAATCTTGATGTTAATCATTGCTGTAAGAAGAAAACAAATAACTCCAGCAGCTGAAAGAATTAAGTTCTGAGCGCTGAAAGGAGCCCAAAGTATCATAAGGGAAACAAATAGACCCAGAAGCCAGTTTGATAAGATAGCAGCAACAACACGTTTGTGGGTCACAAATTCCTGGTATCGCAGATGAAGATGAACGGCTAAGAACCTATCTACACTAACAGCGACAACACCCATGAACGAAGCTACGGAAAAAGTAATGTTGATTATCATGAAGGCCGTGAACGTCTTACAGTTAGGATTGCTCTGTTGTACCCAGTTCACTTGAAGTGACGAATAAAATGGCTGAACAAACAGACCAACGCCAACATCAGAAACTGCAAGACTCAGCAGCAATGTTCTCAGAGTCTTTGACAGCGTCGAGGTTTTCCGTATCGCGTAAATCGTCATAATATTCAGCATAATAGCGGTATAAGTTAAGAAAATGTTCAGGACACAATTAGCAAAGTTAGTCCATCGGAAATCGCTGATTTCGATAGCGGAGGGAAAATACTGCATGAACTCCTCGCAGAACTTTTCATTCATTATTTTATCGCAACTACGCTCCACAAAAAAGGGGGTTTTACTGTTTAAATTTCAGTCACTTTGTTCTGAGTTTATAACAGCCCACCTGGGAATTAAACCATAATTATGGTTGTCATGGCTATAAATAGAACCTTTTATGAAAATTCAGCTTTTTCACATTTCAGAGATGTCGAGTACATAAAACAAAATGATTTGATGTCTGCAGCCATACACGAGAGCCATGCTATCATTCCAAACTCAAGAGTTCCTTTAAACTAATACAGAGACCAATAATCCTCGAACTGTCTAAGCATTAGGTTCGGCCCATTCAAAAATTGGGGTTTTTCTGTTTCAACAACCTGGTCATAACTGAAGTAACATGGTTTGATGCTACTGTGGTTTACACTTCCACACTGTAAGACCACCCTGAAGTTATCTGAAAGTCGTAAAGTCTGTGAAGTTTAAAGTCTTCCTTAGTAATATTTTTTGTTGAGCACTGTAGTGCATTTTGTGGGCTAAAATGGAGTTTTTAGCAGCCGGCTAAATGTATTTTGACCCGCTCGCGCGCTCGCGTGATTAATCGGACTGTTTTGTTCTCATTTTTTTAGACGTTTTTTATTTTCAAAGTGCTCTCCTAAGTGATGATGACATGAACACAAATCCTTTTGTTTTATCATCCCACGTTCGTGACGAATCCTCAGTACCTATATTTAACAGTTCACACATTACTCATCTCTCTAATATTATCATTTTTAAGCTTTAAGACTTCTATTCATAATTTTTCAATTTTATCGTTTTCAGTAGGTGAAATATTCTTAATGCTTTTCCCTGCTTCCGCGCAAGATGTTAATTCAGTGTTTTTTTATTCATATGCAGAAGGCTCCTTCCTTTGTAAATAAAATCAGCTCAATATAGAGGTCAAAATAACTCAAATAAAGGAAATGAATACATTTGCCTTTCACTGTGTGCTCGAGCTCTAGGCTGCAAATATATCCGATGAGGCAGCATTTTAAAGCTTAGACAAAATTAATTTTTTGTGAAAATGAACAGTTAACTTTAAATACAGAAATTGATATAAGTTCAACTAAGTTCTCGTTCCCCGAGGCCAGTCAGAACCCGCGCAGCTGCTGACTTATTTACAAAACATGGAATGAAAGATTATTAACTCACGAAAGAATACTTTTGAACAATTTTCGCGGCGAAGGAAAAGTAATGAAAGCCACACTTTAATTTCCTTCCCTTTGACTTTCATTACTGTCCCGAAGACCCCTGTCGTTGAGCGCAAGGCTTAAAACAGTGAAGTAAGAATACAATGAGCTATCTTCCTAATCTTCTTTTTTTAAAGGGCCTCGTATTTCCTGTCAGTTGTCGCTAACAGAAATTGTTTAAAATGTCTGGAAGAGTATATATCTGTCGATATGAGAAAGTAAAGGTATACATCTAATTGACGCCGTAAAAGGAGTCGTAGCTTTCTTCATTAGTGGCAATTGAGATCAGACAAAAAGGCAAAAAGAAAAAATTAAAAATAACCAGCATTGCCTTGACCTTAAAAGCAGCTTATGTTCTAAGGTACAAAAAATCTTACAGAGTACTCACTCTTCTTTTAAATTTTTTAACTGATGGTGCAGAAAAATAACCTACTCATCTCAGATATACTCTAATTATTGTGCAGTTCATTGCGATCAGAAATGAGCGAGACCAAGAATTGTGATCTTATCGTCATTGTTCATATATTTGTCAGCCGTTTATTGTCTCTCTACGTGACTGACAAGGCTTTTTTCAAGCACCTCACGGCATGTGTTAATTCGGGCAACATTCCTTTCAGTGTTTGCAACAAAGACACGCGGCAAGATGGCCAATTAAATTGTTGCATGTGTGACTTTACCTTTTCCTGTGATGCACGCTTTGTGCTGCAAGACACGTTGCTCGGCAGATGTGTTCTCTACGTTAATTGTAGTTGAATAAACTTCATTTCATTCTTATGGCGTCTGCGACCAACATAAATGCTGATGTAAATCATTTTCGTTCCAAGAAAACAAACTGTCTGCCAATTAAAGAAAAGCCAAGTTCTGAAAAATGAATAAGACCAGAAACATGACAAAAGAAAACAAAAGGAATGAAAAAAAAAAGTGAAAAAGAAAAGCAAACTAATGAAATTAAAGAATTTCAGAAATTTCTGCACTGAAAACTTATTTGGCAAAACGCTAACGACTGTCGTTCAACTGCATGGTCTGTCGAATTTAATTCACTGTGGCTAAGTTTTGGCCTCTTAGCAAAAAAAAATTAAACAGTAATCAACATCTCATTTGCAGTTTCTACGCCAAGAAATATAAGTCGTAAGAGCGCAGTAAAGGTGCAACCGTCCGACTTCTCAGTTTTTCATGAAAATCAGGCACAGGAAAAACTGAAATATCTTATGCAAACATGGACGATAGTCCATTCGCTGTTTCAAATGCAGAAGTCCTTCTAAACTGACTCTGACGACGAATTAAAAGTACCTTTTTTATTTAAGATTATCAGAGTCAAGCTGATGATGATGACTTCCGCCATTCACAACAATCATTTTCGGGTGTACCTTCCTTAATGGAAAAACGATCTTGACAATAAACAAAGGTAGCTGAGAGTCGCTTCTAAGTCGACTAAATTTGTTGTAAATAGATCATTTTTAACCGAAGAATTAAGATTATTTTTCATATTGTATAAAACTCTGTCCCATACCTAAATTTTTTCGGCTTTGTCAAACTTAAGACCCTAAAATCCGCGATATCACCAAAAAAGAAATATTCTGACTACACTCAGGCGAGATATTCAATGTGAAAGTTTATTTAGGAGGAGTCAGCCAGTCTTGTAGTCTACACATCCTACTACAATCTGCAATGTACTGCAAGTATTCACTGAAAATGAAGGGTTATACAAAAATAGGCTGTGCTACGCCAGATACGAAACACCACTAAAAAACCACTCTTTAGAAGTGGCCAAAAAATGTGTGGAAACGTATTCCTCATGTAATGCTGCAGCACTATACCCTGAGGAAAGGGTAACTAAAATAAACCTAGTTACACTACTGAACAAAGAAATTCAATGAGAGCAGTGACATTTTACAGAGAGTTGTAAAGCAAAAATACATTAAATAAAAAAAATAAATAAATAAAAAAAGAAAGCGGCCAAACCTAAGACTGGCCGACGTAGAATGACCTAATTTCCCCGCGAAACGCTCAAATAATCCGAAACTACCGCGATGCCATGCGAACCTCTTCAACGTGCCGTCAGAGTATTCATTTCTGACTAATTCGTTCCAGGTCACTCAAACGTCAGAAATTACATTTTCTCAGACTCTGCGCGGACAGTTGCTCAGGAGAGATGGTCTGGAAACTATATGACTGCGGCAATCGTAACTTCTCAACACCACAATTACTGATAAAAAAGGCGATTTATTGACGGTGAACGATGTGGGTTGAAACTTTAAAAATAAACAAATAATACAAAATTACAACAATTGATTAAGTAAAGGTGATAGTAAAGAAATACACTGAGCCAACTTGAAACGACAATATTTACAATGTTACGATTACTGGAAAACTGCGCTTGAGGGAAAAACACTGTCCGAAGACGAAATTAAGAATAAAGGAACTGCTTGAAAGCCAACTGCGACTAGCGCGACTACAGAGAAAACTAAGTTTATATACGCACGAAAGACTAAAATTAATGCATGCGAAAACGACTAACTGAAAATTTAATTGACGCTTATAATTGCGAAAGAAACAATAATGAACGAAAGTATGTGATAGGGAAAACAACAGAGGCCATTTAACCGGTGAAAAAACACTAACAGACGACGACAAACAGTAACGACACAAACGAGACACCCTAATTAATGATTAAATACATTCTGCACGCTAAGATCTTACAAACTATGCTTAAAGAAAAACCCTGGGGGAAAAAAAGCAGAAGAAGCTGTATATGCGCTGTACAAAAGTAACGTTTATGTAAAGAAGGAGATCATAACAGACCAAAACGGACCACAGATATTTAAGGGTAAAGAAATGAGACGTGTAGAAATTTACATACATTTTCATTTGTCATTAAAAAATTCTGGGAAGTGAATGAAGGAAATGTCTTAGTTCGCTGCTCAACTTGGTTCAGCGTAAAATTTCTGCACAGACTATTGTAAAACAAATCTGTTTTCCCAATGGCAATGTATTGTTTTTGTTATTTTTTTCTCTATCCAAGAACTCAATGCATAATGTAGTATGGGGCTGTGCGGAAATTTTACCGAGCGGATTTCTATGGAGTGTCCTAAAACTAAAACCAGATTGAGTAATCTCCATAGCAAATCAGAAACGCAGAGGAATACGACCAGAAGCAAAAAATGAGAACGTATGTAAGAAAAATTAATAAATCTGCCGCAAGCTTGAAAGTAATTATCACGAAGTCGCGATTTTTTTTCTCAGTTTTCAATTGGGTTCACTGAAAGAGCGACGTGAGTTTCTTTTTCACCAATCGCAAGGAAAAGTTACAAAAAGCCACACTGAGAAGTTCTGAAGCTCAATCACTTTCGGCACTTCTTTGAAAACCGTATAAGTCAATTAGGAAGGCTAATTTCTGTTCCAAGACATGCTCTTTAATGAGTCCATTAGTGCCTGTCTAATGTGTTTCATCTTCCAGCAGTAAATCACAGGATTCAGTGATGAATTAAGAAAAACCAGAGTCACTGAGAGGAGATAACATTTTTTCAATGTTGTACTCGAGCCGTAGATTTTAATGGAAGCCACGCAGACGTAAAAAGGAACATAGCAGAGTAAAAACACTATATATACGTAGAATACACTGACAGCAGACTTGAGTTGGCGGGCAAAATCTCCCATTTCATCGATGCGTTCTTTTGGCTGTATTTGCAGAGACCGCATGTGAACTTTATGGCGTCGAGCAACTAAATAAATGTTGATGTAAATCATTGCTGTAAGAAGAAAACAAATAACTCCAGCAGCTGAAAGAATTAAGTTCTGAGCACTGAAAGGAGCCCAAAGTATCACAAGGGAAACAAATAGACCCAGAAGCCAGTTTGATAAGATAACAGTAACAACACGCTTGTGGGTCACAAATTCCTGGTATCGCAGATGAAGATGAACGGCTAAGAACCTGTCTACACTAACAGCGACAACACCCATGAACGAAGCTACGGAAAAAGTAATGTTGATTATCATGAAGGCCGTGAACGTCTTACAGTTAGGATTGCTCTGTTGTACCCAGTTCACTTGAAGTGACGAATAAAATGGCTGAACAAACAGACCAACGCCAACATCAGAAACTGCAAGACTCAGCAGCAATGTTCTCAGAGTCTTTGACAGCGTCGAGGTTTTCCGTATCGCGTAAATCGTCATAATGTTCAGCATAATGGCGGTATAAGTTAAGAAAATGTTCAGGACACAATTAGCAAAGTTAGTCCATCGGAAATCGCTGATTTCGATAGGGGAGGGAAAATACTGCATGAACTCCTCGCAGAACTTTTCATTCATTATTTTATCGTAACTACACTCCACAAAAAGGGGGTTTTACTGTTTAAATTGCACTCACTTTGTTCGGAGTTTATAACAGTCCACCTGGGAATTAAACCATAATTACGGTCGTCATGGCTATAAATAGAACCCTTTATGAAAATTCAGCTTCTTTACATTTCAGAGATGTCGAGTACATAAAACAAAATGATTTGATGTCTGCAGCCATACACGAGAGCCATGCTATCATTCCAAACTCAAGAGTTCCTTTAAACTAATACAGAGACTGAACATCCTCGAACTGTCTAAGCATTAGGTTCGGCCCATTCAAAAATTATATTCTTTTCTCCTCCTTGACTTCATGACTACCAGATTTAGGCCGAAATATGGAACAGAACCTCTGCAAATATGAATGTTGTAAATGAAAAATGACAACGTCGTGTTTTAACAGTAATAATACGATAACGGCAAACGAGCAAATGGAACATCTGCTCACGATACTTGACGAAATTAATAAAAGATGCAGCAAATTAGCAGTTGCGGTCATCTGTTAAGTCTTTAAAAAAGCCATTTTAATTTTATTTTAAAGGAGATGTTAATTTTTTTTTTCAGAAGCTTAGCGTCTGAAAATTTGCTGGAAAGAAGCCAGAAAAACTCCAGACTTCGATGGGATTCGAGCTCGTCACTCACAGAGTTTTTGGGCGTTCTTGCCTATTGAACTTTGAAGTAGAGTTGGAAGTAAAAAAGTGAATAATAATCAGGGTCTATGAATTGTAACCTCTTCGGTCACATTCATTAAATCTGTAAACCAGAGTAGCATCAAACCATGTCTGATTGTCCACCTGGTTGCCGTGTGAACTTTAATATATTTTAGTGAATCATTTGTTTTCGGGGTTTTCCGTATCAGACTTCTCAGACTTCTCAGATTATGCGATTTAAGCGTGTGGTTTTTACACAGTACTGCTGGAAAAAGTACAAAGTTTCCAACGCACTTGCTAAGTTCAATAAATATTTTGTTTCGCGACCATCTTGTTGTGTTGCATACTTAGCTTTCTTTTGTTGTCTTTCATTGTCTACTGGCTTTCTTTCATTTTTTGTGTTTTGTCCAGTATGTGCGTGTGCGTTTGCGTGTGTGTGTGCGCGCGTGTGTGCGTGGTAACCTAAGTAAAGCTGCCCTATCTTTTAAGCCCTCAGCGGCTATTACGTGTAACCTGAACTCTCTCCATTTTTCAAGTAATGTATGTATTTTTTATCGTGTAAATTAAAGTAGGGTACAAATAAACAAAGTTGTTGTTGCCTTTGTGGTATTTCAGTCCTTATTTCCGGCAACTCTTAAAAATTGTTTGTTGAACCTTGAAAATATCTTTCCCCATTTAGTTCCCCATTTACTGTTTTAATAAGAAATCGGCCCTAAAGTAATACAGAGGGTAAGTTTTTGCCACCGTGAAGAACTTTTAAGGACATTACAGGTAAGAAGAAAGAAAAGATTCAGCTAGTAAATGAATTCAAAGCAAAGCGGGTAACGGAGCCCGTAGGTGAGTTTAAAGAGTAGTATGAAAAAAATGCTAGCGTTTATATGCACGTCTTCCAGGAGTTATACCATCCAGAAGTATGCTCTGAAATCCTATAACTTCTTTTACGCTAGGATGAGCCGCAAATGATCGAGAAATCCTGGGAACGAAATGGTACCCAGCGGTCGTTCACTGTCTCTACAAAATTTTCATGTAAGAAGGCACGTTTCTTCCTCAGAGAATAAAATTCAACATGGCGGCTAGCATGAGCAAAATGTAGTGAAGTCTTTTAATACTTTTTACCTTCGTTCTAAATGAGAGTATTGTCAATATTAAGGAAGTTTCAACTCCAGAGAACGTGTAAATTAATGGCAGCATCCCTGAGTACGTCCAAACCTACAGCAAATGTTTATCTGCAAGTTGTCGGAACAGAAACTGGCGACACAAGTCCATCGTTATATCTCTTTGCTGAATCTCAGAGGTATGCTGATGTCTGATGCTCAAAATGAATATGATATTTATTGTTTATCTTAATTTTTTCTCTCTCTAGGCATTAAGTTACCTTAAATATCTATTTTGACCTTAAATTCGAAGTGACATTTGAAAAAAAAATAGGATTTATTGACTGGGTGGTCGATGGAGGGATTTGTTGTTATTCGATTGACTAATAACTTGATTGACTGAATAACTGCATGATTGATTCACTGGTTCACATTGCTGTATTGCTGTTATGCACAGATATCTTTTCAACTGTGGAGAGGGAACTCAGAGATTATGCTTTGAACACAAACTAAAACTCTCAAGGGTGAACAACCTTTTCTTCACGCGGATATGTTGGGAGTACATTGGAGGTCTGCCTGGAGTTGCAATGACAGTGAGGGACTTTGGAAAATCAGACATTCGTCTTCATGGACCCAGCACCTTGTCTCATTTCATTCATGCCACAAGATTTTTCTTGCATCATGAAAACCTGAAGTTTGATTGTGTTGGATTCACAGGAGCAGATAAGGACAAGTATGAAGACGAAAATTTAACAATATGGCCAGTTCTTCTAAATGGTTAGTACTATTGTGTATTTTTATTTTGCATTTGTCATTTGTTCCTTCAAAGTGTGTACATTTAATTGCTTTCTTCTTAGTTTATATGCTATTAATTGATTTGATGCAAATACATGTTAACCAAGGCAGAAAATAAGTTGAGCTTGCAAAGTTAACCCTTTAACCCTCAGAAGTGATTGACATGTAACTTCTCCCTATTATATCCATATATTATTTGGCAAACAGGTAATGAGAGTATTCAAATGTATCAGGTAGAAGTTGTTACCTTGATCTCACAACAAATTCTTGTAACCAATTTAAAAGGAAACGTGTAGCAGCAAGAGGGAAGAATTAACAATCAGATCTTGGGAGTTAAAGGGTTAACCCTTTATATCCTTATATCAGTATGCATGTTCTCCATACTTACGTCCTTACCTTTGCCAAGGTGCTGACAATGAGAATTTGTTTAACTATCAAGAGCTGCTTTAATAGGTGACAATATCCTTTATTCACATGGCCTTAATATTTGATTTAGGGGTGATATTGGAAAGAGAAATTAGATCCTAATCACTGTTTTTTAAGGGGTTAAGGGGTTTCTTGGGGTTGCTAATAGAGACACATAAAACTACTGTTTCAAGGCTCTCTCTTTCAAAATACCCTGCAGATGGTGCTTGGAAATTAGCTGATGATTCTTCTCCTTCAAGTGGTGTGGATGATCTGCCATCAGTTAAAAAAGCAAAGATGGATAGTCCTGAGACATTAACTGCAGTCTGCTACATCTGCCAGCTTTCCACTCTACCTGGGAAGCTTTTCCCCAAGAAAGCCATTGAGCTTGGTGTACCAAAAGGACCCTTGTTCAGGGATTTTGTTGCTGGAAAGATTGTCACGCTAGAAGATGGACGCAAGGTCGGTTTTAAATCTCAATTGGACATTGTTTGTTCAACAGTACAATAAAAGAAACACTATTATTTTCACTAAAGAAACTTTCATTAAATGTGGTACTATATAATTATCTAAGGAAATGAAATTTGTGGGTTAATTTTTATCACTCATAGTCAACTTAAATATAACAGAGTATGATTTTTTATACATAACAATTAATTATCTGAAGATTTCTTGGCTATCTGATTCAAATATTATCAACATCACAAATTTATCCCTTTTTGTCTTGATTGAGGGTATGTTAATGCATTCCTACTCTTGTCAGATTGCAGTCCATTAAAGATATACAAGATATTCCATTCCATTTTTTTCCAGGTGCATCCTGAGCAAGTCATGGGACCTTCTCAGCCTGGCTCTGTTTTTCTCATCATTGAATGTCCCACAGTGGCATTTATACCATCATTAGTCTCCAATGAGCAGCTCAAAAAGTACTGGGAGGGAGGGCCAAACTTAACTCCTGTCATTATTGTACACTTGACACCAATGGATGTTTTCCAAAATGAAGAATATAAAGATTGGATGAAAGGGTTGGTAGTGTTCATTGTAGTTCCTGTAATGAATTTATTTCCTATTAGTTTATGAATAAATGATTTTGAACAAGAAGTATGAATGCCAATAACCTTAGGAGAGTAGTCCTAAAAAGTCACACTGTTGTCAAAATTAACCCTTTAACTCCCAAGATCTGATTGTTAATTCTCTCCTCTAGCTGCTACACATTTCCTTGTAAATTAGTTATGAGAACTTGGTGCTAGATCAAGATAGCAACTTCTATCCAATAAGTTTGAATATTCTCATTACCTATTTTCTGAATAATTTATGGGTATTGTAGGGAGAAGTTTTATGTTAATCACATACCAACATTTTAACAACTTGAGGTGAAGTCATCATTGGAGAAATTATAACTTTAATGCAACTAACTGAAGAAGCGAGTCATTTTCTCCAGTAACATTTCTTTGACCCTTTAACTTCCAGATCCAATTTGTAATTCTCCTTACTGTCAGCCATTCAATTCTTATAAAGCTAGTTCAGAGAATTTAGTATTGGATCAACTAATTATTCCCTAAGTGATATTTTTCTTTATTCTCGTCTCTTATCTGGTTGATATTGTATTGATATTGTAAGGAGAAATTCTGTCTTGGTCACTCATGAGAGTTAAAGGGTTAAGGGGCTATCCACACAGACCAATGATGCAAGACAGTTATTCTTTTATTTTTTGATGGGCAGGACAGTTGTTATGTGTAGCTCTTGTTTTAAACCATGTGCTGTAAATTTGTGGTGGGAAATATTGACATAATTTAAATATTATAAAAAACCAGGTTTGGAGACAAGGTGTCCCATTTGTTGATTAACAAGCATGTGTGTATGGCACCCCTGGTGTTTCAGTCTCAAGGAACTGTTCAGTGTAAATTACACACCATTAATCCAGAGATTTTTCCCCTATTGGAAACCATGGACACACCTGTAAGTATCATTTAATAGAATAATTTTTAGCATAGATTGGATTGTAAAATATGGCAAACCCTGGAATTAGTGCTGTGGATGCAGCTCAGTGGGACTTCAAATGGTTCATGTCGAGATAGTCATAGGTAGTCAGGTGCTGATGCTCACACAAAGTGTCTATTATGATAGGTTCGAATGTATTATTATACAGTTTGTAACTGCTCACATATTTTTTTGCAGGAAATAAAACAAGATGCCTTACCAAGGAATTGCTTTCCTGGGGAGAATTTACTCAAGTTTTATCTTCGAGAAGGTAAACAACAAGGGTTTGATAGGTCTGAGGTACTACAAAAGTTAGATGTGGACACAGTGATGAAAGAAACTCAAGCACTCTTAAATGAGCAATCTCTAGAGTTGTTATGTGATAAAGGCTTTGAGAAAAGAAGTACTGAAGAGAAGGAATCATTATCAGTAGCTGGTACTTCCAGATCACTTCCGACTAGCAGCTCCTTGGTGGCAAATGACTTAATCAGAAGTCCTCCTACAAATAGACTTGCAGAAAGTTGGTTTAGGAATGTTCTCAGAGATACCTTGGACGCTGTTGGAGTACCTCTATCAGCCACTGAAAGAAGTGGTTTTACTTTGAGTGAAATAACTCAAATGAAAGCAAAGAAAAGTGCATGGGAAATGCAACACAAGGATTATGAGGTAGTTTTCTTGGGAACTGGGGCATCTATTCCATCAAAATACAGAAATGTCAGCTCTACATTGATCAATATGAGGTAAGAAAAATGAGAGTGGAAATGAAGGAGAAGATTAAATAATATAGGAGCTTTGCCCCACCTGGTAAAAACATTCAGACTAAATAATTCACTTTAATTTGTGATTTATGATCCACTGAAATCTTCTTTATCCTCAGACATCCTGGTTTCTTTTGGTTTATCCTTGCATCTTTCCAGTTTGCCAACCTCAACAAAATTAACTTTTTCCTTTTTTTTTTTTAATTAAACTTTTTTTGATTTTTTTCTGGGACAATTTTCATTAACCTTACAAGCATTTGTAAAGATGATCATGTACATTATAAAACCTCCTCTATCCTTGAATTGGTTCTTTTTCATCACTAGACCACACATCTCAAATTAACAAATAATTTCCAAGTTGATTTGTGCGCATCTAGTAAACAATGGAAAACAGCTGCTATCCAAATGTGTTACAAACAAAAAGTTGGCAAAGAAGCTGCAGTTGATAGTGTCACTTGCACATAAAACATTTGTTTCTGTATTTAATTTCTTGAAAGTTTTAGTGAATACAACAAGCAAAAGTGGCACAGAAACCAAGTCATGTGCAAGTTTTGGGTTATAATGTGACAACCGTTCAATTATATTTGTGAATAGTGAGAGGGATTCCATACTCCTTGACTGTGGTGAAGGTACATATGGGCAGCTCTATCGACATTATGGTAAATATGTGGACCATGTACTGAGGCGACTCAAATGTGTTTTCATATCTCACATTCATGCTGATCATCACTTGGTAAGATAATAAAGATTTATTTTGTTACAATAACCTTGAATGATCTACCAGTCATTTAATAAGTCATTTAACCCTTTAACTCCCATGAGTGACCATGACAGTATTTCTCCTTACAATATCAATACAATATCAAGTAGACAAGTGATGAGAATAAGGAAAAAAAATGTCAATTAGGGGATTATAAGTTGATCCAATACCAAATTATCCAAACTAACATCATACACATTGTGTAACAGACAGTAAGAAGAGTTTCTAATTAAGGTATGGGGGTACAGCAAAATACTGTTGACCTGCATTGCCAGACACAGATAAAAAATGTAATCAGGCTTCTCACAGAGAGCAAGAAAAAATATCCTTTTGTCAGTCATTAGGTGTTTATATATGCAGAATTTTATCAATGGTAGCATTATGGAGGAAAATGTCTGTGTAATATATGTAAACATCACTGTGCATTTTTTCCCTTTTGTTGGAAACATTTTAATTTGTGAAGAGCACTTCCTATAGTGAGATTTGCAAAAATGAAATTATCTTGAAAATTATAATTAAATGACAATAAGGTTTAAGGGGTTTATTTCATTACATACTTGTATGTTTCCAAAGCTCAAATGCATGTTTTTGTTTTTTGTTATTGCTTTGTTTGTTTATTGTTTTCAAATTTGTTTTATTTATACTATATTTTTATTTTGGTCACTCTACCCCACAGGGTCTTATTCGTATTTTAAAGAAAAGAGAAACAGTAGATATGGTAAGGATTTTCCCTTTAACTCCCAGAAGTGACTAACGTGTAATTTATCCCTATGATATTCATACATTCTCTAGCAAATGGTCAATGAGAATACTCAAACTTATCAGGAAGAAGTTTTAATCTTGATCTTACACCAAATTCTCATAGGAAATGTATAGCAGCAAGAGGAGAGAATTAACAATCAGATCTTGGGAATCCAAAGGTTAATAGTTCAGTTAAATTTATTGTAGGAGGGTGATGTTCTGTTAATCATTGGTCCTGCCAAAATAGGAAAATGGTTGAAGGAGTACAACAGCTTCTGTGAGGACATTGAGTACAGGTTTTTAAAATTCTCCTCATTTTGTTGTTGCAATTAATACCTAATATGTAGTGCAATATACATATGGATATGATCTTTGTTTTATTATTATTAATAATTATGTAATAATCATGTAGTTATGATTATAATACTTTTTTGTCTTTGCCTGCTGTTTAATACCAAATGTCACTCTCCACCCAAGTCTTTAATTTAATTCTTGAAAAATATTACTTATCAGTTGCTCCTGTCAAGTCAATAACACGGAAAGAATCATTGTTTAATATAATTGTGTTATTGACTGCTAAAAGTACATTGATCAGCAAATTAAAAAAAAAACTTCAAAACAGATGTAAAGCTACAAAACATATGACTAGACAATCACATAGCCAAAGGTGATCATGCTTTTCATGAAACTGTTTCTTGCTAGGTTTGTGGACAGCAGGGACTTAACTGTAAAAGGCCTGTATGAAGATTACTGGTCTGTTACACATCACTTAGATGCAAAGGAGGTGAGTTTCAAAAGATTTATTAATAGATTAATGTGAAAGTCATCTCCTGGTCTCTAGCTTGAAGGAATCCTGAAGAAAAAGTGGATGCAGAACTGCAGACAATATAATTAATAATAACAAAACATGCTGTGCACTTGTGTGCTTACAGAAAACGATAGTGGCCTAGAACTATGTATAATTTGTGCATTTATTTTTCAGGTTTTAACAGTGCCTGTAGATCACTGCCCACAGGCCTATGGCTTGGTATTGACACACATACAAGGCTGGAAGATTGTTTATTCTGGTGATACACGACCATGCCTAGCACTGATTAAGGCTGGTAAGTCATTTGCAAGGGTGGTAAAAGGCACAAGGGATGAAGAGATGTATCCAAAAATAGATGGTTCCTTTCTTGTACACTCGAGCTAGGTGGCTTGCTCCCCTCCAGGGCAACCAGTTTTCTTGGTGTGGGGCAGTTTCCTATAGCTTTGGCAGCAAACCACCCTGAAATTTAATTCCAGTTGGTAAGGTTGTTCTATCTTGCAGTACAGCCAGAGGTGTGAACCTTTTAGGTAAAACATTCAGGGTTTAAACTATACCAGTTTTTATAGGCTGTCAGCAAAACAGGCTAGATCAATCCTAAATTTTCTTTACTAGTCAGAATAATTCAATGTTGTGGTGATGAATTCAGGTGCACAACAATAATTCAAAGTGTTAATATTTTGCAGGAACCGATGCTGATCTCCTCATTCACGAAGCTACTCTTGAAGATGAACTGATAAAAGAAGCTCTAGAGAAAAAGCACAGGTTTGGTAATGATGATTGGTCAGGGAACAATGAAATAATTGAAGGATTGCTCAACTTCAAACTAATGAGAAAACTATAAATATTATCAGTCAGTCAGTAGTTTAAAAAGGACAAATTTAAAACCACACAAAGATTTTGCCCAAGTTTGACATAAGACAGAGTGGGAGAGAGGAGAGAGGGGGAGGAGGGGGGTTTGTTTGTCAAAGGTAAAGAACATGGGAAAGTAAATCAAACACTTTTTTTCTCAAGGGAGAGAACAATTGTGATTTTTAAGTGCATTGTTATATTGTTTGGAAATAAATTGTACATCAAGCCATCAACAATGTATGACTTAGATTTTTTGTGAATTAGAGAGTGATGTCTCCTTTGCTCTAAGATATTATGAAAATCAGTAATTCTTCAGTGAACTTTCCTTTTTTCATCCTGAGTTGCTTGCTGTTGTTGTTTTTTTGTTATTCTTCTTTCTTTTTGGTTGTTTGTTTGTTAAATTTTTACTTGTTTTCTTTTCTGACCAGTACAACTACTGAGGCAATCGAAAGTGGAATGAAGATGGGTGCAAAGTTTATCATATTGAATCACTTTAGTCAACGTTATCCTAAAATCCCAGTGTTCAGTGAACAATTTACAAGGTGTACAGGCATTGCATTTGATCACATGAAGGTACAGTAAAAACTATGGATTAATCAAGTAAGTTTTCCCATGTTTACAGTGATTGTCCATTCTGCTTAATTTCCCAGCCAGCCAGATATTAATAGAAACATACTTCTTTCTTGATTGACTTTTTTGACAGGTTCACTCAAGCAATTTTTCAAAACTGCCACAACTACTGGAACCACTCAAAACTGTGTTTGCAGAAGAAATTGATGGAAGGACAAAAAACAAACAAACAGAAGACCTTGAATAACGAAAGAAAAATTTTTTCTGCTATATTTCTTTGTTGTTCACATTAACTTTACTATATTACTCTACACGTTTTCTCCTTTTAGCTAAGTTCACAATGGTTCCAAAGCTTCTTACTGATAAAAATATTACATTTGTATTTTTTGCCCTTTTCTATAGAAATTTTTCGTTATTAAACTAACTTCCTTCCTTCTTTTTTGTATTACAAACAGGTGTACTAATTACAAATTACAAACTTAGAAAACATGGTACAAAAACTTCATGCTTTACATGAGTTAGTGGATTTGTCTTTGAAAACAGTTAAAAATGATGGAAAATAAACAAACTATCTAATAAATACTACTTAACAATACATATCTAATAGCTGTCTGTGAGCGTAAAAGCATCCTGATGCAAATCTACTCTGACTTGCAGAGTATTTCTGCTGAGACCAGCGCTCAGGATGGTTACAAACTAAAATTTAATGGTAAAAAAAAAGTACCAATAGCTTTACTACACTTTTCATTTGCATGCATTGAAAAAGCAAGCCTAAATTTTTCAAATATAATAAAAAAAAGAAAAACTAAAACTACAGCAATTGAAAGAAAGTTGAAGTAAGTCTTCTTAGCCAAGTCTTAACAACAGCTCAAAATGTTTGAGGGTTGATTACTGTCACGCATGTACAAATATTGGATCGGATGTTAATGATATCTTAGGTTAACTGTATGGTGTATGTCTGGAAGAAGTTGTTTGATATGAAGCAATGTATGACACATCTGATGTACAGAAAATATTTGTTGGCTTTCCCACAATCAATACATAAAACATTATTTCATGGAAATAAGTATTTACAGCTTAATGTACATACTAAGCATGCTAATCTTGTGTAATCAGATATCTCCTTCATTATTGAGAGGTGTGTTCTACTCATGGAGAAGTATGAGACCAAAGAAAAGTGCATCTAAAGCTAATCAATGTAAATTTACATCTCATTAATAGGTCATAGAATTCAACATCTGTTCTTTTAAGAGAACAAAATGAATTTTTCTTCAGTTCCCTACCTCACTCCACTTATGGTACAATATTTTTCTATCACCAGGACAAAAATAAACTGTTGAAAAGACATGACCTCTTGAGTCATTGTTTGACTACTTCCTCTCAATCAGTATTTACAACATGATTTCAAATAACAATGGGTGATATCAACCCATCTCTAAAGCAAGACAGTATTGTCTTGCAACATACCCGAGCCCCACTTTGCATAATGCCCTAGAAAGGGTAGTCAGATTGCAATGATCTGGGTAGCGATCTCGCCATGCTAAAAGCACTTGATATGGCTTTTCATACAAGCTATCTTTATTGATGCTGCAGTCATGTTCGATCTCTTTTATTTTGCTATCACTAACCCCCAACACTCGGCCAAGCTGTTTCCACTCTCCATTTCCAATTTTTTGGGAAAGGTCATGGAATTTCTCTTCCCAATTTATAGCCTCTGGAAGTCTTCGTTTGCGAGCATTCTTTTTTACACAAGGGCACATTTTTAGTTCCATTTCTGTCAGAATCAAAATATTGGGCAGTCAGTCAAGAATGAGAAAAGTGTGGATATGTCTGTGCATCTAAAAGAACAAGGACTTTGTTTAAAGTATATTGTCTTTTTTCAGATGTGATGGAGGTCAATTCTCAGGAATACTCCTAGGATGAAGACAAGTGAATTTTCTCTTTGATGACACATTAATACTAACATTTTACATCTTGCAACCTAGAAACACTCTTCCCACACTTTAACTCTTTAGCTCCCAGAAGTGATTAACATGTTACTTCTCCCTATAATATCCACACATTATGCAGCAAAAAGGTAAAGAGAATACGCAAACTTTTAAGGTAAAAGTTGTTATCTTGATCTAACACCAAATTCTCCCAGCTACTTTACAAGGAAATTTGTAGCAGTTAGAGGGGAGAGTTAACAATCAGATCATGGGAGTTTAAGGGTTAAGTGACCAGAAATTCTTGGAGAGAGAGGAATAAAAACTTTCTACTATGATAAGGGAGGGGGGGGAGAGGATTAAATCTTGTTTACATAGATGTTTAATTTATTTAGCCTTGAGATTTCATGGCTCTCTGGATCACACAAAAACAAACTTTCACCTGGTGTGTCTCCTTCCACCATTCTTGTGGATCCAATCCTGTTGTTTATTTTCTGTTTCACTACATTCCCTGGGGAACCTGTTTTGTAAAGAGCAGTAATGAACTGATGAGGTATTCCACCACGTCTTTTATAGTCTGCGATAACTGCTGCCATTGGGTTGTCATTTGTGCTGAAATTGCTTATCTCTCGTGGAGTATAACCCAGTTGTTTAGCAACTTCATGCCACACCTCATCACCCATGTCTGTTTCAGCATTGATGCTCAGCACGTTTGTCAGTTCCTTAGTTAATTGAACTTCCCAATCAAGACAGCTATCAGCATCATCAGCATCATGAGGCTGCAACAAAGAGTTTAAATTCAAGATAGTTATTGTGAGGCAAAGTAATTGAATACATAATTTATGTAGTAAGTGTAGTCACCAGCAGAAATGTCACTCTTGTTGGTTTATTGTGTAAGAAAGATGTTAATTATAAGTTAAGTAGTCAATTAGAGGAAGTTATTATTGATTTCTTCTTGTGAGTGTAGGACAAAGGAGAAAAACCTTTAGTACCTTAAGGGATTCAACCCAAAACCTTTAAATTTTGCAGTCTGATGCTCTCTTGCCATTAACCCTAAGAATGACCAGCTTCTAATTTCTCTTTACATTAATATTGCTGAATCATTCATTAAGATCATGAGAATAAGGGAAATGATCATCAACCTAAGCACTTGTGTGATTACACAAATTCTCCTTGTCAGTACCAAAGGAACTGATAAGAAAAGAGTATGGAGAATCTGGATACTGATGTTAGGGTTTCACAGGTTAAGCTACAGAAAATCTCATGGGAGGTTTGCTCTAAGTTGTAGTTGTTCTGTGTAGTTAAGCATTACATGAGAGCTTACCCTATTTAAGAGGAAAGAGAAAACTGGCTTGTTTTCACCACTCTTTGATAGTTCATCCACAAAAACATTACCAAAGTTTCCATATGGTGGCTCTCCCTTAAATCGACATCCAAACTGAATCACAAATGGACGGCCAGTGAAGTTCTCCACAGCTACAAGATCTTTAACACCAATTGAGGTGTCTGTGTCAAAATGATCTGATTCCAACCTTGTAACAGATATGGTTTGAAGAAAGTGTTTAGTATGAACAATGTGAATTGTCATATCAAGTCAATTAAGGTTTAAGCTGGGGAGAGAGGTGAAATTTGACATTGTATAAAGTTATGAAATGGTTCAGAGGCACTGAGAAAAAATAATTGTAAAGGTAAAGGAGGAAAAACACATTACTCCTCTTCAACTAATTTTAGAGCTGATTCATTTTACTATGTACAAAATAAAAAAAAAGGCTTGAGAAAGGTGTCTGCTCTCATCAGATGATTTTTTTCTTAATCTACACACTGTTTTCTGCACAAATTGTACAGATAAAGAGGGAGGGGGAGGGTGGAGGAGAGGGTTCTTAGGCCCATGCCACACTTCCTTGATAAAGAGTAAAAAAACCTTCAACCTTCAGTTGATAATAAAAAGACCTGCTGATTTGGGTTTTTACCATACTATGTTTATGTTAATTTACAATGTATCTTTCCCATTTATTCAAATACTCCTAAAGATATGAGCTACTTAGCTACTCTAAATTTGGGGTAAAATGAAGTCACATTTGTTTTTGTTGTAAGTCACTGATGTTTCAAAAGTTGGACCCCAGTATTGGAAAATCCTGCATGTGCTGGTGCACATTTATAAGGCATACATTTTAATACATACAATCTGGTTAAGCTTACCTGATTTGCAGCCTTCCTGTGTGTAGCAGTCTCGGTGCAATACATTTACCAACAACAGTAGGAAAATTGCCAATGTCCTCCAAAGGTTTACCAAATCTGTAGCATGCTATACAAAGGCCAAACCTCAGCCCATTCTCACTCACTTCTGACATCAAAGCTTGAAAGGAAACACTGAATTGGAACAGAGGAATGATACTAGAAGCACCCAGCTTAGCTTCCCACAAGATGGTATCAATAATGTTCCAGAGAACTCTAACGAAAGAGAAATGCTCCACGGAGAAGTACACAGAGCATAGAGCATTGTCATCGTTATCAATGTGGAAAAACCTAGGATAGAACTGCTGCCACTGGAGATCTTCTCCATCTGTTGTAGAACTACACCAAAATGTGAGCTGCCTGTCTCCATACCTCTCTAAAATCTCTTTGCCATCTGGAAGTGGAAGGCGCACAGTCACAGAGTCAGCAGAATGTAGATTAAACACACAGCCATGAGGACCAAGTTGGACAACTGGTGTAGCAAGTGCTAATGCCTCTGGGTCAGAATGATCAACATCATAAGGGTGATCTGCATAAAGAACCTTCACAGATGCTTCGATATCATGAAGTAATGATGTGTCTGGGAAGAGAATTTCCATTCCAGGGACTTCGGGGATGTGGAGACAACCACCTATACCAGCTTTTATGGTCTTGCGAGCTTCAGGGTAGCCTTTTGTTACCACAATCGCAAAAAGACTGAAATGGTAGGCTCTGATTTCTACATGAGAAGTGAAGACCTTGTAGTCACTTGGATTCATTTTTTCCCAACTTGTTCTCTGCCCAAAACCAGTGTTGCTGCAAAGACAAGTGACAACATCGTACCTTCCAACTTTAACATCAAAAGGAAAACTGATGATGGCTGGATCATCTTTGAAAAACTCGGCTCCATGTGGTGTCATCTCAATAACTTCACTAGCAAGCACCTCCCGACTCTTGAGTGTAGGAGCAAATGACATATCTTCTAACACCTCAAGATGAAATTCTGACTGCAGATGGCCAGTGATATTTTCCTCTGGGATAATAACACAAATGTCTCCCAGACTTATGTGTCTACGTCGGTCAATAACTGACTCTAAGTCAGAGTCATTGATGTAACAGTCATTTTCAGAAACTTCACTCAAACATGAGCTGCCACTGTCACTTGAGAGCTTTCTCTGCCTCAGATTTGCTGGTAAATTGTTGTTGAAAGCATCATCTAGTGAAGTAGATGATTGAAAACTCAAAAGAGAATCTTTTCTGTTTAGGGACGAATGCTCCCTTACTCCAATGCTCTCTGTGATGGAGGAACAAGTTCCATATTCACTTGTAGTCAAGCATCTTGGTCTTCTTCTGTTCAGACTCTCAAGATCCAGGCTAAAATCTAACCTCCTTCTTGTATAAGGAAATGGTGCCAGTTTACACTGTTCTTTCATCTTACGCAAGGAGTCAATGTTTTTTTTTCTAAGCTCCTGCTTGTGAAGAAGCTTGCTTGTCTGTTGTTTAATAAGGCAAAGTTCATTTTGATGAGACTTTTCCAAACTGGTTACAATGTCCTGATGTTGCTCAGCATATTTATCTGGTAAAGTTTCCTCAGGCAAGGATGCAGAAATCATGGAATCATCTTCAATTGGTGAACATCTTGAACTTGGGGAGGTCTGCTCACAGACTAACTTTTTAAATCCTACATCTGGTTCACTTTCAGACAACAACAGGGGTCTGTCCAAAGTATTTGAGCGCAGCTTTGGTCTTGCAAAGCATTTTCTTTGAGGAGACAATAGCCTCAAATTTGTGTGGCAGTTTCTGTCACTAGCATCTCTAGTGCAAGGCAATCTAAAGTACCTGCGTATGCAATCTATTCCTTGAAGATAACAATCCCTGGGGATGTTTTCAATGAGGTTACGTACAAGGTACAAATGTTGAAGGTTTGGTAGAAGAAGCAACCAAGGTGGTAAAACTTCCACCAGGTTCCCAGCCAGATTAACCCACTCTAGAGTTCTCAATCTTGAAATGCAAAATGGGACTTCTTGAAGACCATTATGTACCAGATCAAGTCTTGTCAAGGCTGGAAGATCTCCAATTTCTTTGGGCAAAATTTTTAAGTAATTATGTCCAAGGTAAAGTTCCTCCAAACTAACCAGTTGGCAAATACAACTGGGAAGTGACTGGAGGCCATTAAAACTTAGTTCCAAAACTGTCAAGTTTTCCACCAAAGGCTTTGCAAAGATTTCTTTAGGTATGCTGGCAATGTGCAGACCACGCAGATCCAAGAGGCTCTGACATGATTTTGTGGCTCTTTGTAAAATTTTCCTTTTCTCTTTGAGCCCAAAAGGACTCCTCATTTTCACTCCATGGCGCGGCAAAATCCAACTGGAAAAGAGAAAAGAGCAGAAAGCCTCTCTTAAAATCCTTATCAAAACTTACAATTTTAAGGACTTTGAAGATATCTAAATATCCTTGAAGATTCTAGGAGCATCCTATTGCAAGATCTTTGCTGAATCTTATCGAAAATCTTTCAAGAAATCTTAATTTCGAAGTTTGTTTTGCTAAGTCTCTTGCGATCCTGAGGCTCTCTGAGAGGATTGCGAGATCAACTTATAGATATACTATTAGCTAGTAGATTAACATAAATAAACGCAAAAATCCCGATTAACATCCTCAAAGATTTTTCATTATTTCGTCTGATTTCAGTGGAAGTGACAGAAACATCGTTATTGAAGAATTATTGTTGCTGAGCGAAAGTTTCATCCAGTAATTAAATTTTGACACATTTGAAAACAGCTGAAAAGGGTTTAAAGGGCAAAATGATTACAAAAAAGGTCTCTAACCATATTATTGGAAGACTATCGACAAGAACGCTCACTTGATCGCTATCGTAGAGTTGAGATATTAAAAGAGCTCGGCAAAACAGTCGAAAAAGTTTGCACGCGAAGGGGATAACTTGGAAAAAATCACAAACTGCTAGTGACTTGTTTGTTTGTTTACAAATTCCAGATGGCAATTAAAAACCCCTTTTTCTTCTCCACAAGGGTTTCCTGTTTGAAACAAATTAAATGTGTGTAGAGGTACCGATAAATAACCATAAACGTTTCACAAGAATGGGCTTCAAGTTTTCAAAGAATTGTGCGCGTGGGTCGTGTGTCAAAATTTTAAACTCTTGAAATCCAGCGGTAGCACGGATATGACCTATGATCATTGTTTCTCCCTTCTTTGCAAATGTTGAGCCAATAGGAGGAAATCGATACACACCTGTACCTTTCATATTCAGCAACAAAAACACCGATATTCCATTACCTCGACACTTCACCTCCTTCAAGCTTTTGACTCTTTGTACAAGTTTGAGGCTAGGGCACGCGCAAAAACGGACAATGGACCTGACGTTTCTATGGAAATAAGCGCGTGTTTTTGCTGGTACCACGTGTCCTAATCCCCTGCGTGGGTAGTAAGTAAATGGATCTATGTCTTCTGCAAAACTTTTCACGCTAGCGAAAAAGTAATTTAACAGTAGGTCCTTTCAGGAATTCAACGTTGTTTAAAGAACCCAATACCAGCCGACAGAAGTATCAGATATCACATATGATATCAAGAACTAACATGAATTAAAGGTATGCTGCACGAAAACAATCAGTTTGCACCCACAAGTTGAGGTAAGGGAGGTGGGAGTAGGGGTGGTTGGACCATACTTCGCGGTTTATTGCTAACATATGACTGTTGATAAATCACACTGTACTTGATTCTAACTAGAATAAATCTTTACTCCTCATTCCTTAACTAAGATAATCTGCGTTGATTTTAAACATTTTTTCGGCTGGGAAATTTCCAAGAATATGCAAAGAATTGTCAAATGATGAGTGCAAATCTCTTGTCCAGTCCTCCCACGATCGAGTGGTTACAAGGGATTTGAGCATGGTTCATCTGACGTTTTTTATTTAATTTCATCTTTCCCAGCCCTTGTTATTCTGCAACACCCGTTCCCTTTTTTGTTTCATTATTTACTAGCGCAAGGAGACCTAGCTTGCGCGGTGTTTTTTCTTTCAGTTTCCTTCCAATTAGCGACAATTTTCAAAAACCCTCTAAAAACTTTGCGAATATTCCTGCCAAATATCTTCAAGGGATAGTTGAAAATTCATCTTCGCGCGATTTTATTCTCGGATTGATGTATCACCTAGCCTTCAGGTAATGAGAATATGCAGGCTGACGCGCTGATTGGTGTTATCTTAATGAAATACCTAAATTTCCCAACGCCCTAGTTTGTAGGAAAAAGTTTCCCAATGAGAAGGGAGAATTAGTAATCTGATCTAAGAGTTAATGTGATAAGTAAACGCCAGTAGAAGGAAACAGCCGCACTAAAATCCATATTTAGCCATACCTTTACTGTCATAAACACAAGAAATAGTTTCTCTGTTGTCATAATAAAACGTTCTCTGAGCTGTAAATAACACTAGTAATTTTAAAATTCTGCTGCTAAGCCATCGCTAAATATCATGGGGCTTGACTTTGTTATCACACCTGGATTAAGTCCGTTTTCTTCTACAAAATCGATCACGGAGTATGTCGGCAATAATGCATTACTAAACGCGTTAAGTTACTCTATCTTCGCTAGTTTCGCCTAAAACGAATGACACATCGTCCGAAAGAATTATTTATAACTATAATCTTATTTGCCAGCTTCTTCAATTACTAGGTTTTCAAGCCAGGTTGTCATACTTTGATAGACTCGCACCCAGTCGTTAGTGGTGCCTTCGAAGTGAGAGAAGACTTGAATCTAGATTATTAAGAAAAAGGTGTCATAACGCCCAATATTCTCTCGTCCGAAAAATGCAAATAATAATTGGGTGCGAGTCTAATTTCTGGAAGCTAGTAATATCTCATCATTCAGTTCTGTACATATAATACACGATTGTATTGCTTATATAGTGGATATATTATTAGACATAAGAAATAATAAGCTCTTTATATAATCCAGATTACATCGTATTACAGTTACAATGATTAACTTACAAGACTGAGTATTCTGAGAAAAACCCAAAGTAATGAAATGAAACACTTTCCAGGCAAGAAACACCATCACATAGAAATGAGTATAAAAATACTTAGGCAGATAAGGACATAGCTGTAAAACGTTGTACAGAGATGCCAAGATTGAAGAGTCTTTTCTCAATGAATTTATTTTGAAAACGTCAGAAACACATAAAGAGTGAAAAGAAAAGGGACCAATTCCAGAGATGTCCGTTTACGTCCTAAAAAAACTGGCATGAGTAAATTGAAGCCTCCTTTCTGTTCAGGGGACACTTGTTCAAGTCCCGACTATGTCCCATGAATAAAATTCCAATATAAATCTAATGAGTAAAACACACACGAAACAGGCCGCCGTTTACGTTCATCTAACAACGACCCGAGTAGTAGGTACGCGACTCTTCTTGGGGAAGACGCTCTTTCCACGGCATTTCATTACAACAACGTAACACCTCACTGTTGCCTAGTAATACAATATAGGCCGACCCATACTCTGATGAGTCACACAACACAACAGGTAATGGAATACTGTTTCTCAAAGCGTGGCTAATGTTCAACTTTTAACACAACACATCACACTACAATGTTACTTAGAGTGCGATTTAACCGCGCCCTGTTGTTCAGAGGACGGATAGCACTATCCGACGGACAAATCGCCATCCAGTGGTTAACTGTGAAGAAAGTTTACTACGCTATCACCGGAAAGATGTTTATCCAGTGGATAGCATTATCCACCCTGTGAACAACTAGGCCTTGGTGTATAATCTCATCCGCCCACCGAATTACTAGGCCCTCAAGTTAGAAGTAGCTACGTTACGATTTCAGAGGCTTACTAGTGTCTAGAACTCGTCATTTTCATTCCGATATATCATTTAAATCTTCATTTGTCCTAGTTGCTTTTCAATTTGCTTTTAGCTTTCTAATGTTATTTACCCGACCAAAATACTTTTACGAAGTCTTTTACTAAGAAATTTATTTTCTATAATCTAAATTGGCCCAAACTAATGTGAAATAATTTGTATGGTAGCACGACAATTTAGTTACGATTATATTACGACGTGTTTGTAAAACTAGTACAAGAAATAATTCAAGACACTATTCTCTACTTTAAGTAAGACTTTCTCTTAAGCGGGAAAACTATTCTTTTAAAAAATGTATTAATGTATTAAGCTATTTGTAATCTGCCTAGTAGCCGCTCAAAAGTTGCCGAAAATTTAAAGACGAACTATGGATACCTCGATGTTTGACCGATCGATGATCGCGGAAATACCGCAACCAAACGAATGAAAACTTTGATGAACTATCGACTTTCTTCACCAACATAGATTATTCAGGAAATATCTACCAACAAACCAAAGTCACCTCAAACAGATTTAACTGATAAATACAACGTTTGAGGTCACTTTATCGATTCACTTCTTAACTTACTCCTTAGACTCTTAAGCTGACTAGTTACCGACAACACACCACGAACAAAAAGGCTACCGAGTGCCGACCGAATTTCTCCCGAAATTTTTATCCGACAAGCAACGTACAGACCGATCGACTGAGTAGCGCGTAGTCGTTTAATCGACGTTCGTGCTGGGGTGAAAATTTACGACCGCTGACTTATTTGGTACCAAGTAAGCGTTTTCACATAATAAAGTATTTCTGTTGCTTTACACATAGAGCAATTTTCAATGGAATGTCGCAAGTAATCCGGAATTACTTAAGTTCTGCTTTACCTCGCTCTGTGGTTAGCCCAGAAAACTCGTGCCATCCTTTCAGACGCAACACCAACATCAGTCGTGGCTTGGTCACCCACATTTTCCCACGCTTTGGGTAGTTTGCCTGTATTAAATATGAGTTATCATCGGCTAACGATAATGTTTTTCTTTGTTATGATAACTTTGGTTTCCGTTCTTCGACAGTCAATTGAAAAATGCTCTTACTAGCTCCCGTTTGAATTGAAGCAACCGTTAACTAAAACGTATAAAAGGGTCACGCGTCTCTCCGAAGCTAAGAAACAGAGCAGGACTTTCTTTCCCTGTCACACCATTTTCATGCAAACAACCAAGTTAGACTCTCTAGTTATAGGGTAAGCATCATTCTAAGTAAGCTATTTCCACCTTGATGTAAATTTGGATCCACATTCTTCGCACCTCCGGGCTCTTTCTGAAAAGTTTGTTTTTGAAAGCATTGATTCACACCGGACTGGTTTAAGTGCATACCATTCGGAGGCTGAAATGCATCGGATAGCTGCACAGATTCTGAGAGATGTCCATTGTGAAACTGTTCAGGGTTAGTGTAAGGAGCCATGGTAGTGTTTGCATACAAGCTTGGCGTAATTTCATCTACGCTTGGCATATCTTCGATTTTTGGGGGCAAATTCTGAGCTAGGTTAGTGGCATTAGTTGATGAAAACCACAGGCTAGTGTCTTGACTTGGTACACTTGTGGTGTTGGAGTTTAACATAAAATCAAGAGGAAAATGGTTTGCAGAAGAAGCATCTACGACTGGGTTAAAACCAGCACCCCTTTGAGGGTGGGGTAGTCCATTATGGTTATGTTGGTAGCTCGGCGTAAATGACTGAGGGAGGGTTCCCTCTGGGGAACGGAATGCTGGATTAAACTCCTGCCCATTGTGCAACGATGGTGGCAATCCATCTATGGTTGCTGACATCTGATGAATTTCCTGCTTAGATATGCCGTTAACAAAGGCGTTTGAAGAATTCACATGGCTGAGGCTACTCATGTCTGGTAAAAACGGATATACAAAGTTATCTGCGTCGGGTTGTTGAGTTCCAACGAACTGTGTGCTCGTAACATTGCCTTGAACCATCCCGGGTAAAGTGCACCCGTTTGGTTGATAAGGCGGACGCATTTCACTCTGCAAAGCCTGGGGATAGTTCATCGAACACTCATCGTCGTCATCCGGGAAATTTACCTCAGGTAGAACAGGCGATGAGTCAACTGGATAACCGGCCCAAGGATCAGCGACATTGTGAACACTTCCCCCATTGATAGCAAGTGTGTTATCAGCCCGAGGTAGATGGGTTAAGGAGTTTGCTTCATCACCCATAAGGAATTGTTTGATGCGATGAATCTCTTCGTGAGCCGACTTACTCCGTTTTGAGAACAAATGAGTTGAATCATTCCTGTTTTCCGTCTTGAAGTTGTGACCAGTTCCACTGTGCGCCAAAGTTGGCTTCATCTCTACAGGCTGCCTGTTAAGGTGTGCAGACCCAAACATACACGACTTTGATGAACCTGACGTCAAGTCAAACGTAGGCAATTTAGGACCGCTAGGTTCTGCCACATTGGTTGCACTGCTAAAGTCAATAATCTCAATATCTTTGGAGTCGTCCAGTAACACTTCATCAGGTATGGCAGTCATTCCTACTATGTAAAGAAAAGAACAACTTTTATTGTTACCTTAACTACGTCATTTTCTTTGTTAAGGATTTCATCAGCCTTAGCAACTACTGGCATAAAGACGATTGTTTGGCAGCTTAAAAGAAGCAATGTCAAATTCGTATAAATCTACCAATGTTCTATCACCCATACTGCAATCTGATCGGTTACGCCGTTCGCTATCTATTCGGTGATGGATAGTAAGCGGTCTTGCAGTGTGTGATTGTAAACAAAATAATAAAAATAAAAAAATAAAAAAACTCGAGCCTCTTTTGTTGTGAGGTTTTGAATGACCAGTGGAAGTGTGCCAAAACAACAAACAGATTATTCGCTCTCCATTTCAATGCCTGATAATTGACTCGAGCTTCTTAACTAGCACGCGACAGAAATCTCAGGCTCATAATCTAACTAAAAGCACCATTTTTTTTGCGAAGTGTAAAGCTACCTTCAGCTTTAAACTGAAAAAAAATTGGTTCAGTCGGATAGGAAACAAACAAAAAAAAATTTAAAAAAATTGGTTCAGTCGGATAGGAAACAAACAAAAAAAAATAAAAAAGAATTGGTTCAGTCGTATAGGAAACAACGATAGAGGCAAGAATAAACCAAGGATGGCTAATTAAAGAGATTAAAACAGATGTTATTTGACACACTTGAAAAAACTGAAACTACGCTTAACACAAACCTTCCCCACTGATGTTACCAGTTTCCCTGGAGGTGGCCAGAGGTGGCACGGCAGCTGAAACAGGTCTGTTGGACGAGAATGATCTACCCAATGGGGTTGGTATCCCTGTGTGTGCCCCACTTGATGCACCCGTTATGCCTTGTGGAAGTAGTCCGTTTGGTGGGGGTGGGGGTGGGGGATATGATCTGTCTACTGCACACGGCAAATCCACTGGGCGTGGTTCATCTGGTACATTTTGTGACCGGGAAGGAACAGATGAAGGAACAGATGAAGGAACAGATGAAGGAACAGCGCCCGTTTGAAGTCCATTCGCTTGTGGCGGTGGTGGTGGTGGTGGTGGTGGTGGTGGTGTTTTAAGCCCTTTTTCTTGACTAATTACCTTCAGACTTGCATTGTGGTCATCCTCACCGGGAACCGAAGGAAGAGACTTCTGACGAGACTTCCATTCAAGGAGCGCTTCATAACAAACCTTTCTGAAGTATGGTCCTTGTTCATCGCTGAAAGAAGTAAAAAAATTTTACGAGAAACTCAATGAGAAATTTAAAGCAGACGCAAGGTAAATTCATGTCGAATCCCTTGCACTGTGGACAATATAGTTAGAAGATCTTCCTATACAAACACCCCTATAAGGGAGTAGTTATGATTTATAATTAGCACAAGGAGAAGGTCTGTTTCCCATTTTTCAACCGTCCACCATCTTGGAAAAAGCCCTCTCTTCCCCTCCCCTCTCACAGGCGCATCATATTCCCACGAGAATCACACTCCCACGTAAGTCCCATTCCCACACGAGTCACACTCCCACACTGCGCAAATAAAGAAGAGGACTGGTGACGAGTCAGTGCCCTGTACATCACTTTAAACCAAAACTAAAAGAGGAAAAGAAAATTGTTCGACTCACTTCAAAAGAACATTATCAGCAGTAATAGCCTCTGGCTTGTTATTCTTATCATACAGAGTCCTTGCCTTCCCTCTGATCCACTGGAATACTCCTTGACCATTTGTAAGCCTGAACACTATTTCACATACTCCTGTAGCTGTGACTACAATGACAAAAAAAAATGTGTATGTTAAATACCTCTCTGCGATTTAAGTCAGTATATCACAGCGCCTCTCGAGTTCTCAAAACTCACCCCAGTTTGAGTAGCAAGAAGTGCCTAGGGGTGCTACTCCTTTGGAAATGTATTCTCGGCCATCACAGAGTGCTCGTGATTGCTCGAGAGGGTAGCGCGTACACTGTCCATTCACAAGAGCCAGAGACTTAAATAGTCACCTTAGTAAACATTAGTTGGTCGCATCAAGCAACGCTTTCTCTCTCGAACACCTTGATTGACGCAACCAAACGACAGCTGTCACGAAGTCTAAGAAACAAACGCATACAACTGCGGACAACTATCGATGATAAATTAAAATCCCCTCTACGGCAACAGAAGAGTGCTTACTTTGTTGGTGGGCCAGCATCAGACTTGGGATATCGTCAGGATGAGCAACCATATAACTAGTCATATTTACAGCCTCCTTATCAGGATAAAATAAAGATTTCTGTCCTCTGTCGACACAAACAGAAATAAAACACTAACTGTCAACATTGCGTTGAATAAGCAATAGAATACAAGTTGTAAAGCTAAGTTAAAACACTTTAAAGAAGCCCCCAAAGTGCAACGCTGCAAGGGGTTCTTAAAGGAACTTCATTACTGTCAAGTTGTTAGTTTCCTGTATTGGGAAAAGATTTCCGCTTGTCTATATGACCTTCAGCTTGAAACTCATTTACAACCTAACTGTTAGGTCACGCAATTTTAAGACCTTATCAGGCGGCTACGATTTTCATGGCTGCCTACAGGAAAGTGCAAATGCAGAGTGTGCTACCAAAGAGTTTCGGAAAGTGGAGACAAGCGAAAAGATAGGCAGGTGAAAAAAGGAAAGAGCGTCAGAGTAAACAAAAATGGGGGGAGAAGAGAAGGAGAGCTTCTCATCCTACTGCTGATTCCTCCTAAAACCGTCCAGCATTGTTTTTCGCCAGGAATTTTTCCAGCTATTTCGCTCGTCCTTTCTTCCTTGGAATTTCAGTGGTACAGGCTAGTTTGTAAGGGACTTCGGAACAATTTCTGCCACATGGATTTAAATATGAAACACACCTTGTGTCAAGCTTGCGTATCCTCAGATCTAGTCCCATCTTACAACTGTACAACTGAAGCAACTCTTTAGGAGTACTGGTAAATGGATTGGCGGGGTTGACTGGAGTAACAAGAGCAAATAATCCAAACTGCTTCTTCTTGCCATTCAGTAGAGGCTTGATTTTTCCGTCAAATTTAAATGACTGTGTGATGATCGAAAAATAAGAACCACATTCACCCTTTCGCTCCTAAAATCTGATTCTTAATTCTACCCTATAACTGTAACACATTTCCTTGTCACTTAGTTATGAGAATTTGGTGTTAAATCAAGGCAACAACCTCTACCCAATAAGTTTGGGTATTCTCATTATCTGTTTTCTGGATTAAGTATGGATATTATAGGGAGAAGTTTCATGTAAATCCCTTTTGAAGTTTGAGGGTTAACACAAAACAGGGTCTTGAACCAAGTTTAAGATTTGGCAATAACACCAACAATAAGAATTAATATTAAAAATACCTTTAACAACACTGAACCAATCAGAGCAGGCACATTTCTATCATCACTTCCCCCCGGTTATGCAAAGGATGGATAACACTAACCACTGAATAAATCTCTATCCAGTGGACAGCACAGTAGGCTTTGTTAACGCTTATCCGCTGTATAGCGATTCATCCATCCAATAGCATAATTTACCCCTCAAACAACCAAAGCCTGAGCTACTACTATTGAAGACTGAGCCTGAACGTAGTTGAGTTTGATTGACACAACAAACGATTGCAGTCGTGCATGTCGCTTTTAAGGAGTGTTTTTTCTTAGAAAAGGTGTGAGAGGATAAAAAAAAAATAAAAAACGGTGGCGTTTAAAGAAAGAAAACCTGTGATTGTGACTTTGGGATACTAAACTTCTAATGCCACGGAGGCATTACCGAAACTACAACTCGTGTAACAAGTTTTACCACAGCTTCGTGTTTTACTACTGTAACTACCTACCCTATAGTAGAATGGACTAACGTGGCTTGACTGTCTTCCTGCATGGCACTTGATGCTGCAGAAGCACAATTGAGGAATTGGTTGTTCTGGAAACAAAGATTGTTAAAGTTATATTTAGGCTCTTGAACTTTTAATGATTTTTTCTACAATAGACTAGGTTTCAAGAGTAATTTTCACTTCGGCGTTGAAAGTAAATCTGGGATGTTATGGACATTTTTCAAATTCATTAAAAAATAAATAAAATTTTAAAACTAGAAGTAATCACAGGTTACGGAGTGCGTTTGAGTTACCAGTTGACTCTAGAGTCTAGCGTGGTTTTTCGTGTCAGCTATTTTGTTAGGAAAGGCCTAAACTCCTTATACAGTCAGTTAGAGATTGGTTCCCAAAAATTGCTTTAACCCATTCACACCTAAGCGTAACACGTGCCTACGCAAAAGTTAAAATTTGGAGAAACAAACAGGTACACGGATCGGATTTCAAAGTAAATAAGCAAATTTGTCCGTGTGTGAAGATAATTTATGTTACACGGAATTATCTTTAACTAAAAAGCAAGACGAAAGTGATCGAGAAATAATTCGGGACGAAAGCTTTATTCAAAACAGTTCTTGATTTGCTGTTAGAAGCTAAAAACGTCCACATTCGTTACGTGTAAAAATAAACTTCTGTAAAATTACTGGTAAATTGAATACTGATTAAGACTGGAGAATTTCACACAGAGTTCAATGTTGATACCTTCCAATTCTTGACAATCAAGTCCCATTCCGTTTTCCAACTCGACAATTCTCTTCAAAAAAAAAAAGTAGAGATAAATGGGTCAGTTAGTTAAGTACAAAAACTTAGCGAAATGAAGTATTTATCACAGGACAAACTTGCCATTTGATATTTCACTATTTCAGGCTCTGTATGATAGCTTCCTTAAGTAAGCTTGGAGAGAATAATTGAGCCCCCAGCCATCCCTCCCTTGCGTCTTAATCACTGACATGACCAAACTCAAGAACAAATAAGAGAACAATTTTTAAAAAAAAAAAAGTCAAAATCTTGTGCACAGTAGCTAAGTAATTACTGAGCACGCAACCTAAAAGATGTGCACCAGTGAGGAGTAAGAAAGCTTCACATTAACCAAACCAACATTTAGTCTCCTAAGATGGTTGGGGGGTGAGGTATTTAGCCCTTTGACTCCACTGATCTTAAAAGAAAATTCTCCTTTTGGATGCCACCATTTCCTTGTAAAGTAGACAAAATAATTTGGCATTGGATCAAGATAACACCCTTCAGCTAATAAGCCTGCCTATTCTCATTGCAAGCTCACAGGATAGTGTGTTAAAATCACATTTGTTTGGGGGATTAATACATAAAATATTTCAAACATTCAGTGTTACTACATTCTCCAAATTTAAATTTCATAGTGTTGTCTGAAAAGAGAATCCTTTACGATTGTCCAATGTGAATTGTTTGTTTTGTGAAAGGAAAACCTGGCTTGGTTGTTCAAAGGTTGGATAACGCTATCCACTGGATAAATCTCTATTCAGTGAATAACACTATACATTTTGCCATCACTTATCCCCTGAATAGTGATTTATCTGTTGGATAGCATTATCTGCCCTTTATACAACTGGGTCCTGATTAATAAGACAGATAACTCACAGCTCTTGCAGACCGTCGTAAGCATCTTTCAAATCCTACAACATCTTCCTGGTGTACAAAATTGAGGAAATTCTGGTGCATCAAAAATGTCTGTTGAAAGAGGAATCATTTCATTTAGTCTTCAACAAAATAACAGCCCAGGCATAACTGGTAAGTCTTCATGGCTCCAGTGAACATCCACTGATAGAGTTAATCTGACTTTGTTAAGTTATTGCAACTTCCTAAAGAGTTCAAACTATTTGGGCTGGGTAGATTTCATGTTTGTAACCCTTGCATGGAGGCAAGATGTGGAGAGGGGGAGGAAACTCTTGCTACCTACTGGGGTGATGCTGATAAGAAATTCTAACACATTAAACCTCACAAAATAGAGAGAAGTGTGTGTGACTCCTACTGAGCTAACCATCATCATCCTTCAAAGAGACTTCAACCATCCCATCTCTCCTGCATCGGGGTTTTTCCCCTTCCCCCTTCACCTGAGCTAATAGAACACCCAAAAATGACAAAAAATTGCACCCTAATTATCTTCATTCAGACTCTTTAATAATAGTATATGTATTTCTTAATTTCAAACCCCTTAAGCTGGAGCTTAACTCATTCTTAAAGCCTGGCCCTAGTTGCTTGAAGGGTGGTGAATGCTAAGATTTATTCATGGATAGCACAGAGTATTTTGTTACCACAACCTTACCCACTGGATAGTGATTTATCGGTTAGATGGCATTATCAGTCCTACAAACAACTGGGCCCCTTTTTTTAAACTTTGCTTACTTATAAGGCCTGGTATCACAACCTTCCAAGGATAGTTTTGTTTCTTGCACGAGTTTTAGTTTCATACTGTGTCTAATTTACCTTAACCCTTTAACTCCCATGAGTGACCATGACAGAATTTCTCCTTACAATATCAATACAACATCAACCAGATAAGTGATGAGAATAAAGAAAAATATCAAGTTTAGGATTAGTTGATCCAATACTAAATTCTCTGAACTAACATTACAATAATTGTATGGTTGACAATAAGGGGAATTACAAATTTGATCTGGGAGTTGGAGGGTTAAGTGATCTTTTTGGGTTTTTTTTTTTTAATCATATCTTCTTCATTAATTACCTGAGTGTATCCAAGATATCTATAGACATTCTCTGACGCAAAGAAGACATCTCCTGTATCTGACAGAACCAGGAAAAAGGAATCCAAGGCCTGATGATCATAGCAAGATTAAAAAGATATTTAGCATTCTGCCAGATATTAATAACTCTATGCACCTACTTTAGAATCCTTGCAATTGGCTCGCAGCATTGCAAATTAAGTTCCTTCTTTATTTCCTGTTCTATTTTTCCAAGAGATATGATGGATTTATAACCCCAAACTTCTCTAGACACATTTACCACCAATATAAACGATTTTAGTTGTATTCATATATAACAAGAGAATATTTACAAGCTAGGCAACACAGGTGCAAACAGCTTTCAGTCTTAAACATGATCAATTAAATACTATTCAAAAAAAGCTTTCATCAGTAAATTAGTGAAGAGCAACCATTTTCTTTCCAGGTTCAGCTGTAAAGTTTTGGTCAATCATTTGCTTTGAACAAAAATTTGTTTGCAAAGGCGAGTAATGGTAAACCATGAAACCATGACAAAAGCAACCACCATCATGAAATGCAAAAATATGTAAATTAAGAACTTCATTTCAAACATGCATAGTCATGCTGCAAAACATGAGTTTAGGTGCCTATGCATGTGAGTTTATCTGTCATTTAAGGCCAGCAATCAGGAACAAGTGTCTGGAGGCATCATCATGCTGATCATCTCTAAGCATTTTCAGCTAATCGATAAGTAAAAAAAGACATCTTGTAAGATGTTTCTGGAAACAAATATCATCTGTGGTTATGTAAACTGCAACTGCAAAATGCCCTGCAGCAATTTGAAAATAAACTTGTTAAGAATACTTAAAACCTATAAAAAAGTCTCCAAATTTGTCCTATATTTATCACAAATTAGCAAATAACAAAAGACAAGCCACTCAAAAGTTTTCAGGGGCCTATATTTAGAGTCTAGTTAAACAGTCACACCTGGAAGCCATTTAGAGTGAAGTAAGTGAAATGTGTTAATGGTAAATTGTCCACATGAGCTACTTTAAGTAGATTTTAAAAAAAAGTGATCCTACTGTAACTGTCTATATGTCATAATCTTTAACACAGTTGACCAAAATTCACATGTTTTTTAAAGGAAGTTGACAAAATGCATGAAAGGTCTCTTACATAACGCAATTAACATAACAGACAATAAACTCTAGAAACTTCTTTTAATTTCAAATGTCAGACAGTGCATGATGTTTTCCTGTCTGAAACGCATCTTGATCTAATTATCCGTGAACTTGAACTTGAAAATCACTGTTGGAAAACCGCTTCTTTTAGATTAGTCTTCAGTTTAAATTGAAATCTAGGTTAATCTCTTACGATTCCAATTTACGACGAGAAATTCTTCTTTCCCTCAACAAATTTAGCGTTATGTTTCACTCTCATCCTGTAATCAATACTAATTCTCTTAATCCCATTGCTTATTTGTTTTTCATGGCAAATTATGATTTTCCAAAAATAACTGACAAATTGACCACTTCATGCACTCAAAGTATTTACAATGGGTAAAACATTCACTTGAGTGACTGATTTGAATTTATCCCAATTTTGACTTCAATGAAGGTCAACTGGAATTTGCTTTTGATTCTTTAAATAGCAAAAATGCTTGATGCTTAAATCATATATATACAAACCTATACCTATAAATGTAATATGCTGGCTTGGCTCCTGGAGTAAGAAGTGTCAAATTGGGGATCAGTTTCACTTTAAGAACAGAGATTCAGAGGAATTATAACAACACAAAAACATGCCATTATTTTTTCTCGCTTTCTATGACCTTTTTCTCTTAGCCTTACACTAACCAGTTACCTCTATTAGCCTCTAACTACAATATTTCATAATTCTCTCCTCAAGCAGCAAACATTTCCCCCTAAATTTTCTTGCAAGAAATGTACTGATATTGCATGGAGAACTTAAACATTGATCACGTCAACAAGTTTGAGGGTTAAGAGCTTCTTGCCTTCACAATGGGTGTGGATAACTGTCTGAATCAGCAGTATTTGTCATTGGTACATGATATGTCTCAGGATATCCCACACCCTTATGTTAGTGCACAAGACTATACACCACAAGGTGTAAGCTTGAGCTCTGTCTGAGATGGTGATGTGCTCTTACAAGAACAAGACACATTACTCAAATAGTGTTAGTCTTTCCAAGAGCATACAAACATATCATTGCAGATGAAATGTCATGGAAACCCAGAAAAAATGCTGAGTGTGGATAATATGTGATGGGTAGCATCACAAACAGAGGGTGAGCCTTAGTGCAACTGAAATTGCAATCTGCTCTTCCAACAGTGGGATAGCATTAAGGTACACCTTAATGCGACTGAAATTACAATATGCTCTCCCAGCAATGGGAGTCGGTCTTGTTTGAAAACTCTGCCTTGCACCTTTCCTTAACCATTTACACCCTTGGTGACCAGCACCTAATTTCTCTTGCAAATTATACTGCTGAATCAATCATTATGACCACAAGAATGAAGAAAGTGATCACCAACCTACAAAGTTTTGATTGTTAAATGAATTTTCCATGTCAGTACCAAAGGAAATGAAAGGACAAGATTATGGAGAATATAAACACTGATGTTCGGCGTAAAGGGCTAAGTACTTTTGGTTGAGCTTGCTACGGTTCAAATTAGCAAAAAATATTTTTTTTGGGCATGCAAGCCATTCAGATCTGTTGTGACCTTTATGAATAATTAATCATGCGTTTCAAAGTTCAGTACATGACAGACAAAAAGAAGAGCAATTTGTGAAGCAGCTGAGTACATGATATTTTGTGGTTTTTTTCCTGTCTTGTGAAAACCTCAATTAAGTTTACTACATATAAAGACTTTTAAATATTAGTCTGGTAGAGAGAAATGCAGAACAAGTAGGAAGACACCAAGAAGGAATTAAAATGCCTAAAGATGGAAAAATTAAAAAATGATGAACTTGAAAATTTTGAACTACATTTTTTTAACATAAACAACTCATGACATAGTTTATTTCAGGAGTCTAATCAAAACCATTGCTAAAAATAAGGACTAATGTTTGCATGGTTTGTTGGGTTTGACCCTTGACTGCGACAGCCTGACAGCTTGTTTTGAAGTCTTGCCAGGCTCAATTATTCACGGTGCATGTGGAGTTGAAAGTCTCCACATGCTCTTAAAAAAATGGAACTATTGACAAATACATTTGTTTCGCCAGATTTGTGTAGCATTTCAGTCACTTAATCTAACACCGCAACAACAGTGCATACACAGCTCATGCTTGATTTGTTTTGATCGATTAGATCCACTTGTTTTGAATACAGAGTTGATTGCCATGAATTTCAAATCAAGTCAACACCCTCCCATCAAAAAGGATCACAATGACTTTTGCTTCATGAGTTAAACTCAGTATAAACATACTAGCTTGAAATCAAATCCTAAGCTTTTTACATTGTTACAGAGGGAAATAGTCATATAAATAAGGGCAAAAATACCTCTGTGAAAAAAAAAAAAAAAGAAATTAAGGGCAGAAATAATTTAGGCAAAAATTAAAGAGTATCTCGCATCAGGAGGTTAGAAACATGAATTTCTCTCTTCATCTAAATTTAGGTCCAATCACCAGCAAAAATATACTCATTCACATGTAAATTATCAGAAACAATGAAATATCACTAAAAACAACTAAAGGTTATGGCCGAGTGCTTCATCATACAGTCTGTTATCGCGCCCTCTTAAACTTCTTTTTAAGCAATGAATATAAAACAATTGAACTTCATTAATTTTGGTACCAGCCGTTTTTCATTTTTCTTAATGTTAAAAACATGAGACAATATACAGCTTGATCATTCATCTTGGCAAATTTAATGGAAAGTACCTATCCATGTCAAGTGCCAATATATTTAATTCATGTTAATGGGCAAACGTGAGATGAATAATGATTTTTTGGCCACCTTGATAACAAATTTTCAATTTTGAATTTTATGTATTTGAAAAATAAATCATGCAAATAATTTTGACAAATTACTGAATTTTGAGGGTAGTTGATCTTTGTTATTTATCACATTCTTAATGTTTAAAAAGCTCTTCTCTAAACACACAAATGTGTCTAGTAATTAAACAAAGCTGTCACAATTTTATCTAAATGTTATCAAAAAAGGTAAAAGGAATTCAAAATATAATACAGGGCAGACAAAATATATATTATCCATCATCAAAAAATTCCATAGAGCCAATAGTGTTTCTGATGGTAACCCACTTAATGAATCCAAGCAAATGAAGGGAAAGACAGAGTTTAAGAGAAATACAGCGGTAGATCTTTGAATCATGATCAACCCGCCACTGCCCATCAGAAGAGAGAGATAAAAATTCAAGAGGGACTCCTGATCCCACATTAACTTCTTGTAAATTTTTTGAAGTGAAAAAAAAATTTATTGAATCTATTTGTTCAGCAGAGGCCACTTGGGGTTTAACTCCAGACACCCCATCCAATAATCATGATAGGGACAATTCTGACTCTTCTCTGCTTAAGGAGCAGTAATTGAGGATGTTACATCCTAAGAGGAAAATATTGTCAACAAAGATGTTCTCGGTGGTAAAATGTGATGGATACTGAAGCTCATGTTACATACAACAACTCATAAAACTGCCTATCTGCAAAAGAAAACTTCCATAGGTTTTCCTTGTTACCTCCACCATCAATTCATAGATTGATAATTAATTGCCTGAATAAGAATAACCTGAGGAAGACCAAATTGTGTTCTAAAAGGTAGAATAATTTTTCCTCACAAGACAAGGACGTGATCAGCTAATGCCGACATAAATCATGCTATCTCAATCATGAAGCTTGTAAAATGTGAAGTTACACAAAGTAGATGGCCTGAAATGCATAAGGGGGCTATTTAACTCCAACAGCCCCGATGCGATAACATTACCAACCCTGAATCATCTCTGGATATGCATAACACCACCTACTAGCATTGTAAATGGCTTGTTATTTTAACTCCATAACCACAGACAATAGGGACTTAAGAAAGTCCAAAGAGCAATGTTTAGGAAAACCTCGATAAAAAAAAACCCAAATGATTGTCATTCCTTTCATTCTTTTTTATTCATTTTTTGAAGAATTTCATGAATGGTGCCCCATGAAATAACATTAAAACCTGCAACAAATCAAAAACACTTACCTCCAATGAAATATCACTGACATTTATGTTCATCTCATCAAGTTTCTTGGTTATATCATTTACAGATGCATCATCCACACGTCTCTTTCTTTTCCCTGAGAAGGAAAATAAACTTGGTTTTACAAATAAGTTAAAGCTGCTTAAGGGAGTAGGTTTCTAAAGAAACTGTGGTGCTGCAATGGTAGGAGAGTATAACAGGGTAATTTAGTATTTGGCCACCACAAAGAGTTTAAAAGCTGATGTTTCAAGCATAAGCCCTTCACCCTTTGCTCTGACGAAGGACTAAGCTTGAAATCTCAGCTTTTCAACTCTTTATGGTGGCCAATTTATGTTATCAACTCAGTTGATAATACTAAATTACCCAGTTAAGGATATGGTATACCACAGTTTTTTTTTTTGACAATTTCTTAAAAATTTTTCAAGTCAAACTATTTTAAAAACAGATTCCAAGGACACAATTGGTAAAATATTGAAAAGCACTGAAGTTTTTACCAAAAGATATTCATTCTTCAGTCTGCCAAAGTGTGAACAGCCAATTATGATATAACAGAAAATGCTTTCCGTTGCATAAATCTCCTGATTTCAGTATCACATGTGAATTTGATCAGATCTGATACCTGATTGCCTCACTTGAGATAGTATTACCTACATCACACTAAAACAAAACAAAAAATTGGCCAGAGAGCACATCTCTTAATCTTTCCATTGGTATATAAATGTAACTCATGGTTGTTACACTCCAAATAGCACATTGGCAATTTTTTCATCAAGGACACCTGGCAAGGTCTACGATATCTATAAGAACCTGAAATAAGCCAATACGAAACAATGTCAAACTGTCAACAGTGAGGTGATGCTGAAGAAGACTGAAAGATCTCCAGAATTTTTGAAAAAACATACATTTTAATATTTGGCAAAGGGTTATAGAGTGGGGAAGGGGATATTTGAGCCTGCCTCACTCCCCCCCTCTCTGCCTCTTCCTGACTGGACACAACTCCATCTCAAAATGGTGACTATTATGTCAAGGTGCAGCTAATTATAGAAAAAATATTCATTACATCGTCATTGAAAGGTTGTGAATTTGCAACCATTATCACCAATACAGAGTGATAGCCATGTCATGTGGTTTTCATGAGAATGCATCCTATTCCATGCTGTGCTTGAATTAAACTGTCACTGTGTCTTTCTTGGTTTACAGTGAACATGTACCTCACGAGTTACTAGTCAGGGAATAGTTTAGGTATTATTGTATCATTTTAATTCCTCCATTTTCAGACACTCCTTCTCGTTGCAAACAACTTCCTGGCCATCAAGAGCTGCTTAATATGGAACTAAGAGGATTTCCATAGCATTTAGTCATGCTATTTCCGAAAGTAATTGATTAATCTTCACCAGTAATAATCGTAGGATGCAGCCAACAGCGATAAACAAGTACTTCAAGGATGCAGTTGAACTTACCAGACTGAAGATAATTTTGAGTTTGGAAATAGCTGACAGATAGTTTCAAAACTGTCAGTTTATCCAATTTTGATCTGGCATCTTCTGGCAGCGGGAGAAGACTGCCAAGCTCCTCCAAAGTTGCATTTATCTTTTCTCTGTGCCGCCTTGATGCACTCTGTGGAACTTTCATCCTGTGTTCACATACAATAATTTGAATTACACATAACATCCGATTAACCAAAATTTAAAGAGTTTGCATCACGCAAAAATAAAATAATTTTACTACTAAATGTATAACATGTTACAATAGTGACTTTAGGGCACAATTTAATTTTGTTGACTGAAATGTCAAAGATCGGAACTTGATGTATTATATAACATAACAAAAATAGAGTATATCATCGACTAATAATTATTGCACAGTTTGAGTTATTTTGAGTAGTTCTTGGCGGTACTATCCCATGGCTTGCAACACTAACTGCAATTACTACACACCCCTCACTGTCATTCTTTCAAATTTCTTAGCATGAAGCCATCTCAAAAACCATTTTTAATTTCATTTAACATGGAACTTTAATTAAGTTAAAGGACTTCTAAGCTTAATGTGAGTTACTCATGCACAAAATAAAAACAAAAGTTCCACAAATACGTCTTTAATGCAAACATCTGTTAAAACTCCCAAGAATCAAAGGGCACAGTCCAGTATGACATTTAAAAAGGACAGAGAAAGAAAAAAAATTGAATGATTAATAGACTTCAAAGTTCATTGGGTTATACTGAATACTCTTCAAGCAGGCAAGTTCAACAAAGATCCTTTTACCTCTAAAGACACAAAACAAGGCAGTTTAACAATCCAAGGAATGAATAAAAACATTCAACAGATGAGTAAGCATTTGAACTAGCTTAAAACTTTGACCAGAGCATCAATCTAAGCTGAAGTTATTCCAAGAATGTTTAATTCCCTAAACAAAGTATAGCTTTTCCATTCAGTTCTGACACTACACTACTGGCACCCCAAAATAATAGGTTAAACAAAATCTTGGTTTATATTTCTTTTGTGTGTATTTGTCTTTAATTTCAATTAGCAATAAGTTGCGTGACCATAACCACATTTATTAGAAATGTAAATTTAAAAAAATTAACACAATTGAGCAGTATGCTGCTATACAGAAATAACTTTGGTAAAAACAGAGCTAGGGAGAAACTTTCTTTGTGGGAATAATCACTTGAGACTGTGGTTGACTATAAATTTAAGTTTGTATGAAGAGAGACTGGCATGCACATGGCTCTTTCCTGAGTCAATATAGTGCAACTTCAGAAGTATTGAAATTAATCCAGCTCCATTAGAACAGTTATCTTTCTTGGTATCTTTCCTCTAAAATTAACTGTCAGTTATATTCTTTTCCATGCAGTCACTTCTTAGTGATAAAACCACTATTGTTTAGTTGAGGCTCAAGGGATGGTCTATATAAGCCTCTATAACAAATTTCAATGTGGAAAGTGTGTTAATTGTCAGAAAGGCTTAAGGAAGGAATCTTAGATGGACAATTTGATAACACTACACACATGTCATATCAAAATTACTATTGGTATGCTTTTAGATAATCTCTATGCAAATCATTTGGGATGACTGTTAAAGATATGACTGTTAGCAGACCTAAAAAAAAACTTCTTGCAGACAAATCAATTCCTAACCTATGCTCAATTTGAGTCAAAAGAATTTTTCTTTTGATTTCTTAATCTAATAAGGAACTTAATATGTCTACATAGCTACAAAGATTATCAGTGAATTGTTTGGCAGATAATACAATGGGCTGGTCAACTTCTAAAATCTTGATCTAGTAAAAGAGAAATTAATAATTTCATATCTAAGAAAAATCAGATATTTTCACCCAATGCCACCTTAGAGAAGTTTCATCACTCATCATCAATTCATGTGTCATTGATCCATTTTATTTTTAACCGGACATGAGTGTAACCAGTCAGTAATTTCCGTGACCCATACCAACACCATATTGGAACAGATCACTGTTGGTACTAGAATTCATCTATTGCTTTACAAAATGCATCACTCTTTTACATTATCTTCCAGTTCAAAGCTTAGTCTAATTTGATATTTGAGAATGCACTGCAATGTTGTACTTTGCTCTCTAGACATTCATAAACATTGCCATGCCTTCCAATGCAGACAGATTTTGAGATAAAAAAAATATAACCCCTCTAAATAAAATAAAATTGCAGGATGATAAATAGGAATAAAATAGCCCGTTTGGTTCCGTCTTACAGAATAAATACATAAATCATCCACATGGGAAGGGTTTAAAAACCTCATTATCATCGGTGTAACACATGGCAAAGGAAACTCTTTCAAAACATTTACATATTTAATCAGTTCACAAAAGGAACTAAACATTTGCATTGAAATTTCAAGGACATCGTACACAAGTTACAGAGCTCTGTGCAAATCCAATGAAGAGGTTCCGAAGAAGATATTTTTTACTGCATCATGACGCTTTTAAATATCAATAAAATTATGGTATACGAGACGGCGATCAATTAGGTAATACGCGATCGGGTGATGCTGTAAGGTAAGGTGGCCGTCAAACTGCCAGAGGGTGTATTACGTTTTGAGTTAGCGCATACTTCCTAACATGCAGTGAACACTTACTACAAAGAGTCTTTAATTACTGAAACCGTTAGCGCTGGTTGCCGTTTGGGCTTGGTCGCTTGGAGTATATATTGAAACTCGAATCTGAAGGAATATGAACGCATTGTAAACAGCAGAAGAACAAAGTGTTTAAAGTAGATGAAAAAATATTTGTCAATGAAAACTGATTGGTTCAGCTGCTCCCATTTGCCATATTTCAATCGAACACCACCTAAAGGCAGACGATAATGTTCCAAACTTTTCCTTAAATACCATAAACTAGCATTTAACGCAATTAAATTGAGGCTAGTTCTTGCGTCTCTCTTTCAATGTAATGTGTCGCATTTTCGCTGCATTGCTACTATACCTCACGCTATCTTAGAGCTAAATAATTTCAATCCGGGCTATAAATTATACATTACGAATTCTATCGACACGATAAACCATTTATTAAATGCCCCGGCAAAAAAATAAAAGATCGAACTCTTTGATAATCCTATGGACTACAAAACAAATCATCCGAGCGTGTAAATGTTTGACAGCGTAAAAAGACCCGAAAATTATTGACGTGAAGGTAACTAAAAGAGGGATCTTTTCAATCTCCGTCTTGATTAATGACGGCTAGTTTCTGCAGCACAAAGCTTTACAATGGTGGTGGAAATTAACATGGCGAAAACTGAACACTAAGAAGATTATTATCAAATACAGGAATCTATCAGCAAAAGAACTAGGTTCGTTCGCTTCTGATCCTTTCCTAGATCTCCCAGTAATTTAAATGTCACTGCAGTCAAACGAGCAAACAAGTTGCTAAAATAATGAATTCTTTAATTGCGTGCTTTAGTATGCAGTGTGAACTTGAATAACTGCACTGTCACCTACACGGTCGTTTATTTATAGTGCGAAGATTTAGTTTACCTCTCTTGTTCCACCGCCTGGTCGCAAATCTTGCGCTTTCTGTCTTTACCACCTGGATTACAACCACCGTTAGCTTTCATTTTCCAGTTTTCCCGCTAAAACTGAAAGCATAAACGATTACATCCTCGTTAGATACTAACACCATTTGATAAGCCACACAGAAATTCTTCACGTCGCCATGTTTTTAAAAGCTATGTCGATCTGTCAAAAATTACAATATAGGCGCAAATTGACGCCTCCATTTGACACTATCATGCAAAAAAACGAAGCTTTACGCTATGAAGCATCGAAAAACGTTTCAATTTACCTGAAAGAGTCGTGAATTGGCTCCTTACAACCTTTTGAAAGTAGCCACGATCTTTCTCAAACTAACCGGAACGCGGTAGGGATTCCAAAGGCCGAGTTTGTCCACAAGCCAAATGCGTGATACTGGAGTATTGATAAAGCGCGGTCAGACTGGGGCTGGTCACCAAAGACAATAGTCGTATTGTCTTTCAGTTTATTATTGGTGGATTTTACGGTCGCAAAATACATCTTGATCTTCTTCCTTTTCTGTCATTTTGATTCTCGTTCTTTTGTGTTTTACAATCTTGGTTTTTTTTTTAGTTTGCCATCACTTTTAAAGCGTTTCCGCGTGAAAATTTTTTGAAGGAAATATTTTCCCCTTACTCTCTGTTTGTTTGGGGTTTTTCCACCATTTGGTTAAATAATGAGTCCTTTTTTCATTTTGCAGCTGGGGATCACGTGAACGTTATCTGGAAATGTCTTCCACTGGACATAGGTGTCCTGGGTATGGGGTTCGTTTCTTAATTTCATGCTGTTTTATCAGATTGAACCCGGAGGCGAGCGACAATGCTGCCGCAGTCAAGCTTCTTCTTAAAGTGTTGAATTTCGGTAAATAGCCAAATGTCCTCTAAATCGTGATGCAAGCGGGAAAGGAGTTATGGGTAATAGTTAAAATGGCTGCCTCGCGAATGGACTTAGTGTAGGATTAAAATTTTGTACTTTCGCTTCCATGGAAGAGGAATTTGTCGTCAAAGAAGGCTGGGTTGTTAAGGAAAGTGGACAAGCTGTCCTTGGTCAGACGAACTGGCGCAAACGATGGTGTCGGCTTGTAAGAGGTTCGAATGGAGCCTCTTGGTCATATTACAGGTGACTGTTATTGTTGTTTTCGTGTCTTTTTGTAATGGACACCTTAAGTCTGTTTGGTTCTTTGTTGTGTAAATATCCATGAATATTTAACTCTGTTAAAAGGCTGTACTGAGAAGTCACGACTCACGAAAAGATCGTAAAATATTTATCAAAGAACGTGCCCGAAGCGAAAAAACATCCGTGTAGTTGCTGTTACGTATTTCGTGCGGCGAGGGAAAACTTAAAATTTATCAGCTTTTACGGAAGACTCGAGACATTTTGGCTCGTCTGAAGTTTCAGATCTGAGCAATGTTGGTCGAGCGATTCGATAGCAATCGCATTAGGCTCCATAATCAATAAGCTTATATTTATACAGTGATATTCTGTTACCAAACATCTGGTAGAATGATTTAATTATACTTGGAGAAATGATCTCAAAAGTCTTTTGTTTCATAGCTTGTCTTGAAACTTTTTCACACAGTAGTTACACTTACGTATTGCGTTTATGCAACAGTCTATAAATATAATCTAAATGAAACTAAAATATTGGCTAAGGCACGCAAAGCACAAATTCTTAGCAAAATGAAAGAATTTTGATTCACTGAAGGAAGTGTAGTTTTAACCTATGAACCTTCGACTTTTTGGAAGGCGGTATCATCTTGATGAAATTGTGCTAAAGAAATTTATACCATGGCTAGCTCATACTCAGTGTTTTCCTTTTCAGGCAGCTACTGGTAAAATTTACTGCCTGTAATATTCCTTATAACTGCTTAAAATTACTTGGAATTCTTGAAAATTGCTTCCAGCTGACCTCTTTCTTTACTTTGTGATTGTTTTCGTTTTTCTATCCATGCAGAGGACCCATAAAGATATTTCAAACATGCTTTTGCATTTAATTTTGTCAAATCAGCAAATTATTATTTTTTTGAGAAGAAATAAGAAGAAATACAGGGATGTGGTTAGTTATACAATTTACAAGAAGGTGTGATGATCCCTTTATTAAGATGAGACAGCAAAATATGGAAAATGTTGGTTTCATAACTAGTTTTGTTGATTGATTAGTACTGGATATATTGAAGATTGATCTGGGTATCTGTTTCTTTTCACAACTGCAGATACAGCCAGACAACAATTGTAGATATGCTAAAAAATATTCAGCTTTTGTAATTTTTCTTAAAATGTCTTGTTATCTTTTTATCAGTTTTTTCATCACTCTTCCCTTCAATTTGCATAATTTACCAAATTTCATAAAGGTGTATACAGTTGTTTATAAAAAATAAAAAAAATAAAAAAAAAAAATTCACAGGTGATGAAAATTTGAGAAATCTTGAAATATTGCGAGAGATTTACCTTTAGAGGACTTCCTGAAGAGATCTGAATAAATCAGTTTTAAGTGTTGTAAGATCTGTTTTGCTCTGTTGAATATCACAAAATTAGCATCATGTCCCATTTTGCAAACACCTGCTAAAAAAACAGACAATTTTTTCAAACAATTATTTTTTCCTGATAGTTGTCAACCTCACTTGCATTGTTACTGTTGGTTGAATTAATTTATGGGGATATAATTGTGGATAACATAAAAAAATGTTTTCAATAATATGCCATAATTTAGTGCACCATTCTGGGTCACATGCCAGTGAACTATTTCTGAAAATATCCCAATTTTAGAAATCCCACTCATTTTCAGTTTCCCTCTATACTTTCATCTTTGGAAACAAATTTTTTTCAACACCTGTGCCTCTCAAAGATCTGTTTTGCAAAACTGATGAATAAACAATCACCTAATAGTGTCAATGCTCAAAAACTCACTCTGTCAATACATTATATATCCAACCTTTTCTCAAAATTCTCTTCACTGATTAAGTTCAGTTAAAATGTGCACTAGTATCATTAGAAATACTGTCAATAAACACAGTAGTTTTTTCCCTATTTCTGTCAACTTTTGATAACTGAAACATTTTTCAATTCCCTCAAAAATGCTAGTTATGGGGAGTCAACAGTGTAAACAGAAATAAAATTGTGGTCTAATTTGCAGGAAAATGGATGATATTGCATTAAACCAACCAGCTGGACGGATAGAACTTAATTCCACATGTAAGAATATGTTTTATATAAATTTTAAACTCCCAAACCTAGTGGTTTTTTTTTGCCCAAGATCTTTTTTTAATTTTAACTCATTACCAACCCTTTTAACTCATTACATTATGCAAATGAAGTGATTGGACTATGTATTATTTTTTTTTATGTATAATACTACAGATGCTGCACGTGAACTTGAAGAAGGAGAAAGAAAGAAGAAACCAAACTGCTTTGCTCTTGGTCCAGTGTTTGATGATTTTGCCAAGAGAACTTACTACATTAGCTGTGGTGAGTTTGTTTGTTAACTTTTAATACTATTTTATAGCAATTCCCCAACAAACAAATTTGAAACAAATAAGAGAGTTGTTTAACATATTTAGTGTTGGCCTCATAGATATGAGATAGTAAATGTTTTATATCAGTGTGGCTGTAGCTCTCCCTCAGTTTTGTTAAGAATGAGGTTTAGATTTATTATTTCATAAATATACGATTCTGTGCTTTATAAGTTGTTTCTGTAAACTCTTGGTGATATTTGACCTTACTGCCTGAAGAAGACTTGTAGTTTGCTGTCAAAGTGTTACTTTCCCTATCAGAAGTGGCCTTATTGTGAGACAAAAAATAATGCTTTATAAAAATTAATTGTATTGATTTTGGTTGAGGCATCCAAAATTGCTTCTCCATGTAAAGGAAAAGTACAACCTTTGAGGTGAGTAAGATAAAAAAAATATCAAAATTGGAAAGGAAAGACCCAAAAGGAGTGATTGTAGTCAGGAGTGGGGCAAGTTCATGCAAATTAAATGCTTAGATTTGAAAGATTACAGCTGAATTTTCCTAAGATGTTTTAAAAAATTTGATGCAATGCTCTATTTTTGCACAGAAACTGTGGATGATAAGCTAAGTTGGATGGAAGTACTCAATGCAGCAACAGAATCTCTGCAAGCAGAGCCACAAGACAAATTTGAAAAGAGGAAAAAAAGTGTGCGACAGAGGATGACAAGACGAGTATGTATTTTGGAGATTAGTGCAAGGGTAACAGTGACTGACACAAAGAGAAACTGAGTTGAAGTCATCAACAGAATTATTGGTTTAAACTTTGGATTGGATGAATTCTGCTCAGGTTTTATAAACAGAGGTCAATACCACCCACAACTGTCTTTCTCTGGCCTGTCCTTACCTGATTAACCCTTTACTCTCTAACATCAGTATGCATATTCTCCATAATACTCCCTAGACATTTCTTAAGATTCTGACAAGGAGAATTTGTTCAACAATCAAGAGTTTCTTTAGTTGATGATCTTCTTCTGTAATCTCATGACCTTAATGTTTGATTTGTGGGTGATTTTGTGAGGAGAAATTAGATGTTCGTCACTGTTAGGGTTTAAAGAGTTAACATTATAATCTTTACTATATGACTTACTTCACAGTCTAGAAAACCATCTAGCAGGCGGCAAGGAGAAAATGATTCCAAGCAAGAAGTTTGTTTGGATCCTGTTCAGAGAATGGAGGTAAATGCAAGCTGAAGACACAAAAATTTTTGTCAGTAAACAGTATTTTGGTTTGGATAGGGATTTGGATGGGTTTTGGTAAGCCAGATTGGAGTTAAGCAGAATTTGATGATTGGGGTTTGTCAAATTTTGGTTCTCCAGAGTGTTGTTGGTGTGATTGTGGTTCAACAGATTGTGGAACTCTGGATTGAAGCAGCTGGATTTTTCTTGGCTAGATCTTGATCAGCTGGAATCTAGTTAGCTGAAGTTTGGATAGCTACAACAGGATAATTTAGTATGGATTCTGATTATCCAGAGTTTTAAATGATCCAACCCTTAAAAAGCTACTTGACTGCTGCCCTGCATAAATATAAGTGAGTTAGACTGCCGACCAAATTGTCATAGTCCTGTTTAGCAAAAATGATTTAGTTTCTTCCAACCAGGACTATTTTTTGAAACATTCTTCATCATGAGAATTTGTTTTGTTTAGTTCTGGGCAAGACTCTGTCAAATCATTGAGAGTGAGAATTGGAAGAAGACTGACACCAAGAATGGAGTAACAGTATCACGACTAAGCTTTACACATAATGACAAGGCTGCTGTAAAGGTAAACAGTCTTGTACCTTGATAAAGCAAAAGGTGACAAATGAGCAGTTCCCACCTGCTATCTTGGGATGGTAAAGTCAAGAGAGGTTGGGGAGAGTCATGTGTACTACCCAATGATATTTTGGCAAGTGGTTTTTTGACCAACCTTAAGATTTACCATATTTCTTATTATTTTTCATTAATTTCACTTCGTAGATTGAAGGTGTCATCCCTGTACCTCCAGACATTGCATTTGACTACCTTCAGCTTGCAATGAAAAAGGGAGGCAAGGTGAGATGCATGTGATTTTAAAGTTGCATTTGTGCTTGTTAGAAATTGGTGACAGAGCTGACATAAAAGATATAGCTTCATAGTAATATGCCTTACACTGAGGGAAATACTACCTGTAGTTTTTAACCTTATCATTCTCCAAATCTCTTTAGGAATTATCTTTACTGTCTGTTATACAATTCTCATGATGTTGGTTTCTTTAAGTCTGAAAAACTCTAAGGCTCTGTGCACTTGAATGATAATCTGTCTTTCTATTTATCCTTGAGAGGTGGAGACAGTAATGGACAAGAAATGATAGAAGTCCGTTTAAGGGACACTGTTTCTGTACCCCCCGGGATTTAACCAACTCGAAAATCAATCATCTTGACTAACATGTATTTACAATTCCTTTTTTGTTCCAGCTAGACCAACCTTTTCGAGGAGAAGAAGTGTTACAAAAAGTAGAGGGTAAGTAAATGTTTCTTCGTCTTTGAACTTTACTGATGATAGAAAGATTGCGCAAGCTGAGAGCAGGTCGGATCAATCCTGTGGAATAAAATTACGTAAACGTAGTTTTTGCTTTCTAGCAAAGAGTGGAAGGTTATGACCAGACCTTACACGTAGTAACCCATTTTTATTTTCTCTATAAAGAGCAGTTTGTTATTGTTGTTTACGGCGTCATTTGATTACCACCTTGTCGTTGTGGGATAATTTTGGATAATTAACAATCTTGTCGGAGAGCATGGAAGAAGCCCTTGACAATTTTCTGTTATCGTATCTGCAGAGTCGATTCCACACGCCAGCATCGTATATAATAAATACAGCGTTCCTCTGCCAAGTGCTGCTCCCAGAGATGTATGTCTCCAAAGAATGTGGATACCATCGTACTTAACTAGAAATGGAACATCAGGTATTTGTCGATAATGGCGGTTTAGCGAAGAAAAATGAAACAAATGCAAGGTGTACATGTTGTTTGTTTGAAAGGTCTACCTAGTCTACGCAACATTTCAATACCATTCTGTCAGAGAAATTTTTAATTGAGTATTAAAAAGTCAAACCGTTTTTGCACTATGATTAGTCCTGAAAAAAATGCACGCCACTCTGGAAACTAATCACATGACTGATTTTCTAGACTTTTCCCGCGCTCCAGGCAGTTTGCGTGTTCTTGCGTCGAGTTCATGTGATATTTTCCTTTCTCCTGATTGGTCGTTGTGATTACTTTGGCTGTGGTTTCGCGACACTCAATCGAAATGCACTCCAACCACTGCAATCTGAGCGATATTATCGAATAATGCCACTATTGCGAGTTCACGCCAAAGCTTTGACGCAAATATGTTGCATACGTTGTGCACTCGAACGATGTAGAGGCCTAGATAAGGGAGAGGGTGGTCACTTCTTTTATCGAAAAAGTGGTCATTCTTGAATTTAAGAAAACTAGGCGTCCCCCCCCCTCCAACACCAGGATGATGCTGGTGTAGGACTCTTCCCACCCTAACAGGGGAATGTTGACTACGCCCCCTCTTGCGATTGGTGAAATGGGTTGGGTGTCACAATCCACATATTACAACATGATAAATACCATAAACATAGAAAAAGATAAAAATTTACAATGTGTCAAATTTTTTTAATATTGTAGGAATGGTGTTATGGTCAACGTATCATTCCCACATTCCACAAGTTCAGGTTAGTCTCTCAGCAGAGCTTGGTTTTTAGCAAAATTTAAACACATCAACTTTCCAAAAGACCAAAACATTAGTGTGTGCAACAATGTTTTTTTTACGATCACAAACCAAATCAAACCCTAAGACGCGCGCGCCAGGATAGTAGTGTTCTTCTTCACAGAAAGTTGTTTGGTTCAGGCCATATTCTTGGTGACCTTCGAGTGTTATTTGGCAGTCTATTAATCAGTTTTACGGCTTATCTTGTGGCTTGGAGTTGCAATTTCCTGCCCGCTTCGTTTAACAAACACGCCGTCGAATATATCTTTTTAAATCAGACGGGAAGTTGTTTTTGAAGGGCGACAGAGCAGCTTGAACCGTCGCCAAAATAAATCAAATGTTGTCACTAAAAAAAAAAAAAGAGGGCGTAAGAGGGTACACCATCTTTTACAATTTTCTCCAACTTAGCTTGAAATCTTCTAGCACTTCTATTGCGATTGTTTCGTTTGAAGAAGTTTCATATAAGTGTAGTTACTACGTTTTAAATTGCTGGGGGTTCTAAGTAAGTAAATAAACGTCGCGGTAGTCCATCAATGCAAGGAATTGTTGAAGAATTCGTTAATAGGATTTATATATGATTACGTGATAATGGATCAACTTACTTTTTTAATTTACGGTGTGAGGACGAGCTGATAATTTGACAACGCGCTAATATGTCTCTTTCTGGGTAGGGGTTCACAAGAGTGCTTGCAGACCTGTCTGGATTTGTCTTATCACCTCACACTTCATCAGGTACAAAAATATATCATCGGTGAATGAACTATCCCTGTTTTGTTAATAGCTTCCTTGTTGCGTTTAGACAGTGAGGGATCTTAGGCTTTCCCTCAGTTGTTAGATGCATTGTAGGATACACGCCCACACAAGATTCACTGTGAATTTAGGGAGGAGCAATTGGCATTCTTGTCTGTTCTGGGCATAGGTTATGCGTTCCGTGAGCTCGAACCTTTCATAACCGCAAAATAAATGGATTACTCTAGCTATAATTAAAAATAAACCCGCGGATTTTTAAATGAAGTTATTATCTTAAGCGGAAACACAAGCTGCCACTCGTAAATTGATTCTTGTATATAATCATCAGATCATCGTTTCTAAAGTCCTTGTGTAAATAAACTCTCATTCAGGATAGACACACGCCACGTCCATAGCTCGCCAACAACGGAACATTTGTCAGATGAAAGACATCCTAAGAGCAGTTCAAGCTTGTAAATGAATGTCGTAAACTTACACCCTTCCGTCTAGTACACGCCTATCGTCGCACTAAAATTTCCATGTTGTTTGCTGTCGGGTGGGAAACGTTTGTAAAAATCCTTTCCCTCCCCTCCCCCCTTCCTCTCAACCTTCCCGTGCTCACCCCCGTGCCCACCTTCCCGGTGAGATTCAGAGATTGCCTGTTTTCATTCATGGCTTTCAACAGCTCCATGTGATACCTCCTTGATTCTGATTAGCCCTAACTTCTTTGCTTTGGTTTTACGACGCTTAATCGAAATGTGTTATAATATATTACAATATTCTGCAAAGCTAGAAACATATCAAGGAGCTTGAGGTATTGAACGTTAACTGAAATGAACAAAGGGGATAACTTTCTAAAGAAACTGTGGTGCTTCGTCGGTGGGGTATTACGAGATGATTTTGCTTTATCAACTGAGTCGAAAGAGACGGTTTCCTTGTTTGTTCCAGATTCTTCAGTTCACACAAATGCAGCAATACTGATTCAAATTGACGTCCGAGACTCGTTGCAGACGATGCTGGAGGGTAGCTACAAATCAGGTAAATACTGACGATATCTCAATTCATGGACGCCACACCTCAGTTATGGTTTTGATTTATTGAACCAAAACTGTGCAACCCTCTTCTCCTTGGTTGAGACACCTTATTGATTGTACTTTTCGTATTTTTCTAGGTCTGTTGAAGGTTGGTTTAAGAACTGCTTTCGCTCACATCAGTAACCTGGTGGAACAATACTACAAATGCGTTCAAGGATAACCATGTGAAAGACGCCGAGTTCAAATTAAAATTAGGGGTTCTCAAGATATCGAAGTTTAACCCTTTAACTCCCATGAGTGACCAAGACAGAATTTCTCCTTACAATATCAATACAATATCGAGCAGACAAGTGATGAGAATAAAGAAAAATCTTAATTAGGGGATTATTAGTTGATCCAATGCCAAATTCTCCAAACTAACATCAGAAGAACTGTACAGCAGACAGTAAGGAGAATTACAAATGACATATTGGGAGTTAAAGGGTTAGTATCCAAGTAGAGTAAAGGGTCTGTATTACTTGTATAGATAATATAAACAAACAAGAAAGTGCATGTTATTTAATAAGTAATATATAAATAAATAAAGATGAAAATAGACTTGATTATAATGAGTTGTCTGAAAAGATATTTTGCATGTTTATTTTGCGACGTGTGAGAATACTTTTCAAGTGAATGAAAGGAGTGTAAACATTAGAATACACGCGTGAGATTTGGCGATTCGGCCGTGATGACGAGATAGTGATATTGTCAATGGCACGTCTTCAAGCCCAGAAACAACTTCACGTAGTTGCCGTTGAAGCAGAGTTCCCCGTGCATGAGCTGGGTCGCAATGATGGGAAAACTAGCAGCAGACCGCAACAACCTTTTACGAAAGGCACCAATAACTTGCGATCTGTCTTTTCCAGTCTTAATTCTCTCGTTTATCTCGTATGAAATACTGCATACATTAATTTAACTTCACACTGTGAAACTAAGGTCGTTTGAATCTAACTCTGATTCATCTCTCTTTGATTCTCACTGACTTCTAAGTTAACTCTAAAGTACATTAGTACTTATTTATTCGCTACCAATGCATAAGTGATCAAGCAGGCCGACCGACCTTGAAAGATAAAACATTTGTTTTCAGAATACTAACCCAAACACTTTTGCAAGAATCTCGCTAATAAAAAACAACACACTTAATGCTTCCAATCACCCGAATTAATCTTTGATATCATAAGCCAAAACAAGAACTTTCGCGAGGGTCCAAATCAAGGTCAGTAAACAAACTTAGCACGTTCCCCAATGGAAATTAGAGCCCCAGCGCTGGATAAATTAGTATTTATGAAACTTATCTTAAAGAAAATTATTGCTTTAGATTTTAGATCGGAAGGAACCCAAGTTTCATGGTAAACTTATTCGCGACGACTTTTTTCATCAATCTAAAATGGGCACACTGGCTCTCTTTCAATGCGATCCGATTGGTCAGATTAATTTGATTACATCACCGCGTATGAACATAAATTTTTACTCAAACCGCTCCAAAACTGATAATGTTTCCTAGTATCATTCACATGTGAGTTTTTCTCTCTGATTCTTTTTACTGAATGATGTAAGACATCCTATTAATGTCCTTAGCTGTAGTGAATAAAGTGGCGGGAAAAATGTGCGCGTCTACCGCTCATTTTGCGCGGGAAGAAAAACAACGTTTCCGTTTCATTTCCTAAGCGGGTTCTGTTGGCCAAGAAACGTAAAAGTTTCACACTGTAAGGTGTTGCTTTTGTTTTAAAAGGTAACTCAAAGCGACAGAGTAGTTTTTGGTTGTACGATCTAAATTCTTTTCAGACAGCTTGTCGGTGAGGAGTAAAATTTCTCAATGAATTTAGAGCAAAAAAACCCGAACGGCTATTATTATTATTATAGAAAACCATTCACGTCCAAAAAAAATGAAGAGACATGTTATATTTTACCACAGGTTTAAGAAGCTCAACAACCTTAAAAAAAAAACTTAAATATGATGGAAATTACCACTAGTCGCGATCAAGTGGTGGAAGAAGAACTAAGCGACCAGGAAGAGGTAAGAGAAAATGTTTTTTTCGAAGGCTGTTGAGTTTAATTTGAAAATTTAATTATCGTGTTTTTCTAAAATGTAGCATATATAAGTTATTAATACAATGTAACTAATCAGCTGAATAAAAGGGAGTTTTTTTCCATAGATATAAAATTTGGAATATCAAATAAATATATATATGAGTATTTTCTACATGTTATTAAACTTTTTTCGCTTAACACTTTAGGATTCATTTTATCAAGACATTGACCTTCTACAGAACCATGGAATTGTGAGTATGCATGATAATAACGTGTAAAGTGACCTTTTTCGGTTCAAATACGCTCCTCTGTACAGTCTTTTAACTCAAAATTCTTGGTTCATTTGTTTTTCAGAATGTGGCTGATATAAAGAAGCTCAAATCAGCGGGAATATGCACCATAAAGGTATGTAGCAGCTTAAAATTTATGGGCATTCTTAAAAAATGGGCTTTTATAAAGTAAAAACATCGCTTGAAGAGCCATCAACTTAAGTCTAAAATGCACTTTTGGTATAAGCTAAGACGACGGATTACAAACCCTTCATCGGGCCTATTAACAAAATTGATTGGGGTGTTTGATTAATTGATTGTATTTCTACAGGGTGTGCAGATGACTACAAGGCGAAAGATGTGTCAGATAAAAGGGATATCAGAGGCAAAAATGGAGAAAATTAAGGTGAAATCAATGTTTCGTGACATTGCCAAGACCGCCAAGATTTTTAATTCAAATTACCTTATTTTGATTGCTTCTTTATATGAATTTAAAACTAATAAAGAAAGACACTTCTTCAAATTTATCCATCCATTACAATTATAACTAGTTTTGCTCCGTCATATGAGAATATTTGACTGACTAATTACCTTTGATTTCTTTCAGGAAGCTTCCGCAAAGTTAGCTGTAAGTATTTCCGAAAAACTTTGTTACCTGATCCTAAACAATCATTCATCTCTTTTGATCCTCTATATGACAATTTCACTCTTTTTCTTATAGAATGCTGGATTTGTCACAGCTTTAGAATACAGTGATATGAGGAAGATGGTTTTCAGGATTTCTAGTGGAAGCACTGAGCTGGAGTATGTAAATTAAACGTGAAACCTATTACTTATTTCAGCAAGTACTAAAACACGTTTTTACAACATTCTGTCTTTCCACAGCAAACTCCTTGGAGGTATGTGTTGATCAGTTTCAGATGTATTCTTAACATACTACTTTGACTTTGACTAATAAGACACATTTTTGCTTGATTTTAAACTTTTGAGTCTCACAATTTTAGGAGGAATAGAGAGCATGTCTATAACAGAGGTTTTTGGAGGTAAAGTAACCCACTGGTATTATAGTAGTAGTCTCTGACTTTTCAAAAGCTACGTATTTATTACATTACACATATCCAATCTTTTTTCAGAGATGATTTTGTAAGTAATCTTGTCACTATTATACCTTAAAAATCCTCTGTTTAATAAAAATGAGGACAACCCTTTTTTTATCAATCAGAGTTCAGGACCGGCAAAACTCAACTGTCACACACACTCTGTGGTGAGTTTCAAAAACATTCTCTGACTGAGTTGTTTTCTCTTTGGATTAAAATGAAGTTAATATTGTTAAATGTGATACCGTTAGTTTCAGCACAGCTGCCAGGTGCAAATGGGTACACCGGTGGAAAAGTGATTTTCATTGATACTGAGGTACTTTTAACTAAACAAATCCATTAATATGATTTATGTGTATGGTCAAAACTATCTGCAATTTCCCTTAGATTATATTTGTAATGATGATGTTATCTGCAACATTTAGTAAGGCTTCCCTGTAACCTTACCATCCATAATCAGTTCTTAAATATGCATGGATGAATGATGTAAACATTATTTTATGGTGTTGTGAACTAAGTGACCATAGTATTGTTTTTAAAATGTTTGTATAAGGCCTGAGTTGGAAGACTGGCACTTGAGGGAGTGTCTTTCAAAGGAAATTAATATACTTGAATGTCTGAAAATGACCATACCCTCAAAAAGGCAGTCATTGGGCTACTTATTGTTAATCCATTGTGGAGACTCATAGACAAAATTATTAAATACAAACTTCACTAACTCATTTAATTTGTTCCTCTTTTAGAATACTTTGTATCCTTTTTTTTCCCTTGAATTTCACACATGTAATCAACCACTCTAAACGTTAATTATTTTGCACTTTTAAGCCCTTTCTGTATTTTTTTAAAAACAGTAAATCTGCAACTTTAGCTCCTTAATCAATAATAGCAGACCTGATCGCCTACGAGAGATTGCAGACAGGTTTAATCTTGACCAGAATGCAATGCTGGACAATGTTCTCTATTGCAGAGCATATACAAGTAGGTCACAATACTTATTTGAAACTATATGGATTTTACCATTAGCTGCCCAGCCCATCTTTTTGGTGATATAATTAGAGTATAGTAATGGTTAAAACAACTTTTTAAATCACCATTGTATCAGTTTATTGTTATAATCATTATTTTTACAATTCCACAAGGTATACAATAAATATTACCAATACATATTATTACTATTAAAATCTAAAGGTGAACACCAATATGAGTTGATGGATAGTGTGGCTGCAAAGTTTCATGAAGAACCAGGAGTATTCAAACTTATGGTATGCACGAATTGGAAAATTACAATTTATTGAAAATAGGTTATTATTCTAAAATTAGCTCCTCAAACTTCTAAAATCAAAGGGCAAATTTTCTTTGGTAGTGTTTTAACAATGTTTTGTGTATCATCTCTTCCAGATAATTGACTCAATAATGGCATTATTTAGAGTTGATTTTTGTGGAAGAGGTGAATTGGCTGACAGGCAACAAAAACTAGCACAGATGTTATCTCGACTACAAAAACTGTCTGAGGGTAAGAAATAGATATCTGATAGTCTTCCCATTATAAACAGAGAACAAGTAAGATTTTTGTGTCCATCTGCTGCTCAAGTTTTTACATACTCCTGAAACCATTTGGCCCCTCTAAGGGACATATTTTCATGGATGGTCAACAAACCAATTAGCTTTATATCTCTGTCAACAAAGTAGTGTTTACATCAACTCTTAATCCTCTTAATAGCAGCATTTTCTCTATTTCACAGAATTTAATGTTGCAGTCTTTGTCACCAATCAGGTAGTGCTTATATACATACTGGGTAAATCAGCATTTAATTAATGTTGTCCTTTGATCAGTTACATTGGGTGCATCTTCCTAATTTTTGCCATATTTCAGCTGCAGATTTGACCACAATTTCTACCCTATCATTGAGATAAATTTGGTAGAAGAGAGGTATAGTGATATGTTATTCTACTGTTTATTTGCAGATGACAGCAGATCCAGGAGGTGTGTATTTACAAAATAAGCAATTTGCATTGAGTGTCAATATTTCATTCCCTATCCTACTCACAGTACATACCTTTTTTTCTCCATTGCTGACTGGCTTGTTGGATAACAGCAACAATGAGGTAAACTGAACCTTTCATGAGAAGGAAACAATTAGCTATTCATTGTAAATTTCTATTATAAGCAAGAAATATACTCACCAAGATTTGATCATTTCTCAGCTTCCAAGCTGATCCCAAGAAGCCAATTGGTGGACACATTCTGGCACATGCCTCTACAACTCGCATTAGTTTAAGGAAAGGGAGAGGAGAAACAAGAATTGCAAAGATATATGACAGGTTAGAAACCTCTTTTAGTAGCCTCTATGACAATTCTTCAATAATTTGAGTCACAGCTTAAGATGATTTTTAAATACAAATAATTTTCATTTAATTATCTACAAGAATTGCATGTGCATGCAATAACTTATTTTCCTATTTCATCAGCAAATACTAAATAAATAAGGTCAGGGCAATATTTCACTACACTAGCCAGATCAGTGTATGATCTCACAAGAGGGACTCTGGTTTTGATTCTCCCTAAGAAATATCCATTTTGTTCACAGCCCTGATCTTCCAGAGAATGAAGCCACATTTGCAGTCACATCAGGGGGCATTGCTGATGCCAAAGAGTAAACATGACACTTAAAAGTCATTGCAATATACCAAAACCTTTTATTTATTTTATTTACCACTACTAAATATAAACATTTGTTATTCACCATAAATTTGTAAATAAGACATTTTTTCATTCTTTCATAACATTTGAGTGAAAATAAAACTAACCACAAACATATAGGATGTGCATTCCATTTGTACAATATATGTTACAGAGAGCCTGATTAAGTTTCCTATCAACAGTCTTAGAGTCTAATGTACAGTGTAGCCTGTCTATTGAACAAGACGCCCTCCATCAATAGGCAACATAGTTCCATTAACCATACCAGCTTTATCACTTAAGAGATAAAGAATGGCATGAACAACATCCTCTACTTCTGCAACAGAATTTATTGTAAGGTTTGATTAGTAATTTTGCAATCTGAGGAAGAATACATGTACTGGGTACCTACTTTTTTTTAATTTTTAAGAGATTGTTTCAGAAGCTGCAATACATATAGGAAAAATGCCATAATTTGGGGTTAAACACTGTTAATGTATCTTACCTGCAAACCTTCCAAGTGGTATTGTATCTAGCATTGGCTTTGCCTTTGCAGGATCAGACCAACCGATCCTTCCCATATCAGTCATCACAACAGTAGGGTTCACAGCATTTACTCTAATCTGGGTTAAATAAACAGTGTTTTCTTATTTGGCAGTGAAGTGTCTAAAACATGGTTCACTGTTACGAAAATTAAACTAACTGTAGACAAAGGCTTGTTTCAAACCAAGTACTGGTAAGTTCATGTCATGTTTCTTTTCCTTAATACCAACCATCCTTGACCATCACTCACCTTGTAAGGGCCCAGTTCTAATGCCATTGTTTTTGTAAACATATCCATAGCTGCCTTTGTAGAACCTACAACAAATGCAACACCAGTAAAAGTTTATATTAAGAATTGCGGTAGCAAAATGATAGTGTAGAGTGACAAGAGAATATTCTCCTCTGTTGTAGGCTGTCATGTCTTCCTAAATTTAAACTTACTCTTTATTGTATAATTCTGCAAATTGTATTTTTTAATGCAGTCATTTTACATCAGTGATTGGTAGGCAAACTTACAGTACAGAGTGTGATCTTTTAAAGCTATCATTGAAGCCTGACTGGAAACATTAACTATTGCTCCTCCACTCCCTTTGGCAATCATCCTTTTTGAAACAGCCTAATAAATGAAATATAAACTGTTTCAAACCTTTAACAAAGTTTAATGAATACACATGTAGCAGCCTTAATACTACAAAAATGGCTACTATACCTGTGCAATAAACAGAGGTGCCTTCACATTCACTGAAAATATCCTATCATAAAAAAAAAGATTGCAAAATGAGAAAAACTCAAAAGGCTTATTTATTTCTTAGGAAGTATCAAATAACCTGTGTTTAACTTAATGGCCATACAAGGTAGTCACCATGGATAATGGCTATTTATAGTTACCATATGCTGAAAGAGGGGGAAAGAAGAAATCAATGCATAACAAATAATTTTGTTTTCTCCAGTCAGCCAAAAAACATCAAAATTTTCATACAGATTTGAATGGCAATACTCATGTGGCCTAAAACATTTGAACACATACTTGTCAAAATCTCCCATCTTGATTTCTTCAAAAGGATCCAATAATGCAATTCCTGCATTGTTTACTAAAAGATCTATATCACCAAGGTTATTAACTTTCTTCACTGCAGCCTCAATGTCTGACAGATCAATACAAACTGTCTGAATTGTTGGTGCCTAATCAAAGAGGAAAATTCAATATTAAAAGTTGTTGTATAATTGTAATTCATGTTTCAGTCAAAAGTAATCTGAGATAACCTTCCCAACTGTATCTGGCAAGTTTGCAAGCAATTATTCCAAGAAACAAGTGTCAGGAGGATGCATGAAGCTTGTATAAAGGCATAGTGACTTAAATCAAAATTTTTAATTCCCAACTCTTTCAGAGTAACTCCAACCTTTCTCAAGTAAGCAAAGATTGAATTACACCTTACTGGTAATGGGTGGGCATCACAGAGTGTTTCAAAATTTCCAAAAAGTTTCTTTCCAGTGACACAAGTGACCAGTAATGACCATGAGTGAGCATAAATAACCAAAACAATTCCATCAAAAGTTGTTACTGGTATTTTAAGACCTTACTACAATATATCTATATTCATTTTATCAAATAACTGACTATCCAGCTGAACTGTGTTTACTGACTGGCATAAAATTGATTTGGAAGGACAGTTGGAAATTTTGTCAGAAAAACATGTCTGATAATCACATGAGGAGTGTCTCCACTACCTCCTTTCCTCCCCTCCCCATTTTATTAATGATAGTGACAAAAATAGTTGTGTTAATAATAATAATAATAATAATAATAATAATAATAATGATGATGATAGTAATAATGATAATAATAATGATGATGATGATGATAATAGTAATAAAAACTATCAGTCAAGGAATCTAGCTCATTAAGGCAGTTCTTGTAATGAAATCAGTGATGTGTTTGTAATGTAATCTCACTCGTAACTACTTTTGAACTCCCTTGTTATTACTTTACCTCTTCTTTTAGGCTGTCTAAGTCAGCTTGAGTTCGTGATAAAGCGATGACCTCAGCACCACATTCAACTAACATCTTGGCAGTACTGCGACCTATCCCTACCGATAAACAACCACGTTTTCGTCATATCGTTCCTGTATTTTTCGGTCTAACTGATACCTTCAGAAGTACCGTGTTCCGATCTAACGCGACATTTTGCGCCAATTTACGTGACGTTCGTAAAATCATAATAATGAACGCCAGTGTATTATATAGACGCGCGCCCTTTCATGCAAACCATGAAAATGCAATTTTCCGTTGTGACAGAAGAGGGAAGATTCTACCTTTTCCAGCACCAGTTACTAAAGCACGCTTTCCTTTAAAATTGATGTCCATGGTGCCTGATTAAGCAACAACTTGCTCGCAAAATTTTTTGTTGTCGCAGGACCCACGTTGATGAAAGCTCAGTACCCACTTGGAAAAGGTACGAGAGAGGACTGGGAACAAATCGGGAAATCAAATATGGCTCAGGGTTAGTAGGCAAATATATATCAGGTGCAGCTAACTGACATTTCATTCACTCCTTTGTTAGATCCCGGGTACGTTACACTGACCATGATTCTCTTTTGAATAACTGGAAAAGGTAACGGACGGCCAGGTATTTCACTCAAATGACGAGAGATATATATTTTTAAAAATCGAATTTATTTACCTGTTAATTCTCGTGAAGTTTGTATCAAAGAGTCCTACACCTTATACAATTTCGCTACAACGTAACAAAACTGTCTTGCTTTTTAAGGTTAATTATCTTAGAGAGTCGAGCAATCGCTATCTTTACAAAAGCATCAAAAGTGTTTCTTTAGAAAATATTTACACATCAGGCAATATACAATTGCGCCACAGAATCAATACAGCTACATATTTTAACACTCTGTACTGCCTGTCATATCGTCGTCCAATACGTGAGTTTTCAATAAAACTTTACACCCTAACTTCAGTATGCAAGTTCTCCATATTAATCTCTATACATTTGGTGCTACTAACAAGGAGAATTTGTCTAACAATCAAGAGTTTCTTTAGTTGGTGATCATTTCCTTTTTGATCGTGCAGTATGATCTTCCGGGTGAGAATAAAGAAGACTGCTTTCTCAGAGTTAACCCCGCCCCGTACTTGAGACTGATCCGCTGAGGCTGTGGAGACGTCAAACACTGCAGCAACAGTCTTTTTCAGGACTTCACTCATCCGTGCGATCAGACCACTCGATTATCTGTTGCACCTAAGTTCGGACTAAATACTGTACTATATCTTCTCGATAAAACAATTTAGTATGTACACACTTTGTATGTCCTCTTAACACTCTTTGAACGCTCGTTTCACCAATATTTCTATCTAGTGGCCACTCCAACTTGTGATCTGGAATTTCGTGGTTGTGTCAGTGATTGTCCTGCAACAATAAAATGAAAAGAATGTGATTTCATCCTTCCCCCGCTCTGATGAGCCAGGGATTCCAGAACGGAAGGAAGTTTATTAGGGATGGGGGGGTGTATTAGAAACTTAAGTTCTACACTGAGAGGTTCAGGCCTTTAGAACTCGATATTACCACAGCAAGTTAAAAATCGCTGCCTTAGGGGTTCCAATCCGGCTCTATAGGGTGTTACAGCTTCATTCAGAAACTCGTTAAGAGATGTTACAAGCCTCGGGAAATTTTTCGAACAAAGAAGAATGAAAAGGCTCCAAATAAAGAGCTCTTTTCACTCACCACCATTCAATTTTTCAGACCGGCCTTGTTTCGTGTTCTCGGGGAACAACGCCCTGCAATAAGGAGAGAACATTGATTAAAATTACTTAAGGTGCACTTGGGTAAGCCACACAAGTAAACGAAAAAAATGTACCCAAAGCAAAGACAAAATCGAACCACAACATTTTCATAAGCATCGTAATGCAAGAAGTCGTTTACTTCAGTTGAAATGAATATATTGGGAAAAAATTATTTCGATACCAAACGACGTTGCGAGCTTACTTCGCTACCGTCCGTTCTTAGAGAAAAATCGGAAAGGTGTTTATTGAATGATTAGAGTTGTTAAAAAAAAGGAATAGAGTATCATTTCATTCGCTAACCACTTGCGTTTACCTGTATGATCTGGACTGCAACAGGAACTTCCTACAAAGAGCAATTTCACTTGCTAGTCTGCGAAGGTCGTCTCCCTCAAATACAGGCATGCTCAGAGGCTGAATGGACAAATACATTCTTCATCAGTTAATAAGAACGAAAAAAAAGTTTATTCATTACAAGATGATCATGAGGTTCATGGTGTTTTTTATTCGTCTACGTCACTGAAAGTGGGGTTATGTAGTGGTGTGAAGTTTGACACCTTGGACTTTGGATATAATGACATGACTGAGTTTATTGTGTTATGTCTGTGGATAAAACACCTAAATCATACAGTGCCTCTATCTCATCAGGGGTTGAAACTCTGGGATGGTGGATACCCTCAAGTGCTTAGCATCCAATCTACAAGGAGCTGACAGCCGAGAGATTACCATACAAAAAAGATTTTACTGTATGAAAAATAACGGGTAGAACTTTTAAACAACAACAGCAAGATGTGGGTCGACAAGTGGTCTTACCTCGTCTTCACGGAAGACTCCTTCTGCGAGGAGTCTGTGAGTGAACATGTGTCCATCCGGATCACCTTGACAACGGTGATATCTACAAAACAGGAAACCGGTCAGGCAGGTTATCAGTCTGCACTAACCAGTGATCACATTTGCTCTAACTTATTATAGAGGACTTACCTTCCGCCTGTCTGGGAGGCCAAAAGCTGAAGAAACTTGTTCGCCACACTAAATGGTAAAAAAAAAAAAAGAACAGTGGACGGAGAGAGAATTTTAAATAAATTCGTGAGAGTGATTTGGTGTACATAGACTTTGCTTCATTTCCATTTACATTGTAAACTTTAGAGTTACGGTAAAAATCCAACTTAAACAAAAACAGTACCAACTCACCTATCGTCACAGTTGAATGAAATACAGTGAACACGCACATTCCTTCCTGAGTTCAACTTTGCCACCTCTCTTAGTACCATAGTCGTACTGTTATCCTACAACAGAATGAGACGATGTGTCAAAATATTAAAAGCAAAACCATTCTCTCGTTTACCTTGTTAAATTTTCATTGGAAATTACAGCAAAATGGGAACTTCCAGAAGATCTAATGAGTGTGCACAAGCGCATTGCTTCGAAAATAAGACGATTCTGGGCACTGCTCTTAAGTTCTGCGGCATAATAAACCATAAACTAACTGGTTTTCCATCAGTCAGTAGGTATATCCCTTGAACGTCTGGATCCTCAAATGCCATCTGAAAGAAAAAGAAATGTGGGCTAAGATAAGAATCTAGGAAACACTCATTCAGATCCTTAGAAGTCACCACTCTCTTCCCAGCGTTTGTTTACTCCCAGCGGCGGGCCTATCTAACCACACACATAAATAAAGATAACTGATATGGAAAAGACGAGTACGGTAAAAGGGCGGAATTAAAACGGCTTAGTATTGCTTCCAAAGCAGTAAACACAAAAGAGATTAACTACAAAACCAATCATCAAACCTGAAGGGCTTGTAATGTACTCGTGCTACCATTGGCGTCAAAGTCAGAAACCCATTCAACAGCATCTTGACAGCTGTCATCTGACGTTGACATTAAGCTTGGTTTCCATGACACCACTTCAGAGGCAAACCGAATGAGATTAAACCTACAATGAAGGCGAAACATATTGTTAAATGAATGACAACTAAAGAGATGCACATCGAGAGCAAATTAATCCGAGGCAAACACCTCCTTAATCTCAAAATAGTTTACATCCCTATCAAAACAATTCAGCTCGAGGTTTTTTTTTAACGTGCGTAACACGATCGTCGGTTTTGTTAACATACTTTGTAGCCTGGTGTCTAATCTGGTCCCAGACAAGCGCAACCAGCTCTCGTTTCAGTTCATCCATGCTGCTGACCATGGAGCCTGAAGTGTCGATCAACACCACCACCTGAGAAATAAATAACGTAACATTAAAAAAATTAACAAATAAGCAACAACAACAACAACAAAATGAGGCCACAAGTCCGGTAAGAATGGCCAACGACCTGAAAGACTGTTTTCCCTTCATCCGTTGAACCCTAAGAGAGATCGGCATCTAATTTCTCCTTACAGTAATATTGGTGACTCATTCATAACGATCATGAGAATGACAGAAATGATCGCAAACCTAATAATCTTCGATTATGAAACGAATTCTCCCGATCAGTACCAAAGAAAATGCATAGCATAGAGTATGGGGAATATGGATACTGATGTTAGGGTGTGAAGGTATAAACGAAACGTGCAATGGGCAGTGAAACGTGGATGAAGGAGATAAAGGAAAGGTAGCAGAAAAAAAAAATAGTTGGCTGTGCTTCGGCCGCTTACTTACATTTTTCTCGACTATTGTGCCAAACACACGTTTACTACCTGGTGACAAAAAAGAGAAATACATTTTGGACTAAAATTAAAACAAAACAAAACAAAAAACTCTTACAACTATTAATAGAGGGAGGTTGCAGTGACAGAGTTTTCGTTTCATTGGTCAACATATATAGGCTGTTTCATTGGTTCAGTCAACAACCAGCGACGCTGTAGCGCTAATAAAGGGACGCGAATTAAGGCTGGTAAAATCCTTCCTGCTTTACCGTCAGTTTTGTTTGAGAGTTGTATAACACTAATGAAACCCCTGTAACAGGCTTTACTTAGACTTCCACGCCTAAGGAGACGATATGCCTAATCCACCAATTTAAACTAGCTTTCGGCACTAAGACAGGTGGAAATTTTCATACAACTAACTGTAGTTCGATCAAAACTTCCTACAGTCGCTTATACGATAAATAAATAAATAAAAAGTTAAAATTACCGCTCAGTAACCACTGCAGTCTTTTCACGTATCTTCTTAAAACCTTTTCCACTTGATCCTCATAATCTTCTAATTCGTGCGGTAGCAGATGGAGATGTTTCACAACTCCCTGAAAAATTATGTCAACAGTTTTTTCCTAAATTAATGCCTTGATACACACTCAGGTTAATGTCTTACTGTTGTTCTCTTCGTAATCTTTCAAAGAACAACTATTCTTGCATTCTTATAAAAAAGGACAAATCACCAAAACCCAAACAAAAAACATCCTGTTTTTCTGCTAGCATAGAGCTTAAACTTTGACGAGGATTACATCCCGCAGATACTTAAAATCCGTACTCTTTAAAAGGTAAAACAGCCATATTTTTTAAAACCTCAGAAAAGTGAAAATGAGAACCGCAGTAAAGTAATACTGTGAGCTGGATATCAGTAGGACAAGATGGTAAAACCAAAAATACATTACCTTAACTTCTACGCTTGGGAAAATGTTGCAGTATCTGAAAAATGATTGGAAACAAACGATAAATTCAAGTAATTTGATGTGGCGCTACACTCAGTGTATATGACTCCTAGATTATGTTTGCTGAGGAATACTCTCCTAAGGATTATTAAAATGTTTCTCGTAAAATAGTTTCTTTTCTAGAATTGTCACTGAGGATCACCTTTCCAGACCCACAACAACTGTCCTCGCTTCAATATCTTGCGTAGCAGGCGACCAAAATGCGCGGAAGGCGCGGGAGAAGCCAGACACGCTGTAAAGAGAGCGGCATCAGTATCTCACGCGCGACTTCTCGCTCGCGCACGCCGGGCTAATCAGTCGCATCCGAATAGAAATCAGTGAATCCTATTACTTAGGGTTAACTGAAAGAAACCAACTAATGTTGAAGTTTTGACGGTTGAATAGTGTAAATGACGCATACAAGTTTCACATTTCATTCACTTACCTTGCAGTTACTGACTGTCCCAGAGATGACACTTTTCCTTTCGCGTGTGAACATTCCGCAGTTCCCACAATGTTATTAAGGTCCAACTTAAGCTTTGAGAGGCTATAATGACGCATCCACTGAAAATTAAGGCAAAGATACTTAAGAATTCTGTGTGATCGCGAGTGTGTGCACATGCAGGCTCTCGATTGCCATTAAGACAGAAAGAAATGGAAGAAATGGTGCGACTGGAGCTAGAAAGATAAGCCGGTCTGCGAGGATATCAAATCAATGACGCACTCACTAAGGGAAGGGGGGAGGGGAAGGAAGAGGGTGGGAGTAAGGCCCGCTGAGTTGCACTTGACTTTCTTGCCTCGCCGACCGCTTTCCTTTGCTCAAAGTTGCCTTTGCATAAAGAGATAACAGAAAAAGCCACAGATATGAATTTCTACCTCTCTGGTGCTAACGCTTTCCTCTTTGTCGGGTATAAATGGATGCTTGATCGGTCGTCTGACTTTCTTTTTGGAAGGATACTGAGTGAAAACTGCACCTGTGTGAAAGAACAAGACATGTGTTTTGATGACGTACATAAACCCTGTCTGCCTTATTCTACCCCAAGGGAGCCCTCTCTCGCTCCAAGAAGAGGGAAGGGGGGGGGGAATTAGGGGAACGTAGAGCCAAACTGAAAGAGCCTGAGAATGCGACTGAGCCTGGTAACGAGTTATAACAGAATAAAGAAAGCGTGATATTTATTCATTATCTTTGAAACAATTTTCTTAATTACACCATCGATTACAAAACAAACCTGTTTCATTTTTCCATTCGGTGTAAAAAGCCTGCTGAACCGGTTTAACGCCACCTGACCACGGTCTTCTCTCTTTGACAACACTTTTAGCTGGAGGAGCTGCAGAAGACAGGGAAAAGATTCTATCAAGCGAGGTACGGGTCATATGTTAAGATCGGGGTCGTTAGATGCAATTTGCAAAACTTAACGTAAACCAGGATTACATTGGTTTTGTTTTATTGTGCCTTGTGATTGGTTCAGAAAACTCGCGCCATCCTCTCAACCAATCAGAAGCAAAGTACAACAAAACGCACCTCAGTCATCCACATGCTATACATTTCCCTGCATATTAGTTGGTGTTAGATCAAGATAACGACTTCTTCCTTTTAAGTTGAGTATTCTCATTACCTGTTTATTGGATAATGTATGGATATTATGTGGGGAGAAGTTACGTGTTAATCACTTCTAGGAGTTAATCCCTCACTCACGTGCAGGTATAAGAGAGGTAGTACTGTTCACTGTGGGAGGTTTCCACTGTAGGGCCTTCAACGTCGATTCCTTAGTTTGAGATGATGCACTTTGTGGCCTGGCCTTTTTACCACTTGTTGAGGAACTGGGTCGACTAGAGCCCGCCGTCTGGGGACGAATACTCTGAAAACAGGAATATGCATGTGACTAAGTTTGTGACCATGAGTTCTCTGACACAAACATGTTTACGACTTTTGGTGAAAACAATTACATGTGTAAAGAACGTTGACCAGAAACCTCTACTCTTAAAAAAGGTTTCATTAGACGGAAATTTTTTTGAGAAACTCATTAGATAAAATCCCTTGAGGCGTTTGAGAGGAGAAAAAATTAGGACGTGTGTGGGTAGAACTTCGCATGTTACATGCGTGGGAGAAACATATGTCGAATTAATTTCTTAGGTAAAAATTTAATATTTTTAAAGTCATAAGCAACCTTCAGCTTTATCTTTCCGCATCAAACTCCAGTTTTTTTCATTTTACAATCTAATTCATTCATTCTCGAGATTTGTCTAAAGCTTTTTAGTTTTGCCTAACAATTTACATCCGTGTCAAATCGAAAAAGTTAAAGTGGATTTACAAACTAGATGGATAATACATTTGTGATTTTAATAGCAGCGAGAGAGAAACAGAAGGAAGGAAAGACGACAGTCTTAAAAACTTTCTAGTTCTTACAAGATCTTCGTTTGTAGCTTTTATCGGAGGCAAAGCACAGCCACCCTTTTTCTTCTAAACAAAAAACAAACCAAACAATTTATACAAAATAACACTTTAAAATTAACATACCTCACGATAAATCTGTATGCATACCATGGGAACACCTTATCACGGATTTTAATATGTACCTTAAACTCAACTAGTCTAAAGAAATCATTTATTCCTTCGCCGTTTAGTTGTTTTATTAGAGGTGTCAGAAGCTTGATTTTTTTTTGGTTTTTTTTTTTTTGCAAAGAACACTTACAAATTTAAGCTGGAAATAAAGGCGTTGTTTACAATGTAGTGTGAAAGTTTCACTTTTTAGCCTAGCTTTACAGTAGCTACTTTCCAAGGACCACTTTTAAGTCCTAGTAGCAGGCTGTCCTTTAAATTTCGTTTTAATCTCTCTACAATACCCTCCACTAGTTCAGCATCCCTCACTTCCTATAACAGCATTACAACAAGGGATTCTGAATCAGTTTCTAGGTGGCAAAAGTATCAAGACACCCACATACTCCTGGTAAAAATTTGAAGGTGTAACGTCTTATTTAACAAAAGAAATCTAATGTCAGTATTAAGAGACTAACAGTTGTGTCAGGGCCTTTCAATATTCTGATATGATTCCACTTAAATCACTTGTCCTCGGTTCTCTCAAAAACGCTTTTGTCACTCAGAAAAACCCATCAACTTTCGAATGATAAAAGGTCCCCTAGGCGACCATCTTGACAGAGAATAAACAAGAAATCGTACCATTCGAGCCTTGGTTAGTGCAGTATGTCTAGGTGGGGTCAGTGGTAATCGGGACTTGCCAGCAGATGGCGGCCTGGGAACAAGTTGATTTTCACCATCATTTGAGTCGCCAATCTGAAAGAGAAAGTGGAGAGAGAGAGAGAGAGAGATAAACAAATACTTAAGCTCCTCTTGGAAGGCCCTTGTAATTGAGGAATTTGAACCTTTCCACACATGCGAGTGACGAAAATGGAATTTCTCCTTACAAGATCAATACACTTTCAAGAGCAAAGGTGACGAGAAGAAAGGATGATGTCAAACAAGGGGATATTGTTTGATTTAACACAATATTCTCAGAGCAAAATTTGTAAGAAGTGACTGGTAGACAGCGCGGAATATTGATCTTGGGAGAGAAAGAGTTAATATAATAATCATAAATCCTCTAGACGTAAAGTTGGACAAACATACCACTTGCGCCACTGGTTTTTTTTTTCTAACTGTTTCCAAGAGAATGGAAATCTGAAAAGAAGTATTACTCAAGATCAGGCTATTCAATGCTAGTAGATTACGATAACCTCATCCGATTCCGGGGGGTTCCGACTTAAATATTCCCTCAGATCGTTCGACATTGAATCAAGTTAAAACTGAAGTAAACCGCGTACATCTACAATTTTTTCAACTTTAACAACTGTCCCTTTCAAGATCTGATTTTTGGCTATTTCCTGTGGATAAGTCACAGCATTTATGACACCTGTCAGTGAACCTTGCTTAAGAACAATTCTCCCAGAAGCTGTTTTCAATTTCTTTGGCAAAGGTTTTTTTTGTAAAGCTTTGTATTGAACACGTCTAAGTGAAAATCTGGCATGATATTTTTTTGAAAAAAAAAACTTAAAAGGAAAGAAACCTGACAGCTTTTCCTCAACTTATCTACCAAGAAATACGGGGTAAATTCGAATTAAACGCGGAGTAAAAATGTGTAAAACGAGATGGGAACATTACTTACTTTCTGAGAGTAATTGAAAGCTTTATCCATTTCATTTAACACAGCCCCAAGATCATCACTTTCGACAATTGCTGAAAAAAGTAGAGAGTAACGATGAACATTATAAAACCTCTATAACATTACAGTTGAGCTTGGAAATTTATCAACAACACCTCTGCTGAGATTTTGCTTCATGCTATTTACTTGCTGAGACCATCAACAAGTTCCTTCTGAGTTGAGAATATCGAACCAGGCCTTCTGTGTGATAACAAAATCAAATTCATGTCGCCAAACCAAGACTAAAGAAATCACCAATAACACGGCCAATTAGAACGAAGTGCAGGTATTACCAATAGCCAATGATATCGCACCGAAGCAAATGCATGTTAATGTCAAAAAGCGCGGGAAAACTGACGCGTCTGACCGAGTCGCGATTGGATTAAGTTTTTCACCTGACTGGTCGGAAGAGGTGGCGCGAGTTTCCCTAGACCAAACAAAGGGTACGATAATTTCAACAAGAGAGTTAGGGGTAAGACGATCAGTTAGTCAAGGGATAAAGATTTGATGTCATGTCAGTCCTTATGTTATGGAAAGCACTGGGGTAGATGTACCTAAGCTGGATGAAATTGGAAAGAACGGAAGGCCGAAATTCCCTTGGCGTAGTAAATCTAAAGACAAGAACTAAGAAAAAGCATTGGTAAATTCACCTCCACTCCTATACCAGTGGAACCGGCCATTGACAGCATGAGCCATCTGTCTCAAGCACTCAGCGGTCTTTCCTCTGTCGGCGTACTTTCCAGGTATTGCTATCAAGCCATCTTCGTCATCCACCTCATAGAAAATAGTATGCACTGCTGTGTCGGAGCCGGCTAAAGCTTCACGTAAAAACCCACAGACTACCTCCTGAGAAGAGCGAAAAAAAAATTGCCAAGCCTTAGTGTGACAAAGTCTACAGTGACAGGAGTTAACGATCATCATGTGGTGAATAAAAACATGAGGGCAGAGTCGCACTAGGTATTTCTGTTCTTTTGAGTAAAAAGGACGCATTTATAAGGAGTACTAATTGCAATTTCTGTAGAAGTAAGTTCTGTAGAACGCAGTTTTCAATTGAATGTCGAAAGTAATCCAGGATTGCGGTGCTTTTACTTAACTTTGCACTGTGATTGGTCCAGAAAACTCGAAACATCCTCTCAACCAATCAAATGCAGAACTAAAAACTTGGCGCGGGCAGCTTGGTCGCCCGCATTTTCCCGCGCTTTAGACAGTTTTGTGGCTTTACATCTACTTTAAAATTTTCCCTACCTTTGGTTCATCCGGGACTCCACTTGTTATTACATAAATCCCTTCAACTTCTAAAGGAAAAAAGCGTTATAAGAAAATCGGCAACCTCAAATTAGACTGTGGTGACACTTTCACATTAAGAAGTAACTTTTTTTTCTTACCAATACCACGAGCCTTTTCCTCTTCATTTTCCACAGCTTTCCTAAAAGCATCCAAAAAGTTTCTGCTTCCAGTACAACCTCTCCGAAGAAGCCACCTACAGGTAAAATGATTACATCATTTGACAAAAATACACTTACGGGTTAACTTTTGCTCCATCGGAATGAAACGTTTTCTTTCTTGTTAGCCTAATCAAATTTGCCAAATGCTACCTTTCTTTCTGACAGAAACAGTAGATTCTTCAACTTCAGTACAGTCACACAATCACACGAAATCTTACCGTTGTCAAAAATCTGTTCATGCAACTAGTGCTTTGGTAAATATCTCCGAGTATAAAATGATTTGTTGTATTTTGCATGTTACATCCAAAGTTCTCTGTCGCTCAGTAGTAGAGCATCAAATTCTTGGAGGAAAGGGAATTTCCATGTCTCTTTCCACAACGCTCGTGGTAAATCTTTAACATAAGTTAACATAAAAACGACTTACTTCCAAGTCGCCTCAAGATACTCAGGAGATGGTTCTACCATGACGGGGCGAAACATCTCAGTCTTATCACCAAAACTGAAATAAAATACGACATTTTTCGAACAATGAAGCAAGCCTCAATTATAAATACTTTTCGATATATTCCCAAGGCTGTAATTTTCTGCTAAGCCCCCCTCCCTCTCATCTAGCAAGCTCCTTTCCTACCCCATACTCCTCAGCAAAAACTTTAAAATTAACACATCGGGCAAAAAGTAATGCCATCTGAATAATGCACTATAAATTTCTACACCGTACTATTTTTATTTATTTGAGTTAGACAGCGTTTCAGCACAAAGTACACTGTACAATATCACGTTCCATTTTGGATAGCGTTGATTTTTTAGGAAAAGAGATAAATAATGTAAAAGGTTTCCTTAAGTTCGAGGAAAAATCCAAAGGACAAGTAAGGGAATCAACAGCCAACTTTGTAAATGTAATTATTCAATTCTGCAGACATGTCTAAAATCTTGTAAGAGCGTTCCTCTTTGAGTAAAAACACATTTACGGTGGAAATAAATCTTGATTTAAACGTTCCATTACCAAATAAAGTTGTAGGAGGTCTTGTTGGCCATTTGTTGTTCAAGTAAAAGTCTGAGGTGATCTTGAAGCTTAGGAACAGCTGGCGACATACATATTGACATGTCCAACAACACAATAACCCTGCAAGAAATGAGAAAATGCTTGAAGCAAGGAATTTTAACCCTTGAGGTATCTATCCCCTTCTAGCTACGCTCCTGAACAAGGCAATTATGTGCTGTTTAGGCTATAGATATCTCCTGAAACTCACAAAATAACGATGGAATTTGCTAACACATAAGCAGATGAATATTTATCAGATTCATTCTTTGAGCTGTTTATGTATGTATGTATATTTATATCTGAACTAGAGGCATTTGTGTTGGAGCCACTTTGCAGTTGGTGAAGACTCTTTCAGGCTTGCTCTCAAAATGGTCAAATGTCGTCTGCATCAGGAGTATTGTGTATCACAGAGGTATTTGCGAGAGTGTTCTTCCTAGGCAGTAAAGTTTTGTGCTCCAGCTAGACAATTTGAAACTGAAATTACCTCTTTTCCACAACTGTTCCAAATATTCTTCTGCAACCAACCGAAAGCCAATCAACGCGTCTTTTGTACAGGTGAACGGCAGATTCCAAGTGACGCTGTAAAAACAAACAAACAGCCAAAAAACAAATGATTTCTGTCTCTTGATTCAATTTCAATTTAACTTTTATCACAGACAAATGAAATCTGCTATTTTCTGCAATAATCTGAATGTTGTATCAGTCCGCTCTAAACTAAGGGGAAAATTAGGCATAACAAAAATATCTGAAAAAAAAAAAAAACTGACGGAAGAGTAACAAAGGCATCAACAAACCTGATAATCAAAAAGCAACGTTGGATCGACATGCACATTCTTCACAGATCCATCATGCCATTTAAACTGTGCCATACTCTGTATATTAAGTAATAAAAACATATAAAATGAAAAGGCTTCGGTTTTTTTTTTCTTCCGAAAGATATATTGATCCAAAAATACAAAACAAACATCGCGAGAAAAAACTTCCAAACGTGAACCTCCACAGCGAAACAAGTCTCGTGGAATATTGTAATGTGATTTATACCCAGGTTCAAATGAGTTCAATTTTTATGTTTTTTTTTTTTAAACCTTGAAAGACGCGTAAGTCTAAAAAGAGACCAGCATACCCTCTCATAGACCAGAGAATGCACATTTCTGTTGATGGCAGAAATGTATCCATCCACGTACGAGAATGAATTGGGGGCTAACACTTGATAAAGATTGAGTCCCTTGGCTGTAAAGAGGGAAGAATAATAAATAACAGATAACAATGACCAGTTCAAGGGATGGCTTTAGTCAAGTAATAGTTTTTGGAGATCTTTGGCTCAAAACAATCTTTGGCATGGTGACTTAATTTTTTCCTGTGCTTGAAGCTTGAGGTGCAGTCAATAAAAAAAATCTGTTTTATTTCTTGCGTGGCAGGCAAAGGGCATTAAGAAAGTGAAAATCTATTTCCTTTGGTTTCTCATGCTTCTGATGACTTTTTCCAATTTCTCAATGACCGTTACAATTACTTTGGTTTTAGTTTTTTTGATGACCCTCGGACGGAAAACTCACTAATTGAATAAAAAAAAATTAGTTGGTTACCTTTCAACCCATGCTGTCTCAGCCACTCAGCTGATGTCCGGGCTGGAAATGAGGGGTGTTCAACTACAAGTGGAGAGCTGTCGGTTTTCAGTATCTCACCCTCTTCAGGTGGTATCCTCATAAGTTCCAGACCTTGCTGAACCTTGACAGAGACAAAGTAGAAAGTCAACACTGCATGTTGGAAATACTGGTGGTTTTCAAAGCACTACAAAATTTTATCCTGTTATCCAGATAAAATGTCACCTTTAATACTTACAGTGCTCACAGTAGTGCCAACACCTGTGTGCATGACAATTTTTTTATCACCAATGACTCCATTTTTCATCTCATGGATCTTCTTCAAGATTTCCTGAGCCTTCTTCATTTCATCAGCTATTAAACTGAGATCAGTTCCAGTCATAATTTGTTCCTGAAATGGATCAACACATGTTGAAAATTGGTAGAAATTTGATAAAACAAAAAATGGCCCGTTACATTCTTTGTTTTATTTGACTTAATAACAATGATTACAGCCCTTAGCATAACATAGTCCTTTATACACCGACTCACATCACTTGTTGAGACATAACAGTGATATCTCCCTCCTGTCTGTTCAGCAAGCTCCTGAAGAAACATCTGAAAAGATAATTATGGTTAATATTTTCCTAGAAGAGAATTTCTCATTCAACATGTGTAATAAATTTTTTTGGACAAATCCTCCTTCAGATTGCAAATACTGTCACTTTACACCTCAATAATGTTGTGCTAGAGTCACCCTCTGTTATCAATCATTACAAGGAAGGGGTGTGATGAGATGAGTTGTAAAAATTTATTTTTAAACATGTCAACCAATCTTGCCACAAATTTAAAAGATCAAAAAAACAGGTAATGTGCCCCTTGTACTTCAGCATAAATTTTCCATATTTTGTGGGATTTATGAGGGCAGTGTAGAAGCAGAGCCTGGTTGCCACAGGCAAGGTCTATTACTTTGTGTTTATAAAACTTTTAACAGCTAGGCATTCCAGATTTCTGAGACAAGAGCTTTCAAGCACATGATAATTTGATGAACGGCACAGCTTTGACTAAAGCCCATGAATTTATGGTGTGCTTATGCTAATAAGGGTGTACTTACATTAGTTGCTGAGATGCTGCAGTCATATGCCACAGTATGTAGAGGAGCGTTTCTTCCTGCCAAAGATTCACGGACATACTCGCATATTACTTTGGGATTCTGGTCAGGGCTGCAAGACAGCGAAATCATTGAAAATAAATTGACATCATAACTACATCTGTAACCTCATAACAGCCAAATCTGCAAAGGTCAACATTGAATGATGATATTTGATCATACCAGCTTCCCAAGACCAGAACAATAGAGTCTATCTCTTTTCTCTTGACGACCTGTTTAAGTGCAGACAGAACATTGCATCCTCCTTGAGGACGTAAACTGTTGGCCCACCAATGAGACTCTTCAACACTGAAAACAGTTTTCAAATCACATGAACATTATTAGAGATAGAGCAATGTTAAATTAAGAGCTGAAAGATATCTTGGATTGCACTACCTTAAAGGAAATCTAAAATCCTTTTCAATTAGCATGGTCTCTTTGTGTTCAATAATTCTGAGGTAATCAGAGAACAGACTGTGGAAAATTGTTATTGGTTCATACTAAACAGATAATAATTTGTTATTAAAAATTATCTCCTACTTGAAAGTCTACAACTTACATGCGACAGTTCACATCCCTGACCACTGTCCATAATGGCTTGGGTTGGGTTCCAAATGATACCAGGAATAGTCTTTCTTTGTTGGCCAACTGCTCATCAATAAGCTCCTTTAAGAATCAGAGATAATGATCATTTGCATATTGCTTTATCAGCCTCAAATTTCCATAGAACTGTAATTATAACATGAAGTTTATGAAGTATTAATGTCATACCCCAAGAGATTCTTGAAAAAGCTGTAGTCTGCCATACCCACAGTTTGAGTCTGATGCATCAACTAACAGAGCTACATTCTGGCCTTTCACCAAACCAAATGCCTGAGTACAAGGAAATCAAAACTGATTAATCATGGTCTGAAAGTTGAGCCATTCACTAGTCAGAACAGGTTCAGTTTGTTCCCTCTGAAATATAGTTACTGACATCTAATTCAAAGTAGCTATAGGTCACAGAATCTCCACACTGCAGTTAGGCAACTGGTTAGAGAATTACATGTTGCTAGCACACTGCAATGACCAACTACAACTAAAAACAAATACTACCAATAAGGCCAAAAGAGAAGCTTGGATGGGCAAAATTAGAAAACAATTGATTCAAAAATCAGGGATAACTGAGTATACTTGAAAAACCTTTTTCAAGAGTTCAGTATATTGAATGATGCAAAAGTTCCATGCAAAGTGCCATTCAAAAATCATATGCAATTGCCATAGAGCTGTAATGTTTAGAGCAAAATATTGTTGTTGGGCTGAGCACCACAACCAAACTCCCTTTGTTGCATAATCATCTCTTCTCTTTTCACCATCCCTTCCTGCTAAGCCCTTTATCCTATCTACACCAGGGTTTTTTTATCTCTCCCACTTTTCCCAAACTGCTGTCCTGTCATATCACTCCCTTCTGACTCCCTGCATCATAATATAACTATTCCTTCAAAACAAGGAGTTTCTCACCTCTCATTACAGTTTTGTACTATCATACAAAAGAGATTATCAGTAAAGCAAACATACCCTTCTACTTCCTTTCAACAACCAGTTTATTCTCTGCTGGCACAGCTGTATCAGACTGAAAAAAAAACATTCAGAGCCTACTCAGCATAACAATCATAATAGTTCCAACTGAGTAATATACCCACAAAGCACAAAACTGTTATCAAACAGTTAGGTTTAATTCCATAGAGTGTTAAAATTTCTTCAAACAACTACTGTAACTCTGCCTCCTTGTAAAGATATGACACCTAAGAAAAAAGTATTTATCATGACCAGCTACCAAAGATCACCAAGATATATAGCATAGGGTTAAAATAAAAAGACAGGGCAGTTGTAACAACAACATGGAACTGAAAAGTCTCCCTCAATTCCAAATTGAACATAGAGGAATTTAAGTAAAGTTTTCTTCTCCACACACTTTTTATAACACACACGTAAAAGACAAGAAGAAATTGCATTGACTCAAGAAGCAGCTTACTTGGTAATTTTAAATTCAAAATCTTGCAGCTTGACAGGATCATACTTCACGTGAACTTGACTTGGATCTGAGCCAAGTGGAGGTCTAAATGTGACAATATCATGAAAATTAGGTTTGGATAATCATCAAAGGTATGGCCTTTTTGAACTAACACCAAATTTTTAAGACATGCCAACAAGGGATGGACTAACTTAATAGGAACTCCACATTTCATGATTTCATCAAATGAAAGAGCCTCTGCTTTAATGCTGTGTCTTCCCAGCCAATCAGATGAAGACTGGCCCTCGGCATGGGCTGCTTCCAATCCAATCACAGCCTACAGATCAAAATTTGACAAAAATTGAGTCAATAAAACTTTATTAAAATACTCAGACATTGATTGCAAGAATTAGCACAGGAAACTTTTGCTACAATTACTTTGTGACATAGGTGAATAGAAAAAAAACAGTCCTATTTATGTGACTGATTGGAAAGACCCCTTCAACCCTCTTACTTCTAAGAGTGACCAGGGAGTAATTTCTCCCAACAATATTAATACACTGGTAACTAGACAGTTGATGAGAATTAATACCAGCAGGAATGAGGGGGGTATCATTTGCAGGAGAAACAGTCTTTGAGGAATGTAAGGTGGACAGTATGCTCGTTAGATATTAGGAGTGAAAGGGTCAAGACTTTTCATAACTAACTGCAAATATTTTAAGTGAAAATCAAATTTGTAATTGAAGGCTTATAATTTGTTAAAAAAAAAGAGGTAAGAGAGAGATCTAATTATTTTCCCAAAGAATAATTTATTAAATAAATACCATACACAGAAAAAGATACCTCACTGTTTATAACTGGATGCAAATGTTATATATCCGCTCCAGCAAAATACTCTTAAGTAATCGTTACCTCTTGACCCATAACTAAATAATAATTTCTCTGATCTGTGCAGACTACACTAACTATAATTCAATAACATGTACATTTATGTGATGAACAGAAAGCAGAAAGCATATTCAATAAGAATGTTGCGCAAAAGTGTGCTATTCAAGTCATAAATTGAAAGTAGATATGAAAATAACATGTTGAAAGTCCGATCAATCTAAAATTTTAACTCTGGCAAAAAAAGAGTAAAAATAATAGTGTGCCCAAAATTAATCTACATGCTCTTCAAAACAAAAAGATTACATCATTTTCCAGAAGTGTTTTCAGTCATGAACAAGATTAGTTTATTGTTATCATTTTTATATACCTGATCTTCATCCAAGCTTTCATTAGATGAGTACACCAGACACTTCTCTTTAAACATTTTAACTCAGAATCCAAGAAAACAAATATATCTGACTCTCAAATGTTATTTTTTTCTTGGTCTGTGATTCAGTGCTCTACTTTCAGACAAAAATAATTATATCTAGAATAATCCAGTGAAAATAGGTTTTTTAAAGCATTCATCAAGCTTAGTAACCAAGGTACAAAAGTAGCAGGTGTTAAGGAGCATATTTTATTCATGAGATGATTATTTAAAATAATGTAAATTTTATATGGATCACATGTCACACAATCTGATATGAGCACATTTAAGTTACATCTCCATTTTTTGTTTCTGATTCTGGCTTCTTGCAAATAAATAAGACAAAGAAAAAATTCAAACCAAATTAAAATTTTAAACAAAATTGTTCTTGGGATTACATGTGGTAACCTAAAAGAAAAGTTTAACCCTGTTGATTTTTATAATAACTTTGCTTAAGAAAGGGAAGTTAATCAAAGAGAACATTATTCTTGAAAACTACAGATCCCAGTAAAAGAACATAAACTCAACATTATGTGCCTCTAGTGTTAGTTAGTTACCTGTAGATCATGGGCCTGTGACACTGATGTTACAGTAAGAGCCCTAGGGGGTAGGGCATCATTTGTCTTCAGCATCTGCCAAGGGGGGCGTGTCTGAAGGGGTTGCACTTCATCTGCATAGCTGCTGGTACCATCAGCATGGTCTGTTCTCTTTGTGCGAGGCTTGGGTCTGGGGGGACTTCATGAAGAAAATTTACAAAATAAATCGAGAAACCATAATTTCTTTATCATCTTTATTTAGAAGGTTTGCTTACTGAAGAATCACTGTTATCTTTGAAAAAACATGTGGCATGAGCATTTTAAGAGGCTGAAGATTAGCTAGTAACACATATTCAGCTCTGATGACGACGGTGTTTCGATTTCTCTCCTTAAATTATTAATGAGTTGACATATCCTTCCATAGTATCTCGTATATTGTGGAAAGTATATGAAAGGAAAAACAAATCAAACGCTAACTTCGAAACATTCTGTGCAAAATTTATCAAAATAATGTGACTGAGCATTAATAATAAAACAAAACAGGTCTCGATTCGAATTGAATTTTGCGTCAACTGCAATTAGAACCTTTTTACCTGGTAGTAAATGAAGGCTGAGATGGGACTTCTATGTTCGAATGTGTGATACTCCATCCCGACACTCTGAAAAAAAATCACGATACAACCAACTCCTTTGTTTTGAATTCCACATCGTGATCAATCATACAACAAAATATAGATTATTTTGAAAGAAAGAAGTCTAACCGGACTGCCTGTGGTTCGCGAATCAAAACAGGAGATGGTTCATCGTCTTGTCTATCATCAGTCTCCGAACCTGATGAGGAACCAGAGGAAGAACTCGAACTTGAGGAACTTTTAGACATATTGGAGCCTTTCAAAAAACGTTTCTTCCATTTTCCTGTCATTTGAGTGTTCACTGCACCCCATTAGATTTGTTTTTTGAATTCCTAAACAACCCAGAACGCCATTTTGTGAACTTCCAGAACACCGCGCGTTGCCTTGGTGCCGAGTTGTCATGGGAAGTACTGCTGACCGTGTCCTTTTTGGGGCGCCGATAATCTGGACGCAAAAAAATTCTCTTCGTAAATAATCCTAAAATTTGAGAACTTGAGCCATTGAAATGTTTATTTAACGGTTTGTTTTAGATTATCTACACGTGTAAGATGGAGGAGTGAACTCTTTATAAAAAGTGTATTAACATTAAAGGTCTGTAAAGATATTATCTCATGTTATCCCTATTATTCCAATTTGCTTAACTATTCAAATGTGTTATCCTCAAGTTATTTGTATTTATGGTTACTTAACTTTCTAGACTCCTCCAACGTTTTCTAGCCATGTTTATAAATAATTTGGTTGACTTTCTAAGTGTTTGTGTTATGTTTTAAGACTTTCGTTGATATCTCTTTTGTTGTTGAGGTAAGAGATCGTTGTGTACAACCAATGGTGTGAAAATTTCATTAATATTGCATTGTTCTAGAGCCAATGATCGAAGCGTTTGTTAAAACAGCAATCTAAAATATCTCTTACTTGTCAATCAACTTGTGCGGCGGAGTGTGTACACAACTTCCGATTCCTGAAAGATGTCGAATAACGCGCCCTTTACGAAGTCCAAAACAGAGAAGTTCCGTAAATCTCGTTCCGTATGCATGGCTTTTTTCTGTAGATGATGGATGATATAATACAAGGACAGGAGCCTCAAGGTTTATTCTCCAAGCGTTCGTCTTCAAATATTCTCTCAGATCCAAGGATTTTGGCACATTTACGGATCGTGGCAGAAGAGGCTCAAAGCTCTGAGCAGAATCACGAACACGATGAAGAATCAGAGCTGCAGAACACGAAACGGGAGCTTGGGTTAAAGATAGCGGCTTACAACAAAGGAAACCAACATGGGGCATTCCGACTGATATTGAAAGAGGTACGAGTGATGTTTATCACGAACGAATATATTGGCAAAGGAATGTTGGCCTTAACCATCACTGAGGGATAATTATAAACGCTTATCTCGCTTTTCTTGTGTCTGGCACAGAAATAGACAACTTAAATCTGGCGGTGAAAATCGAGTTACAGTAACGATTAGATAACTTTTGAAATTAATCGTTTCAGTCGTTGACATTTTCTCATCAAACTGTCACTTACATTCCCTACATGTGGCAACCAGACATGCAGGACTAAAGCTAGCCAGCACTAGCGAACGAAGGTAGAATCGTATTGCGATAAATCGTATTGGCTGATTGTTGGTTCGATTGATGTGACTCGTGCAGCAGAATACTGAATCACCTGTGATGCACTATTTCAATTTCAGGATTTAGGTTTCGAGGGAGCTTTACGTTTCTACTTTGAGGACGGGAAAGAGGAACTAACAAAGGCTCTACGCCTCACCAACAAAACTCTGGTTTCGGAGCTGCTACCAACGCTGATCGAAAAGTTCAAGCCCGATTTGGCCAACTCGGTAGTCGAGAAGAAGGCCAAACTTTATGAAGTTTACGAAGAAGGTAAAACAGTCTAGATAATTAACAATCGGAGCTAGACCATAGCGAACAAACAATAATGGCACTCAGGCGAAGCGCTGTGCGATTTCAAGTATCCTTAAATAACTATCAGCGCGATTTGAACATTTAATCGAATAACGTTATTTGTAACAACAGGATCGAAAGCGAAATTCTCAGTTTATGATATTATAGTTTATACTTCGTAAGGTGCAAATAATTTCATTGCGATTAAATTAACCTGATTTGATGCGCACTTTTTTACTTCCAATATACAAGTAATTGTTTTTTGTAAAGTTTGCAGTGTTTACATTGCGGACCATTCCTAACATAGCAACGTTGACAGTCTTTATTAAAACTCCTATGAATCGAACACGGAAAAGGAAATTTACTATTGCTTTCTCAAAATCTTGGCATACAAATCACAAAATCTAAGTTAAGTATGGAATAGTATGCCGAAGTGCGAACAATATGCGCAGTATGACTATCGTTAATATAATTAAACCTCGATGAGCTGAGTAATTAAACGTTACAATTACTAAATAGCGACGTTTTCGAGCTTTTAATTAGCTTCGTTTTGGTACAATTTGCATGGTGAATGTGAATTCCTTCTTTTGGCATTTTTATAACCACAAGCCTATTAAATTCCATCATAGATATTGCACTAAATGCACCCCTTTGTAAGAATGTTTTAGCTCGACTTACCTTATCACTTCAAAAAGAGCGAATATTTCGCAAGAGTATCACTAACAGGTCACATTTTTACAATTCGTTGATAAGTTAAAATTTTCAAAATTTTGTGAATATTTCATAAATGATTCAGCCAGTTTAAATAGTCTTCGTAATCTCCGAGAAAACTTTCAGTTTAGAAGGTAAGCGTTGTGTGTTCTTTTCCCTATACTGCTGTTTATAAACAAAGAAAGAAAAAGATTGTTTTTGTTTTACTGTGATTATAATAGCTTTTCAAGTGGTACCTAAAGCGTAGGGCTTCTACACCACGAAATGCAGTTCTTCATAGGTGACTTATTAGATCCTAACATTGAGCTGTTTACACTAAAAACAATAAGATAAACAGTTAGCTCACTCATATTACTGTCAGTATTTTGCTGACAAAGCCAAACTATACAGTCAAGCTTCTCAAGTGGGCAAAACATATAAATTACTTTTTATTTATTATCAAACATTCTATAATATCAACACACTGGGGCACTTTTGTATAATAATGATATTCTTGTAAAGGATACATATATTTTTTTCTATAAATATCAGAATAAGCCCATTCTCTAAAATTGCTCAATTTATACCAACTTTGAAAGATCCATCATTTGTTTAGTGAAAGTACAAAATTTGATAATAATTTCATATTTGCTGAGAAATTACAATTGGGCTTCCAATTCTTGTTCCAGGCACATGTGACGTAATAAAAGGGAAAGGATGCTAAAAATACACAGAACACTCACAGTAATTTTTTTTTTAAGCAATGGCAAGATATTGTGTTCCAATTTAAATTTAGTAGCCAAGTAATTTCCCATGATTTGAAATTACATAACAAAAACTCCAAACACCTGTGTGGCTTAGAATGTCACATGATCTAAACATCTGTTGTTATGAACAATTTCAATTAACTATACTAACTCTCAACAGATCAGTAGGCATCTTACCTAAAAGGAGCAGCTATTAGGAATGATTCTTTGAAGTTTCTAGCCTTCTGTTGCACTTTTACCCTACTGTTGCACTTTTTCATAATGTTTCTTTGATTTCCTTCTTTTTATTCCAACAACACCCACCTTGATATCTCTGTTCGTTTTTGCTGTGAGAATGATCTTATTTCCAATTATTATAATAATAATAATAATAATAATATAAAATATATTTGAAGACAAGAACAGTCAATCAGAGGGTATTGGGTCTAGGTTATCTTTTTTTTATCGAGACAAAGGCTAAAGAAATTATTAAATCGACTGCTACAATCATAATCATGAGCCTAGAGAAAACTGCAACATTTTAGTGAAAACAAGGTAAAGTACAGAGAAGATTATTTTGAAAAATGATACTTCATATGTTTAATCATTGACCCCACCACCCTGAAGGGGTACTAAAGTTCACTTTGAAAAAAAGGAGCTTCATGTTTCGCAGGTACCCTAAAACATACTTAATCACAAAGAAGAACTGTTAATACAATTAGCCTTCAGTTGAAGGTTTTAAATGGAATTTTTATAGATAGATCAAGAGATTAAAAGAACTACTCTATGGAACATATAATACTGTATCATGTGAGAGAGTAACTTGATGATCTCATGCTTAAAGCATGGTATTGACAGACCTTGATTGCCTTAAATCTGTTAGTTGGCTAAAGGTCAATTTTGTGTAGTGAAAGAAATGTGTTAAGACCATTTTCTTCTGTTGCAGATGAAATCTGTCTAGATCCTTCTGACGCTCCACTTGAAATTGCGTTGAATGCCAAAAAGCATCCAAGATTTGTTTTACGTTTGGATGTCAAAACTTCCCCTGAAACAAGTGCTGCATCAAATAGTGAAGGAACCATAAACAAGACATCTGTGCCAAATGGGACAGCTTTGATTGATCATCCTACAAATCGTAGTCCAAGTCCATCACTTGCCAGCACCAGAACTGCTGGCAGTGATAACAGTTCTTCTGGAAGCTTTACTGGACAATCACAGTTAAGAAATGACAGCCCTTTACCAAGTAGAAAGCCATTTATAAAGCCAAAAAGTCCATCACCAACCCACAACACGCTAAATGACAAAATGCCCTCATCAGCAAGAGGTGATAAGATGAGAAACTTTTTCAGTTCCCCAAGGAGTGCTCTTGGAATGTTTTTTGATGGAGCAGGGAATCAGCCAGATCAGAGTTCTCATGCCGCAAACAAAACTGCACGTTCAAAGCATAAAAGAAAGGGATCTCTTGGCCGTCTTAAAAAGAAGAAGGCAGATCAAAACACTACAACTGAACTATCGACTGAGCAGATGGCTCCAGGTATTCTCAAGGTCTTTGGAGATCATGTTTCACCTGGCTCAAACTATAAAAGTGTGCGAGCTACTGAGATGACCACTGCAGAAGAAATTGTTCAACAGGCTTTAGAGAGATACTCACTTTCTACAGAGAAGGCTTCTGATTATGTGCTTTGTGATGTAATTGGATACTTTACCAAGAGAAAAGGCAATGTTAAAAATGCAGAGGAAGATGCTGATAAGTGGGAAACAGAATATGCCAGGCTTATTAGTGACCAAGAAAAACCTCTTGTGCTTCAACAATTGTGGAAGCCAATTGGAGGATTTTCTCGCAGATTTGAACTGCGGAAGCGGAGTGAAACTCAGGACTCCTCGTTTTTCAAACCAAGAGGTAGCATTGCAATTATGAAAGCTGCATCCATGCGTGAAGCCCATGTACCTACTAGTGTAAGGGAAATCCGTCGTGATACAGGACAAAGTGACGCATCACACATTTCATCGAGTGAAGACCAGCTTTCAAGCATCGGTATTGAAGAGGGGGGTAGTTCTGGGCGAGCATCTTTAATTGCATCACCATTTATTGTGCCCACAGACACACCACACCTTCTCCTTCTCAAAGGTTGTAGTAGCCCTGATGACTACTTGTACCACAGGTTAGATGAACAGTTATCCGTGGTTGGTTGCCCTGTGCATCAGCCTGATAATCAATGTGCTGATGTAATTCTATTTGCACCCGATATTTTACCACAACATTGCACTTTGATTAAAAGAGTGGAATCATCAAGTCCAGATTTTGAACAAGAATACAATGATTTGAATTTTGCAGTTTATTTAGAGCCTTCCAGAGGTGCTGACGTGTGTGTAAATGGTGCAGCTGTTTTATCTCCCACAAAGCTGATCCCAGGAGACCTTGTTTCATTTGGAAAGCATTACTATTTCCTATTCAAAGATCCCTCTCAAGTTGCAGATAGTTCCATGAAATTATCCTGGGTCAATTATTTGAAACAATTTCACAAGATGAAAATGGCTGAGGATGCAGAACATGCATCTGGTGTGCAAAATATTCATGACGGTGATACTAGTAATATTTCAAATGCCAAAGATGGTATTGATGTTCCTGATGAGGCACAGAATGGTTTACGATTGTCTTACTCTGTTCAAGATGAGGATTACCTGCTTGATATGATAATGAACATTGTAGATTTATCAGGAGATGGTTACAAATTATCCCCATCATATCTGTTAATCCTGTGCATTGAACACTCTGCAAAATATCACACAGAGCTACAAACAAGACAGCTTCTCGTCAAGATATCAAATGGAATCCAGACAGTTGCATCAGTGAGTTCAACCTTTTTTTTTTTTTCTGATACGTGATCTCTTATATTGATTACAAGATTTGTCCTGAAATAATTACTATATCATGACCAATTCCTGTAACAGTTTTTTTATCATCATCCCATACCTGCTTGACATTTTGACATTGCTCTTTTCAGTTATATGCAAACTCTAAGGTTCGGAGCCAAAACCAATATTTTGTTTCAAGCCACTGAAAACAACCCAAATGCGATTAATCAAATCCATAAAGTAGAACACAGGAACATGATTGGGCTTTTTGACTCTCTTAATTAGAGGTCATTAAAACAACTGCCAGCAACACAAAACAGTTTCACTCATACTTTCATTTAAACTGGAAACAAACAAAAACAGAAAAATTAGAACCACAACATCATTATGCATTATTACTATTATTATTATGATTATTACCTATTATTACCATTGATATTAATATGATATTATTAATATATTATTATTACTTATTATTACTATTGATATTGATATGATATTATTAATATTATCATTATCGTAATTGTTGTTTTTATAATTAGAAATAGTTTCAAGGAAAGTTGTCAATAATGTAGATTTAGGGACTATTTATTTGTCATTGTTGTTCATGGATCCGTCTTTCCCTCTTCTTATTCAGGAAAAAACAGCAGAAATGTCAAAGACAATTGACAGGTATGAAGTAAGAAAATGTAGTTAGAAAAGGAAAAAAAACACTAAAAGGAAAAGAATATGGCTAAATAGAATGAGGCTAGACAAAGATGGAGAAGAAGCAGCAAACAATATGAATTTAAAAAAAAAAGTCTTATTGTCGTGAGATTTATAATCCAAATTGTTTGTTTAACGTTATTAACCCCTGAGATCTGATTGTTAATTATCCCCTCCAGCTGCTACACATTTTCTTTTAAATTGGGTCTGAGAATTTTGTTTTAGATAAAGATAACATCTCTTACCTGATAAGTTTGAGTATTCTCATTTCCTGTTTGCTGGATAATGTATGGATATTATGTAGAGAAATTAATTGTTAATCATTTTTGGGAGTTAAGGGTTGAAGCAGTCAATTGCTCCCAAGATCTAAGTATTAATTAACTGCTATGTGTGTGATACATTTCTTTGAGTTTTAGCTCTGGGAGTTTACTTTCAAGTAATTAATATCTCCAATTGATATTTTTCTTTCTTTTCAACACCTCTCGGCTTGAAAAAAATTTATCTATGCTTTGAAGAGGGTAGGGAAGGGGGGCATGAAGGTATCCTACTCACATGTAACATGCTTGTTAGGTAACGCTGCACTTCAAATCTATTTGACCTAGATCTTGGTTTGGTTTGGTTTTGTTTTTGATTTGTTTTGTCTTTTCCAGAACTTCAGTTCCAGAAAAAGCTTTAGAAGAGCTTCTTCCTCAGCTACGACCAGTGGTGTTTTGGATGGCCAATTGTCTGCAAATGTTGCCTTACCTCCAGTGCAACATGTCTCGTTACATCAAAGACCCATCTCAAATGGCTGAGAATGGTGATGACAGTTTGCTCAATGCAGATGAAGAACTGCTTATGTTTCTTGAAGAAGTTATCATTTACACTTTTCAACAGACCGTCTATCATCTTACGAAGGTATGTTTAGCAGTGTTTCTTGCGTCTCTTCAGTTTAGATCACAGATGATATCATAATGTGGTAGGAGCAAAGATTCAGTGCAGGGCCGTCAAGTGTGTCACTGATGTTGCTCTGACGTTTTTCCCAACAGCCCTCAAAATCCGTAAAATCCGTAAAACCCTTAAAATGACGAAGGAACAGTGCAAGTCCAGCTCGACTCAAAAATCCCAAAACCACTTTTTTTTATTTTCGCACGCGCGACCAAACATGTTACGTCATAAAGTTTAAATCATTTGAATTAACCAATGAGGGCGCGCCTGAAAAAAATGTCCGTAATTGCGCGCGCTGGGGTGTTAGTTTTTTTAATCAATTGTATAAATGTAGAAAAGGTTACAACAGATGTTCCCACCACATTTGGATGTCTTCTGTAATCTACTTCTGGGAATCTATTTGTTTTAAACGATAACATAGTAGTAGTACGTCCTCTGATAGTAAAACCAATCAAAATGCGTGTATAATTCAGCTTACCAAATGATTGTTCCTACATGAGGCTTTTGAAGAGAATTTGGATTAGGGAAGGAGTTGTCATCATATCTCATACATTATTCAATTGTTGCCTTTTTTTATGCCACAAGCCCATTAAACCATTGGACTCCTGTTCATGCTTTGTTTTGGACAATTAGGATAATTTTTGACAACTCTATTGTATTTTCTATCAGGTCTTGTATATCGCTCTTCCAGCGATCTTGGACACAAATCCATTCCAAGACACAGACGAAAACAGTGACAAGAGACCACAGGAAGTGGAAACCGTAATCAGCATCTTTCAGATCACTTACGATGTTGTCAAAGCTTATTCCGTTCACGAAGACATACTTCATCAACTCTTTGCGTATTTGTTTTTCTTCACAAACGCGTCCTTGTTCAACACTTTGATGGAGCGGGGAGCTGGGGGCAAGTTCTACCGCTGGGCTAAAGGAGCGCAGATACGGGGCAATCTGGATATGTTGGAGAGCTGGGCTGCCCAGGTGCAACTTCATGACGAGGCTAATGAATATTTGATCAGACTGTCCACCGCGGCTGATTTGTTGGCCACACCCAAAGTACAGCTCCTACAGGTTAGTTCCTTTTTCTTTAGCATTTGAATCACGCTTTGCTGCCGCACATTTGAATAATGATAGCTGTCTACAGTTTTCCCATTGAAGTAAAGCAGACTCGCACTGTTACTATTGCAAAATATAAATTCTTAGTCGTACTCCGCCTATAAGGTCAACTCATCTATTACGTGTGACGTTTTGTTGCTCACGAGTAAGTCATTTCATGTGTAGGCTGACTGGGTGACAATCAGAAGAGATTTCCCAGCACTCAACCCGGCCCAAGTGCAGCAAATTTTGAGTGAATACCAACTCGGCCCAGGCAGGTCTCGGCCAAGAGGCTGGTTCCCCCCTCCGGAGGAAGTAGAGCCTGCACTCCGCACGGGTAAGTAGTGACTCTTAGACGTGACTGATGTGCAAGTCTCCATACAGTTATGAAGAATGACCTATCAAACTTGTGATGAGAACTGACTCACTTGTAAGCTGGATCTTTTACTTAATATTTTCGGAACTAAATTACAGTGGTAAAGAGCTTAGCTGCAGCCGAATACAACCAACTATGAGCATACATGAATCCCTTTTACAACTTAGTCCAGTTGTGAATTTGGTGCAAGGAAAAGGGAATTCCGCGCCGATGATTTGAATGATTTGAAGTAATGCAGGGTATACGAGTTTGTCCTTAGCTTTGGTTTATTTTTTATTTTCGTAGCGGACATGTTATTGAACTTCTCAGAACATCCACCGTTGAAACTCCCGACTGAAGGATTTGTACTGGACTTTGAGAATGGACCTACGGATCAGTCCTTCTACCACTATTTAGATACGATTAAACAAGCAATGAATCCAGGTAATGATTGTTAGTTATAAATTTTTTAAGGTTACTGACTTGTCAGAGGTTGAGCTATGAAGAGAAGTTAAAAACAGCGGAATTCTTTGTGACTTGTGTACGTTTTTTTCTTTGTAAGGTCTCGGAAAAAATGGATCAGGAACGGCAAGAGTGAACGGAATCAACAGGTTGGTTGAGTGATTCACTAGTAATTTCTTCTCATAATTTCAATACAATATCCTGCAGATTGTTTTTCGGCCTATTCACAGAGTAAACTCAAGGTTAACTTTTGAATTCTTACCTCAGAGTTCAACAACCAGAGCCGGAAGTGCTTCATTCAGATGTGATTCGTACTTCGTCATTTACACATGGTCAAGATCACGTGCCTAATTTGGTAGTCTCCCCAGCCTCCCCCTCAAAGGACAAGAAAGAATTCACATTCGAGACGGTCATGTCTAATTCACCTCCATCCAGGGAAGGTATGAAACGAATGGTAATACTGATTCTGAATTCTGTAGAATTGTGTGCTCATAAATAGCTTAAGCGTTCATCGGTTGTACCAGAATTGAAAGCCGAAGTAGGAAGAATTGTGTTATAACCTCTCCCTCCGTCCCCTCCGTTTCCCCCCCACACATGAAAGGTGAAAAAAGTAGTTAAATTAGTATAAAAAGAGAGAAAAACTTAGAACCGCTTCAGAGAAAGGTTACTCCACAAAGAGAGATGATGCACTCTTGTCACGAAAGAGGAACAAAGAAAAATGTGTGGGACCTGAGGAGTGTGAAGTACGAAAATAATTGAACAACTGCTTCCAAGCGATTGGTTTTTCCAGTTGTTAGAGTAAATGAAAGATAAAATTAACCGTAGGCGTCACCTGTTTGATAATTTTTTTTCAGAGGACAAAACAAGTGTTCCCAAAGAAAAGAGATCCGTCGCCTCTGTTGAGAGAAGGGAGACTCCCCCTAGAGATAGGGATGCGTCGCCAAGTAAACCAAGAACATCAGATCCATCTCTGGCAGAGAATTCCGAATTTACTAATGGCGGAAAGCGTCCCCTTTCCAGATTAGTTTCAGGCCAAAAGATTGCTTCCAGATCCAGTTCTCCAATTAATCGTTTAGAGGGACGTGATTCCGCGGGGCTGTCCGATGAGGACCCTTCTGTGGTGTCTGCCAGAACACTGGAGAGTGAAGACCCTAGGGCTTCAGGTTGTTAGAACAATAAGTCATCTGTTTTCTGGTGCTATCAAATACTATCGTATCGAAAACCTAAGCGAACGAATAATCAGCCTCCGTCAGTGACAGAAGTCCCTTTCAGGACAATCAGACCACACGATCAACTGTTACCGCTCCAAGATTAAACCATTTATAATATAATTGTACTTTCTGTCTCTAGATGTACCCCTGATCGGAGTCAAGGATGAAAATCAAAATATGGCAGCTGTGCCGGAGAGAAGAGCAGCTTCGCCGTACACGAACGATAACTCCAAGTGGGTTGAAGTTACTGGTGCCGTGACACGTGATGCTGTGAACATTGCAGACGGATTATCAGTACTTCCGGTGGACGACTCAGAAACGAACGAAGAACTGGCTTTACAGATAGCGATAGACCCAACGGTTGAAACTTCTAAGGAATTCGACGAGAGACGAGCGCTTCAGAAGGCGAAGCTTTTGAGCCGTCTGAGAAATGAATCCGATGTTGATCATGGAGGAGAAATACCTGGAGGTACAAGTGACTCACCGGCCAAACTGGAGGGTATGAGGGAAAATGATGACCGACAGGATGACGTGTTTATTGTAGAGCTGGAGAAAGGAGACGAAGGAATAGGCTTGGGACTCATTGACGGTCTGGTAAGGGCTGGTTGTTTTGTAATCTTTGTGTTCGGAGTCCATTTAGTTCTTACCCAGCTCCGAAGAACATAAGTTGCTTTAACGCATCAATAGCACAACTTTCCCGCTCTTACTAGCTTTCTGTGCACTTTATAACGCGTTTTTAACGTTTATGGGAGGTGCATTGGCACAGTGTTTAGCGCGGTTGACTTCCGGTCAAGAGGTCTGAGTTCAACCCCAAGGCGGGTCATTGTATTGTAATCTTGAACACTACATATTACGCTCTCAATGTCTTCTAAACCAAAGAATATAAAAGTTAGTGAAATTGTCACTGAAGCTGAACGATTTCCTTCCCGGTTGCCTGCGAAGGACTAACATCTCATTGAAGAAAAGTAACGGATCAATGTCAGTATTTGAACAAATGCACACCTACTCCTCCCTTGACCCAACAACTGTCAACTGATAAACTAAGGTAGAGTTAAAATTGAGTTGGGGAAGGGGCAGATGTCTAGGCGCAGTTGTGTAGATACTGGCATTGGTCCGAAGTAACAATCCTCGCTGACGATTTATCTTAAAGAAACTGGGATCAGTACCGGTTACAAGGTCGTAAGACATTCCTTACACCTTCCTGTGCTTGTAAACTACTTGTACATATTAGTCGTCATATGAAACGTAAGAGATTTTATCGTTCATTTTCATTTGTAGTACACACCATTACGGTCCCCCGGGATTTATGTCCGGACCCTGGTGGCTGGAGGACCAGCTATAAAGGTCAGTGAAATTATGATGGTCCTGTAATCTTTGGCATCCAAGATAAAAAAGACATCCACACCTATGGTATTTTATTTATGATGATAAAACAAACTATGAAACATTTGAAATTATTTATACCTGTTCTCACGAAAATTGCATCGTTCTTTAAATAAATAAATCGAATTATCTTTATCTGTGAAACATTGCATCTAAAACCAGAGTTTATTGTCGGGGAACTTCATAGAACAGCGATGTCTTGCTCGTTCTTGAATATTGTTGGTGGGATTTGCGGCGCAGACGAACGCACAAGTTCTTCAACTTCCGTCACACCTCTCACGCGGTGTAACAGGGATATCAAAAATCACAAAAAGTCGTTGAAATTTTCCGGAATTGAAACGGAGGTAGAATTAATTTTGGCAAGATGTGGATGTTTTCAAAAGCCGGCGAATTTATCGGATATGACTATCTGTCCGGTTCATCGTGCCAAGTTAGGTTTAGGTAGGCGAAGGACGGGTAATCTTTGCACCATCCCGGAAGTTGTTTCTGGTCATTGCAAGGAGCTGAGGAAGGCACCCGCACTGGAAAAAGGAATAAATTTATTCCAATCCATGAAGATATTTGAGCTTTCAAAACAGCTCGAGTCTGTAACTTACAGTACGTCAAAAAGCCACTAAAAAAAAAAGGATAGTCTAATCACAATGCTACCCCCCCTTCTTTTCACCTCTTATCGCGCAAACTTTCGATTGTTATTTTATTCTGTGGGTCGACAAAACTTCAGACTTTTGTGTTTAAAAAAATACGCGCCTTTCGGTAATTTCGGAGTTTTGACGGAGTTTGACTATGTTTTTCTAAAGGAATTTGCGTAAAATGCAGAAAGATGATTTTATCAACCACTTCAAGAGTTCATTTTGACGTGCCGAGTGCTTGACGGGTTGAATGTAACGTAACTAACCTTAGCGCAAGATCCTGGACCAGACTCTATGGCTGTTTTGAGCTGAATCGCTTATATATTCCTATTCCAGTACACATGGTGCAAAATTAATACTTTTGAACATGATGTATTACCGGAAAAAAAAATCCGAGAGTGCTTCATGGGACATTTGGAATGTCATGTGTGGCATACGCGCAATGGAATAAATGTGATGGAATATTTTTAAGCCTGGTGAATAAATGAGAATGATGTATTATTCAGTAAGTGACACAGGCGTACTCGGAAAAAAAGAAATCCGAGTGCTCGCGGTCATCAGGAGTCGAAACTATCGACATCGTGTCATGTTATGCCTAAGTGACACGATGAGACGGTACGGGTAGTCATCTCCAATAAACTCGTTGGCCCGGGAATTAGCCATTTCGTTGTTATGTATGTCTATTAACTTCGCCATGGTTAAGTCGATGCAATATTTGCTTTTCGTGGAAACAGTTACTTCGATTGGTTTCCGGCACAAAACTGGTGAGCTTTGGACCAACAGGGGTCGTGGTAATTTTGAAATTATGATGGTCCCCTGTTTTAATCCATCCAAGATAAAAATCGAATTTTGACATCCAAAAGTCCTAAAGATTTAAAAACATTTTTTATTTAAGTAAACCATTTAAATCGGGTGGTCGAAAAAAATAATTCTCAGGGTCTGTGTCTGGTTTGTTTCCCCGCCATCAATTGAATACCATTACATTTGAAGTCCCGCTGCTCCTCTCTTCCCACCCCCCCTCCCCGGCCCCCGCTCTCACTAATTTCTAGAGGTTAAGGCTCGAAGGTGGGGGATTTACCAGAGAGCAGGGATTGGGGTGGGGGGGGGAAGGAGGGGGAGAATGGGGGACTGTGAGAGAGAGAGAGAGAGAGACTTATTACAGTCTTGAAGTAAAAGACGTGGTGGGGGGGGGGAGGGCCTTCCTAGAGTTGAGGGTTGTTCTATGGACGCTCTTAGTAATCTTCATTTTTTTTGTGTAGGATGGTCGGCTTCGTCTTGGTGATCGTATCCTTGCTGTAAATGGAACCAGTCTCGTTGGAGCTGATTATCAAAGGTAGGCGGCTTGGATTTGAGTGTTCCTTGAGTGATACTACTAAATTTATTGCCGTGATACATGAAGATTTTACGGGTTCTCAAAATCGTAACCCTTGTGTCTAAATGGAAATTTGTTTCTTTTTCAGTGCCATGCAGCAAATCCGTGAAGCAGGGAAGCAGTTATCTTTCTTAGTGGCTAAGTCTGATATTCATGTGGCGATGAAGATCACAGCTTCAAGTTGCTAGCAATCCTACAAATATAGAGATACCTCGTCACGTTGTTATGTCATGTCACGCAGTAGGAACGTTGTTGCGTGACATCCCAAACATGCAAACATGGGCTGCGGGAAAGATCGAGTGACCAAGTTTTGGCAGGACCCAGTTCGGAGGCCTGTTCTACTTTTTAATCGAGTTAAACATCAAAGACTAATTTTCCTCACCTTTGTGGAGTGATGAAAACTGAATATACTGACAAAAATGTTTCGTATTCAATAGCTGGAACTAGAATTTTTACGAGAGCAACTTTTCGCTTAACTCGTCAACCAAGAAACTCGAGTGGTTTGTATTTTTGCACATTTTTATCTTCCGGAGTGTAGAGTTTATAACCACTTTTATGATATTGATTGTGTGATGTGACCTCTGAGGATTTTTTCTACATACTTTACAATGTACACCCTATCATGTGTGCCCACGTTACCCTCAGTTGTCAGATTCATACCCACGCCTTGGACTTTTCGTGCTTGTTATATTTTATATATTTTAATGGTTATTTATCCTGAGTCATATTATGCCGTTCAAGTTGTTTATCGCTGTGATTCTCAACGCACTTTTGAATAAAATACGATTTCCTAATACCTTTCCATTCATGACCTGCTCCGATGAGAAACAGTTGAAGAACTTTTTATAAACGCAACAGGTGCATATGGAATGTAACTTTAGTATTAGAGTGATTTAGCAAGAGAACAGGAACGTCAGTTGACAACGGCGCGCGCAACAAAAATATCGGTAAGAAACTGGGTCGAGAACGTAGCTCCGTTGTGTCTCAGAAGTGACTTATTGTTTTAAGGTAAGAACGATTAGAAACGTAAGTGTTTGAATATGCAGTTCACAACCAGCTAAATACGTTCCCCTTGTTAAGGAATAAACAGTTCTGCTGAGCAACACGAGATAGCTTTAACATACATATAGCTCATGTAAACTGTTTAGCCTTGAAAGTAGTAATGATAGACTTTCATCACACATCAGCAATTTCGATTACTTGGACAATAACAACCTGTTTCTCATACCTTTGTTTTGTACTGCTAAGTTAGGCGTGCAAATTCTTTAAATTTAATGCAAATTTGTGGGTAAGAGATAAGGGTCTAACCAGAAACCTCCAAACAATATCCTCAGGTGTTTGCCTTTCTTATTCCGCTCGGTGTTTCATTTCAGTATTAACCCGAGGTAAATCTGCGGCTATCATGGTCAACTTAACCTATGTCAGGCGTCCTGTTGGCCGACAAGGGATGCCTGAGAAATTTAGTTTTGCTGTGACGTGTTTTTATTCACTGGAAAAATGACGGAGTCTTCCATAAATGAAAAAAAATTAAGAGCAGGTAGAAGTCTTAAGTTCCTTTTTTAAGTTTAATAATTTAGAGAGACCAGAAATGTCCATAAATTTCAACTAAAGAACCGAGTCTGCATTTTATCCTTGGTCTGCGTTCTGCAGTCTGCGTTTTACACTGACCGCCCCCTGAACGCCATGTGTGATCGATCCCCACCTAAATGACTGGTCCCAAAACTATCCTTTGTTCCTCGAGAGATAACTACAGAATTCTTCTCTCTAAAATTATATAAGGAATTCGCACTGATCTTTATTCCTTGAAGAAGGACGACTGAATTTGTGGTGGGAAAGGTGTCGGCTATGGGAAATGTTCCGGAAAGAAATCCGTTCGAATGAAGAGCTAATGATCACCTTGTCAATATGTACAGTCGCATTTGGCGTGGGGACAGACGTCTCGAACAAATGGTACAGAAAAATTCGGTCGTTCAGGTAATAGCGAGAAAAGTAGGCAATATTTTGAGAGAAACTTACTGTTTGCGTTCTGTTCTCTTTTCTGAGCCAACGGTTTTCCATACAGATAGTTTATGCCCTCAAGTTGAGCTCCTGGTTACCCTGCAGAACAGGCGTAATTTCTCGCGTTTTTCACGCGGGTGGACAGATGCACGACGCGAGTGCAAAGGGCGAGTCGCTCGCGCAGGAAAAATATAAATAAAAGTCACTACCGTCGTGCACCTCCTTTAGAGCGTGATCAGATTATGACCTCCTTTCACGTACAGTTCGCGCCATTGACGTAGTATAAACATCGAATATGTTTTCATTGCTAATTTCTTCTTCGAATTGGCTTCGCACGATTGAAACGTCTTAAACTAGATTTCAAAAAGCTATATTTTAGACAAATCGGACCAGAGGAGAAGATAATTTTTAACCCGTTTTATTGGCTGGTATGCTTTAAGATACTACATTTTCTACTACATGATAACTTCTCTGCTTAAAATTTGGGAAGTTAACTGTGTCCCCTGTCACTGTACCAGGATATACCCCATGGCTTTGATGTGCTTGTCGCCATTATCTGACGAGAGCATTGCCTCATTTCCACACGTGTTGGAGTCATCATATAGACCTGCGGTGCCAAAACCAATTCGGGAGTCACAGGAACCACAGTGATTCTGCTGGTTAGCGATGATGCCGATTCTTGCTTTGGGGTCATAAGAGTTGTGTCCCACCACATTGAATCCTTCTTTATTGCAGTGAGGCTGCAATGAGGCCTGTGAACCAATCAGTGTCTTCCACGTGTTACGACCAAGTGAGGTGGCGCGGTATTTCCCATCAGCGATCAGTGAGAACAGTGAGTTGGCGTGCCGGTTGATCAAAATAAACCTGAGCTGATGACCGATCTTCATACCGAGGCAGATCTTGGAGAAGGGTGTGTTCCAATAGGTAGGTAACTTGGTCTCCTGGAAGTCAAAGCCAGTCTTGCCTCCTGCAAGATGGTAGACATTTCTGTTGCGCCAGAAATGGGAATCGTAATGGAAGGTTCTCTGGAAGACAAGGAACTCAGTTTATAATTCTTTCCATTCTTTAAATTTCAATAATATCAAAAGGTTTTAGGAGACAGAGAGTTTACCTTTGCGCCGTTTATCTTCATGGCCAGCGTCCATCCTCCACCGCCACATCCAAAGTTTCCCATGTAACAGTAGACAGGAATCTTTTGTGAACCAAACATCAGCGGGTACACTTGGCTTCGTCTCGACCTTATGGAAAAAAGAGAAGTCAAATTTATCGGAATGAGTCATCCTGTATACAAGTGCGGCGTCCTTTGACTGTATAAACATCAAGCGAGCGTTTTGGAATCTTGCCATTAATGCAATTTTCTTTGTACTTACTTCCCTATGTCGTACTGCTCCTTGCAAGAAGAGAAGGGACAGACTGCGAGGAAGATAAGACTGCGCATTGAGAACACTTGAAAAATAAAAACATTAAAAGATAAAGATATCATCCGAAAAGGTACCTGGAAGCTTCGGGGGCAAAGCGTCCTTCACCAGCGCAATAAGATTTTTAACTTCGGTTTGAAGCGTCTTAATGTCTTTGCCGATCTTGCCGCAATGATTGGCGGTACAGGATTGATGACTGGCGCGGACCAAAACAGCGAACAGTGCGAGAACATTTACAATGAAATAAATTGCAAATAGCGAGCGCATCTTGAAAATGATCGACGTTGGAAAAATTTCTTTGTGTTGCTCAACCTGTGGAAAACTGATTGTGGTGATTTTGCTTCGTTATTTTGGTTATCATTGTTTATATTAACACAACTCGTATTTTCTTGCTCGCTTTCACTGAACGACGTGTGATCGACAAGTTGATATAGTTGAAGTATATTTTTAACTCTTATCACTGTGTTCAGTGTCCTGTAAAGAATATTACAATAGACTTTGAAAATCTGCTCACAATATAGCTGTCTATCTGCTGAAAAATAAAGGGCTAATTTGAGAGCGGCGATACTGCGATTTTATAAATCAATTTCATATGTTTATTTTAACGAATTGACCATACCCATTCGATCAACTGAGACCCTCATTGTTTTGTTTTTGTCCATTTATATCGGTGTAAGTAAAACGCTGAGGACTGCGATAAGCTTGTGGAGGGCTGTGCTCTTGTAAAACCTGAATTTTCCATCCATTTGTTTCGCATTTTCAAGGCCAATTCAAAAAGTGAAGTATAACCTATTCCGTAATGAAGTTCAACCATTTTTTTTAAATCAAATGAGGCGGTCAGTTTTTAGACACGCTGTTATCAACTGAGTTGGCAATGTAAAATGGCCACCGGCATACACTGACCGAGGCTGTTTAACATAGCATTAACGTCCGTTCTTTCAAAGCGTTCAACAGATCTTTTGCGAGTCTCACCACTCGATCGATAACCGTTCCAGTAGCTTTTTGCGTTTTAAACAATTTCCGCGATTTGTTTGTCGCGACTGTCTGCACTGTCGAAGCATGTAATGAAATGATTCTGTAATTAAGCTTCAAACATGTGCCCTTCAACAAAGTTGTCCCAGGTTCTGAAATTATCAAATTTTCATTCAAACGTGGAAAACAAATCCATCTTCCCTAAAAATAAAATTTGTTGGGCCAAACTGAATATCAAAAGAAGAAGTAAACTGGTTCTCGGAATTAATTAACCCTTCACACCCTAACATTAGTATTCATGTTCTCCAAACTTTTTTGTTGACATTTGCTATGGAGCTGTCGAGGAAAATTTAACAATTAAAGAGTTTCCTATGTTGTTTGTTACAATGTTTAGTTCAGGGGTAATAATGTTATGAGAACTTTTGTTTGTCACGCTAAGCAGCAAAGGGTTAGCTGTATTAATTGATTGAAACCGATTGAAATCTACATTTCAGTGTTTTTAAGTGTAAATTCAGTTTGCATCTCTTTTGTATGATCTCCGCGTATCTGATGATCTCGCCCCAATGTAAGTTTGCCCTACTACTAACTTTGCAAGCCAATCTTGGAATTTTCTGCAAACAAGCATAAGATGATGTCAAACCAGATAAAGATCAGATTTATGAAGCGACCTAGTATTACTAACCTGTTCCAGGTGTTCTGTCATTAAAACGAAGCGCGATACTAACTAGCGCCACAGCAGCGGGTTGTGTTGAAATCCGAGGAGCACTAATGACGAGTTTCCGAGTCGGGTGATTATCGGAATGTCGGCTACTCTAACATGGCGGACTGTTCTGAGACAAAACTGTATCCAAGTGTACTGGCATGACCAGTTATCAACAATCTTTGGTTGATGTTCGATATTGCGTGGTTTGCCACGAAGTCTGTCTGTCACTTTGATTCTTAGCGCTTTTGAATAAAACACGATAAATCATAACCCTTATTATTACTCAACTGCACAAAGTAGAACACAAATAACCTGCGATAGTGTACAGTTATTTCGACAGTTGGTTATTTTGTTCTGTAAAAAAAACCTGTTTAACCTTTGGGCTGCAGGTGCTACGCTTCTCTGTCCGCTTTGCTTTTCCCGCCTAATGAGAAATGAACAGAAAGACGCAGCAGAAGAAAAGCAGTCGGATAATAAATAACTTATTAAACGCCTTGGTGTGTAGTATCGCTGAGTATTTTTAGTCGTTGTTTGTACTTTGACTCGCCTTACAGGCTCGTCAAAATACGGCACAACTCGTAAAAATACTCAGCCATACTACACACCAAAGCGTCTAATAAGATATGTATACTGACAACACTGGATAGGAGAAGGAGTAGAGAACCATAGGCTTTTCAAAGAGAAGTGGGTGTAAATAACAGAAGAGTTTGAAGCTCAAATTTGGTCCAAAATTGTGGGTTTTTAAACTCAATCTTACATAAAAACTGGTCATCGTAGAGGCTTACCGCCAGCTCTCAGATACGAATCCATGTAATCAAATGTTAATTTATTAAATCCTCTTTCTTCACAATTAAGTGAAAGGTGCCTGATGTACTCAACGTCTTCATATAGAGGTAGGTGTTCACGTCCATTATGATTTTACTAAATTAGCCTCCAGCCTCCGAAAAATAACTCTCATCTGAAATTTTATCAGTATTCGACAAGACCACAATATAATGTATCTAATATATTATTAGAAATTGTCCTTTAAATCGAACTTAACAAAACGCCTCCACTTCTGGACTTCAGGGCCTCCATTACTGTCAATTGTTCGTACGACAATCAATTTGCTTCCATTCGATTCATTTTCCTGCGCATGTGCAGCAATCAGACTACATTTAGTTCATTGCCAACACAATATAAGAGACAGTACTATGCTTCGCAAAGCATTGATGGATGGAGCTATCGTTACTGAAAAACGAAAAACAAAGAATATCTTAGTTTAATTGATGTTTCAAGGAATTATAACTGAAAATTGAACGGCAATTTTTTTTTACTAACCTTGTGTGTTGAGCAAAATATCGTAAAATTGTCTTCGATGAAGGAACAACCTGAAAAATAATTTTAAAAATCTCAGAAAGAGATCCAGGTATTAATGAACACACAATGAGAGGACTACGATGAATTTCATAGCGAGATAACAGTCCAGAATGGCTACTACAATTTGATAGTGCGACTTGAAATCCGAGACAGCAATGAGTTTGCTTTACTTTGCCCAGCGATTGGTCTAGAATACTCGCGCAACTCTCAAAACCAATCAGATGGTTCACTTTGAGCAATTTTTGTAATAAAGCTCTGCGATTGGTCCACAAAAATCACGCCACTTTCTAAACCAATCAGATTCAAAATTTAAACTAACAACATTCGGTTAGTCGCATTTCTTTCCCTCAGATCGTTTGCCTATACTTTCATTCAATTATCGTGAGCTCCTCGTGAAATTTTTTCTTTTTCCCTGTCGGCCGTTGTGATTACTTTGGTTTCAGTTTTAGAACCCTCGGTACGATATCGTGTTATTGACTCAAGTTATGAAAGCCTGTGGTAAAAAAATCTTCACTCAGTCGAGAAAAAAAAGAAACTGTGAGGTGAGTTAATGTTTATAACAAGACAGTCAACAAGCACCTGAATCTCTTGCACATGCGTAGTGGAATATCTTAATGCATCCCCGTTTGAAGCAGGCCAGCGTGGCGCCAAGTTCAAAACATTTGGTGCATTTCTGTGGAAACATGATGAAAAACAAGAACATTGACAACATCTTTCCTCTTTTCAGCTCCTTATACATTTCTTAGATTTGATTTGCTTGTTATTTTCAAACAGAACCAACCGATATCTCCTATTCTCGACAAAACAATTTTCCAAATAATGCACGAACCTCTTCAGGTTCAATTCTAGCAGTTGGCTGTTCATGTTGCTTTAAAACTCTATGGTAACCCTTGGACTCCCGGGAGTGACCAATTAATAATTACTCCATACCAAATCATTACATTGTCAAGAAGCGGAGTGGTGAGAAGAGCGAAAAACATCAAGCAGGAGATATTGCTCGATTTAACACCAAATTCTCAGAGCTAAAATTGTACGCAAAGTATGACAAACAGGGGAGAGAATTGATATTGGAATATTAGGAGTAAAAAGAAGAGAGAAATGACTTACATGCTGTGCTGCACTTTCTACTGCTTGTTCCAAACCATGAACGGTCCTTCCGATCATAAAAACCCCAGGGGACCACACACCACAATCTCGGTGTATCCACAAGTCTACATCGCAGCTTTCATTATCCGTTTGTATGTCAGAACTTGAGCTTGCCTTTCGGCTAGGCGAAGACAATTTCTGCGACAGTTTGCCCTCCTTAGAGGAACCATCTACCGATTTTTCCTTTGAAAATTTCGTTTTATAAGGTCCGTAAAGATCTCCTAGCAAGTTAAAACCGCTTCGCTTGCCACAAAAAGAGCAAACCCATGTATCGCCATCAACTCCGCCGCGCGGTTTGGCCGACATGACGTGTTTTACGGGTGAGCTTGAAGTGGAAATTTTGCGTTTCTTCGAGGGCCTTTCAATACTTACTGTTGGAGCTTCTACCGACCGTTTCGTGCTCGCAACCGACGGTCCGGAAGCCGAGGACATTTCTTGAACAGCGACAGCAGTTTTTGAGAATTTACGTTTAGTGACAGGCTCCGACTTGACCTCTTCCTCTATTTCTGAGTCGCCTTGTTTTCGCTTCACCTTATGTACGTATGGTTTTCGCTTTTGCTTATCTTTACTTCCCACTGGCCGTCCACGAGTTTTGTTTGGCGTCACCTGTTTATTTCCTTCCACCGGGGAGGCTTGAGTGGTAGAAGACGTTTCTGCTGTTTTATCAGATTTTTTCGAATGTGGATTGTCTTTCGTGCAAGAAGATTCCGTCTTATCAGTTTTCTTATCCTTTTCCCCAGTTTTACGGCCTTTATCAGGTCGAGTAGGTGAATTTTTAGTTGTTTTAGAGGTTGGTGATTTGTCTTTCTTCACAGGATTCTTGGTTTTGGGCGAGTGCTCTGGATTTTTAACGCTCTGATCGCACTTTTCCTTATCAGACATGGTTGCAGTTCCAGAAATTCCCTTGTCTGAAACGTTCAATGCCTCGTTCCGTGGACTGCTCGGGCAATTTTCAACTTTACCGTCGTTTCTGTCTTTTGTTGTATCTGTAGCGTTACTTCCTTTTGTAGCCGGATTACTTCCGGAACCCGTCGTAACTGGGTTCACAATAATCACCTGTGGATTTTGTTTGGATGAATCGGTGCTAAGCTTTTGTACCGGCATCAAGATGTTCCCCTGAATGAGGTACATCTTTCCAGTGGTAGTCTTTGCCACCATCACCTGTTGATTGCTCTGTGAAGAAGTGCCCTTGGCAATGATGGTAGCCTTAATGGGGGTTGCCTGGTGCTGGGTGGTGCGTGCTGTAGCTGTATGCTGCTGCACTGTCTGAATTCCCAGGGTTCTGCTCTCAACTACATGGCCGCCATCGCTGTCTGACTCCTCTTGAGTTTTTCTATCCGCTGGAGTCTTTTCGTGTTGGCGATCATCGTCATCTGAAGAGAGACGTTCTTCGCATCTTAAGGAAGGCATTGCTGGACGCTCCTTTTTCCTGAGGACTTTGGCATCTTGAGTACCATCGGAAAGTGATTTCTCCGTCGCACCGCTGGACTCCTCACCGATGGCCTTAGGCTCATCTACCGTGCTGCAGACTTTGGGTTTCTCAGTTATTCCAGTCTCTCTACTTTCAACTTCTTTCACCTCTTCACCTTCCTCAGACTCCTTAGCCGGAGTATCAACTTTGGCTGTCTTATTAAAATTCTCCTCCTTATCTACGCACACAGCACGTGCGTCATCAACGCCAGAACCAGTCTTATCAGTTTCGCACGCATTGGAGGCACCTTCGATAGTTCTCACTTTTCCAGTCCCATCATCAATCTTTTGGCTGGTTTTCCCATTTTCCTTACACTGGTCGTCTAATTTTCCACAACTCTGACTGGTTTTGTCTGCTTCGAGACCGGTTGAGCGTGTCTTGTCGTCAGTATTATTACTTTCGTCGGAGGTTCCACTCAAATCCCCGATTTTGGAATCTGTCACAGAAGCGACTGATAGTTCTTCGTTGTCAGTACCCGTTTTTTGCAATTCTCTGTTTGATTTCTCTTTACAATCAACAATTTTTCCCTCAGAAGGTTCCTTCCCTCCTGTGCACGTCTCATCCTTTTCATCATTGCTAAATTTCGAGTTCTCGTCGGAAGTTCCAACGTTACCCAGCTCCTTAACTGGACTTTTGGCACAGCTTTCTGCCTCAATAGGGCTCGTTGCACTTTCTTCTACTCCTTCATGCTCCACTTCAGATTTCTCTATTGATTGTGGAGCAACGGAAGTCGTTTGTACCGCAGCTGCTTTCTCTGGCTTTACTTCATCACCTTCGCATTGGTTTCCTACCTCTTTGTTAATATCACATGAAGATTCTTCGACCTTACTGTTCGATAAACTCTCCAAACTTCCCTCCTCTTGATCATCCTCCTGTCTTGACACCGACTTGTTCTCAATAGATTCATTAACATTGATTTCTTTAGACTTCGCTTCAGTCTTATCACACCCATTCTTTCCGATCGTTTCTCCAGTTTCACTCTTGTTTCCATCCGAGCACAAAGGCTCTTCTTTCATAATTGAGGGTGAAACATATGGACTTGCAGCATCTGAGGCGCTTCGTCGTTGTCGAGGATTTGCTTTGAGGGTTTCACTTCGTTTCTTTGCAGACGTTGACTTCTTCTTGAATGAGCATTGTACAGCATTGGAGACAGTAACCGTTGGTTCTGAATTCACTGGACTTGGAACACTGCTTGGTGGAGACGACGCCTTCTCCTTTGCGGTGAGAGGTTTCAGAGAGCTCCTTTCCTCAAATCCAAGTTGGCCAACTCCAGAAAGATCTGGAGTTGTGGCACTTGGAGAGGGGCCCTTGGTTGGAGGAGATCTCTTTGATGGAGGAGAAGGCATTTTCACGGTGTTCTGATGTCCTGGATAAGATGCACGACGTTGGGTTAAGCCTCCCGTCTTGCTGGCAGCCATAAGCTGTTGCGACTGGAAGTGAGACTGTGAGGGTGTAATGCTGGGTTGAACAAACATACACGAACTCTGCGTCGGTTGTTGCTGATGTTGCTGGAAATGCCCTTGACTTGACCCAAACGGAGACCTGGGCTGCGGAAAGTGTTCTTGAAGCCTGCTGTACATTCCTGCATCTTGCTGTGGTACTGGTGACGTTGAGGAGGATCTTCGTCCAGGGGAGCAAGGTGGTTGGTATGGGTTTGTAGAAGATGTGTACGGCATGTTAGGCAACTGCATCCCTGTAGTTGATCTGGCTGTGTAGGAAGGGCCAGCAGAACTATACCCCTGCATTTGAGATTGTGCGGGTGATGATGATGGCCTCTTAGGATATGAACTGGGCTGATATGGAACCTGCTGTGAATATGGTATTCCTGAAGGCTGCAGAAATCCTCCTCCTTGTGGCATCTGCTTCCCCACAGGAGACACCACCTGACTCATTCCATAGCCATCCGCATAGTACTGTTGCCTATTGCTCATAGCAGCTAGGCTCAAAGAGGCTGGTCCAGGCATTCCCATGGGCTGAGTGGGGCCAGCCTGTGGACCAAACTCCCCCATGGTTTGTCCACTGACACCTCCAGGAGGGTAACTGGGATCAGGAGGAAAACCACCCTGATACGGACTCATAGCTTGGGAATGAGTTTGAGGAGACACAGTCCTAGCACTCTGGTAACCTCCATTGTATCCTTGATAATTTCCATTCCCATACGCAGATTGTGGAGGCTGCTGCTGCTGCTGTTGCTGTTGCTGCTGCTGTGGATACTGCTGCTGTTGAAGCATTAGATCCATGTCTGGCTGCATCATGCCATTGTTTGGACTTCTTGGAATCATTTGACCTGGATTCATGGAGGGGTAACCAGAGCTACACTGTTGCTGTTGTTGGGAACTCATTCCAGTAAACTGCTGCTGCATACCTGCATAGCTACCAGACCCAAATGCCATACCAGTCTGGGGATATCCCTACCGAAAAACAAAAACATGTTGAAACATTGTGAGGAAAAGGTAAATTTTTCCCAGAAGGCTCAGATATATAAACATGCCAAATGATAGACTTCAAAATGTGGTAACAACATCAGCAACAAACTTGGCTGCTCCTTGCCTGCCACTTCATTGTTCTTTCCACATTTTGAAGTCAACCCTGATCCACGACTGAACAGACACATGGCAGCATGGAATATATTGAGAAAGATGTTTTTTGTCTTGTCACAAGCCAGGGACAAAGAATAAATTCTGAGCCCCCATGAGGAATCGAATCTCAGACCTTCGGATAGATTCCATGCAATCTATCTGTTCAAAATATCCGAAAGTAGGCAACAACTACTTGATGAGCACCATCCTAAATATTAATGAACCTTGCAAGTGCAGTGCTTCAAAGGGTTTTCAAGGTCTTCTTTCCCACAAGTGAGTGCACAATTTAAATACATATCTTTCCTCTCTGCTTTGAATGGGAAATGATTGATGGCATCATGAACTGAAATTCCAAGTTTGGCATGTTAGAGAAGGGTACAGTAGCAGCATGACAAATGTTTGAAATTAAACTGCTCTGAAAAGTTCATCATTTGGTGTATTTAAGACAAAGATGAGTGAAATCTGTGTTTTATTTTGAATCTTAAAATGTTATCCTATCTCTACTTGACACAACTCAGTGGCACAATGATTATGCACAAACAACTTTACAAAGGCTGGCATTTTTTAAAAGGAGGCTCTTTTGTGTACAGAGTATACCAATGACATACATACTTCTTGCCATGGAAAGCACTTCCCATGTCTAACAAACTTTGAATTCATTCACCGATACAAAATGTTGTGGTGGAAGAACATGATTGTGGGTGCGTTTTACTTTGGAAAAAATGCTGTGAACAAGCTTCATACATTAACCCTTTAACTCCCAGAAGTGATTAACATAAAACTTCTCCCTACAATATCCATACATTTTTCAGCAAACAGGTAATGAGAGTATTCAAACTTATCAGGTAGAAGCTGCTATCTTGATCTAGCACCATGTTCTTATAACTAATTTACAAGGAAATGTGTAGCAGCTACAGGAGAGAATTAACAATCAGATCTTGGGAGTTAAAGGGTTCACTACAAAGAACTCATTGGTAATTCTCCATACTGTCTGTTAAACAATTCTTGTATTAATTTGGAGAATTTAGTATTGGGCCGACTAATAATCGCCTGATTGATGTATTTCTTTATTCTCATCACTTGTCCGCTTGATATTGTATTGATATTGTGAGGAGAAATTCTGTCTTGGTCACACATGAAAGTTAAAGGGTTAATGGACAACAATAAAATTTAAATTAAACTAAAAAAATGAACAATTCTTATCATCTTTCTATTTTTACATGCATGTATTGATTCTGAGGTTGTACAATAATTTTCTTTTGCATGGAAATTAACAGATCATAGTCAATCATAATTCATTGCCCACACATGCATGTGCCAAAAATTTTTTTTTCAAATGAAATTGAGTCATGTTTGCCACCATCACATACTCATTCTGTTGCTTTGTCCCTACTGGGCAAAGCAGTTTTTTTTTTAGTGCTGTCTTTCATTGAAAATGAAGTGCAGCTCAGGTGCACCAATTATAGTAAAAGTTAATAACTCCTTAATAAATGGTGTGAATCCTGGGGTAACATGTAATAGTGTAGTCTGATTGTCCAGTTGAGTGTAATCCTGAGAAGGACTGTTGTCAGAAGTGGTGACTGCCTTAAAAAACCTGAGCAGAAGTCATCATCAGATTCAAGTGAATAGCCTTACAGCCAATAACATCACAGCACAACAGACTGATCAGTTTATACCAACTGGACTTAGAACATTCTACTGACAATAATCATTCACTTGACCAGTGCTTCAAACACTCACAAATTATTAGTATAGTTGTATATATGTTTGTTTTTCAGAAATACCTGACATCCTGAGACCAATTTTTCTACCAATTTAGAGGGTCCTTGAACTAAAGTTTAGACTGGAGGTGAAACCTTACTTTTATACAGAGCTATTTTCAGATAAAACTATTGTTCCTTGATGGCTCAAGGTTATCAGTGCCTATAACATCAGAAGAAGACAGTATGGCTGGTGTGAGCTGTTTGTCAGCATTTTCATTGACTCAAGGAAGCCAACTTTTCACTGATAATCTTCCAAACTTCTTCTATACATAGATAATTTGATATCTATAAGTATACTAATCATAAAACAAATAAATAACTGTTCTACCAGCATCATGATTGTTTTTCTAAAACATATACACACTGCCTAATAGAGAAATAAATAAGAAGGGTGCCTGCCAAGCTCAATGAAATGGTTTTATGTTGTTATGATCAGTTTGCAGCCTTAAGATAGAATGACGAAGGCAAAATCCCCTATGGACTTTTTCTTCAACTCTGTAATTTTTACTCAAGTTAAATATTTTTTTAACTGTTTGTAGTCAACCATAGACAATGGCAACAGCACATAGCTATCACTTGAAACTAAAACTTTTTTGTCTGGAAGCAGTTTTGTTTACACCCTTCAAAAGAGATTGCAGGAAGTCTGTTCATCATTGTACTGGCATTAATAGCTAGCTCTCTGCAAAACTGACTCATGACAAGCTTATGAATCAAAATGAGGGTAACAGACTCTTCACAGAAATAAATAGTGGATCTTACTGTTGTTGAAGTATTTGCTGCACTGATGCTCAGTTCCCTCTTAATTTATTTTTATATAACAAAATGTGAAAATATAACTTAAACAACAGGAAGAGTAAGTTTGTTTGTCATTACACAATGTTCTAGTTTTATTTAGGTAACTGGTTATAACACGTCGACCAATTGACCTCAGTTGTTTGTGAAGAAGACATCGGTGGACTGATGCATTTGGGAAAAGAACACAATAGCATTGAAATTACAGGGAGAAATTTTTGAGCATGATAAATATATTTTAATCTGAAAAATCAGTTTTTGAAAAATTTTGTCCTTTTTTTTACATTTATGCTTCAAATACAATTGAATTTCATGCATGTACAAAGGTCTGAAATTGTTTTAAAAGCAACCAGTAATCCATAATTTGTACTTCACCCCTTAAAAAAATTTAAATTAAAACATCATGCTATTCTCAAATTATAGTGGCAATAAAATGAAAGACTTATTGCAGGCGATTGTGTATAATAGATAAAATTCTCGACTGTACGAAATGAAGAAGGATAAGGAAGCAGTAAGAAGAATTTATAGTTTGGCTATGTGACTGAAATTGTTAGTCACGTATTTACAATTGTAAAGTTGAAAGATGGTACAAAACATGGAGGTTTGAAGCAAACGAGCCGACATGAAATGTTTACCAGAACGGAACAAATATTTGTTGCATCCCATTACATATTCGCCCAGATTATTTACCCCACAACCTGTTGAATTTCCTTTGACAGCATTGCCATTCATTATCGATTTCAAAAATCGTGTCACGACAAACTAAAATACGGCAAAAATACTGAAAAGGGGACATGAAAATACTTGCGACGACAAGTAAGCGCCTATTGTTAAAACGAAAAGCGGAAACTGCGTTATTTGAGGAAGTAACAACTCCCTATTCACATACAAACAAAGCATAGGTGAAGGTTGCATCTGTTTAAGACCATTCCGCGTTCTCGGACATGCGCGTGTGACAAGCATGCCAAAATGACTGGTGCCGTAAAATCAACAACAAATTAAAATCTTACCCCAGATTGAATCATCGCCGACTCGTCCATGGGCCCTTGAATACTTTCGTCAGGAGGGTCAGCGCGCATTAGCATTTTCATCAAGTCCCCATCGCCCTCCATGTCTGAAAGAATCCGCAAGCAAATTATTAGAAACGCCGCCTGGAATCTCTCGTGTAGCGACAAACACGCGCGATCAGTACGCGAAGTACACGCCGGCTTTCCATTCCATTCAGGAGGTAATCTTTGCACGCATACAACCACAGAAAGTTTCTAAACACCAAAGATTAATCACCAATTTTGACGCAGAAAAGCTTGTGGTCATGAAAGGTCAAATTATTAATTCCGCTGTCTGCATATGGAATGTTATATCATCGCATGTCGGTTGCCCCCTACACGCTACAGCTACGGTAAGTACAACATATTGTTGTCGAACAACCCGACGCAATGACACAGCATTCAACTCACCTCAATCATAGATCTAGGCCTCGGGTTTCTGTAGGTGATTGTGAATTAAAGCGCGAGATTTCTCCGTTTTCCAGCAAAGTAATCGCCCATACATTTGTGATTTACTGCCAACTTTGCGAGCAGTTCACATTTCACCTTTACCGCGACTGGTCAGCGGTACACTCCGGAAATTCGACTTAGTCCCCTCAGTAGTGCCATCCGGCAATTCAACCTATGACAGTACTCCACCCAGCGGGAATCTCTGATTGTAACAAAGAAACATGAGAACCTCAAATACATTTTAATACCGTATATGTGATTTTTCCTGTTATAATTTTAAACGTTAGTGTTCCTGTATCGAGGAACTCGAGCCCCCCCATTTGAAAACGGAATTCGACTAAGTTGTCGTTGCCATTGTTTTCAAAATTTGACTTCCGGTTCCTTTAAAAACAGGAAGGTAGAATGTTGGGCAGTTAATCTTACCAAGAAGGGCCTGGAAACCACAGATTTGTATTGCGAAAGAAGCAAACTAAATAATTATTGTACGGAGAAAAATATCATTGATGAGATTAGTTTTCGTGAGGTCGAGGAAATAGGACAAATGAAAGGAACAATTAGAATTTGACTTCTGCCTTAAACGGCCATCTTAACTGATAACGCAAACCCTTAAGACAAGACGACAACGGTAATAAGAAGGTAGTGCAAGACAAAATTTAGTGAGCAGAACAGTAGCTTAGCTTACGCAGTCTCAAATTTTGTGTAGACCCTAATCAGGCCTTCGCCGATCCGTAAAACGAAAACGCGGAAATCATCAAAATGTGAGTGGTACGAGAACGGGAACCTCAAAGGCCAGTAATATTCGTTTCCATTCGGAACTCGACGCTGTTCACACAAGTTATGCTGAAGCTAAGGTCTGGCTTCCTTAGGGACGCTAAAAGCATCTAGCCATTTGAAAAATTTTTAGTAAAAAATATACCTATTTGATAAGCGAAGTTTTTCCTCACCGTTGTTGTTTTAACTGCTTAAGATTCCTCGTGTTTCAACCAATAAACACAAGCATCAAATGAAGACAGGAAGTGCTTTCGTAACTATCCTTTCGGTTTCCGTTTGGATGTGAACAAAGTTTAAGTAGCGCGAGGTCATGGGGCGAAACAGAGCCCAAAAAAATTTGGAGCCGAGGGCTGGGGAGTGGTACGCAGAATGAGATAACGTTCATCACTGCCACTCTTTCTTTGTTTTTCTTTAAAGAAAAGACCCTCTTTTAATGAGAAATTAGCCATAATCTATAAGGGTAACTAAGGACATAACTCAGGCTTAAATTCTGTTAAGAACGTTCTTATTTTTTACACAGTTTTCTTGACGAGAAGTATGAATAAACGTTATATAAATAAAAACTGTAGTATTACAGGAAGATTGACCCAGATCCTTAAGGATATCCTTTTTTAAACTCCACAACATACTGCGTATCGGAGAAAATCGCATTTTTTTAGTTGAACTGAATGTATACTTGATAACACTATCAAATACTGACTTTATTGAAGAGAACTCATTCCCTTGTATCTCATTCACCTTACTATGTTATGTTTGAACGTCTTACCAGACTATTATTTTGTATTTCTCTTAGCGTTAAAGGAATTTTTTTTTTCAGAAAAATTATGTGACTTAATAACAATGAACTACAGAAATGAGACAATTTTTACTGGATTCTTTGATCTGGTAAACTAATATTGATGCAAGGGCATTCAGATTCACTATCCTTACACGTTAGTATATAATAATTAACATTTTAGCTATTCATACTCCATCTACTCTAGTCTTCATGCTCTATCACACTCATTGTCCTTGATTTTTTTAAGTGCAGCTATAGGTTCTAACTTCAATAGGTTCTAACTTCTAATAGGTTCTAACTTCAAGGGCGTAGCCCCCCCCTTTGTGAGCCTTTCTAAGCAACAACCAACAATATTCAGGTGACGAAATCTAATGTGTAACCTCTGTTTGACACAGTGTGACCCCCTCCCCCCCTTTGAAAAATCCTGGCTACGCTCTTGAACGACCCTTTTGCTCCTCGGTGTAGCATGATTTTGCTGTTGTTGTAGCTGTTACTCTACTTCAACAAGTTTTAAGATATAGCAAACACGTTCTTCTTAACAACTCCACCTACTAAGGAGAAATTGTTAGTGTAGAGTCGGTTGGAACTAGGTTCAAACCAGCTAGCTGTCTAATAAGTTAATAATCTTATATCAGGAGAATTTGTTGCTTTGCCTGTTAGGCGAGAATCAAGTAGCTTGCTTTTGCAGCATGGCATAAACGAGACGAGGTTCTTCCTGAACTGCTGACTATGTAGGGTGTACACAAGCGGATTGAGACAAGAATTCAGAAGTGCACTTGCTTGGGACACATAGTATACTGTGGTATAACCGCCACGAATCGAGGGGCTAAGCAGGCAAAGCACTGCAGGAGGCGTCCAGCACATGATAAAGATGGCCGACACTGAAATAAGCATCTTAGTTACCTTTCGTGACTCTGTGGTGGCTTTCTGAGAGGAGCATGGAACGAGGGTGCGGTTACGTAGACACCAAATAATTCGTGCGTAAAGATATCCCAAGATACAAATCGGGAGGAGGGAGTTGCTGGTTGACCAAGTAATATTGTATGCACGAGCTGTTGTGTTGTCTGGAAAGTGTTCATTGCACTGCTGATTTTGTGAATCGTAGCTTGTTACAACAATGGAGGGCATTAGCAAAAGAATTGCAGAAACCCATGCAACTGGCACCCACCACGATGATCGACCACTTCGCCTCTTTTTCAACGGGTGTAAGGTGGCACTATACCGTTCCGTTGCTATGGCAACCAACAGAAAGCTCGAAGTGGTAGCCGCTATCCAACCCAGGGACCCACTGGAAAAAAACTTGCACAGTACATTTCCAATAACTCCGCCCGGTAGTTCAATAAAGTGGCTCAGGATGCATGGATGAATGAATAATACCGCGACCAGTAAATCAGCAACCGCCAGATGGAAAAGAAGCCAGTTGATCGAGGTTTTCATTACTTTCCTTTTCAAAATTACCAAGCAAAAAGAGTTCCCTGCTATGTTAAAAATTATCATGATGGACAGGAAAACTGCGTAAACTAGAGAAGCGATCCCTGTTATCATTATGAAAGCGAAACTCTTCTTTGGAGAGCCGATGCGTATCTGTTAATTTAAATTGAAGAACAAAACTATTATTAATTTTTGCTAAAGCAGACGATCCTGTGCTGATAAATGTATTTGCCCGTTTCATTCACGTCCTGTCAAAAATGACATTTCAGATAATTTCAGACGGAAATACCAGATTATTAGAGTAGTTGTGCAAAAAAAAAGCAGAACACAAAAATAACAAAGAAAAGGAAATGACAAAGAGGTTTACAGAAGCTATTGAATCGTCTGTAAAAAATAAGTTTGCTGTAAATATGATATTTTCTAATAATTATTCGTTTTTTGTCGAATCCATTCCAGGATAAGAATGTCAACAAAACGAAATTGAACAGTGCTAAATTTTTCAGCAAACGTTCATCTTGATGTATCTATCTACTTAGGATCAACTTACGTGTCTGTGGTAAGGACAGAAATGGCTTATTCAACATCAAAGGTTTCTGTCCATGATATCTTATCCATAATATTAGCTTAAGAAAAGCCCTAATGTTTCCATATCGTTACATGATGGTTTCTGTTGTCCAAGTTTTAACGCCCATATTTTAGAAACAGTCAAACTTTGAGTCTGCAATTAAGGGAGCCCTTGGTAAGCTTAATTACACTGAACAATTTTTAGCTTCTTTTTTTTAACCGATGAGATTTGATTAAGCACGATCAGTGGCGAAAAAAGGGAAAGAATGAGTTTGGCATTGGGAGAGAGATAACTGAGAAAACACCTCCGGAAAATAAAAAGCACACTTAAAAATTATAACGAAATCGTTTTTCCCAATTGTTGATAAATGTGTTTGATCTTGGAAGCGAAAATCGGACTAGTTTCCGAACCATTTACACAAGTTTACCAAATCCATCGTAAATTGTAAGACGTTCTGTTTTGAAAAAAGAGAAGTCAGAGCAAAAAAGGAACAAGCTTGCGGCTTTAAATGAAAATTTCCACAAGATATTAATTAATCTTTCGTCCTGAGATCATACTTTTTAAAAAAAAAAGACAGCTTCGTTGGGGAGAACGGTTGTAAATAAAGGGAAAAAAAAAACAGAATGTGAACTATGATATCTGCTCTCCAACATTGCGTCTCTTTTACCTTAATTTGAAGTTTGTTTGGGTAAAAAACTTGCCATGACAAGCATAGATCGCTAAAACAGTGCCCAGATGAAAGGGTTTTTTTTTTTAATCTACCTGTACAATTGAGATGAACACATTAAGCCGGATCTTGTAAATTACACAGCCAACCTTCGAATTTCTCAGTACTGAGGGTGGGATTTTGAGAGTTCCCAATTGCAATTTTTCTGATTTCGTCAAATTTGAAATTTATTCGAAAAATAAAAAAAGATTTTTTGGTTTCAGTTTGAATAATCAGTGAGTGAAGTCGTTCGTTGGATATGAATTACTAAATGTTTCAGCTTCGATCGGATATAGCTAATATGTAACAGCAAAAAATACTAGCTGCCGCAGGCAAATATGTGCTGGTTATGTTTCAGATAAAGTACAGTGGTCATACCGTCAATAGCATTGAACTTACCTTCAGGCTTTGACAATTCTAAGGAACAAAGAAGCGCTCTATTTTAGTTTTTGCTGATTGATGCAAAGTTTGCTTTCCGGCGTAATTTTATAACTCTGCCGCCAAAGTTATTTTGGCTGATATCGGTTTGATGTCTTCTTCCATACACAGAGATAAGTGGCAACGCAAGATAGTTTTCGTGATGGATCAATCACTTCTCTAAATAAAACATGAACAATTGATAAGTAATAGCAAGGGAGAGTTAATACTCTGAGCGTGTTCTTGAGTGGGATTGACATTAAGGCCGTCTGAATTACAGCTAAGAAAATCATGTCGCAGTTGAGTAAACGCAACAGTAATTATTTCAATAATTGTACACGTGGGTTTGATCTAAGTTTGTAGAGTCTCTGTAATGAAGAAAATCATTCGTAGAAAATATCAGCGACAAACATTAAATTGAAACATTGTTTATACTGGACTAACTCGATTAATATTCTAGTCACGGAAACCCAAGAGCTTTGTAGTAGCTCTCTGTTGTCCACCGAAAATTAGTCAGACACACCGCAATCAATTCAAGTAAAACTGACCTGGGAAAGTGAAGAGAGGAAGCAGAATTTCTCTCAGTTACTAACTTTGAATAAAAGAAACCTATTGATAGTTGTTTCAAAAGAGATAAACATTCGGTAATCTAAACCAGAAATAATTTTTCAAGTCGGTCAAAGGATACCCTCCCCCTCCCTTCCTGCTCTTAATATTTTTGGCCCCCTTTCGCTCTGTATATTCATGTGACTACCGTTCAATGGAAGTGTCTCCGCAGGCTAACAGATTCTCTTCGATCAAATGTTCTTTCTGAAAATGGGTGAGGTCATTTTCCAAAATATTCTTCGATCAAAAGAGGTAGTTTACAAAGATCGACAGGAACGCCACAAGTACAAGCACAAACATATTTCTAACCACTTGGAAAATTACCATATTGTGTACAAAGTTAAATGCAATTACATAGTACATGATCATAAAAAAAAGATAAACAGAGGTCTAATTTTTAAAGGAGAAATTTTGAATCTTATCATCGCTAATATAAATTCAATACACTGCAACATCATCTCTTCAACAACGTAAGACTAGATGCTGCATGGGTTAAGAAGACTAGCCTGTCTGTTTTAGTACATCAATGGAGATACAGACATCATTTTTCAGAGACAATATACTTTGACGTAATTGTCATAATACGGCCACTGCCGTGGGACGTATTTAACTACGATATATATGTAGCTTCATTGTCAAATGCCATTTTTAACATCTGCTGCTTTTTGCCCCCAAAAAAGCGAAATTTGAGGGATTAATCGAATGCAGAAAGAAATCACAAGTCAACTATCACGCATAGAAATCAAAACATATCTATTGGTCGTTCAAAACAAGATAGACACGTGTTTTTGTTTTGTTTTGTTTTACAATCACTCAACATGAGACCACTTATTTCACTTACAACCCATCACGGAATGAAGAGCGCGTAACGTAGCCAATCAGATTGCAGCACTTGTGATGGACCCCTTAAGGATTTTTATCAATTGCTGATCGCTAATGAATAAGGGGGGGGGGGAGTTTCTAATGAAACTGTGGTGCTGCCTCGGTGGGAGAGTATAGCAAGGTAAGTTGGTATTGTCGACTGAATTGATAGAGTTAATTGGCCACCGTTAGGAAAAACCAATTTAGGTTATCAACTCATTTGATAATACCGAATTACCTTGATAGCTAGTGAGCCAGCCAGGGCGCAGTATTTGCCTTAGAATACTAGTAGAATTTTAAACAAAAGTACGTAGTGAATTTAAACAATACGGAATCTCGTTTCCGCTGAAAAGTTGTGTTACCACTGGAAATGAAGTGAACTGCGCCATATCAAGACCTTTTAACTACATAATTCATTTTTAATTAGTCTCAAGATTTCATGTCCTCGGTGATCAGTGCGAAAGTGAAATTTTCTTTCTGTTATAGCAGGGCATCAGTGAGGCGAGATTCTTCCTAAACTGTTGACTGTGCAGGGTATATACAAGAGGGTTGATGCAGGAGTTAAGAAGAGCGCATACATTAGACACAAAGTAAACTGTTGTATACGCATCAGGAACAAATTTAACCAAGAGACAAAGTGCTGCAGGAGGCGTCCAGCACAAGGTGAAGATAAGGGACACTGAGAGTAGCATTTTGGTTACCCTTTTTCGGGACTGTTGTATGGCCCCGATGGATGAATCCAGCAGAAGTTCACGATGACGCAGGCGTAAAGCGATCCGTATGTATAGGTATCCCATCATGCAAATTGGCAGCACGCAATTTACGGTTGACCAGAAGATCTTGTTCGCTCGAGCTAGGGCGTAACTGGGATACCTCTGCACACACCCTTGACGTTCTTCATCGTAGGCTGACACAATGATGCTGGGTAACAACAACAGAGCAGCAAGAATCCACACTACTGGCACTATCCTTGTTAACCGTCGACTCCGAAGCGTTTTGAGTGGATGTAAGGTAGCTCTGTAACGGTCGAACGCTATCACCACAAGCAGGAAGCTCGAGGCTGCTGCCGCCACCCAACCTAAGTTACCGCTGAAAACAAACTTGCAAAGCAGGTCCCCTAAGAAGCCGTTCGGCAGCTGAACGAAGTGACTGACAACACAGGGAGGAATGAAGAAGACAGCGACCAGCAAATCAGCTATGGCCAAATGGAAGAGAAGCCAGTTGATGATGGTTTTCGTTGCTTTATTCTTCAATACCAGAAGGCAGACCAGAGAATTACCTGCTACGTTCAATAGTATCATGGCCACCAGAAAGTGAACATAAACTAGGGATGGAGTCGACAATCCCATTCTTTGGGTCTAAATTGAAATTAAATGAGATTGATTTAATTATGCAGAAGAAACAAGAGGAAGATTTAACGCGTAGGGAAATTTTTATCAATTAACAGAAAAAAAAACATCTGAAATGAACACAATTTCAATAATACACCAGTACGTGAAACGTTTTTTCGTATACTAAGCTCATATGAAAGCCTTTCAATTTTTTTTTAACTTATTGCGACAAATAATGAATATATCTATTGCACCCTGGTTCAGATACATCGTCTGTTCATCACGTGAACAATCTCGTTCCCAAGAGTCACGTTCCCCAAATCCTCACCGCAAGGAATATAGAGAGAACGCGACCACCAGCGATGAGATAGTCATGTTATCTTTCATTCATGATTATGAAACTGAATCACAAACTATATTGATATGCAGACATGAGTCTCTATTTGTTTACCGCCCCTATAGACCACCATCTTCCGTCCACGAGTTCTTGAATACATACTCTAGCGAGGGCTGGAGTGGTTTTACAGGCGATAAATTGCAAATGCTAAGGGTCGATGTCTGTTACCAAGAAAACGTTCCTTGAAAATTTTATGTCAGTTAAAAGGCGGATTTTAAAAATAACTTTTAAATACGACACGACAATTTCAAATTAATTTCTCTGAGATTTTCTAGATCTCTAGTTTTAGTTTTCAGTAAATTTAGTTAGTTGAATCAATAATCTTTCTTACCATTACTTTAAAGGATCCAGTTTCGCTTGACTACAAAGTTTCATCGTAAATGAACTACAGTTACGAGTCATTTAGACATTTAGGCAGTTGATACACCCTTGAGGCTGAGTAAAATTCTAAAAGATGTTTTATCGTTCAGTTCAACGAGTAAACGCTCTTGGAAATCAGCCAACTTAACACAACCGTCAACAATCGCAATTTTTGTTTCAAATTTCCAGAACTTTCTTTCAACTTGAACATTCTACAAGGAACAAGAGTATTTCATCGAAATAACAGATTATCTAACAGTCCTTTCATGCGTGTATGGATACTGCAAAGGAAAAAGTTTTTTAAGTTGAAATTTATCGTATAAATCGCGCAAAGTGAGATGCTTTGGCAAGAAATTTACCTCTGTTGAAGTGCAAGTGAAGTACAAAGTTCTCCCAAGAGATTAGGCAGCTCTTATGTAACATTTGTCAGTTATGTAACACTTGTGCAGCACAAGTTTGGATATTGCCTATATATATTAACATGACTTCCTCGACAATTGGTTCTTGTTTGTTAATATGCCATCAACCCACGCCGACTGATTAAACGAGAAGATACTAGAGAAGGGAATCTTATTGTGGTACAATCCTCTAAGATCTTTTGGCACAAACAAGTCAAATACTCACAAAAAGGTTTCTCTCTGTTTTGAATTACTCTGCTTTGTAAGTGTCTAGCGCCAGTTTCAATCTTTGGTTGTTGTGTCTGTAACAAAAGGCCAACGAAAAATTTGAGGCAGGTGTTCCTGTAGATTAAAATTCACCTCACGCACATGATTGGTGAACTGAATGAAACACGAGCTTCCATCATTTCTCTTTTTGTAAATGAAAAAGAGATAAAAAAAAATCCACAAACTCATTTAATGATTTCCAATATCCGCAGTAGTATCAATCACATCGAAGTTTTAATTTCAATCTCATCCAAACTAGAGATTGTAATTCGTCAAATATGTTTATATTTCACAGAAAGAAACCGGTCAAACTCTGGAAACAAGCCCGGCAAGATGATTTTGTTATTAGCTGGGTGCCTATATTTTGCTCATGTTTTGGAATATCGTTGGCATTCTGGTATCTTTTTTTATTAATGAAAGATGAAGAACATAGCTAAGGTTGGTTAGCTTTTATTTCTTATCAACTTGGTCAGCTTATAGTTAAATTTTGAAACTGAGAAGGAAAAGGAAGACAAACATGACTCATGAGAACAAACAGGGAACTTTGTTGTTATAAAATGCAAATTCAATATCTCTTAACAATTATGTGCATTTTAAGGATGAGTCAGCGAATAAAATGTGAACGTCAGAGGGTTACCAAAGGAGAGGGAATTCACATTATGGTCATGAAAAACGTATATCATATAATTCCACTAAAAATCTGGTCAAGTATCAAAGATGCTCTCTAGACCACTGGAGAGGAACCAGAAACTCACTTAAGAGGAAACTTAATTGCTATTGTTTAGCTAATGAAGGAATTGATAGCGCTTATTACATGCAATTTTCTTATCACATTTTGAGGTATAATATTGAATTGTAAGCACGCAGCACGCAGAAAAACAATTAATTTCCTGCCGTCTGCTTTTAAGGCGGTTAAATGGTAAAATGTTTGGCGGCACTCACTGCAGTGAACAGAGGAATATTTTCTTAGGTTTCCCAGGGTTGATTTAAGGTCATTGGGGAATGTAACCGAAGTCACAGTCCTTTTATCGCCTTCACATTCGCCCTTATCACCATTTTTAAACTAAATAATAGTGAGTGACTCCTCTTGTTTAAAGATGTGAGATTTTGAGCCTACAAGGCGTTAATGAAGGAAAATTCAAATCTGAAATCTGAATAGACCGCTTTTGTGTTCTAATGTGGCAATGTTACATAAACCAACCATAAATTAAGTAAGGTGTCCAACAGCGCTCATATAATTGCCGCAACAAGTGCAGGATTCTCGCCAAGAATCACGGGAATCAACCCGCGCCAGGCACGTGATGAAGATGGCTAAAATTTAGAAATAAAATTTTTTTGAACGAGCAGTCAAAAAAAACCTGTTTCCATCTTTTTCTCCTTTGCGACTATCAAAGATTATTAAGGTGTGACCAATAAAGAGATAACGTGATAAAAATACATAATTCTACGCGGGTTATCTGCACTTTTTGCAAGAACCACGATGATAAATTGACTCTAAAAGGGGGGGTGACCCTCATCAAATTGATCTCTCAAGTGGTTGATGGAAAACATGTTAACTGATTGTGATTCGTGAGTGACTGGCTTGATTCGTCCAAATATCGAAAGTTTGGAGATTTCTTTATCAGCATAGGAACGGAACTTCAAAGCTCATCCGGCTTGCAGTTAAGACTAATTGATTATTCTACTATTTTGGACTGTCCAGACAGTAAGTGATCTCCGAAAAATGAATGGAAAACGAACCCGTTAAAAGGGTATCAGTCAAGTCCTGAAAGTTCTCGAAAGATTTTTAAAAAATGATGTCTGAGGTGGTTATTTGAAAGTTAGAGATCTAATTAATAACATAAAGGCTCCAAATTTAATTTCGAAGCTTCTAGATCGTTTAAAATATTTCACAGATACAAAGTAAACAAAAGGTCGCTGATACATGTTTTCCAGAGGAAACGAGCTGTGCGCGTATCCGTCAGTGCAAACTGAATACGGAAAATGCATATCTAAAAGAGAGAAAAAGGAATTCGTCAGATAGAAAAACTAGGTGATACGGTTTTTTAATCAAAATACCCGCAAATACTTACAGATATTTCTGTTCCTCTGATGCGGAGTAGTACAACGCTTGTTCGTGCCTTGAGGGAAAGATTGTTACTTATACCAAGAACAGGGAGCAATCCATTCTTTACACTCACCATTAGAAAAATTAATAATACTAATTTCTTTTCAGTTCAAATCAAGATTTTGTTAGGACTAAAAATAACGTCAAAACAAAATCAATTTATTGGAGTGGGTGGTATAGTTTGCATTGACAAACCGCCTTAGAGCAATAAGGATTTGAACCGCAATCAGATTGTCAAAACATCTGGGTCCAGTTGTTCAAAGGGGGGGGGGTAGGGGTATCCAACGGATAAATCTCTATCCAGTGGATAAGTGTAAACAAAACCTACTGTACACTATTCACCGGATTCAGATCTATTAGTCATTTAAAGAAAAAACAGCATATAGAAACATATTCAGAAACAGTTCCTCAAATCACTTCACTACTAACCAAACAGGTGCAGCTTTAAAATCTTATCCGGGTTCGCGACAAAAAAACTGTCTTTTCAACATCTCTAACAAGCGTAGTGAACACGAATCATGTAACTCTGTAAAGATATCCTCTTTAGTTTTAGGTTATGATGCTCAATGAATTGTCCCCATAAGACAAGGATGTTTGTTTCTCTAACACACAATTCAGTGACGAATCAGCAAATCAACAATCATTTCTTTCCTCGATGTTTCGTGATCGTACTTAAAGGTTCTCAGCAAGTTTTCTTTTTCCACTGACGAGCACTTTAACCTTTGTCCTTTCTTAATCTCAGCAGCCAGTCTCCAACGAGGCTAAAGAATCTGCTATGTTCCAAAACTTCACGTTTTAATTTATAAAATCAACTAAATCTCCCTCTCTCTCTCTCTCACCGTTCTCTGTCTCACGCTCTGGTCTCTCTCATTTTAAATATCTAATATGATCCTATTGTTCAATCATCTGTCACTTATCGAAAAAAATCAACCGGAAATCAATTACGCTGAATAATCTCTCACATACGAGAAGCACAAACTGAAAACTTGAAAGAAGAGGTCACAAGATAATAATAGCAGCATTAATATATACAGCAGGATGTGCATTCATGTTACGTTTACAGCCAATATTTGTTCAAAGAACGCAGCTCATCTATGTTATCTGAATTAGTATTTTTGTTATTCTGTAAAATGAACGCTGTGACATTACACTGTCAGTTTTCAATCTCTAATGTTGTTTTACCATCTAGTGTCCCCCATAGCAGTCTTTTCCGTTTCCTTGCGGCTAAGCGGGCAACACGCAAAAAAATACGGCGTATACGGTACGGGAGAACAACAATTAGGAGCGCACACTTCTTCCGTTTGGAAAAAGAAAACCGACAAAGCTTAATACCCGGATGTAACCTTAACATGCCGGATAAAAAAGGCCATGTGATAATGGATGGTCAGACGCGGCGTGATAATTAAAAACGAACACAGACGATTTCTTCGAATCATAACAAACTTGCTTTGTTATTAAACTTTTAAAATGAAATCATTCTAAGCAAATAAACGACAGAGGTTACTCTGTGTTCTGGTTTCAGTGTTTTGATCACTTGATAAAAAAGAGTCGTATTCGTTTATATACTAAAACCGAAACCGTAGCATCTGCGGAGGAATCGGTGTTTTCAGTTCAATTTCAGTCCATACTTTCCCCAAAACAGAATAAAAAGAGAATCGGTTCTAACTTGTGGCATTTTTCTACGATCTTTCAAAACTAACTAGTATCTTCAGAGTCGCCAGCTAGTCTGAGAAACGAACCTGGACAGTGCGTCAGCAGCCGCGCTCTCTCATCCCTGATCTACCGGCACTCCACCACTAACCACTTCCGTAGTCCTTAAGCTGTATAACAACAGTAGAATTCTCCGTTTGTGAAAGACTCACATCAGTCTTGGACTTCATGCAGATATTGATGTGTCTCAGTTCCCCTAGACTACCGCGCGCTTCTTTGTTTCGCCAAAAGTAAATCATAGGATCCAGAACTGCGTTCATGAATGCTGCGGCCTCAGCAAATGGGAAGATACCATGGATTAAAAGAACGCTAGGCACAAGTGACAACATCTGCACAATGTTCAAACAGATGCATGGAAAAAAGCTCATAATTTGTACCCCTATTATAACACCCACAGTTTTGGACGACTTGCGGACCTGGGTTTCGGCCGGAGACCCATGAACGGGAGGGCCGACTTGTGCGGTATTACCCCGAATTTCCCTAAATATCTTGAGGTAAATAACCACAGTTGATAAGATGCTTGGCAGGAAAAGACATGTCATCACGACAGTTCTAACTGTATGAGGGATGCTCGGCATAAAATTGAGAATTATAACTAATGCCCCGCAGATGACCCAAGTGGTTACAATGGAACAGAATATACGGGTTTTAGTCACCGATTCTTTGTACCAAAACGGATGAAAAACAGCGAAGTAGCGTTCAATGCTTATAAAAAACAAAGTGAAGAAAGACAATCCGTGGCACAGCCAGGTAAACAAGTTGTAAATAAAGAAGAGAGAACACGAGTAGTCGCCAGTGGTAAACTTGTTTACCAAGTAAACAATGTTGGAAGTTTGTGCCAACAGAATGACGCACAAATCTGCGGCGATGAGACACAGTACAGATGTGTTGTATACCGTTCGTAATTTTGGCTTCCTTAAAACTGTGATGAACACAAAGCAATTGGCAACACATCCCGTTGGCCACATTAAACAGTTTATAATGATCGCGAATAGCGTCGCCCTCTGAATTGCGTCTGTTGCCTGATACGGGACCGTTATCGAGTCTCCTATCTGTGGGCAGAACTTTTCACTGGCATTCTCCATACTAGAGTTAAGTGACGAATTTTGGTACAACATTTTACGTTTTATGATCATTCATTTGTTTGCTTATGGTAAGAACGAATCCAATAGCAGTCAATATTCAGAGAAGACAAAAGGTAGTAATTACATAGGTGTTAGCCGACTGTATATAGCCTCTGATTGACAAACAGGATTTTAATTTTAGGAATATAAAATGTTAAATTGACAAGCTCGTAAATCACTGGCAACAATCTGCACTGCTTAAATTTTTAGTTCGTCGAGAAACAAGTTTTGCGACGATGGCATTTTAGTGACCAATTTTAGCGCAACGGTTATAATTATCAGCAATAATTCAGCTTTTTGTTTGGATTTAATCTCCTTAGTTTTTCTAATATGTCAGCACATCGATACATTGGCCTAAATTTCATCACCACCAGCTTGGAAATAATTGGACATCTTAAAACCGATAAAAAACTTTACATATTTAACCAGAGGGAATGAAAAGCCGATGCCTTCGCAACCCCCTTTTTGAAAAGTCTTTGTTGCCTTTTTTAAGTAAGTGCAATTAGACGGCCTTCTGTTTGCCACGGGTTTTCGAGGACAAAACATGTCAACAAAAAACGATATTTACATAAATGGAAACTCATTAGTGTAATAGCTTTGAGAAAAGAGATTTGCCGCGGTAATAAAAAATTTAATAAATCATTCTAAGCAAGTTTTTTAAAAGAAACTTTTTCATGTAACATATTAAACTTTGGTCAACAAATATATTTTTTTTAAGGTTCTACAAAAGCAATATCTTAAAAAATCTATTGTCGTAAAGATTATTGTTAACGATGATCAAGCCCCGGTTGATTGAAGGGTGGATAACCCTGCGGGGGATAAATCTCTACCCGGTTGGCAACGCAATTCGTTTTGTTAACACTTATCTGTTGAATAGCCGGCCATATCCGCTATTCGAACAACAGCTAGGGTTCAGGCGGTAATCTAGTGAAGGAGATGCGATGTACTCCATAGAAATCATCAACTTAAAGCCCATCTGCCATTATAAGTTTCTAAGGGAAACCTGGTCATACAATAGTGTTTGGATTTTAAGAAGTGCTTTGTTCTTAGACCTGCATAGCAAGGGAAGCTCATCCGGCGCATTGAGAGCTTTGCTGTTCATTGCAACGAATATACCTTAGCTTGTTCCAGTAGCGGAGGAGTGAAAAAACGAGGGAAGTTTGGTGTCCGAGACTCGAACGAAACCTCCCCCACATCCCCGGAGTTCTGCCGCTATTTTTGCACTGTTTAAAATTCCGCTTCGTTTTACTGAATGAACGCTTGAAACAGGCTAAATACACCTCGTTTCAAGAAGGTAACATAAGGGTTTACTTCAGTTGTATTCATTGCTCCTTCCTCCGACAGTTTAATCTGTAGTGGTGCAGAATTCTTCCGTAAGATCTAGAAAGTCTAAGAGGCAGGGGCCAACGTGTTCAATAACTGACAGCCTAGAGGAGATTCATCAGAGGGATTAGAGATACTGAGAACTACGCGATAATGAAGAATTACCGCTTATGAACGAATGAGGCAAAACCCGCTTTCATACCGTGGTGCTCAACAAACGCAGCACACATTCATGATGGCTACATGATCTATTTGTCTAATAATTTTCTTGCTTTAAAAGTGAATCTTTTTCATATCTAAGAAGGAGAAGCTGAAGTAGTAAAGAGTAACTGAGAAACTATATCTTATTTCTGTTAAATGTTGCAGATTTTATATTTTTATCTGCAGTCTACCGTGTACACATTTATGCTTGGATGTTAATAAAAATTTAGGTGAATGATTTAATAGTTTATTTCAATCAAAGTCATGATCGAATATTATTCCTGTTGCTTACAGGTTTCAACATGTTCTCACAAGAGAAATATTAAGAGGAAAAGACGGTTAGCATATTTTCAGGGTGATCTGGTGCCTCTAGTTAAGCGACTTCAACACCATTTCAGACGGTCAAATATCATAACCATTGACTAGAGAATTGTTCCTTTGTTCTCTAAATGCCTGTAGAAAAAATACTTAAAAAATAATTATTAATGAGCCTTGAAAAGCTCTTTTAAGCTCTCTTTTACCAAAGCATTTCGCCACACATAAATGACAGGGTTGACAAGGGCTGTTAGAAACAGCGCACTCTCTGCCAGCGGATAAACCACGTGTAATATGACGTCTTCTCTTACGTAAGCAAGTTGGTGCACTAAGGAAACACACAGAGTTGGCGCGAAACAAAGAAAAAATGATCCTGTTATGATTATAATTGTTTTGGTTGCTTTAGCCTCAGCGACCCCTAAAGATCTCGGTCTGTTGGGGTAGCTTCTGTTTTGGCTGGCTTGACTGTGCGAATGGTCTTTGATTCGAGAAGCCTTGTAGAGTTTAAAATAGACAAATATTGTTTGGAACAGTGTGAATGCAATTAAAATGGAAGATGCAATTGAATAAACTTTCAAGTTCATTCCAGAAGCTGAAAAACGTAGACTGAAGCTGAACGCAGACCAAAACAACCAACCGCTGAAAATTACAAGCATTACGCGGAACTGCGTGACGGCGGCGTGATAAATGAACGGCCGAAACACGGCAAAGTATCTCTCTAAAGTTATGAGCCCAAGAGTAATGAACGATAAACCAACACACCAAAACTCGAACACGGTCTTTATAAAGTAAGGAACACACAGGTAAGTACTGTTTATAAACTTTCCGATCTGATACGCAATGAAGGCAGGCTGAATAAACATGGCAATTAGAAGATCCGTAACTGCCAGACAAAGAACAGAAGTATTAAAAGTTGTTCGTAAACTGCGTTTTTTTAAAATCACCATGAAGACCAGAAGATTCTCTCCAATCGCCACAGGACATGAAATTCCGTTTACAATACATGTTAGTATGGTTACAGTATGAGCCGTAGCACTTGGAATGTAAGGAGTGCTTGTAACCTTTATCAGTAGACTTGGACACAGAGGGAAACTTGTCGCGTTGAGAGCTGTGTTGTTCATCGAATCAAGAAAATTTGTGTCGACTCTTATATTGCTTACTGGTTGTCCTGAGAGATCAAGAGAACCCCAAATTCAAACTCAATTCTCCCTTTAAGAGGACGCTTAAGTGTTGTGTTGAATGTACCTTGAAATCTGAAAATATCCATTAAAAAGCTTCATTGAAGTCATAAAAAGTTTAGACCGAGATTAGAACTGAGAGAGCAGTCACGTTTAACCAACTTATTTTTAACCATCGCAGTCAGTACTCGCCCACTTACAGCTGGCATGAGCGCTCAAACGCATAAATTAAGTTCATGCATGACTTGACAGAGTCAAAGTTTACTCAAGAATTGACTTCACAATTTCCTTTCTGTCGACAGTCTATTAGGGTAAGTCGATATCCTTTTATGTTCAACATGTAAAAGAATTGTAATCTTTATTATTTGATAACTTAAGTAAATCGCGTAATCTGACAGTTTCAATTTACAAAATTTGCATTTCCAACACATTTGTGAGGACCTACGCATCACGGAGGCTTAATATCAGAGGAAGTTATACGAACAAACTATAAAGGATGTTGTTAGCTCTGCGAGTATCTTGCGTTTGACCTTTCAATTGATGTTCCTTTTAAAGATTGAATGTTATCTTAAAAGTTTAATGTCATCATCGTATCAGTGTAGAAGATAAAGCCTTAAGAGCGAAAGGGAAAAATAGACATGGGCATGATAGATGAAGACATCAAGCATTCCCTTTTCGGCGAATTCGTCGCATGAATTAAAAAAATCAAGGAAAAAATTGATTTTAGCACGGAACTCTAGGAGTGAGGCACACGAATAATACGTCTCCGGCGCCTCACTCCCGGACTTCCAATTTTTAACTCGTAAATTGCGCGCATGCGCAAGAGCGTTATTAAGACAGTATTGGTGTGGAGAATGGCACTCGCTCGCTCGCTCGATTGGTCGATTCCTATAAACTCTTTTTCGATTTAAGGCTTTTGAGTGCATTTGATAGTTTTTGGCGAGCAACAAACAAACGAAATGGCGACCTTTGTTGCTAAGAATAGTAGTGGGGTGAAAAAGAAGCCAGTGATAATCTTAAAAGATGTTTTTTTTCGTTTTAGTTTCAACAAGCGGCGCCAGCGACTGGCAGGCATGCAAGGATTCACACTGAAATAACAGAACAATCTTCGTTTTTCATAAAATTGTAATTTACAAACCTTGAACTTGAAAACAATACGAAGATTCATTGAAAATATCACTTACTGCGAAGCGCTCGGAGTTTACAGATGTTCAAAAGCTTCTTCTGTTATGGCGTGAGATTGAGGACAAAATCGATCGTTACGTTTCGTATCGTGTGTTTTTCCTGTGTCAAAAGATGCCGGCGACTGACGAAATTACAAGTAACACCTAAACAAACAATTTTAGCTACCGATTTTCGGTGAATTTTTTTAAGAACAATTTTCTTTTAAGTTTCAAGACGATTTGAAGATTCAAAATAAAAATTACGTACTAAAATGCGAAAGTTATACACTATAAAATTGATAAATGGGCCTGAAATCAAATTTTATCTTGTTATTGATTATACGTTGCCTAGCACGTGACTAAAATCTACCCAGGCGGAGATCCAAAATGACGGTGGCAGTCTTGGCTTAGTTATATCACTCAAAACTCGTTCCCGTTTGTCTCATTTGATAAAGAGGGAATCGTTAATGTTTTCATTAAGACAGTATTGCCTTGGTTTTTTAATATTTACAATGATAGACAGTAAATTTCACTTTTCACCCACATTTACTTCCAACCTTTTCTCTTGAACCAGAAACAAAAATGATATACGTTTAAAACACATGACATCATCCACCCTTGTCAAATGTAATAGCATGATCATTTTAATTGTAATGCCTTCTTATCCCAACGTTACTTTGTTTCTTTGCTGCGAACACTGAACGACTGCTCATACTCTAGATATGACAATCAACCCCAAAATTCCCTAAACCAGATAACATTAAACATAATCCAAAAAATCATGTGTAAATTCACGAGTTTGCTCACAGAGCACTTTGATTTTTTTTTTAATTGATGCTTGTTTACTCTAGCGACGGACTTCGCTGAACAGCAGGGACTGCGTAGTCTACCGTAGATGCCACCTTTGCTGTAGCAAATCGTTTTTGCATTGGATGTATTTTTTCAGTCGGCTTCAAAGGAAGAGGAATCCTTGAAATTGCCCATTAGGATCTCTAGAATAATATCTAGTGCATGAAAATTGCGGTGTCTGTGGCTTTCTAGCCGAATTGCATTGTTACCTTTCACAAAGTTGCGCAATTTTTTCCAATATCACGCTAGTGTACGCATGACTCTCCAGTCACCGCTCAGTTACTAAACAACATAATATTGAGAGATCTAAAGTTACAATGTATTTGCGACGTAAATGTGGCATAGATTGATATAGATATATCAGAACGCCAAAGGCTAATATGAAGCTGTCATAACTTTTCATAACGGATCAAGATCGATAAAACCGCGGAACAATGAGATGAATTTATTTCAGAACCTGATGAGGCATCTACTTAAACAGGACTAACTGACAAGGTAATGAGGGGGACATTTGGGTTTTGCGGTTTTGGCTACTTTTTAGATAAATTTTTCGGTTTTTGTGCCAAAAAACTTCGGTTTTGGTGTTCATATCGCGATTTGCGGATTTTCCGTTTTCTATGATTTGGTTTTCAGTTTTCGTAAAAAACACGAATGGGTTTTTGTATTCGGTATCCGATGTGGTTTTCGATTCTTCCCGTTTGGAACTTCAACAACTTTAATACCAAGACTGTCTCTTTAATGACTCGTGGAGTAACAGGGACTTTAAAAGCTTTGAACCGGAAATACGAGAGGTGTGAGAGTATAATGAATGTGTTGTCCAGGGCGCATCAATGATGAATGTTGGCCAAACAAAACAGGAAATGCAAAAACCATAGGAAGTACAAGAGTCACGAAAAGGTCAATATTATTAACGTAATTGATGAACTGACAACATAGGAAGTTCGAAACTACAGGAAATTTGACAAGATTGCATCTCCGTTACAAACAACGATCTTACTTATTTTCAAAGCTATCTCAATTTGCATGAGTTTCGTTTAACATGCTTGTCACTAATGTGACCTTGATAACATTAATGAATCTGGCTATGGGGCTCACAAATCTTTAAAATACGCGAAGGACCATAAAATGATTTGTCCTAATTCAAGTAACTGTACCTCGCAAACTCCTAGTGCTGCTAGCAGGGGTTTCACTTTCTGGTCGTATGCTGATATCTAGATCTCCCAGAGCACTTTTGTAGAAATTTAATTTTTTCATAATTTCTGTCCCTCTTCAAACTGGAAACGAGCAGCAAATGCCTCAGTAAACCGCGTTCAAACAGCCGAGCTGTGACTATTTTGGTCTATGACGAAAGCTCTATACTAAGTTCATCTCAGGTCTTAGGTAATAAAAGAAAGCAGAATCTGCACATATTTTTTGTCGGAACGGATCATCTCGGTAAGATTCTTGTTGTTTTTTTGTTTGTTGTTTTTCCCTGTTTGGATACCGATTCTCAACCGATTCCTCTGTAGGCGGAGCTTGGGCGGGAAAAGAGGAATGGATGACGGAAGACGACCGGATCTGTTTTTTGTTGATGAGATCAAGATAATAGCAGAAATCCTCGGACAGACGAAAGTTTTATCATTGAATATCTTGATATTCCTGTCAGTTATGCTAAAGAAGCTCCTCTGCGGTCTGCGAATCATTAAAAAATCAAAGTTGAATTCACCAACTGTCATTCAGTTTTAATCCTTGCTAACCTTCGATATCGTTGGCCATCCTCGTTTCCTCTCAGGTTTATTTTTCCGGGTTGGTGTTTCCCAAAAACTGTTCCTTGGTTCAATTCACTCAAGCTGTTGACGCCCAAGCTCCATCAATCTACGTTCAGTGTTTGCGTGCGGTCGTTGAACACAGAGCAAACAAGTTACAGTGATATTATTGTTAGAAGAAGTTTAAAAACGGCCACCGCGTGTCTTTGCCAGAGAGGCACGATCAAAACATGGTGGAAATCGTGTCATGAGATTGGGCCTCTCTCCAAATTGGCGGCGGGAAATAAATACTTATTGAATAACATATGAAATTACCACTTTTCCTAGTGAAGATTTCTTATTTCGGTAACCACGTTTGAGAAGGGTATATTGTTGTAGTCAATTGCTTTATACTCTGAAGAAACGCCGCTTCCTTTGAAAAATATTTAAGAAACTTTGAAAAAATAATGCGCGCCTAGGGGGGATAATTATAAATACTATACAGTAAGAAATACGATTAACTAAAGATAATTTCATTTCGATTTCCGCTCGTTTACATTTCCTCTTTATGTAAGGCGGCAATATTTAGCTCATTATATTATTGTCAATCGGCTTTTGAAGGCAGGGCGCTCTAAATATGTAGCCATGCATACAAATTAACTCGTTATCAGGTCAACAAATCAACCACGGCCAATATACAGGGATGATTAAGTACTGATTGAAATACTGGGCCTCTAATCGCTAAGGCGATGACATCGATTGTTGCAAAAACCAATCACATAGCTCGAATTATCTATCTATTTACATACGCTGGTAAATTCGGAAAAAGTGGTTAGTTCCTTCGATTTTGAGGCCGAAACTTTACTGGTGAACAGACGTTGTTTTGACGCTTAAAGGTTAAATCTTATTCCGTCTGGAAGCTGGAGGAACAGCTGAGGACATGAGAGAAGCTCATGATATGCAAACGGAGCAATTCGTCTGACAGGCTCCCATTCCGGAGCAAGCGTCTTTTTCTTTTCCTTCTGACATCTTCAGCATTTTTAACATATATCCTCTACGGGAACGTGCACAGGATTAGCCATACAGTAAAGTTCACTCCCTTCAATGGCTTAAAAAATGAGAACAACCACTCGATCTTAACGCGTGTGAGGTCAGGGGCAACGAAACGACCACTTCGACAATCGAATCATTTCGAACACGTGGCATTTGGAGTGTCGTCGGATTTCAAAACAAAATTAAATCCGACTAGAACTTCAGACGAATTGAGAAAATTATCATCAAAGCTGTTCCAAGAACGCATTAAACATCGATCTCCGGAAGACTCTGCATCCCGCAGTCGGCTTAACTCTCGCATCAAGTACACAAGCAACGTTAGCGGTGTTGACAAGAGCTTGAATTATTCCTCTAGTCAAGGCGATCGGAAACGTTTGTTGAATTTTAGGAGTCAAAGTGGACGAATTGAAGATAGTGAAGATAGCGACGTTTCTGAGTTTGAGCTTGAAGATGACGAATTTAAGAAACGACTCCCGAACGCCATAATTATAGGTGTAAAGAAAGGTGGAACACGCGCGCTGCTTGAAATCTTAAAGATTCATCCGAGTATCAGAGCATGTAGCAGTGAAGTGCACTTCTTCGATCGCGATGAAAATTACGAACAAGGACTCAGCTGGTATCGAGAACAAATGCCTAAGTCATTGCCGGAGCAGATCACGATTGAGAAATCCCCAAGTTACTTTATAACTTCGAAGGTACCTGAGAGAGTGTATCGAATGTCTGAAACTCTTAAACTCATCGTGATTGTACGCGACCCCACAACACGAGCCATATCGGATTATACCCAAGGGTTAGAGCGAAAACCCGATAACCCACGTTTTGAAGAAATGGTTTTTAACGAGGAAGGCGAAGTGGACGAAAGCTGGAGCAAAATCTCCATTGGCCGCTATGCAGAGCACTTAGCGAAGTGGATGGAATATTTCCCTTTGAGGCAATTCCATTTTGTTAGCGGAGAGGAACTTGTCAAAAGACCCGCTAGAGAATTGAAACTCGTTGAACGATTTCTAAATATAAAACCTTTCATCAGGGAGGATAATTTCTATTTTAACGAAAGTAAAGGATTTCCGTGTTTTGTCGGTAAAATCTCAAACGCTGGGACCGTGAACAAAGCACACTGCATGGGCGAATCGAAAGGCAGAAAACATCCCGCTGTTCACGAGGACGTTTTACTAAAGTTACGGGAATATTTTGACCCATTAAATAAAAAATTGTATTCGATGGTGCGTCGAAATTTTCACTGGTGAACGACGGCAAGAGAAAAATTTGAAATCTGCGTAGGCCTCTGAGTTGTCGATGTATTTGACGTTGAATAATGTTTGCTTTGCGATCGATCTTATCATTCCATCTACACCATACACAAACATTCGAGATGGATTACTCACTAGAATCCACACATTAAATTAAGAGACTCAACAAATTAAGCGTCACACGGAGGTACGACAGGAACAGAAACAAAACAATTTTCCTTCAATACCTTTTACGCGCGTAATCGAACTTGGCAACTGGCGTAATTATTTATTCATCTAATTAATATTTATTCTCCCGTGTGGTCTAAGATACAGTGTGATTGGGAGCCACAGTCGCCAAAATATTTTTAAAATATTACTTCAAATAAGTGGCCGTTTGTCTGTGGAGGTTGAGAAGCTTTCGTTGGCATAACCTCCACGGAGATGAAAGAGTAAGATAGGAATATTCTTTTCCATATTTTATACTTTATCTTTATTAGGAAATTATGTAAAATTGTGTAACATTACACTGTCCTCCTAAGCATATTATGTCTGTTGTTTGGTATAGTTCAAAACTTTTTTATTTCAAAACATTTTTAGTCCAATTGAATTTTTCTAGGGATAAAGCAGCTACAATATATATCTCTCCGCCCTGAGATATACCAACAGATTGATCAATTCTAGGCTCAATTATTTAACATCAAATGAACAAAGGGATTAATATTACAAATAGTTAGTTGATTGATAATTTAATGGCCAATTTGTTGCACATACCTAATCAATGTAAGAGTGTGAAGTTCAGTGCAATCAATGATCCTCTATCAAATAGTTTTACCCTTTGAATTTGTTACGTCTATTTACATAACACCATCAACAATGTGCTATGCAATTTAGTACTGTAATTTCAATAATTGTGCCATAAATTGTGGTATTGAACAAATATTGTATATACACAAGTATATTTGACAAAATTTAAACATAGAATGTATTATTTTTTTTTCAAGAGAATGAAAATGTACTTATTCATTTGCATTGTGTCTGCTTCATGGTTATTCTCTCGTCAGTGCCATTCTTATAGGAATATTACTGTATAACTTAACAGATTGCAAGTTCAAGTCTCAGAGCTGCAAACCACAGAATCTGAATTTAAATCTAAACTTATTGAAATAGTAAGCACTTTACCAAATAATTTTCTTAATTGTTGTCATTTCAATAATTTTGGTTCTTATAGTATTCTGTGTTGCACGGAATTTATATATATCCTTTTTGACCCTGTAAAAGGAAAGTATATTTATAAAATTGATTAATGAATGGAGCTGAAACTAAAGGTTGTCATTGTTTATTTCACTATTTTACACTTTCCTGCTATAAGGTGTCCTCTTTCTTTTCATGCTTAAAAATAAAATAAAGTATAGTAACAATTGCTGTTATGGCTGAAGCAAAATTAATTGTTTTGAACAGGTTATACTTGATCATCCTTGCCTGTTATTATCAATACTTGTTAACCACATGTAACACTTTAACTCCCAGATCAAATTTGTAATTCTCCTTTCTGTCAACCATACAGTTCTTATTATGTTAGTTCAGAGAATTTAGTATTGAATCAAATTATCCCCAAATTGATATTTTTCTTAATTCTCATCACTTATCTGGTTGATGTTGTATTGATACTGTAAGGAGAAATTCTGTCTTGGTCACTCATGGGAGTTAAAGGGTTAACAAAGCTATCATGGCTGAATTTAGAGGAAACGCGGAATTCTTTACTGAATAAAGATCTACTACTGTTCGTTGTTAAGAGTTAGTCCTGAACATTAGATTGGTGTTAAGAATATAAAAAAATATCAATTAGGGGATTAGTAGTTGATCCAATACCAAATTCTCTAAACTAACAACAAGAAATGTATGACAGACAGTAAGGAGAATTCCTCAATGAGATCTTGGGAGTGAAAGGGATGTAGGTGCTAAACAGAATTGGCAGCAGGTAATTCTTGATTACCTACTTAGGATTTACAGCTTTGTCCTTCATGTTTAACTTGTTTTACTCTACTCTTCCATTCAAAGGGGTTAATGAGTTAATTAAATGACAAATTTGCTCAGAAATTACAAATAGTTAGCAATATTTTGCAGCAAACAAGTTCAAAAACTGTTTCCTTACTCAGACTTCCTACAAAATCTTCTTTGCACCCCACATAAGTTGTTCAATTTATTGCAGTCACTTGATGAAAACATTCTTTTGAGGAAAATTGAATCAGTAACTAAGGCAAGATTCACACTTCATTATGTACACAGTACATAAGGAAGACAAGATTACATCTGGGACAATAGCATTGTTTTAGAATAGTCTAAGACTATGGGGAAATTTTGCCTGAATTAAAATACCTCAATGGTGAGAGAGAGTAAATCACTATAATTTGATCCTTTTACTCTGAGGACATGATTGTTAATTCTCTGCTCTAGCTGCTAGTCATTTCCTTGTAACTTAGTTAGAAGAATTTGGTGTCAGATCAAGTTAACAACTTCTACCTAATACATTTGAGTACTTTCATTACCTGTTTGCTGGATAGTGGATGGATATTTTAGGGAGAGGTTACTTGTGAATCTCTGCTGGGAGTTAAAGGGTTAAACGGTTTCTTCGGCAGTCAAGAGAGTGTAACATTTTAATTTAAAAATCTTCGCGCCCTGTGCCCGACTACTCCTTCCCAGGGCCCCACACCATACGTAATTGTGCACGTGTTCCACTGTACGCTCGCGGCCATGATTGGGAAAATGGCGGAGGAAAAAGAACTCGATGAAAAGACGGGCAGTGGCGATTCAGAAGAAGATCAAGACGACGAAGAGGTTGAAGCTAACGGAAAAGATGATTTCGATGAAGACGATCCGGAGTTTGATGATCCAGAAGGCTTTGTGGATGAAGTAACAGATGAAGGTAAATTCTAAGTTTCAACTCTTCTGGCTTCGAAAGGATTTCAATTCACAACTTTCCCGATATTCAGTTACATACCTAGATTTTGGAATTTTTGAGTCGAAGAATTATTTCCGAGGGACGAAAATTTGAGATCACCCCAAGTCTTGTGTTTTCACCACTTAGTACCCCTCGTGGTAAAAACTAATTTCTACAATAGGCCGGCATGTACTTCTCCTCAATGAAATGTAAGCTTCGGTAATAAATTCTGCCGGTACATACAACGAACGTCGTAAACTCCTTTTTCGGCCACAATCAGGGGATTCCTTCTCCCTTTTATTTGTTCTTGAACTATGAATGATTTTTCAATGTAATTATGTCCTCTTACACGAATAGATTTTCAGCAACTGTTCACTTTGGCGAAAGAGTGCATGCAATATTCAGGGCTTTAAACGTTTTTCGAACATAGCTTTAGACCAACAAATAGCGGTCGTCTTGGTTTTCTCTCCTTGACAACATAATTTGTAGGTTGAAATTCAGCAATTTTCCCCCTATTTCTATTATTGAAAATGGGTGGGTGCTGCAAAGGAAGTTTACATTACCAATCTATATCACACCGTCCAATACCGTTGTCCCAAGTAACTTTTTACAGGGATTATTTCATGTTTTACACTGGAGACTCCACATTTTGGATTTCATTGCAAAAACGAGAATGTACTTTTTTATCTACTTGTTTTTAACTGGTAAAACTGGAAGTTTTCAGCGATTTCATTATATATGAAGGATTGATTGCACCAACTGGTCTTATATTATATTTCCTTTGTTCTCTTTTTTAATTTTCATAGTAAAATTGCGAGGTAAAACAAATAAAGCGTTTAAACGGTGAATAAACTGGGAACCCATAGTAACCCTTCAACTGCGATAGATCTGAAAAAAAAAAAAAATGAAAAAGATTTGCATATTTTTTTTAGGGTTTCATTGTGCTCTGCCTTCTTTCAATAAGAAACAGATGTACTTACTTAAAAAGCAAGGAGACTGGTTGTCAGTAAATGTTCTTAAGGGCATTTTTTTGTTGTTGTCTTCTCAATGAATCAGCTTGCCGTTGAGTAGGTTTACAGATTTGAATCTAAGTTTTGTACGTCTTGATTAACCACAGATCCTGCAATGAATAGACAGGAAGTACAGTTGTGTCCGGGAATTGAATCAAGGAAATGTCCAATAAAACTAAGAAGATTTTAGAAGCGATTTAATGAAGAATAGATCCTACTTCACAACATGTAACTTAAAATTTTTCCTCAAATACAGAACTCTTGGGAGATATCTTGGCAGAGAAACCCAAAGAAGTCCAAGGGACTGATTCCATCATTGTTGTTGACAATGTGCCTGCCATCCCGCCAGATAGACTCGAAAAGTTAAAGAATGTGATCCGTAAAGTATTTTCAAAGTTTGGAAAGATCATTACTGAGCATTATCCATTGGATGATAATGGAATGACAAAAGGGTATGAGTGTTGAACCATTCTTGATCGATCATTTCAAGAATGTAGCTATTTCATCTTTTTTATTTTTTAATACTCTGCAATTTTCAGGTATATTTTCTTGGAATTCTCTAATGCTAAAGATGCAGCACAAGCTGTGAAGACAGCTAATGGTTACAAGCTAGACAAACATCACATATTTGCTGTTAATCATTTTGAGGACTTTGACAAGTAAGTCTGTCATCCAGGAGGAGTTTTAATGACAAGTTGTTTTGACACATTGTGTTCAGGTTGTACTGAGTTATCATGAGTGAAAGTAACAGGAGATGACATCAATTATTTCTAGGTTGGTTAGCCTGACAAAGGACTGGCAAGCTCCAACAAAACAACCTTATGTTCAGCAGGTGAGTGAAAATTGAATTAGAGGTACAGAGAGATGTAAGCAATTTGATGGTAAATTAACCCTTACATGACTTGCATGGTTGCATGGTGCATTCAGCTATGCTTTGTGGGGTAAAAAGAGTTTTGAGCTCGTTCTGACAGCCTACAGGTGGGTTAATTCAGACCAGGTTTCTCAAACTCCTTAGGATTGAAACTGAGTATTATATATTTACTTAATTTTGTAATTTTAAATGTGGCAAATGATGAAGTTCTCCTTATGCCAGTTCTGCTACTGAATTGAAGTGCTGAGAACTGGGAGAGAATCAAACTGATGCTTGATCATATCTGTTATTACTTCAAGTCATTCATAGACACAGATCTGCTGCAGTTTTAATCTAGGCTCTTCCAATCATTTTGTCTCACCACATCCACATCACAATTATTCCTACCTGTTTAAAAAGTTAACAGAACAAGCAAACATGAAACAGAAGCAATGGAAAAGGTTCATGGTTACCTTCATGTTTTCAGGAAAATTTGAGATCTTGGCTTTTGGATCAGGATTGTAATGATCAATATTCTTTGATTCATGGAGGAGGAGATAAAGTTGCAATCATGTGGAATACCCAACAGGAACCAATTCTATCAAAAGAGAGACTGGTAAGCCAGCACGAGTGTCAAAAAAAGTCAGTTTACAAGCCTTACATCCACTCTGCCAGAGCTTATTCCATTTCCTTAGCTCAAAGAGACCAGGAGTATTAATACATGTACCTCATGGATATGAACCCAACTCATTGCAGGTTCTCTCTCCACATTTCTTCAAGTTTCAATGAAAATTCACCACTGGCCATTTATAACCCTCAGTAAAGAGATGCACTGTGATGTGAATATTCTTGTGTCTAAGGACACAAACACATTAATGAATAAAGAATATGTTAGGGAATTGCACTTGCACTGATTGATAAAGAAAGAAACCTTGCAAGCTAAGAGTTGGTAAGGTAGACTAACATCAAAGAGAGAAGAAACAAGCATTACATAATTTACCACAATTGGCAGTGATGTTGTAATCTGATTGGCCAGTTTGGCCAACTCCCTGTTAAAATTCCAAATACATTTAGATTTGCTGTGTAGAAGTTAATTAATGTTTGTCCTCTGATTACGGTTCATTTCCAATTCTCTCGCTTATTCCTTCAGAACTGGACTGAAACATATGTACGCTGGTCACCCAAAGGCACATATTTAGCAACTCTCCATCACCAAGGTATTGCTCTCTGGGGTGGAGAAGAATTCAAAAGGCTGATGAGGTTCAGTCATCCAGGAGTCCAGCTCATAGATTTCTCGCCCTGTGAAAGGTGCATGTTGTTTGCATACCTATTAATCATGATTGTTATTATTATTTTTATTATTATTTTAGTTAAACAGTCAAATACTGTATAAACCAAGTTTATTTGTTAGTTTTGTAGCATTGCTGTTTCAGAAATTCCACTTCAGATGTACACGTATGCTAGATTGTAGCCTCAAATTGTCTATGACACTTTTGGTTGTTGGGAAATTATTTCCTGTCACAGTAATGCTGCATGAGTGGGTCCCAAGTTATCTTCAATTTTCCAACTTCCTCATGATTAGATAAGGCTACATGAGTGCAAAGGTGGAAAAAGTCCTTTATAACTTAACTTAACCATATGGATATGATTTAACATGGTTTCCTGAGGATCTTCTTAACTTTTTAAGACAGAAGTCACGTTGGTGGCCAAGAAGGTGGAGTGGAATAAATTACCTGAATTACCCTGAATTAATGTTCTTTACACATATTTCACATCTCAAAGTAGTTTGACACTGTCTCATGTATGTTAGCATTGATAGCCAGGTTCTGGCTCTGACTCAGAAGCTAGATAAAGTAGGTGAAACCTTATTGTTTATTTTTTCTTTCTTGTGCAGATATTTGGTGACCTTTAGTTCTCTAGTAGACAATCCTGAAGATCCACAGGTATTACAGCACTTTGGAGTTTTTCATTTTCACAAAATTTTCCACATCAGTCCTGTTCCATTTAAACCTTGCATGTTCTGTTCAGTTAGTGTCTGGAGAAATCATGCATGGCAACAAATCTTGCTATGTTCTCAAGGGAGACTTGTCAATTTGTAATAGTTTTTATTATTGATTTATTGTGATTAATAAATTATTTGGTTGATTTCAATAAGATCAAATCAATTATTCTTCTCTCCAGTTCTACACATTTTAGTGTATGTCATCATGATACTTAATATTTTCTCCCTCTCAGGCCATAGTAATTTGGGACATACGAACAGGAACAAAAAAGAGAGGGTTTATTTGCGGAGATCAATCTCAGTGGCCAGTGTTTAGGTAAGGTCTTTTCATTTGTAGTAGCAATGAGAACAGATTGTAAGCTGCAGTTGTAAATTTGAGAAGAGTTTATATGTATTGTTGTTATGCTTTGTTTCTATAGATGGAGTGCCCAGGGTAAATTTTTTGGTCGTTTAGGAGAGGACAGCATTAGTATATATGAGACACCGGTGAGTTGTCACACAGTATATTCTCCCAAAAATTGCTCTCTATGTGGAAACATTTTCCTCTCACTTCTGATGGGAAGTTTTCATTTTGAAATAATTATCGTGGCGAGAGAAAAGTGTTAAGTAACAGGTGAATACTGTCCATGTCTGACTTCACCCTCTACATCATTACAATAGTAGTCATATTCTCCTCACTGTTCTCTCTACATTTTGTATTGTATTGACAAGGAGAATTTGTGTGACAATCAGGAGGTTCTTGATTTGGTGATCATTTTCTTTTTTCCTCATGACCTTTACATTTGATTTGACGAGAAGTAAGATGCTAGTCACTCTAAGGGGTTACAGATTTGCTGGATAACTTTTTGCAGTATCAGAAGAAATCACACCTTGACCATGTGTTATGAACACTTTGACAGTTTATCATTTTCATATAACTTCCATACAAGAATAGCAATGAAATAAGATGATGGATGTGTATGTCATTGTTTGTTTTTATTTTACTTTTTTGCAGTCTTTTGGTCTTCTAGAGAAGAAAAGCTTAAAGATTCTAGGTGTCAGGTAAATATTTAACAGTAAATGACCTCACATGTATGTCATTCTTAAAGACAAGACTCTAAGGCATAGGTTTAAACACTTTTTGCTTTTGTGCTTCACAGGGAGTTTGCATGGTCTCCAACAGATGAAGTGATAGCATTTTGGGTTCCTGAAAATAAAGACACACCAGCTCGTGTTACCCTCATGGAGATACCTAGCAGAAAAGAAATCCGAGTTAAAAATCTTTTCAATGTGTCTGAGGTAATGATAATGCAATTGACTTTACTTGGTCAAATGGTGAACAATGCTCATTGAGCAAATTTGCTATTAAGTGTCTACATGTATTTGGGATTGCAGTGGTTTTTTGTCAATGTGTAATGTCATTGGTGTGACACTTAACCCTTTACACCCTAACATCAGTATGCATATTCTCCATACTGTTCTCTTTACATTTCCTAATGTGATGAAAAGGAGAATTTGTTTAACAATCAAGAGGTTCTTCAGTTGATTATCATTTCGTTTATTCTCATGACCTAAATGTTTGATTCAGGGGTGATAATGAAAGGAGAAATTAGATACTGGTCACTCTCAGGGATTAAGGGATTAAGGCAACTGTGAGATTAAAAATATTCTCTAGCTTTTCTTAATTGATTTAAAAGATATGCGTTATATTTGGCCACTCTGATGCCTTAGGTAACCAAGTGTGACAATTATAATATTCCAATAAAACAACACAAATGATGAAGTTCTCCTTATGCCAGTTCTGCTACTGAATGGAAGTGCTGAGAACTGGGAGAGAATCAAACTGATGGTCAAAACATGAAGTGGTTTGACGTAAACAGATATTAATGTAGTGAAAATTTGTATGAACAGTATTTTTAATTTATTTTGATTTCAGTGCAAAATGTACTGGCAAGAGAAAGGAGACTATCTTGGTGTGAAGGTAGATAGGTACACCAAAAGTAAAAAGGTCAGTACATGTACATGTAACTTTATTTTGATTAAATGTACCTCCAGGCCAAGCAACCTTGGTGTTGAATATTCACTGACATGTGCAGTATATTCTGTGGTTGTTTTTTGATATGGGGGTTGCTTTCCTTTGACCCATAGTGAGTGTGTGGTTTTAAACCATTTAACTCCAAGAACTGATCAGTAATTCTCCCCTCTAGCTGTTTAACACTTCCTGTTAAATTTGTTTTGAGAAACTGGTGTTAGATCAAGATTAAAAATTGTACCAGATAAGTTTAAATATGCTTATTACCTGTTTGCTGGATATTGTATGGATATTATAGTGAGAAGTTGCACACTAATCACATCTGGGAGTTGAATGGTCGGGATACTTTCTCACATTAGCTGCTATATCTTTTTACAGGGGCTGTATTACAACCTTGAGCTTTTCCGTGTGCGAGAGCGGCAGATTCCAGTTGATGTTGTGGAAATGAAAGGTAGGTTAAAACTTAAAGCTAATCTTTTATGTCTGCACCAGCTTAGAAAATTCTGGCTCACTTTGACCTCTATACCTTAACATCAATGTGTGTATTCTCCCTACTGTTCACTATAAATTTCTGAAAGGGGTTGAAAAGAGAATTTGTATTTAAATTTGTGGAAGCAGTCAAGAACTTCTTTAATTGGTGATCATTTCCTTTATTCTCTTTACCTTAATGTGTGATTCAGGCTTGACATTGTAAGGAGAAATTAGATGCAAGTCATTCTTAAGGTCATAGTCAAAAGACTGAAAAAGCACGTCTTGCTAATTACATGCACTTGACTGGTTGTCTTGAATTTGTTCTGTTTACAGAGGCTGTTACTGCTTTTTCGTGGGAACCAGGCGGCAGTAAATTTGCCATAATCCATGGTGAGAGTCCCAGAATATCAGCCAGCTTTTACAACATGGAGAAACAAGGCAGTGTTTCGCTTCTAAGTAAGTACACACTTGGTATTTCATTGTGAAAATCAGCAACTACTGTACTGTTGATTTTGGTTGGGAACTATGATTGATATCATCAAAAAGAATTGAAGTATCATCATTAACAGAATTTGATATGATCCACTATTTATACCAATATGTCATCTTAAAAAGATCAATAATGTGAAAGTTGTAAGACCACATTATATAGTCTTTCTCGCATGTAATTATGATGACTTAGATGATTTCGTTGCATGACAATCTATGTTTCCTGAAAATGTAAAGATTATTGATCATGTTGTGTGATTGTCCAGGTGAGAGTAGTTCTGAGAATGGCAGCCATTCTTTGTTGTTTTGATAGTTGTGACTGATTAGCACAGGTCACTATCAGAGTCAAGTGAGGAGTTTTTATCGGTTGAGTGTTTATAACGTGACTCCTCTGGTACAATAGCTTCAAATGAAAGTTATGACATAGAACAAAGCAAATGATGAAATTCTCCTTATGCCAGTTCTGCTACTGAACTGAAGTGCTGAGAACTGGGAGAGAATCCAGCTGATGCTCAGTGCTGTGTCTAATTTCAAAAAGGATAATGATTCCCTCTGAGGTACATGCATTTATTGCTTGTGTTGAAATTATTTGATTTTTTTCTTTTTTTTTTGTATACAGAAACATTTGATAAGAAGCAAGTAAACAGTATATTTTGGTCACCAAATGGACAATTTTGTATTCTTGCTGGTCTTAGAAAGTAAGTACTATATGGCTTATACCTGGAAGAACCCTTTGAAGGGCTGGAAGGGGTGGTTGACTCTTTTGGGGGTGGGTGGGGGTGATTGACACCTTTGGGGGTGGGTGGAAGTTATTAAAGCCTTTGGGGGTGGGGTGAGTGAGGATGATTGACAAGCTTCTTTTATCCTTGCCACTTTCAGAATGAAATGACTTTTGTCCAATCTATTTTGTATCTGGAACACAGATAGGCAAATAGAATTTTTATGTTTTCTGAAAGTATGCTGTATTATACTCGAGTTTATTATCAAGTTGTTGTGTTCAAAATCTTACAAATTTCAGACTAAAAGTGGGGTCAAAACCTTACTGTCTGGAGCCCATGAATCTACATAAGACTAAATAGAGGAATACCCTGGTGGGTGTAAGGTTACAAAAGGGTTAGATGCCAGTACTTTTGATGGAAGGGTGTCTTGAACTTTCATGGGCAGATAACTCATAGGGCATTCTAAGGACATATCTCCCCCCCAAAATGGTGAAAATTAAAATGACATAGCCAAACACCAACCCTTCTCAAGGATATTTCATGCAGAGGAACTGATTACTGAGTAAACTTACATACACTGACCTCAAGGAGCAAAATGCATCATGTGACACCCTCTGTACACATTACTCTGTTAGTGGACCTCAGTTCTGAAATTGCATTGTCAAACTTGTGTAATTCTTGTTATCCTCAGCATGAACGGTGTTTTAGAATTTTATGACACTTCTGATGTAGTCTGCATGAACCAGGCAGAGCACTTTATGGCCACTGATGTTGAATGGGATCCTACTGGCAGATATGTGGCCACATCAGTCAGCTGGTGGGCTCATAAGGTAAGCACAACATTCCATTTTGAGTGTGCATCAGAGCAAAGCTTCTTCAATGGAGAACACAAAGTTTCTCAAGACCCTAAGACCTGAAATCCTAGTTTAACTTCACTAAGAAAACCTGTGCGTTGTGTAATCAGGATGAGACTCAACAGTAAAACAGCAAGACAACCTCCTAAGTAAATAACACCACTTACACTGATTAGTTGTGTTGGTGGTTTTGTTTTCAATAGGAGGAATATAAATGTAAGCGTGGTCTTCAGTGCCAGCTTTGCGAAGTAGGCTGACACTTATGTTAAGGTTTCCAACACAATTGAACAGTCAGAGTGACTGTCATCATTTTTTTCATTTGATACTGTTAGATTTTTTAGTGAATATGTGATGCAAGAGAGTTTGTAAATTAATTTTCTGATTTTTTTAGTTGTCTAAGAAAAATTATAATGTTGTTCAGTACAAAGGTTTTTACAAAGTTTTCGCCTCCATAAGATCCTTAGTTTTAGGAAGATGATAGAGCGGTTTTTAGATGACTTTCGAAGAACGAAAACCAAAGTAATTACAATAGCCAATGAGAGCGAGGGTAGACATCATTGTCAGCCAGTGAGAACGCAAAGTAAAAGCTGGCAAAGTGCATGAAACGCAGGTGATCAAATAACGGTTGGTTTAAATCTGATCTGTTGAGAAAGTGCTGCAAGATTTTTGGGCCAATCACAGAGCAAAGTTACGCAAAACCAAAGCAGTCATGGAGTATTTTCGACACTAGGCTGCGCCATTCTTCTGTCACTGACACAAGTCTACCATAATCATCGAAAAGGTGTCGAATTTATGAAGCTCTGATTAATTAGTGCTTCGAATGTTCTGCCATTGTGCTGCAACAGACTTGAAGCAGCTGGGCCATTTTGTTGTAATTTGGGTGATATACATTTTTCACTTGAGATTTAAAATTTGAAAAAGAGCTCTTCTGCACTGTGTCGTTGCAAGGTGTTAGAGACGAGTGGTACGTAAACGATGTCCTTCCGCATTTGTTATCGTTGTATGTAATGTTTTGCCATTTGTATCTTCCCTGTAGGTAGATAATGGTTACTATATCTGGTCATTCCAAGGCAAGCTTCTTCAACGTCACGCTTTAGATCAGTTTTGTCAACTTCAGTGGAGGCCCAGACCTCCTAGTCTGCTCTCAGAGGACGATATGAAGGTAGAAGGGCCTGGGGGCCAATCTTTATACCTTGTGTTTGTAACGAAAACTTTGTTGCCTTCATGTAAAAGTAAACTTTTAGGGTCCATTTTCTGAATAAGCTAGAACAAAGACATAGACTCTGTTCCTTGTTGAAAGTCTTCTCGTGTCCCCTTGAGCCGCAATCCTTTTGGTTAGCGCCATGGATCAAGGGCTCAGGCGGAGTTCTTATTTTCCTGGCTTTTGATTGGCCGATAGTTTCAAAACTGATGTCCCTAGGTTTTTCCTTAGTAATTACCAATAGGTTGATTTTTTTTTGGTGACACACGAATTATTTTCTCTTGCAGAATATCAAGAAAGACATCAAGAAGTTCCAGCGCATGTTTGAGATCAAGGATCGAATGAGCCAGTCACGAGCTTCTAAGGTGAGGAACAGCTTCTGTGAACGGTGACGGATTGCTGTTATTCATACATCATTCAGTTTGTTTTTTTTTTTCCTTCTGAAATGTAGCCTATTTCAGGCCCTCAATTGTGTTTCAGGGTTCTGCTTCTTTAGCGACTGTGTGTTGTGTTTGCCTTTTGCTATCCTTTTGTCATCCTTTTTCCTAAGGCTCTTGAGTTTCTTTCGCTTTTGGAACAGTGTTGAAGGAAAGGAAACTGATATTTATTAGCTCACAAAAAGTATAGCCAATTATTAATTAAACAAATACATAAGGTGCAGGTACTCTCGCGCCGCTAATAGCAGAAAAGGCTAATCGAGGCGGTGAAGAGATGATATTCATTTGCAGAAAGGAAAGTTAAAAAGAGAAAAGATTACCGAAACTAGATGCTCAGCGAACAATCATTTACAGTTAATATAAAAGAAAATGGATTAAAAACAAACTAAAATTTTATTGCTTATTTGCTCAATCTTCTTACCGAGTTTGGATTTGTCAAGAAATTTAATACAGTACAAAAAAAGCGTTCCATTTCGATACACAAATAATTTTTGCAAACTATTTCTGCATTCGTGTTCAATAACTGCGAATCACTTTTACTCAAGTTACCATAGTCAAAAATTTCTAAAGACAGAAACCTCCTTCTTGGCATCGCTGCATGACATCTCAATGTCGGTTGCAAACGGTGTATGTGTGGAGGAAGAGTAGAACGCGAGGTTCGTCTTCGGGGCTAATGCTGCGGGATGCCGCGTGATGCTTAAGCCCATCCTTAATTCCCCGTGACAGCTTTTAAGATTTTTCGCTAAATGCATCCTAAGCTTCCCACCCCTCTCCCAGCTACGCCCTTCAACCCTTAGATAAATTTCTTGTGCCTCAATTAAACTCATCGCGTCATCTTTGCTTGTTTTCTTCCAGGAGTTAATTGAAAGGCGGCGGCGAAAGATGAAAGACTTTCAGGGCTACAGGCAAAAGAAAAACAACGAGTTTGCACAGCAGAAGGTGCAGCGCTTGGAGTTGCGCAACGGTAAGGAACAGATGAGGACCTTAAGATTGACAAACCCTGCTGAATTCATACAGCTTTTCCTGGGTACAACCTTTCCCGCTTGAGTGTTCCTGGGAAAGACGCTTTGTTCTCACAGTGCTTCTTTTCACTCGAGAAGCTCGACGTATTCCTTGCCCGAGTTTGACTTCGATGGCTTATTATCCCACAATTATTAGAATTGACAAGATTGAAAAAAATAGCTTATGACGGGCTTAAAATAATGTGGGCTAAACTGTTCGTGATTCTCGAACCGCAGTGTTGCTGCTCTAAGTTGCATCAGACCGTTGACGCCGATTTTTTTTTGTCTCCATTGTAGGTATTGATACAGACGAGATTGATAGTAACGCAGAAGAGTTTGAAGATGAGTCAGTGGAATTCTTTATTAAAGAGGAGATTACCGAAGTGGAAGAGTAACCCCTCAGCCGAGTTTATCCGTCGATTTCCCACGAGTGAGAATAGCGAGCGATTTTTTTCTTATTGTCACAAGTGATAAAGATAACCTAAGAGTTCGAATTGATCTGGAATATTTCAGGCTCAGTTGCGGCCGATAAAGCTGGTGCCTTGTTTAAATAAGATAAACAGGCAATTTTCATTATATTATATTCGAATTATTTTCAATATTACCTTCGTAGCGTGTAGAGTGCTTTACCCTTATTATTGTCTCAAACTGCTCATTTATTGGCCAATTGCACTTTGATTTACCGGTAAATTGTAAGTTTTATCTGTAGCTGTAGAAATGTCCACTAAGTGTTGTACTTTCTTGCCGAAAAGAGAGTTTCTTTTGCAGATTTTACATTGTGTCGTGGAACTTACAATTTTCAACGTGAATCGTAATTTCACCTTTGCTTGTAGGGAATTAAAATGGTATATTATGCGTTCAATTTTGTCTTGATTTTTGTGTCGCTTCTGATGGCCGTCAACTCTGAAGATGTTAGAGGCAGCTCTCATACCCACTATCCACACGACGAAATATGAGAAGATAGAAAAAAAGGAAAAAACTAAAAAAAAAACTTTGTTAGTAGCTCAGAGTGTTTAAAGTGTGGATAACGGCATCGAGCATTTCTTGTTGAGTGTTGAAATTAATTTGCGATATCGATAGTTTAGCGTAACCTTGATTGGTGACGAAAACTCGCCCCCATTCACGCAAGCAATCAAAGGGAAAAACCAGAGTAACGGCTTCATGGACACAATCATTTTCCCGCGCTTGACGAAGTTCACGGGTTTACTTAGAATTCTCACTGGCTCCTTGTGGCCTTTTTCTGATTGGCTGTGGTTATGTTCTTGTGACAGTTGATGCACATGCGCTCTATAAATTGGATACCCAATCAACTATCGCTATCAGTCGGTTAAAAACAGTATGCCACCCACCGAAACGTTTCCAGATGATAGTAAGCTACCTAAAAGAGAGCGGTTCCCACTCTGCGAATTACAGTCTCTGAATGGCATACTTGAAGATGGAAAGGTAAAAGGAAACTCAGTTTCAGATTAAATCATTGCGATTAGGAGTTGTTTTATGTCTCACTCTCTATTATTGCACTAACACAAGAGACTGAAACGCACCTTTGAAGTTCACCATCTTCCATAACTCACTGATACAATTGACAGAACTTTACCTCCTCACAAAAACGGTTGTGGACAGAGTGATCAGTTTGTGCAACGGACGTTTTTCTATTTGTGACGTAACAGAGGAGTACAAACGCATGCACGCGCGCGCATGGTTTTACTTGCACGAGCGCTTTCTCGCTCGTAGGCTACGATAGTGGCCATATAGTTAATAATAATAATAATAATAATAATAATAATAATAATAATAATAATAATAATAATAATGACTTTATTGGATAACACAATTATCGGTAGAACCAGTAGTTCTCATTGTGGTCCACTAAAACTTCAAATTCAAATAGCAAAAATACGAAGTAAAAATACAGTTAAAATTACAAATTAAAAATTAGAATTAAAAATTAAAAATTAATTAAAAATTTCTGCTTATAGTAAAATTATCAACTCTGGAGTTCCGATCTATATATTTCTTATAAAGTTGATTTTTAAATTTACAAAGGGAAGTGAGATCCCTAGTGTCACTGTCTAGGTTGTTCCATAATCTAGTGCCACTTGCAAGGAATGAACGTTTAAAGGGAATATTGTTGTCGAATGAGGAACATCCCTAAACATCCTGTGATAACTTCATTAATTTTTATCACCTACCTGTTTGAATATGCGCATACACATGCACAGTTTATTTCTATCTTCGTTACATCAACTGCACCACTCCACGTATCTCTACAGCTGCCTGTACTTACGTTTTCTTCTCGTCTTCTTTTTTTTCAAATAAAATTCGCCGAAAAGGAAAACGTAACCATCAGAAAAAAAAAAACGTACGCTCGGACGAAGGGCAAACGCTCGAAACATCACGGCTTTAGAAACTCTTTACGGTGACAATTTACATTATTAACTCAGAAACTCAATTGAATAAACTGAATTATCTCGTTTTTATCCCCATCGACGTAGCACCATAGTTCTTTAAAACTGACAACCCCTTTGTTCATTTACCGAAAATACCGCCGAACTGACAAACAAATGTAAATTTCATCCAATATTCAGTTTTTTCTGACATAACTCTACAGAGAAAAGATTGAATACTTACCGGCGGGAATCGTATGAATCGATGGGCCATCTCCATCTAATTTCCCTTTGTTTTCAATTTTATTAGACTCATGTGGTCGCAGGTGCAATATTGAAGCTTGACGTACAGATAAATAATTTATCTAGAGCGTCAATATCAATGTTGCCATGAACACCATTAAGAAAGAAAGTTTAATTTTAGGCCTGTAGAGACGGTTATGTGTAATTTTCTGAGTTCTCTACAAACTTTTGGTCGTTCCGAGGCAGTGCACCTGTGGATAAATACAAAATAAACGCGAGGATTTCTTAATGACATTACCAGCCTTGTTGGAAAATATTAAAATAAGAGGTGAACGACCGCGGAGTTCTCACAGAATGACAGCAAAGTCGAGAGACGCGGAGGAATATGTCCGAAAAGTCAACAGACTTTATGACACCCATTTAGAAAGAGAGTTACGACATCTGGAAGAGGAAAGGCGATTTTACCTCAAGACTTTTCGAGCAGAGTTCAGAGAGGCAAAGGAAAAGCACGATATAATTACCAGCAAAGCCAAGGAGTTAAGGAAATTAAGAGGTTTGAAAATGTCTGTTGAACGTACGAAGGAAAGGACAAACTCTTTCTTCGTCACTCAGTCCGCAACCGGGAAGTATTTCTGAAAGCCGGAGTGCAGAGTAAATATTTGAATCATAGACGAGAACTATCGGAATTACTGCTTTAAAGGGTTTATTTACAATTTCCAAGAGTTTTAAAAACTCTGAAGCCACGAAGGATTGCATCTAAATTAGTTAATGGCTTGTAGCGAGAAGAAAACATTATTAAAGATAGTAATTAGACAGTAATTTAAAGAGTGATTTGTCGATAAAACGTGACAAACCGTAACAGTTTGTTGTGTGCCGTTTGATATTTCTGTAAAACGGTAAACTTCAATATAGCGTGTCTCAAATTCTGAGAGAGAAAAGATGTGATCCCTCTCATAGCTAAGATTACAACAATGAGGAGCTAAATAATGCATTATCTATGAAAATAATGTGCTAAATAATTTCATGATACAGGGAACGCAGTGTTATCAGAGAACCGCATTACCTAGCTTACCATGAAGTTAAGATGACAGTTTGAAAAACGAGGTTCAACTGAAGAGATACACAGCTTATGTAAGCCAATAACAAAAAGTTTTTGAGGAGGATTAAAAACAATTTAATTCAGTACTCTATTGATCTGTCCAGGAAGTGGTTCACAGATACTAACACAGTAAGTAAATAACTCACTGAAAAAGGCTCTTGATTAGGTGCCCTATTCCCATACTATTCCATAATGCTCTGGAACTGCATGTACATCATGATTTCTGAATTGTGAATAGCTTTGTCTTTTTTAGCAAGTTCCTACAAAATTTGCATTCCATTCAAGTCTACTTCCTCTTTGTCTGCACATGTTATTTCTTAGACAAATGTTGCTATTTTTGTATTCTATTTTTATCATTCACCTCCTATTCCCTTTTCATTATTTTTCATCACAGACTATTTTCATCCTTTCACTGAAGACATGTTCACCAAAGAAAGCCTTGTGTAACTTCTGACTGAATTCTTAATTCTCCTTCCAAATCTTCTTGTATCCTCATGTGAAACAGAAGGATGACTAGATTTTGCTTTAAAGACACTTGATAATTCTGCACCCCTTCCTTAGACTCTTTAAAATACATTTGCTTTCTCTCTAATTAATACCTAAAACAACTAAAATCCATGCCTCAGTTGTTTGAAAGTTGGATAATGCTATTGGTATCCACTGGATAAAACTCTATCCAGTGAATAATGCTAAACAATTTGGTATCACTTATCCGTTGGATTGCAATTTATCCATTGGATAGAGTTATCCACCTTTAACACAACTGGGCCTGGAACATTATAGATTCAGTCAAAACTGAAGTTCACTGGCTCCATTGATTCAATGTTGAAGATCATTACAGGCATCACTGCACCCACTGCATCCTCAAGTTAAGAGCTAACTGAGAGTAGAGGACCAAAGAGTCTCTTGAGAAATGCATATCAATTTATGTCTGATGCTTGAAGTGTCCCTTGACGTTGAATCTCTACCAACTGATCTTTAATAGCTTTTGTTCTGCAGCGCAATAACTCAAAATCCTACAAAGAGAGAAGCAGTACCTTACACACTGCACAGGACTCTTCATGTCAGTTAGACTGCTGACAAAAATTAAAACATGACACAGAAAGGATATAACAGCTTGTTAGGCCTGATATCTCCAAGGAGTCGAAGAAAAACTGAACAAGTTGAATGTTTTAGGCAATAACAAAGATAATTTTCAATTAAAAAACACATTTGGTCAACTAGGGACATTGTAGGCTACAAAGTTGAAGTAAAGTTTGAACTTAGTAGTAACTAAACTATGATTTCAAAACTGAAAAGGTTGATAAAAATTTATGGATAAAGCTTGTTAATTGTTGGCATCAAAATTACTATCACACACATTTATTTTAATAAATAGATTTAGCCAAGGCTAAAAGCAGAGCTCGCATTTTTTTTCCTGCACATTTTAAGGGCACAATGCCTTGCCCTGGCCAGGACTAGAACCCGGGTTATCTGACTCAGAGCCCAGTGTGCTGACCACTGGACTACTGAACAAAGCCGTGGCATTGGTGTGTCCGCAGTACAGTTGACCACGCATGTTAAAAGAAGCACCTTGTACGGTTGTATGGTCGTATGGTCATACATCGAATTTTTTGGCTTAATGGGTTACTACTATTTTGTATAATTATGAGGCTATGCTCTGTGAGCTCCGCTATTATCAAACAACTTAGACTGGTAAGTTCCTACCTTTTCAGCTCCATAAGTAGATCCTTCATGTGGTTGGCCAGTGGCAACTTGGGTCAGGTAACCAATCTGTTCAGTTAGGCCTTTTTCTACACCCTTATTATTGAAATACAAAAACAAATTAGTTCTTCCAGCAACTTTACTGAAATAGAATCAATATAGGAGTTACTATAACCACCAAGTATAAAATCTCTTTGAGCAACATTGTCTCTTGTCATCTCCTGATTCTAAAAGAATCATAAAAGGGAAATCAATTATCTCTCCTATCACCCATGCTCTGCGTTTATACTGGTAAAGAGAGCCTTGTTTTCCTGTCATGATGTACAACAGAGAGGCAGATTTCCCTGAAGGCCTCAAGCCTTTAAAGACTTTACAATGACATCCATTAACTTTAAAATTCTCCACCTCTATTGCAACCATGCAAATAAAACTCCCCACCGCATCCCCCAAGTCAAATACCAGTTGACTATTTGACCAATGCTGATCAATGTCCATGATATTGAAAAATGATACTGTTCATAGAACTAATAGAGTAGTTTCCAATTGGGTGTCAAAAGACCAAAATTAAAGCCATCACAAAGGCCAATCGAAACAAAGATTAACGTCATCATAAACCAATGAGAACTCGAATTAAAAACAGGCAACCTTCTGGAAGCGCGGGAGAATTGGGATTGGTTTTCGTTTTGCATTTGATTGGTTGGGATGGTGGAACGAGATTTTTAGGCCAATTACAGAGCGAAGTAAAGCAAAACCAAAGTAATGATCCATGTTAACTAATTACTGTATTAATTGGCTTGCAGTCTTACCTCTAAAGACTTTAGGAACTTCGTAGCCGTTGAATTGATACGATCTTCTGAAGGTGCGTCTTTTGAAAGTTCTTCTAAAGTTTCTCCTGCACTCCTTATTACTTTCACTACATCCTATTGATAAAAGTGACATTTACAGTTCATAAGCGCCCCTTTGAATGTAAGTCAACCATGCATGCTGTTTAAATGACGGCGCGAAAATTTTGATGCTTACAAGCTAAATCAATACAAACCTTTTCGATCTCCTCTAACTGCTTTAGGCGATCTCCTGATTGAGACATTACTAGGTTAGAAAATTGAGATGTAAGTAGCTATCCAAACCGATCACCTTAACCTATTCAGGACTCAGAACGACAACAATTTTTTATTATCAATGGATATGTTGTGTAAGAACATCCAATTCTCAGCTGGCCAATCGCGGTTTCATCACGTGACGTGGACGGTCGGAAAATTAAACATGTCTTCCTTCCTTTCTGAATAACACCTTACAAGTGGTGGTGTGTCTTGTCTTTTTGTTGACGTTTTACTTTCAACAGCAAGCTGGATGGTGACATGTTTCAGCGTCAGAAGAACTGGATTTCTGATGTGCTGTGGAAACCCAAAAAGGCTCATTCTCTTGAGCAGTTAAGGTACTGTGTTATGGTAGATCTGAGCAAGATGTTGGGAAACGTTATGATGTACGCCTACTGTCTTGAAGTGTTTGCAAACAATTCAAGCAGACACACGACCAGTTTGGTGTTTGTATTATTGATCAGTAATAATGATAGTTTATTTCTTCCGTCAAGACAGTGAATAATAACGCAATTGTTAATTTAATGTACACTGAATTGTAAATAATTGCTGATACTCAGTCAGCTAATTATTCAAACATTCTGGGTTGTTATATAGATATCTCCATTACGTTCTTACCAAGAATTCTACCGTGAATGAGACGAATAGAGGATTACTTGTGGAGACTTTGCGCTCAATCGCGGAGATCTTAATATGGGGAGACCAAAATGACAGCAGAGTGTTTGAGTAGGTTCCTCTCAGCTTCATACATTTAATGTAATAATAATATTAGCAGTTGAATGCTTTCTAGTGATTTTGATAAACACATTTGATAGGAAAGGAATACATATGTTGCAAAGCTGAGTACACAATATCTTGGATGGTTTGGAGGGCAATTTAAAACAACATGGTGACTATTCTAAAACAAACATATATTCATTATATGTATCTAACACAACACCATGTAGTACCTTTTGTGGTATTAAATGTGGTTTGAATATTTAAAGAAAATGTGACAGTTGCTTCCTCTTGAGGTAGAATCTTTATGTTAATATTGAAGCAGAAGGAGAAATTCTAAAAAAAAAAAAAAGGAAATTTGATCTTTGGACTCAAATTAATCACAAGATAAGCATTTTTGATGATAAACTATTGCAAGTGTGCATTGTAACTGTGTTGCAAATTTTGTCACTTGATATACTGGCTTTGAATTATTAACAGAGATGATAAGTGTTTGAATATTGATGAAAAGCTTCTGTAAAATTTTGCCAGGATACAAGTGTAAAAGCTGCAGTGCAATGTAATTTTGCCACTCACAAGGTTATCATGATTTTGTCAATAAAATTACTGTAACCATTCTGTATTGTAAATATTGATAATGCATATACAATGTTTGTCTGAATGAAAATAAGAGGAAAGTTTTGCTCATGTACTGGGATATTCCTCAACACCTAAAAAATTAATAAATAAATTTCTCTATAAAGTGTGGGAGACAAATAACTTCAAAATTTAATTTGAACTGTGGACAAAAATCAAGCAATGAAATGATTCTTGTGGGTGGACAATAATTTAATTCATTACGGAAAAAAAAGCCTGGAAAGATTCAGGCTTTGAACAGGATTCCAACCTGTGCCTTCAAAATACTAGTTTGGTGCTACTATCACCTGAGCTGCTAAGCTGCATGCAAAATTTCAGAGAGTTAAATAATTTGATTGCATGCCTTTGTTATTGATCATGCTTATAAACTGATAAGCTAGTGATAGTACATAACTATGACGTTTGTTTGTGACTGATTTTAGCTTCTTCCTGGAGAAGAGCATGTTGCTATATTTCCTAAAGATGATGAGTCAGAAATCCAATCAGATTTGTGTCCAGCTCCTGCAGACTCTCAGTATCTTGTTTGAAAACATCAGAAACGAGACATCTTTATGTGAGTAGACATAATTTTATTGCTTTTCTTATTCTATTGATGAGATACTGGTATATGCATTTTTTACCAAGACCAAGTGCAAGGTCAAGAAGGCTGGATATTGGCCGAGTCCTTTTTTTACATTTTTGCAGACTGAGACAAAGTTAAGGTCCCCTAGAATGCAAAAAAGGAATGAGGCTAATATCCAGCCATTGTGACTGAACAAGCTTGGTCAATAAAGGATTTATTACATAGGAAGCAGATTTAGCTTCAATAAGAATCAAGAATGACTCATTTATTTTCACGCACTAGGAAAGAAAGCTAACTGTGATAGCGCCTCTTGTTTTTCATTCGACAAGTTGGAAAATAAACTGATTTGATTTTTTTCCATTTTAAGAAATTTCCTCAAAAGCAATAATACAGTTCTCACTTTTGAATTTGGATAAGTTTTAAAAGATGCTCAAGCCTTATGTTGTGCTTTTTGAATCAGAGAAATATTGACTGACCTTTGCAGTTCAATGTGTTATTCCATTTCCAATAATGTATGTAATGTTGGCAGGTGAAATAAATTACATGTACCTGTTGGTGTATATATCAGAGGCACTTCTCTTTTTTTTAACAGATTATTTGTTATCAAATAACCATGTCAACTCCATTATAATTCACAAGTTTGATTTTTCTGATGAAGAGGTAAGACCCTCAGAAGCAAATATTCAGTGCTTGAGATGGTTCTATTAATTTCTTTGGCTTAACTGTTTTGCATGTACACTGTATATGTAGTTTCCATTCTAGCAGTCTTTTGGGCTGGTCTAAAAAATAATACTCTCCAAATAAAAAGTCCAAATGACAGATGCCAAAGAGACTTAATTATAATGCACTTGTTAATTTAATAGAAATAAAATGTCCTATTTCAGGGCTTTTATTTAGAGCTGGCCATCAGCTAAGAATATGACTGCAATGATCTGTGAGCTGCTCGCTTTTGATCATGGGCCTTCCCACATTCTGTGTTCTCCCCTACTTCAAGCACGACAGGTTAAAGACATTTCAAGCTGACAGAGCAATCCTTTTTTACCTTTCAAATTTTGAAGAATTCCAACCAATTTTTAGACTGTAATCAGTTACTAAAAGTGGTAAATTTTACCAGCTACCATGTGAAAATAAGAACTCTGTACATTACTAAGAACATTGCACTGATAACAACTTTTCAGCTTAACTGGCAACAGACTAGTATTTCCTCTTAGACTGGGTAAAATTTTCATATGCAGCTCTGTTCTTAGTTTCTTTGTATGGGAAGATGGAAGTCCCAGCTATATGCAAAATAATCCCATCTTCTTATCCTTTTTTGTCAGGTATTAGCATATTATATTTCATTTCTGAAGACATTATCACTCAAGCTTAATGGGCATACAGTTCACTTCTTTTTTAACGAGGTAAGTGATCATTTGAATCTTTTTAATTCCCAAACCTGAAACAAGTGTAATAAATTAATTTTTAATAGCAAAAGTATTATATTTTCTTTGAAAGATAGGCCAACAAAGCAAATTGACTGCTCCATTGCTCCAAATGTATTACCATTATTTCTAAAAATAAAGAAATGAATGGAAAAAAAGTTCAAATTAATTTTTTTTTACAATGTTTAACAATTTTGAGCTTGAAATATTATTCACAGTCACAGATGACCCTACCTGCAAAGTTATTAGCATGGACCATTTTAATAGACTGTAAATGTGTCTTCATAAATGTAAAATATACTTTTGTCTTGTTGTTTAGCACAAGAATGATTTTCCTTTATACACTGAAGCTATCAAGTTCTTCAACCATTCTGAAAGCATGGTTAGGATAGCTGTTAGGACTCTTACACTCAATGTTTACAGAGGTGAACAAGTCTACTGCTTTTTTTGATGAATGAGGAAGTTAATGATTTTAAGGGAGTTATTAATTAAATATTTATATTTCCAATTGTGTGCATGTGCAAATGGCAAATTGAAAATAAGGATGTAAGATCAAATAAAGTGGAGGAAGCAGTACTCATGGATGGGTTCTTGGTCTGCTAACTGAACTGAGTGTCAGGGAACCCAGAGGAAAGCCTCTGGTGCTTGAATGAGAACAGGCTATGACTCAATGTCTTTGTGACCCTAGTGCTGGAGACTGAATTCAGACTGAAGTGTTGATGCTCATGCTTTATTCAAATGTAATGGTTCAGTTTTAGCTTTAGTCTAATTTTTATCTCTTCTATTTCAAATTTATTTCCATAAAACTTAAGTGATGAATGAAATAGAGAGTTAAATACAGATATCACAACTGACATTTAAGAGAAGTTGGTAGCCTAGTGTATTTGTGTCTGAGGTAGCAGCATTTGAAGTATAATTTTTAAAATTGGTTTATTTTGATCTGCTGCATTTTATTGCAGTTGGAGATAAGAACATGCTTGGTTTCATCCGAGACAAAACAGCAGATCCATATTTTTGGAACCTGGTGTGGTTTATTGGTAATCATGCTATTGAACTTGACAACTGTGTTCGCAAAGAGTCTCAGTAAGTTATCTTTTTAAAGCTGTTGAACTAATCACTGGTAATCTGTATTACTAAAATATCTCCATGAAGTGTAGCCTTGGTAGATGTTGAACGTGTTACCAGTAAGTTGTACTACTATACAGGATGTTCAATACACATTTTTTTTGTCAAGATCGGAGATGACTGATAACATAGTACATGGTTACATTGTAGTAAATGAATGTTGTTGTAGTCCTGACATTCTCAGAAAAGTAGGTAAATTTGAGGCACTGGGTGATCATGGGCATGTCGTAAATGATCTTGCAACAAACAATCACACCGGTTTGATGTATACTTTTTTATTCTCCTACACACATGTAACTCTGATCTCACAATCAATCAACCCTAATCACCTATCATATTTCTGTACTTCCATAATGAACCTATCAACAAATTCAGTGTAATGCTTTGGTCATGATGAGCAATCAAAAAATCTTTGGAGGCTGTAGGGTCACATGACAGTGTATAACATGCATCACAAAAGGTTCTCATCTCAAAATTCAATTGAATCACACATTATTATGTCAAATTCAAAATACTAATATGTTGAAATCCAGTCTAATGAAAATATATTGAGCATACACTAAACAACTTTACTTACCATCAATTTTAGTCATATTGTGAACAGATGTAAGTAGCCTTTGAGTAACAAAAATTGTAGTGTGAATAATATTTGATTTCTACATTTTTAGCCACTTAAAATGCGACAGACTGAAGGACTTGGTTGCAGAGCATCTGGATCATCTTCATTACCTTCATGACATACTGTCACTCAACATCCAAGATGTGAATATTGTGCTAACTGGGCATTTTATCAACCGTTTATTGATTCCACTGTACATTTATTCTCTGGTGCGTAAAAGACCTGATTTGGAGCAGGTATGTTCAGAACGAGTAGCACTAAAGAAGTACTGAATAATTATTTAATATTTCCAGCTTTATGATTTATAGAGTTTTATATTTCTTTTATTTCTGAATTGAATGCGGATTACATCCCCTTTGAGAACAATTTCGATGTTCTAACTTGTTCATTTCAGATGTTAGGTCAATGTAGCTTTAACCCTTTACACCCAAATATCAGTTTGCAAGTTCTCCATACTGTTTTCTATGCATTTCTTACTTACAAGGAGAATTTGTTTAACAATCAAGAGTTTCTTGAGTTTGCAATCAATTCCTTTATTGATGTGATCTTAGTGTTTCATTCAGGGGGGATACTGTTGGGAGAAGTTAGATGCTTTTCACTTTTAGTGATAAAAAGGCAAAAAAATTTGATGATCTTCCACTGGTGAAGTTAGTTCATTGGAGGCTGGAAAATTAATTTCATATTCTTGTTTATAGGATACACCTCGCCTTGGTGTGATGGTAGCCTTTTTCCTTCTTTCTCAAGTAAGTAGCAAACATGTTCATTGTAATATTGTACACTAGTACTTATTTTATAATCAAAACTGATAACTTTTTATGCACTGATTTCTTGTTCCTTTACTAGATACTTCTCATAATGTCTCACCCTCCACTAGTCTCTAGTCTGGTAGATGTGCTTGTTAATGGTGATGAAGTTGCCTCAGGGTGCACCCCTGAAGATTCTCCTCTACCTCTTAAAAAGGTGATGTCTGATATGTGATAGTTATTTGTGACACACACAAAAACTCTCAATGTACGTTGCCTATATTCATGTTTGTTGGTATCTTTTCATTTAATTTTTGGCAGACTGACTTTTCAAATGGAAAACCTGGTTTCATAATTTTTTGTTTCTTCATGGTTTGTTCATGCACGATGGAGAACACAAGAAACCCCTAGGTGGCAGTTTCTCTTCAAAAACCATACAGAAACAAACCCTTCACTCCTGAAATCTCAGTAGTAAAAATTCCTCTGTTCAGGGAATTTGGTATTGGATCAACTAATAATTCTTTAGACTAACTAATAGTTTTCTTTCCTCTTATCACATGTCTACTTCATATTGTATTGATATTTTAAGGAGAAATTCTGTCGATTTTCTTGTTTCAAATTTAGTTTTTTTTACATGTGATTTCTTAAAAGTGACGCTTTATATATCAGCTAAGAAAATTACAGGAGGGGACAATGTCTTGCATCTCAAGTTTAGTTGGTCTGGGAAAAGAATCAGCTTGATTCTGCAAAAAATTGAACACAAGCTCAAAAGGCTGTATTCACCATTTTTGCTTGAAGGTGTTCAATTACTGAAACTAATTACTAATCCCCTTTTATAGGCTTGTTCTCTGAGTAATTCAGCGGCAAGTGTACGAACCTTCCAGAGGCCTGAAGAAACACTGGAAGAGTCTCTAGTAGCTCTTGGAGTGAACACAGAAGGTTATTCTTTCCTTGGGAAGACATCATCTTTGGGTCCTTTGTCCAGAGGAAAATCCTTGCATGTGGCAAACTCAAAGTTTTATGTAAAGGGTATGTATTTGACTTAAACCAAAGTGTCATTCTTTACAATTTACAGCCATGCTATAATCTCATCACTCCTAGAGCTTGCCCTACTTTCTTTAGCACAAAACCTCTCAGAGCACTACCACCATACTTCTTACAACTGGGAATTGATCAGCTTTCTCTTACAGTTTGCTAGTAATACTCCTGGTTAGAGAGAAGAACCTAATAATCTTAAAGCTTTGTTTTAAGTATTTTAGGTTAATGATAAAAGTGTCAAAACTTAATTGCATGTGAAAAGTGTGCTTTGCCAGCACTTATGACCCAGAATAATAATAATGCAGTAATTATAACAATACCAGCATTTGTCAAATGAAGATTTGATGTGTGATACAAGTTGATGTTGTTTAAACAATTAACTGCATAATTGCTCACATTATCATCAATCTAACATATGTTAATCGCTGATAATAATAAGTCTGTTTCTTTAACACTAATTAGTTTAGCATGCATAATATTTCTATTTATCCCAATTGCCTAGAAAATCTCTCTTTTTAAATAGTAAAACCTCCATTTCTTGTAAGTGCTATCTAACAATTATTGCTCTACAACATCTAGGGGGCTTTTTTGTCTCTGGTGTAAGAAGACATCAATGGATTTCTGAAATTGCAGTTTAAGAAAATTTCCCTTCCTCTCTAAAAGGCTCTCTCCCCTCTCCTTATGAAGATACTAAACTGTACAAATTGGCAAGGAAGTTGTGTAATGAATGCTTAAGTTAAGAGATGAGTAACACTACTTGGTACTGCAAGAAGAAGCCCTGTGTTGTCAACTTCACTATCAATGAATACATTAATCTGGAATTTTCCTCTTATATCAGACAACAATCGAAAGCAAGGTGATGAAATAGCACTCATTTCTAGCAGGGAGAGAATAAATGCTGAAAAGATAAATGCTTCTAGAAAAGATGGTAGGTATAAGGACAAACAGGGTTACAATAAATATGTTTAATGCTCCAGTCTGTGAAACAGAAGTGACCTCAAAAATACCACACTTAACCCTCTTTGAATGAAGTTAAGCTTGCATGCCAGGACAAACCAGGTGCCTTATGCTGTAACTCGTTTCTTCAACAAACTGCTTTGCATGTTTAGCGTCCAGTGCACATCCAGACTTATTTTATGGGTGTGATCATTGGGCCAATTCTAACCTGTATGAATTTGTCAAACATTTTGCACTGAAAAAGTGCTGTTGCAGAGCAAAGGTTTCCAAAAAATTATTGTGATATCTGAATGTCATGTGGCATGGCCTTTATAGATTTTGAAATAACCAGGAATATTGTTCTTGATAGTTAATTTAAAACTTCTAAAAAGTGAAATTAAAATTTTCTCTACATAAAGCTACATTGTGGCTCTTTCTGATAAATACCATATTTCATTGAATTAAGGCTAGGAGTACTTGTATAGCCATGGTGGTTTATTATTATTTGAGGAGGATAATGATGGGGGAATACTATGTTTGAGACACATAATGTGTAGCCAGACATTAGTAGTAATATAATTTTATCACTTGGGATTTACTTCTCTCAGCAGTTAACTCCCCTCCCTTCCCCCCCCCCCCCCCCCCCCTGAAAAAAAACCCAAAAGTCTTAATTGATTCCTAATTAAATACTTCATCTATTATTTTGTCTTAACTAACATTTGTTTTCATTCTGAAGATCTGGTGTCACTGTTGATTAACAAAATTAGTTCTTTTATTTAGACGTTCTTAATAGCAGTTCTCCTTACTGTCAGCCACCCATTTGCTATAATCTCACCTGTAAGAATGTAGTGTTGATAAAAATGATTTCTCTTTATTGATAACATTTACTCTGTTCAACACCTTTCTGCTGGAAAATGTATCTAAATTTTAAGGAGAAATTTATTTATTCTGTGATTTACTTATTCTGTTCAACAACCTTCTGTTGTAAAATGTATCTAAACGTTAAGGAGAAGTTTGTTATTTGGAGTAAGGCAAAGAAGGATATACAAAATAAGAGGATAAATGAAGAAAGAGCAAGGGTGGTTTGTCATGTAAAAGAGTGACACGCATTTCAAACGATCCACTTAAAATTGAGGCCAAGTTTTTCAACAGGCATATGTATCTCCCAGACGAATTGTAATCAGTTTTGTTTCTATTTCAGCTGATTTAAGTCCAGTCCAAGTTCCTCTTCTTCAGACTCCACTCGGAAAGGGGACTGATAGCGAGTCTGACACAGATTCATCATCTGGTTTCTCCACTCCTGTTGCTACTTCAGGAGAGAGCACCAAAGAAGAAACTACCACAGAGAAACGTCCTGAACACGGTAATTTTCCAGCATAAGAGTGATTTCTTTTTTCAGAACAAAGTTAAATGGTACAATAGACCGTTGAGAACTCAAAATTTATGCATAGAAGGGAGCTCAAAGGCAGAAAAAATAGAGTGACCAAGTCAATGGTCCATTTTACAGTTGCATGCTTGGTTGCCGAGCCTGTTAACAGGAGTGAGGCTAAGGGTGACCTTGTTATGATACAAACCTTGCTGCCTTTCAAATGTTATTGTGCTCAATAGATACTGGTCTCCATCACAACAAGGTTACCTCCAGCCTCACTCCAAATCAAAGGCTTGGCAACTAAGTACACAACTGTAAAATAGCCCATTGAAAATCGCCTTATTTGGCAAGGAAGAACTGATTTACAGTTCACATTGATAATTCCTGTTTTCCCCATTTTTAGTTTTGAATACAGTGGCTGCAACAGATCATTCACACGGAGTACAGGTACGGTGTGAGAACGACATTATAATGTCAGTGGTCTTATTAGCCAGAGAAGCCGCACAAAGTTTAACTTCTGAAAAAGGACTCTAACTGTGTAACTTTTGGCATCTCATTTTCAGTGTGATTGAATGAAACCTCACATTTTCTATGCTATTGTCTTTGTCCCGTTTCAGAGTGTCATTCAAAGACCCAAGGAATTCCAGCCTGACAGGTACAAAACCTCTTGTGTTCAACTTCCCTGTGTTTTAGTAGAAGTAATAGCATGATTTCGAGAGCGATTTGGTGTTAATAAGCACGTGTAAATTTTGCAAAGACAACAAAATTGTACGAGCCCGTAGGGAGAGTGCAATTTGTAGTCTTTGAAAAATGTACAAGCGGTCATTTACACCAAACTGCACGAAAAATCATGTTATTACTTATGTATAATCCACATGAAAAAAGCATCACAGAAAGTCATGCCAAACGAAATTTTGACAGCTCGCGCGCGCTAGTTGTAATTTGCACTTGTGTTACATGAAAACTGCACACGTTTTCAGCCAACGAGAAACGCGAAAATTTTTCATGTAAATTATTTCAATGAATATTGTCGAGTTGTGAAATGCATTACACTCGAGACCAGCCGGAAGACCCCTATAAGTCCTTTTTTACATGACCTACCTACTCAATAAGGTAAGTACCCATGACCAACTGTCTCGATCAATCTCGCCTCAACTGAATTCAACCACGCAAAATTTCCAACATTACTAGACTGGTTCTAGGCATTAGGAAATGTGTCAGAATTTTGTTCTGAACACCTGTTGTGGTGATATTAGCTATCGGGGTTGCAGCGTTTACGCTGCGTATAAAAGGGTTGTTGGAGAGTTGATTTTTATTTCCGATGTTTAGGATGTTTCTTGAAGCAATCGAAGAAAGTTTAGACTGCAGTGATAACGACGAGGAAGCACTGTTTGCAATTTGTTTGCTGTATGCAGCTATTGGTAATAAGGGTGAGTTATCTTTTTTCCCTAACCCTTCAAGAATCTGTTCCCTGCGCATGGCGTGTCAACGAAACAACGACAAAAAAATTCCCCCACCCCCTCCCTCCGTTAACACACCTGTATCCCGATTAGTCGATAGAAGGAAAAAGGAGTCTTCGCAGAGAGAGAACAGATATAAGGGAACAAATCATTCTGAGTTTTACTAATGCTTATAGTTGTTTTATTTAGCTAAATTTTTACAATCGTGTAGCAGACTTGTTCTAACGTCGTCTTCGTTTCTTCAGGTGTGGATAACAACTTACTTGAATCAGCAGGACTCTCCACAGCTGAGGTTTGTGGTGTTATAATCAGTTGTATCGTTTTGTGGATTCGTTGGCATAATAATAGTCCCTTTTGACAACCTGAGTGGAAGCCAACCTCAGAAGTGAAAATGATAGAGCGCTTCTCGATTTAGGGTCGTAAGACCAAAAGCAGAGTAGTCACGGTGGCCAATCAAATGAAAGGAATATACAATGAGGAGCCAATGAGAACGCTTGATAAAAACTGCTAGAAGCGCGGGAAAATCAAGATTGACTTAGGTCTTATGTCTGATTAGTCGAGAGCGTGGTGTGATTTTTCTTGACCAATCACAGAGCGAAGTAAAGTGAAGCCGAAGCCAAGGCAATTTCGGATTACTTTTGTCACTCAGTTTTGGTCAATTTGTTGTACTGATTCAACCCGAGACTGCGCTTGAGTATTTTTTTTTTCAATCCTACAATCATATTCCCACATTCTTTATGGGAATGATTCGCCACCACAGTTTTGTAGCGTATAGTAAGTGGATTTTTCTGTTTTTGTTTTTCTTAGAGCAAAGTTCCTTACAACGAGCAACTTGTAGAAAGCCTCATTAGAATGTTGGAACTCGGCTATCGAAATGGTGAGTCAGAGCTTTCAATTTTTTGCACGAGCGTATTAAATAAACTTTTAGAAGTTCTAATCTATTTCCGTATTTGGTACTCTGTTTCTGTTGAGTTCTTCACTCTTCCGTCTTAAACAGTGATTATGATGTTTTTGTTGGTTTTTTGCCTGGTTTTCAATGTTGAAGGTATTAGAATTGTTCTTTTTTTTTTTTAATCTATCGTCTCAGTAATACTAAGGTAAACTTGAAAATTACTTTTCGATGAAAGAATCAAGGGCATAAAATCTCACTGATTATCGGTTTGTACTTGAATGTATTTATTTTGTAGGGAGTCAAGTACGCGTAGTAACATTAGAGATCGCCATTATACTGCTGAAGGAGCTGATTATGTATACAGTAGATGGGTCAAAGTGGAGCTACCTTAGCGATAGACACTTGGCTCTGATCGAGGTAAAAACCTCTGACGACACATGTCAGACGAATAAGAATGATTTCTTTAAACGGGTTTACACCGTAGTTAGATTTTTGTCTTCTCTTGAAGCCACATAGGAGTTTCTTGAAAAGTTCTTGAAAAGTGATCCAACCACTTGAACCAACCACTCTATGCCAGACGTTGGAGGCTTTTTTCCCCACACTAAGTATTCGTTACATGCTGTCCGCGCTGGCCGCCAGTTGCATGTTCCCCGCATCAAACATCAGTTGAAATCCGCGCTGAACTCTGATGTTTTCCTGCCTCAAGCCCCAGTTGCATATTTTCTTTTCAAAGCAGCAATTTTACTTATGTTTCGCGCGCTAAGCACTAATTGAATACTTACCACCTGGTTTTTTCTCGATTAAGTCTGTCGGAATTCAAATACTGAATTTCTCATCGGGTTAATTCCGAGTGCTTTGAATATTTAGACTGGCTGGAGTCTTTCAATTCTCTTAGACCCAGATTTGTGGGTTTACACGGAAAAAAATGCCACCTTAGTGAAACAAATATCTCAGAATAATACCTAGACAGGGAAGAATCAATCTTCTTTTATTTACTTTTCAGAATGTTCGCGAGGCCAGTACGTTACAGTTGCGGCACTATTATAAGGTACAACATCACATGGCAGTTATGGTCTTCGATGTTTGTGAAGGCCTTTTGAAATAAGACTTAACCTTACTTTGCTGTTCAACTGTTATTTTGTGCACTTTCTCGGTAATAAAGCAGTTTTCAATCGTGTCTGTAGTTATCAGGGATGAGTTGGTGTAGCTTTACTACGCTCTGTGATTGGTCCAGAAAACTTGCGCCACTCTCTCAAACAATTAGATGTAAAACTAAAACCAGTCACGACTTGGTCACCCGCGTTTTTCCCGCGCTTTAGGCTGTTTGCTAATTTTTACTTTGAGTTCATTGAGATAACTTTGGTTTTGGATTTACGATACTCCATCGCCGAGAAACATTCTTTTCCCAAGCTTAACACTTCTGATTTATCTTATAGGAAGATGAAATTTTCTTGGACATGTTTGAGGACGAGTACCGGCAAACAAAGGTGTGGCTTCGAAGTTGATAGCTAACTTGTAATTTTGTTATCTGAAAATTACAGTATTATTTTGGCCAGAGGACTGGGTAATGGTAAGAATTGCAAAGGTGGGAATAATTTGATCCAATCCCGGGTAATTCAGTGGAAGTTGTCGTCCTCTGCCTTCTCATTTTGGTTTCGTTGCCTCTTTTTAGAGAAGCGCTTTACCAGGTGGAGAGATTTGAAACTCACATTCACAAATCCCTCGGTTTGTTACGCAGATTTTCTCTAAATTCATCCCTGAAAATGTTGGGATAGTGAGTAAGCTTGGGACCGTCTATAAAGCAGTAGTCCCTGGTTGTTTGTAGCAAGTCTACTCGACATGACATACAATCGTGGGAGCCATGAATAAGTTCAATTACCTTCCTCAACTAGGTAAAGCCTCCCAACGTGCAACACTTGATGATGGATGCTACGCTACTCCTTCCTATTACGGGAACACCGCTGACCGGAATTGAGTTTTACAAGCGCCTGCCGTGTGGAGAAGTGGAACACACTCGGAGGGTGAGTTCTTTTTATCTTGAACTGTTTTCGGTGACGTTAGTGCCTCCTGCCTCATGTGAACTGTTGACCCTCAGTTTGACCCCTAAGAGTGACTAGCATCTATATTCTCCTTACAATATCTCCCCAGAAACAGACATAAAGGTCACGAGAGTAAAGGAAATGATCACTAAAGATGTTCCAGATTGTTACACAAATTCTCCTTGTCAGCCTTATAAGAAATGTAAAGAGAAAAGTATTGAGAATATGCATACTGATGTTATGGTGTAAAGGGTGAAAACTGTGGGGAGTGAGGAGGGGTTTGTCACCGAATTCATGGGGAAAACTTTTCGTGACAATGGAAAGGAGTGGTTTGTGTCGCTGAAATTCATTAGAAGTTGTTATTGTGTTTTGTTCTTACGCGAAGCATTAATTTATTCAAAGAAGTCATATCCTCCTATGCCTGATGTTTTTCAAGTTTAAAAGCAGCTTCAATATTTTTGCAGGCAATTCGTGTGTTTCTGCTCATGAGAGACCTTTGCTTAGCATTGCTGGGGAAGAAAGAAGAGCAACTACCTCTATCAAAAGTTGAAAACTCTGTCCATTTGGAAGACGTCCTGGATTTAAGTGAGTCACACTGAAATAGGGTTATATGATTGTCACTTTGTTATGCGCCGATCAAAACTGCAAAAAAGTTGTGGGAAGCATCTAAATGTTCTTCTTTTCGATCTTTAGATAACAGTGACCTGATCGCTTGTACAGTGAAGACAGAAGACAAGTAAGTTACATGCTTAAGCTTTAGAACTAGGAGAATGCCCTAAATCGAGATTTCGCGCAAGACATAGTGGCCTAATGATCTGTGCGCGCGTGTACTTGACTCTGGATCAAAGGATCGTGGCCACTTCTTTGTATTCTATTGTTGGAAAAACACGAGACACTCGCGTTACTTCTTTACCCCAAAAGCCCGATCATAGTAATATGATTTTTGTTTCAATGTTTTGCAGGCAGCAGCAGCGCCGTTTCCTTGTGATAGACGAGGCTCAGTTTATACTGGTTGAACCAGACACCACCAAGTTAGGGTGGGGTGTGGTCAAGTTTGTCGCTAGACTTCAGGTAGGGGAGTTTGTTTGTTTTGTATCCTTTCTCTATCTTTTATCAATGACTGTCTTAGTGCGCATCTCCAATTTAGGGACTGCTGGGTGGTTTTGAGCTTCATTGATTTGTATTGAGAAATATATCCCTCTTGCACCTTTCCTTTACGATATTCTGGATACTCTGTGGGCAGATTTGGGAGCGAATGAAAGTGTAAATAAAATCCAGCAGTTCAAAACCCCAGTAGCCCTTAGAGATGGTGTTGCTTTGTGACTGTCCCTGCACGGCAAGGCACCCATAAAGCAGAACAACGAGCTTTCTTTCGTTTATACTTTCGTCATAGTAACACGGTTTTTATTTTGGGTTTTAGGATGTAGAGACAGCTCCCGATAAGGAAGACAGTCGCTCTTTATTCATCACCATACACCAGCCCAGCTCTGCCCGCAGCCTTACCAAGGTCCGCTCTCGTCCCATCTTGTCTGCCAAATTCATCTTTGATGATTATATCCGTTGCATGTCGGCTAAGCAGCGCCTCCAGAGGCGGCGAACGATGCTTAGACAACATAAACTGCACTGCATAGCTCAGCTGTTAGAACTGCCAGCTATGGCCTCTCCCCCGTCACACTATTATTCCATTACACCTCCGGCTTATGTTAATTTAGGCCCAGGACAACTCGAATCTCCGACAGATTCTCAAACAAACGAGTCCGCGAATGAGGGTGATGACGGACCCGAGCAACCTCAAACGCATGCGCAGTCGATAGGTGATATGTCACAGGATGGCGCTCATGCTTTTCCTGCAGCCATGCCTACGCCCGAACAGTGTTTGTCACCAGTCCACGGCACAGGACGACGAACAACTTCTCAGGCTGAGGCGTTAGCGAGCGTACTCGAACAGTCACCTCCGCCCAACAAAACGACTGTAGCTCGGACCATTTCGGTGGAAGAGGCAGCAGAAGCCATAGAAATGGAACTTACCAACTCGGTGCTTCAATCTGTTCAAGAAAATTGCTCTACCGGCAATTCCTCGCCTGTAGGAAACCTGTCACGCTCACAGTCTGCAGAAAATCTACGGCTTTTAACTGCCTGGAGAAATCCAGTATCACTATCGGCCCCTGCCACCCCCCGTGGGGATAGGCGCTCTCAACCAATCACGCTGGAGGAAGAGGATACCTTAGCAAAGGTAAATACTCAGAATTCAATGTCTGAGCCCGCAATATTTTTCAGTGGTCAGTATGACTCACCGGCGGCAACCGTCCATAAGCCGGTCGAAAGAAAACTGAAAAGGACTGGGAACAGAAGAAGTGCACAAAAGGGAAAAGGAAGACAACGAAAAAGATGAATACTTTTTGACTTGCTTGAAAAATGATTCATAATGAATTATCTGTAGTAATGATTAAATGAAAGTAACTGCTTACGAACAGTAAAAGGACCTGAAATTAGGTAATGACACTGATATTTAAGACTTAATGCAAAGGATGAAAATACTCCTTATTGGAAAACTGAGACGAGATGAAATTGGCTCATATTTAAAAGAGTTAGAATAGATTTTATGAAATGTGAAATTATTCTTTTATCAGGAAGATGGCATTACTTGCTTTGATTTTACAAAAACTCTAAGTTAGTAGATAATAATTGTTTAATGAAGTAACGTTATATTGGAGGGCTTTGTCACTACAGATCAGTCAACCTGTCCTAAAACTCGACTCTCCTAAATGACCGATTCAAATTATGCAATGACAGTGAGGAGAGGCTAATGAAGGACTAAATTAAGTGTGTATTACAAATAACAGATTTTAGTGAAATGGCTTTGATATTCTAATTAAAAATTGTACAGAATCGTTTCGCGAAAGGATGATTACTTTTAAAGCGTGTTCTTGCCTCCACCCACCCCTCCTTCACTTTCTTATTTGGTTACGTTAACTCGTCATTAGCCACCTTTTCCTCTATTTTTTCTTGACAAAACAGAAGCAGGTTGTATGCAGAAATGTTTGATCATTTATCTTCTAGGCCTTTCCACAAATGTTACTTGAAATCGTGTCAATATCCGTAAGGAAATCTTCAAAAAAACAAAAACCGAAAATCATAATACTTGTTTCCTAAAAGTTTTCACAAATATCCGTTCACATATTTGCACTGCGGTGGAGTGGAGAAATTCAAAAAACAACGTAGTTGTAAATAGGACCTGAAAAAATTCCAGGCCCGTAAAACCGAAAATCATAATACTTGTTTCCTAAAAGTTTTCGACAAATTCCCTTTTATTAGTATTTTATTTTCCGATTTGGAGAATTACTGGCTCTAAGCGATAAGGAATGAACTATTCTCGTGGAAATGGATTTTTTCCTAGTTTTGTTTCGTTAAACAAGCCAGGAAAATTCAAAGCTCAGGTAAGAAACGATATATTTTTACATAGATATCCTTAAAGTTTCTAGACATTGTAATATTTCTCATCAGATCCAGGAAATTTCTAAAAATTACAAGACGCATTATCTACTGAAAAAAAATATCCTGGAAGCTAACTTTCCTCACCTGTGGCAATTTACGTTCCTGTCAGAAAGGTTGCATTTTAGAGAACTAACAAGTTTAAAAGGCTGCATATTTTAGTTATGGTGGTAACTGGTAAGTTAGGCTTTACTAAAAATTTTTTTTATAAATAACCTCTATATATTTTCTAAATATGATCATCCCTTGAATTGGTAATAAGTAATAATGTGAAGCTTTTAAAATAGCAAGCAGTAGCCGTAGGTGTCAAAGAGACAATTACAATGGCGCTTCCTCTACTAAACCACCTTCCTTGCCTTAAACGGTTGAGCGATTACGAACTTAAAGGTCACAGTCCATGTTTAATTCAAAATACCTGGCTAAAAAACGGCAGGAAAGTAATGAAATTTGACAGAGAAAATTCAATTAAGAATTAAAGCTTCCATATCAATTGCTTAAGTTGACGAGGAGAGAATGTTCAGTCGAGAGATGAAGTGTTAGTTTGGACAGACTGTCCCTCTTGAATATTTAGCGTAAGTAGATCATATTTATTTTTTTTCATTTTATTTTCGTACCTGTTTTTATTTTTTGTCTCTTTAGTCGAAATGAAAATTTTTTTTGAAATGGAGTGTAACAGTAACTTGAAACTAAAACAAAACGACCAAGTTTTTAGATAGTTAGCATGTCGGAATTGAACTTTAAAACCTTGTGAGGCAGTGACTTTTCGTTTCACCCCATACGTTTCATACCTTATAGGTTACAACAGCCACTGATTTAGTTCACGAATTCTCCGTGGAAACAGCCCAACGTTTACCTTCCATGTGAGATGTTTTTATTTTTCTTGTGCCTCGCTTTCTGCTTGGAGGTAACCAGTGCGAAACCATGGAAGATAGCTGTTAACGAAAACGGTAAATAGCCCAAATTGTTTAGGTAAACATGATTACTCTTCGTATTGATAGAGCGTAATAAATTCTTTGTTCATCGTATTTTCCGGGTCGGCATGTGGTACCAGTTCTTTTAAACCGTACAAGGAAATAAAGGAATGAAAAATTTCTTCTCGAAAAGTTTTAAATATTTTTATTTTTTATTAAATGTGGCACATGAGTTGGGTTGAGGTTCTTTCAGTATATTGACCGTTACTTGATTAATTCTTTGCTTCACGCTTCAAAATAAAGGCCGGGTAATTTTCATGAACGAGAGAACTTCAGCTCTGAGTTTCTAGTCTATTTTAATAGATTTGCATAATGCGACACAACTATTGATCTTAAAATTATGTAAGTGTTATAGGTAGGTTTGTAGGAAGTTTATAGGGAAACTGCCTTTTGCTTTTTCATTAAAGGATTCTCCCGAACAGGTTACCTTGTTAGGCTCAGGGGCGCATGCGCCAATTTTCAGCTAATTGTGTGAATCATCTGAAACGACGAATGTGACTGTTTGTAACTTACCCCATTTGACAGCCTATCAGGTAAGCTGATTGGCTCTTGTTCGCATGCGCACTGCCCTATTCTCCTAGACTACCGAGTCCAGTTGTATAAAGGGCGGATAAAACTATCCAACGGATAAATCGCTATAAGTAATAGCAAAAGTATAGCGTTCCCCACCGGATAGAGATTTATCCAGTGGATAGCGTTATCCAATCTTCGAACAACTGGGGCCTGTTGAAAAGTGCGCAACCTCAGCTCACATGTGTGCGACCTTTGCGTGTTGACACGTGTGCAACCTTTATTGACGCGTGTGCAACCTTCGTTCACACGTGCGAAAAATTCCCAAGGGCGCGCACGACCTTCCTTCACACATGGGCTTATAGGCTTAGGATTACACTCCTAAATTTTCCATCTTTAATCCTCATTTTAGATAACCCTGATGGCCTCAAAAAAAACACGATTTTAGATCAGATCGAAGAAGCTAACGAAGGTAAGACTGTGTTTCTCTGATCTAGCTTTGGTGTAAACAAAATGTTTAATATCATTTGTTCCACATCCACTCAGAGGACCACGTTGATAAGAAAGTCAAAAACATTTTCGAGGCTGACATAGAGCTGACTAAAAGTGACAGAGCGGGCGTGGACACCAAGAATCAGAACTCTAAAGATAATGCAGATGTTGATGTAGACAGTGTGCTTACCAAGCGCAAGGCCATCAGTTCCCGGCGACATCTATGGGTGACTAAGGAGGTACCTCTTGAGCTTGCGGTATCCGCAAGTAAGTTATCACAAATTGTCCTCACTTATGACTTAAGAACCGGGCCAAATGAGGTAAAAGCGGAGAAATCGTTGGCGGCTATAAAAGTTATAACAACAAACTTATAACGTTTTTACTCCCCCTACAGATCAAAACTTATTCCCTCTGACGAAGGGCTTAAGTGGCTCAAAATGGCGGACAAGCCAAAGAAAGAAAAAAACAAAGCGATTTTGCAATGAATACTCAACATAAACCCTCGTTAGAAAGGCGAATCCACGGAGGAAAGATACAAAACTGTATGATACTGAGATCGATATGATATTAAATCGATACCGAAAGCCCGTTTCCAACTTTCTAAGAAGCGCATTTAATTGCCTTTCGCCACGATCACTAGCTTTCTTTACAGCCTTCTGAAGACAGAATACTTTCTTTCTGAAGACTTCTAATGTGCGGCTATTGATTATAACACCTTGTATACCTGATTGCTCAAACACTTTGTTTACGATTGTTGAAAGGACCGACTCATGGTTCTCCGTCTTCGTCTTTACATTGCTTTGAAATAGTATAGATTAGTAAGCTGAACGAAAAACTAATCAGGGATGTTTACGAAAAATCCAGCAAACAAGCTTAAAAAAGGCATTTATTTAGACTTCGTACTTCAACGAACTTCACAAATCTTACTTGTTTATCTTGTAAGTAAACGATGGCAGACTAATTCCCGAAGCGCTTTCTGAGTTTCCCGATCCCTCTCCTACTGCTTTCACGCTTACAAAACAGGAAAAAATCAAAAGGAGGAAGATACAGCTGTTTTGAAACGCCATTTGACGAGGATAAATTTGCTTTTTGTTCGACACTTTACATATCAAAACAAAGGAAATTTGTTCCTCTTTTTGATTCTGGTTTTTAATTTGCGCCTGCGTAAAAGAGATATCGCCCGAGACCCTTCGCTCGGTCGTGTTTTGATCAAAAACGCCTTGTTAATTTCACGCAACCGCTCGGAGAAAAGGTAAAAATGACGAGGGAAAAACTTTACCTTCAAGTTAGAAAATTAGCGAAATAGAAAGCCACAATATTATAGTTTAATATTTCAGAGGTACATTGAGTGCTTTTTCCGTAGAGAATCCGCACAATGGTAAAACATTCGAAAATTACACTCGATTTGAGTGGGGTGTTGAAGTGGGCGTGGTCACTACATTCATTTTAAGACTATTTGTACCCCATGAGTTTGATATGTTAAGAAAATTATCCCCTTTTATCAGTAAAAAGACATTGTTATGTTTGCGCATGAGAACAATTTGTAACAAAGAGATGTAGGCATTAGCGAGGAGAATCTAGTTTCAGACTTTGGGAGGGAAAGGATTAAAAGGAGAGATGAGGAATGCTGGCCTGAAAGCGACTGTAAAATTCGTTTGAAAAAACACAAACCACATCCTTTTTTTTCTTAACCCAAACAGAAGATGGTTATAACAATATTAGGGCGGCCCTAGGCGAAATTCAGTCAAAATCGTGCATTCGATTCAGGATGAGGGACAAAGATGACGATAACTGGATACGTTTTGTTAATAAAAGCGGGTAAGTAGACCATTAGAGAATATTAGGAAAGAGACTCAGTCATTCTCAATTCACCTAGTCCATAGCGAGATATTTTTTGTGCCATAAATAATTGAGGAGTCCTACATGTCACGACTACAACGCCGGCGTAAATGGGCTTTCATTTCTCCTAAAAATTTGGCCAGTTGCGTGATGCATTTACCGTTTCTGGCAGTTTAAGATCATTCCCCCCCCTAAAGAAGAACATGCCTGAGAATGCAACTTTGAATTCAAGTTGAAACTTGTCTAAACTACCGTTCTAGTTACCGTCCCAGCTATGGTTTCATAGAACTCGTAATTTTTTATTTTTTTTAATACCTCGTCTTGCCTTTGGGCTTCATTGTTGGGCCTAACACTGAAAATTACGCAAGACTTTTGACGAAAATATAAAAAAGATCGTAACTGTGTTTTCATTTTTTCTGAATTCCGAAGAAGCAAACTTTCTACCTAAGACGACTCATTTGCCGTATAGATTAACAAAACTTGTCATAGATAATTGCTGAAGCAGAAACTCAAGATTAGAATGTCCAATGGTGGAGTTTTTTACGAAAGCAAAGTGGAACAAAATATCTTTCAGTCGACACCAGACTATTTTGAACACTTTAATCCACGAATCTCAGCTTAGATGCTACACACCACATACAGAAACTAGCTCTCTCATTCAACTACTGAAACACACTCTTCAAAACTTCGTGGTCTCTGGTACACATCATGTCAGAAACACCGTTCAGTTCTTCTCTTAGAAAAGTTTTCGTTCTTCAAAGAGTAGCACGGGAGTTCTTTCTACTAACTCCTTCCTCAAGAAGCCAAACACTGTTACGTCACTTTAGGGCATGCGCATTTGCTTTACAAAAACGTGTCGCGTTTCCCCCGTATACTGTCTACAGAAACTCGTTAAAAGAGCATCTGTGAAGGAAAACTCGCTTGTTTGAATGCTGTTTACGTTGTTATGAGCCAAAACATTCGGTTGCATGACGCTTCCATCCTGTCTGTCAGTTGCTTTTCACCAGTTGGCCGTCAATATGCCTCACCCGGAGCGCAGGAGCTGTCCATCGGTATAGGATGTAACCATAAGGGGATTATTATGCACGAGTTGCTGCACGCGCTTGGCTTCTGGCACGAACAGTCCAGGTCAGACAGAGATGACTTTCTTGAAGTGCTCTGGGAGAACATCCAGAAGGGTATGTATCTATGATTGGTTTGATCCTTTCACTCCCAGGAGTGACTTGTTAGTATTTCTACTTTATAATACCAGTGCGATGCTAGGGAGAAAGATCACGAGAAAAGTAACATTATGGACAAGAAGTTACCTGTACTCTCTGGAGTGGCATCAAATGCTCAGATTTAAAATCTGTATGAAATGTGTTGCAGACAATACGAAAATTGTTATTAATAGGATAATACTAATAGTAGTAGCAATAATAATAATATTAATAACAATACCAAATAGTTATACAAGGCAGTTGTAGTAGAGAATCCCAGATGCCAATAGGATACAGGAAAATAGTGTTTACGCTCGTGCAAAGGGACGAGAGAAATAGGAAATTCACTTTTTATCGTTTATTTTTTTCCAGGGCAAGAACATAATTTTAACCGCTACAAACCAAAGGATATGGATTTCAATGGTGGCTCTTACGACTTTTCGAGTATTATGCATTATGGGAACTACGCATTTTCCAAAAACAAGAAACCAACCATGTTGTCTGTAAAGGATCCGACACTACAGTTCGGGCAAATCGCTAAACTGAGCCCAACAGATGTAATACAACTTAACAATGTATACGACTGTAAATGTGAGTGACTTCAAGAAAAATAAGAAATCACAAGTATATTTGCAAACCAAAAATACACGACACAAAGTTCAATTACCTTTACATCACATCGATTTTGAAATATCACAATTTAATCACACAAATACAAATAATCACTACAGATGTTATAAAATTTGCATAGATTACCCTTTTAGTGTTGCTTCCTCATTGGTTGGGAAATGGATGCGATTTGCAAAAAAAAAAATTGTGCAATTCGTGATTAAATCACATCGCTGAGAGCTAATCAGATTGCAAGGATCACCAGCGATTTCAAAATGAGTGTAATGAACCCGGATTACAAATGACAATATGGACGAAGTCAAAGCTTGATTTATATGAAATATTTCAAAATGTTCGGTGCGTGACATAGATACTTAAAATGACGTATTGGATGGCACAATTACTTTATTGGTACACGTCTTACCCTAAGACTGGCTTGGAGCATCAGGTTTTAAGAATGAAGATTGAAAGCTACAGAGACTTCACCAACTGTTTTTGAACCTTTTAAAAAAATAATATTGCGTTGTTTTTATTTCTGAAAGCCGACAAAAGTCGTGGTTGGAGTAATTGGGGTAACTGGGGACCCTGTGACAAGAAGTGCACAAGGGAGAGAGAAAGATTCTGCTCAGCAAAGAAACTGGAAAAATGTCCGGGAGCAACAAAGAGATACAGAATTCAACTGCAAAAGGGAAAGTGCCCTTTCAAGGAATGCTATGGTGAGTTTTGAAGCCTCCACTGAGGTGAGATCTAACAATAATTTTCGAAAGCTTCTTAGAGTCTATTGATTTCAATGATCATTTTTTTGGTTGGAATGTCTTCCTCTTATGTAGCTCCAATCCAAGGCCACTGGGGCAGGTGGGGTCCTTGGAGTCAATGCTCTCGGACATGTGGCCAGGGTTACCGTAGAAGGTCCCGGCAGTGCGATGACCCGAAACCTATGTATGGTGGAAAGTATTGCAAAGGAAATCTCGTCGAAATTCGCCCCTGTCAGTTAAAGAAGACATGTAAGTGAAAGCCCCATAAGATGTAGGGTACTTTCCAGCTGAGTGTTGAGTCCGGTGTTGCATCTACTATATGTTTTGTTTTTCTTTGCCAAGGCTCTGTGGGTTTATTCTAAGTTCTCATGGGTACTTTAAATGTTTTTCTACGATTACTCTTATGACTTTCGTGGTAACTTTAGCTTTGGTTTTGAGATATCATATCTCTTAATCGTTTAATTCCCAAGATCTCATTAGTATTTCTCCTTACTGTTTCCTATACAGTTCTTGTGACGTTAGTTGGGAGAATTTGGTATTGGATCAACTTGTAATCCCCTAATTGATATTTCTCTTTATACTCATCACTTGCCTGCCCTGGGGGGGAGATAAGGGGTGGGGGGTGGGGAAAGGAGGACATGGGACAACTCACAGCTATTAGGAAGCCAGATTTCTTGTGGTCTGTTACATAAATGAAATGAAATTTGGAAAAAAGCTAATTTGTGCTGAAGGTATCGTAGATAAGGCTAATCTGTTATTGACGTTCACAACTTATTTTTAGGTGGGTGGTAATGGAAAAGAACCCGGTAGTTTCCAAGCAGAGAAATGACCAATGGCTGATGTTTAATCAATTGAGTGCCAGTTAAGGAAAAACCAACCATGACAGTTATCGTGGTACTGTGGATTAAATAAGACAAACACACAAAGTTTTATCTAACCTATCCACCAGTCTTGGAACAAGTAGACTTCTTTTCAGTTTTAAATTATACCAACGCCAGCTTGTTACCTAGGGTGCAATCAGCCACCACAAAAGAGCCCTTTTCAGAAATGGCCCGAGAAGATTACAAATGTAGCACAACAGACTCGAATGATTTAAGTAAGCATTTTCTCAGGATGGACAAACCGCGATGAGGTTGCTATAAGATAAAGAGCTTAACACAACGTGTTTACTTTTTTTTTCTAACTGGTGAAAAGTTCATCATTTTAAATAAACATAAATTTTTAGGTATATTTCCTTCTCGTTGATTTGTTATTTTTCGGATTTCATGTTTTTGGATACTAACCTTATTGATAACCCCTTTTGAATGATAGAGTGCAATTTTATCCCTTTCGTTTAAGGGAGAGAGGGTTTTTCCGTTTTGGGGCGTCCTTTCAATTGTTACTGGACAAAGCATACGCAAGGGTCGAGAAACTCCTAAGAGGCAGGAATGAACCACAGGCGAACAGTGATGGCTAAAGATGAAGAAACATTGACATGGATTGCAAACGGTGGTAACCCGTGACTCAGATGGTTTAGAGATTTAGGTGCCTGAAAAAAAAAAAGAAAAAGAAAAAAAGGTTTTGTGTGAATCGGCCAGCCACAAAGCGCCTATGTGGCGCTTTCTTATCTTTTTTCACCCGCGCGAGAAACGATTGCGTCAGGCTTAGGTTTTAGAAATAATTCAGCCATCTTCTTCATTGGCATTTTGGGAAGATTTTCTTTAAATGCTTCGACTAATTATCGTGAACTGATAGGTGTCCATTGTTTCCTATCAGCTAAAAAAAGACTTCCAAGTTGTGATATATAATTGAATAACAAAAAGCACCCGCAGGCACCTGTTACGAAACAAGTATACTCTAGTAGCGCGATTCAAGAAAATCTTTTACTAATTTGTGAATTACTTCAAGCGTCACCCGATAGCAAAAAAAACACCATTCTACGGAATTTCTTCTCTGATTTCAAAGGTAGGTAGAGTTTTGATACCATTTGAATTTATTCATTTCATGAATAAGTTCTGGTTACTTTGCTTTCGCCCAAAGTGTGAAAAATATCGCCGGCATGTTGACAAAAAAATAAACACTTAATTCACATCCTGATAATATTCTTATTAACAACATATTACCACTTTATCAATGATAGAATGATGTTTAGGATCTTTCAGTTCCTTTGCAAAGTATTTTGTTGAAGGAGCCAGATAAGTGTTATGATCGCCAAGAACCATGTGATGATCGAGCAATGAACAATGCTTGAATAAATGATAACTTGACACATGACAATACTAAGGGCATATTTAGTAAATAAACAGCCTCTTCTTTTCTCTAAATTTCAGTATACAATAACTAAATGGCCTTTTATCGAATTCTCTCTTTGAGTGCTGTTTCTCTTCTCTTTTCCCTTTTTTTCATCAGCTTTGCTCCTCACAATTCTGTAATTATTCTTCCAGTGATGCTACTTTAACGAAAATGACTGTTTGATTACCTCTCATTCTCCTGCTGTACATCTGTTACAACTAATCATCTTCATGATTTTTTTTCCTCCAGTGTGGACATGGTCATTAACGCATCTAACACCGTTTTGCACTGTTGATTGGCAGAAACTCTCCCCAAATGTAGGCAACAAGATAGCAAGAGGTCGATTCTGGAAAAAAGATGATTTGAAGCAGAAGAACCACTCCTGACATCAGTTTGTGTTTTAAAAGGTCATCCAGTCTTTGCTCCCGTTGATTAGCTAACCAAAATGTTGCTGGCAACATTTTTCTTCGGGATTGCTTTTTGTGTCTCGCATCCTCTGCATGGTGAGTTATTTCTTTTCAATAAATGACACAAGCATTGCTTCAGAATTTCATATCATCATATTTGACATGCAATCATGACGGAATCTTGCCCCCTTCGAACGACAGGTAAACCTAGGCGCCACCACCTTGTTTTCGATGGAACGGACAAAACGGTACCACAGAATCTGACAGATTCCTCCGTGGTAAACGAAATCGAGGAGATTAATGAAGGTACGGTACTTATGTTTAAAATGGTTAGTAACTGCATCACGATCTCTCATCCATTTCAGTAGAGCGTAGATCAACTCAGTATCACCAATCCAAAACCAAAATAATCAAAACAGCCAATCATGACAGAGAAAAATCACACAAGGAACCAGTAACTAAACTGCCTGACACGCGGGAAAACGCCGGCGAGTAGCGTATGCGATTTGTTGTGATTTTGCATCTGATTGGTCGAGAGAGTCGCAGGAGTTTTACAGGAGTTTTTTAATGAGTGCATTGAAGCAAAACTGATGACACCAGGATTGCTATCCACTTTCCATTGAATATTGCCCTGTCATGCAACTAAGAGACCTTTTAAGAAGCACACAGCCAATCAGTGACCTCACATTTTGTATTTTGTGTTTCTTCTTTGGCAGAAGAAAACAAGAATCTCTTCGAAACCGACATCAAACTCACTAAAAGTGACTTCGACCTGGTAGATACTAGTGAAACAGGAGATGCTAAGGGCGCCCAGGTTAAAGTCGAAAATATCGAGGAAAATGCAGAAAAAAGGAAAGGTGTGCGCACGCGTAGAAAGATCTGGCCGTCTAGGATCATTCCAGTGACGGCCACAGTTGCTTTGGGTGAGTGACGTTAAAGATGTTAATATCAGTTTATGACCGAAAAAAGTGCCGTCTACAACCAATCAGATTCGTACATTTTGGTACCGGTAATGATAAGGTTTCTGTTCAATGTCAGTATATGAGCAACTGCGCACCCACTCCTCCCCAAAGTTAACCCTAATTTGTTATCAGTTGACTGTTGTCGGGTTAGGGGAGGGGTAGGTGCGTAATTTCTCAGATACTGACATTGATCCAGGTTTTTTAACAGTTCTGTAAAAGTACATCATTATCTCCTTTGAATCAGGTGATGCACTATATAATATTCGAGCAGCCATGAAAGCCATACAAGATGTGTCTTGCGTGCGCTTCAAAGATAAGAAGGAAGGAGATAAACACTGGATAAGGATGGTCAAGAAGAACGGGTGAGAGAAAAGTGGATTTTAGTGACGGAGGAAACAGAACTCAGAGGTGTCTCACTCTAGGAGTATAAATACAATTCGAGAAATGTTACCCATAAAAATCCCCGGAATCCCCAGGATTTGCAGGAGACCTCAGATGACCATTCTTGAATCTTCAAATGAGTTGAGAGGGATTATCCTTAAAACAAGCTTTGTATGGGGGATCCAGTCTCCTAACGTAGTAACTCGGTTAAGTTATAGTAAAGTTAGGGAGAGAACATGAGGCAGCTACGATGGATTTGTATTCCGGCATTTATGACAAGATTTACCTTTGTTAGACGTATTCGCGGTTAGCTCTGGATTAAAAGGTTGGGGTCAATCTCTGGGCAGGTAATTTTGTTCTTTCCTTGGGGAAGACATTTATTCTAGCGGTGCGTCTCTCCAACCGAGGAGTATAGGAAAGGGATATGACAGGGTGACTTTGAAAAATGTTAGAGGCAACCTGCAGTAGACTAGCATCTCATCCCGGGCTAGCAGCAGTAACCCCCCTCCCCTCATGCTGCGGACACCATCCGGGGATATGTTGGGCTGGATCGGCCGCTTACCTCTCATGCAGACTTTAACTTTTACCCATAATTAGCGTTCAAGACTCAGATTGACCATATGAAAAAAAAGAAAAAGAGAATTATCGCTTTTACTAAAAATCATTTTGTGTTGTCTCTTTAGATGTTATTCCGTTGTCGGCCGAGAGTATAGTGTGCCTGGTGCACAAGAGCTTTCCATTGGAGATGGGTGTAACAGTAAGGGAATCATACTCCATGAGCTCATGCATGCCCTCGGATTCTGGCACGAGCAATCCCGCACGGATCGGGACAAATATATAGCAGTACTATGGGAAAATATTCAAAAAGGTGAGAGAAAAGATTGAACTAACCAGCCAGATTTACTTATTTCAGTATCCTATTTTCCTCTTGTTGTGAACTGGTTCTCGCCTCGTGTGACACTTTTGTGTTTTTCCCACATTTTAACGCCATCTGTAACTACTACTGATCGTGAACTGACGGCAACATGGATACTTTTTGATAAACAAACGTCGGGATTTAAATAAGCGCCCGGGTGCTTATCCGAGAAAATACGGTATGTTTAATCAAGATAATGATATCACAGGTATTGGTCTTTCCATATCAATTATTAAGAAACCTTTTGTTTACCATGCCCTTTCTCACAGGTCAAGAGAGAAATTTCAACGAACATTCCGTAAATGAAGTAGATTTTGCTGGTGGAATGTATGACTTTGATAGTATTATGCATTATGGAAACTATCTGTACTCCAAAAACAAAAAGATGACCATGGTTGCACTGAAAAATCCCAACTTGCTGTTCGGGCAAACACTAAAGCTGAGCCAGACCGACATTCTACAAATAAACGCCATCTATGACTGCAAAAGTAAGAGTTGTATTTCTTAGAAACCATCATAACTTAATACCGCTACTTCCCTTTTTTCGTTCTATCTGTCGTTCCTCTCTTGTCCTGTGTCATAATTTTTAACGTGACATTTTAGGGTTATTGGTGTCACACAAACAGGTGAGTTACACCTCTGGCATTTATAATTGTTACCGAAGATTCTCTTCGAATCTGACAGACATGAAAACCACAGATTTTGTCTGACTTTGAAAAACTGAAACTTTCACATCTTTCAATTTTCCAAAGTTTCTTTAAGGGGTTGCAAATGCCGGATCATATCAAAAACGTTGTCACTATGGTTTGATGGACATCGATTATAAAGGAAATTAGGGAAGTCAGCCACACCTAGAATGTTGTCTTCACAAGTCGAAATGAACATTTCTCGAGGGTATGAAACCCCTTTAAATATTTCACATTTATGCTTTAACTGAATTATTTGACAATTTTCAAACAGCTCCCAGTGGTCAGTGGAGTAGATGGACAGAGTGGGGTCCCTGTGACATACATTGCACAATGGTGCGTGAAAGGTTCTGTGCGGCAAAAGACAGGAAGAAATGCCCAGGGGTAGATAAAGACGGAATACAGACTGATACCAAACGTTGTGATTCTGAAGAGTGTAATGGTAGGATAATATAAATTTCTCTCTATCTTTAAGACTCATTTTTGGTCATCTTTATTTTAGAAGAAGGAAAAGGCGTTTTGTAAAGAAATAACTTTTTTTTCGCAAACTATGATTTAGTATACGCGTACGTATCGTATCCTGTAAAATACATCCTTTGTAATGACCTGATATAGTGGAAGACTGATAAATGTGGCGGAACGAAAAATTAGAAACGACATTTTGCCGAAGAAATCTGCACGAAAAAAACAACACCACTGCACGCCAGGAGACTGTCGGTTTAGAGTTGAATAATGAGCCATATATCACAGTGGCTAACCCAATCAAACTGTAGTATTTAACTATACGACATGAATCTATGTTTGATTCCAGTCCCCTTAAACGGTCATTGGGGACGGTGGGCGGCCTGGAGTGGGTGCAGCGCGACCTGTGACAAAGGGTATCAAACAAGGTCCCGACTGTGTGATGGACCGGCACCTCAGTTTGGTGGAGATATCTGCGAGGGATCGCTTGTTGAGGTACAGATGTGCAAAGGGTACAGACCTAAATGTAAAGGAAAAAAGGACGGAGCAAGTAAGTAGGATCAGGCTCATTTGTTGCTTCTTCTGGCTCTTTGATTGGTAGAGACAACGCTCGCTATACGTTCTCTACCAATCAGATGCAAAATTAAAAGAAATCGTGATTCCCATTGGCTCTTTTCAGTGATATCAAGCTTTGTTCTGGTTGGTCGATGCGACTACTTCGGTTTAGGTGTTACGACACCCAGTCGAAAAGCGCTCCTTCAGTGTTTTGACGTGATACCATCAAATACACTCATTTATGCACAAACTCGTTTTTTCATCCTCTGAAACAGTTCCCTTCATTTCATGTCTCCTTCGTAGAACATTTTCAGAGAATTGCCTTGCCTTAAAAAGACTCGTGTTCAAAAAAATATTGCTGCATGAAAAAATCGACGCCACCTCAAAATTCCTTTCCTCCATAACTTTGGTCTCATTCTACGATAACCGTGAATAACCCGGAGTTCATATCGGCCCATATGACAAATTTGCACAAATATTAAATCATCCACGTTTATCAATACACGACAAGATTACTCCGAGTTTCATACATTAGTAGAATGTATGTACAAGTAGTTGAAAGGTGGGTCGTGATTCCACTCGATCCACTCGTTATCTCAGTGTCCGTAAGAGCCTATGTTTAGATACGCAACGAACTTTGAAAACAGGAAGCCGTGATGTGTTGATATGCGTTCCAAATTAATGGTTTTTTGGTGAATTTTCTTTTGATTTTTTTTTGTTAGAAATGTGGCGCAAGCGAACGAGAACGAGAAAAATCCTTGGGAAGAGAGATGGCACTTAAAAGGCTTTAAATAACATTATAACATTAAACTGAGAAACAAATTAGCTTATAAGTAAGATTTATTAAACCCTTTTGTCAGTTATATTGTTTTTTTGGAGTCTTTTAAAAGCTTTTTAAGTAAAAACTAAAAAAAAGGAATTTGGCCGCCTAGAAGTTTCGGTTCGGTTCATAAACAAGAGACGCAGCACGTGAAGCAACAACAGAATAAAAGAATTTGAAACCACTTACTGCAGCTACAACAGAAACTATATTGGATAAAAGCACCCTTCATTGGTGTTTTCTTTTTAACAGAAATAACGCCAAGTAAAAAATTTAAAACATTCTCCCCGTAAAGTACAAAATAACCCCCCACACACACCAGGTCTAAACTGTCAGAAAACTACAGTCTTCCACTGATTTTTCGCAATCAAGGATTCGTTTTAAGACAACAGCTTGGTTGAAAGATTGCACTTAAAATTCACCCCTGAGACAGTATATAAAAGACTTTTAAATCCAGTGAGATTCGTATTGTAACTTTTGACAGGTACTCCTGCCATAATTTACCAAATTTAACCCTTTACAAACTAACATCAATCAATGCATCCTCTCTTGACTGTTCTCCGTACATTTCCTGAGGTGCTGACAATGAGAATTCGCTCAAATTAACAGCTTCTTTAGCTGGTGATCATTTCCTTTATTTTCGTGACCTCAAAGTGTGATTTAGGGGTGATACAGTAATTAGAAACAGGATGCTTTAATCTGCGTAATTATCAAATCAGTGTTAGCAGGAGAAATTTAAGCTCTTTTCCAAGAATGATGATAAATTAACGAAATTTTCGACCTAAACAACGTTGCTGAAAGAAAATATCACATGGTAATTTAAAACCTGAAAGAAAGCTCTTGTTTATATGTACTTTTTGATCGAAGTAATTCATAGATCATGATCTCTTTAATCTACCGTTTAATCTTCTCATTAAATAACATTATTTTATGGACTCTCATCACGATCTTGTTTAAAATCATTGCACTTGAAGTGTTCAGGTTAAGCACGTGTCGGTCTGCCATTCTTATCGACAAGAATGCAGCAAAGTGCTAGAAAGCGTGGAATGCACAGCGCGGAATTCTGGCGACCTCAAGGGAATGCCTGCATTAAAACAGACCTCAGCCAAAGCCAAGATTAGCGGTCTTTCGACAGAAATGCACACACCGACCGGTAAGTCTCTACGAATTTTTGCCTTCCTGCCTCCCATTCGGCAACGTAACCTTTAGCTTACTGCCAACTCTACACTCGGCCTAATTGCACACAGCTCGTCGCTCATTGCCTCGTCCGACCTCTTCCTCATAACTTATTGTCGAGATGAAAATGATTTAATATTCAGAAAGACAGAGGTGACATCCATTTACACTCTATCTGTTAGCCAGCTTTTTTTAAAAAAATTTTTATTTTAAAGCGTGTTTTCTCTAAAACTGAATTTTACGGAGCAAGTCGCCCCAAAACCTAACGTTATAAGATCATAAAATAAACACTGTAAACGGTTAGCTTTTCACCTTCAGAATAAACCTCGAGCAACTTCTGAAGCCGATAAAATTTTGGTAAAATGCGAGGAAATACGTTGCTTTTCAAGGAGTATACGCTGAATAAAACTTAATAGAAGCTGGTGAACGTTTCTAAATTATTCCAAGCCAGATAAATTCCGAACTGAAGCGGAGCCATGCACCTAATTACTAGGTCCTCATCATTTGTGTTTGTTTTCGAATACATCCCGAACAGGTTCTGCGAACATAGTAATGCGATCATGTCTTCGAATGGACTCTCGTTTCTCAGAAGGCAAAATGCCAGGAAATTTCTTAAGATCTTGTTTTTTGTCATCCGAAGATGAGACATTTTACCCGAGAAAGTGCGAAAAGCCAAAAAATTCGGAAGATCTTGTCCGTCACCCGAAGATGAGCGATCGATCTATCCGAGGACAAAACGTTTTCTAATAACAGGTCGAAAATCGAAGAATTTTCAAAGATATTGTCTGGTACCCGAAGACGTCCGATCTATTCCGGAAATCGATAAATCTCCGACGACGTTGCCGTTCATTCGTAAATGGCCGATATATCACGATCAACCAAAATCCCCATTGTTCGTCCGAAGATCTGACCTATCACCCGAAGATGGCCGAAACATGCGAACGATTGTGCGACACTATCACCGGACAGACAAAGAACACATGTTTTTAGCAGCAAGCAGGAGACAGGTGCCAACACAATGAACCCGCAGGTTGAGGTTTAAAGATTAAATGAGATTTATATAAATTTTAAAAGACGAAGATGTCTGATGGACTTTGATGCGAAACAATTTCCGAAGACTTTCTTCAGAGATGTTCCGAGGAAACATTGTGCTCGTATTCATCATATGGTTATGTGTCACGTGTTTTCCCTTTGCTTCAGGTTAGTGATTTGCCAAATTTATTTGATCAGACAAAATAGAGAGCTGCTGTAATTTAAAAATCAGAACTGAACAACACAAGAAATCAAATTTCGCTAATCAAACATAGAAACAATAATATAAGTGTTACAATTGTTTAAGTCTGGATTGGGAATTTGAACGTTCGCGGTAGTGATTTTTTGTTACCGCGTTAGTACATGCACATCTATCGATCACTGTGTTCATGCTCATTACGCTCAGTTGTGGTTCTATATGTTGTAACTGATAGTCACTCCTCTTACAGGCAATCCATCCATGAATGGAGCAGAGACAAAATCTATTGAATCAGAAAAGCCAGATGATGCAGTCTTGAATCACATAGAAGGGCTGAATACTGGTATGGTTCAATGATTTATAAACATCAGGCATCATGGAAATTCTCAATATCATATTCTTAGCAATTTCCTTAATTTCAGGTAAAACTTCAATGTAGCCATGTATGTGAAGCAGTTTTTTTCTTCAAATCACCTCAGAATTACAAATCTCTTTTCTGAATTTCTTGCCAAGTATTATATTTAAGTGTGCCAGTGAGTAAGTTCTTCTGGTCGTGAACCATGAGGTTTAAACGTATGGAAAAATGCTCTCAAGTTTACATGTTTCTGTGGTAAAAAGAAAGGAGAAAACGAATTCAACACTAAACGGGATTGAGTGCACGGCCTAAAGATCATGCCAAAGAAATTTTGATTTTCATGAACAAACCAATGCCTTGTGAACATAATAGCTTTTCAAAGGATCAGTCAGAAATGAGGATTTGCTCTCAGCTCGCGAGACCAACCGCAGGACGAAATTGGATGAAACAAATTAGTTTTCGTCCTCTACAGGTGTTAATGGCAGACTGTACGAGGCAGATATTGTTTTGACTGATGAAGATAAGCACCTTGTTGATCAGCGGGAGGAAGGTGATGCAGATGGACCTGAAGGTGGAAATAACGTTATAAGGAGGAATGCTGTAAGAAACAGACAAAAACTGTGGAAAACCCGTGTTTTGCCGTATAGAATATCTCCAGCTCTGTGTGAGTCTTAAAGTGGCTGTGTATTGTTTTCCTGATAACCAACTAACTATATTATATCAGAATGTTCCAAAATCAACTTCCAACTTTGCAATCGCACAATTTTCACACGAGTTGACCTGAGGATTAAACTTTGGAATGATGGGAATTGCAGGATGATAGCTTGGTACGAGGTGGCTCTTGTTAATTTTAACTTCCTACTTTTTAGACCGCGTCAAGAGCGTCATCATGGCAGCCATTAAAGAGTTCCATCGACACACTTGTTTACGCTTCAGGCGGAGAAGGAAAGAACCGCACTGGATCTATTTCGTGAAACGGCCTGGGTAAGACAAGGGAACAAAAATTGTGATTTTTATATCACTCATAACTATTTTAAAAGGTCTCAATACTTGCAGTCGAGTCATTTGCAATCATGTTAATTCGATATAGCGATCTTGTAATTATTTCACTTGATCTCATTGGTGTTTTGCTTCCAGTGAAGTTACTTAGTCAGCGGTTTTCCCGCAAAGGTTGGTAGGTATGTGATTATTACCGCTCTCCTTCAACACCTACGGTGCCATTCCTACCACACGAATTCCCTTACCACCACACCATCTACATTGCCGCAATCATTCTGGCCAGGCCACTACGATACTTTAAAATCCCGCCGATAATTGTTAACACTTGCCGTTGAAGTAGCAGTTATAAATTCTGACAATACTACATACCTCCTCATATATCGAGGTTTTGAACTGAGAATTTTTTTTCGAATCTCCCGATATCTTGGCACCCTTATAAAGGTTAAGTCTTGTACTAGTACTAAGTTGTAAATCGCTTACGTTAATAAAAACTTTAAACCAAAATCATTTAATAAAAAATGATGTTTTTTTCATTTTGTGCTGAAACAAATTCTGTAAATCGAGGTTATTTCAGATATAAGCAATAACTTATTTACCGACGTGTCGGTGGCCTAATAGCAGACATTTAACGAGCTGCGAAGCAGCTTGGCAAAATATTCACTAATAGCCACGACACTAGAGGCAAAAAGCTGTTTTTAGTACCACACACTAAATCCAGTGAATAATATGGCACAAAAAATGATTTTATCTAATTTATTTCTGTACGTGCGGCAGCATGAAACTCACGAAAGTTTTACTCAAGAGTAAATAGCAAAAGATATTCAGAGTTTGAGTAGCCAGTCGAAGACACACCTTCAACGCTGTCCACTGCTTTGGTATATACTAATGACCTTTAACTTGTCCAGAAACCTTGTCGAAAACCATTGCATTAATTCTTGACATGGTTTCATCCGTTTCAGAGTTTTTGAATAAAATGACTGCGACGAACAAGCGAAGGAAGCAAGATGCACTTGCGGTAAAACAAGAAAAATAGTCAGTTTCAGATATTTTCTGTGTTTGCGGTAAATGCCCGTGCCACAAAGTGAACCACTCTTGTACCCACTCCGTGTAGATGTTAACAACTGCAAGAAAATACGATGCACAATTCAATGATATTTGTGAAGGTAAAAAAAGGAAGTCACGAAGAGGCTAGCAGGTGCGAGTTGGACAAAAGAGCAAAAGGGACGGAGGGACCAAATGCAATCCTGAAGTCATTAATCAGGAACACAGTCTCCGCAAGTCGAAGTGTCCGTGTGTAGGGGTGGCATAGGATGCACCGGAAGTCTGCAGATGCTTTAATTGTGGAAACATTGTTCAAGCTCGAGCTGACCCTGGAAAATCCCAAAAACGAAAGAAGCGAAATGGGGCGACCATCTCTCCATAAAGAGGAAAAAAAGGGATCAAAGTTCGCAATCTCAAAATGCAGGATTTAATTGTGGACCATGGAGAAACATTGGGAAACGCTGTTTGATGGTTTGCCGGGACGTGATGATGCGGGGTCAAGGGACTTTCCATAAATTCAAAATTGCGTGATTTGCTTGTATGGGGATTTCGTGGCTAAGTCTCCTGGACCCATAAATGTCTTTAAACATAGCTGCAAAGTTCAACTTCAAATTACGGCTAAAATAAAAGCGCATCTAGAACATTGATTTGTAAATACACTAGAGTAGAGCTATCCTGTCCAGTGAAAGTTTGAAAACTTCCACTACTGCTTTAATTCCCTTTCTGTAATCAAGATGTTCTTCAAAAAGTTAAAAAGTGATTTCTTATTCACACTGTGTAGGCCACAGAGAAATTACTAAGCAAATACAGCTTTGTGTGTCAAAACTGAGGTGATTACCTAGATTTTATTTACACTATTTTTGTTCTTTGTATCTTGTTATTATAACAAAGATTCACGGTGTGCATTTCATATGTTTATGTTGGAAAGGGATGTGACTAATCGTACGCGAACTCGTTCATATTGGGATTACTGCAAGAATAAATTACAACTTGTTTTTATTGTTTAACTGACCACCAATAGTTTTTTAATTACTCATATACCAAATGATAGTTCTGCATTCCCTCATTGATTGCATTCTCTCTTTCACTCTTTTGTGCAAGTGTATTTATCAAAGAAATAAACCGTGATAAAGGCAATTTATGAAAATCAGTAATAGGAACGAATAAAGGGTACTCCTGTGTGGTTCTGATCAGGAATTTCCTATCAAACGCCATAGCCATTAGTCAAACGCCCCCAGCTTATAATTTTTTATCAGCCAATTCTCCCCCGCGTATAGATGAGGCTGACAACTTTAAAATACGCTATTGTATAAACTGAGTTTTGATGCAATGCATTTTACAGCTGTTGGTCGTCCGTGGGTCAGAAGGTCTCCATCCCAGGTCCCCAGCTTCTTTCCATCGGTCCCGGATGTGATAAGAAAGGAATCATAATGCATGAGCTTATGCACGCTGCTGGCTTTTGGCATGAACAATCACGCACGGATCGTAACAAGTACGTGGAGATACTATGGGAGAATGTCGCCAAAGGTATATGCTCTGACTCGTTGGCGAGTTCTCTGAGGTCAGACGTCTGCGCAAGTGCAAATATCGAAACGTGTAATTGTCTTAAGGGGTGGCCCGACAATGGTTGATGAACAGGACTCGTGCTATCAAATAAACACTGTGTTCGAAAAGTCTCGAGTTTTTGTCCTCCCTACATTTGTTTCCTTGTAGAAATTTTCCTTTCTATCGTAAATTTTTTGCGAGGGAGCTGTTTTCATCCTTTTTAAAATTTTGCATCAGAAGTTGGCGCGCCACTGACCAAAATTTGCGTATGCGTCATGTTTGACCGCTATCGTGTTCTCATTGGCTCACCTGGTTGAGCATCCAACCGCGACAGGGAATTCGAATGTTTCCGGGGGGAGGGGAGAGAGTTCATCTTGGTCTTATGATTGTTACAATATTTAAGATCTCTCTTAAATGAGACTGATCACGGCATATTGCAATTCCTGAGTTTTAATTGGTTTACCGCAGAAGGCATCTGAGCTCATATACCATAGACCAAGAATATGATAGTTGCGAGTTTTACTTTCCATCTCAATATCACAGGTCAGGCCCATAATTTTAACAAGTACCCGCATGGCAAGTTGGACTTCCTGGGTGCTATGTACGACTTCCAGAGCCTGATGCATTATGGGAGTCACGCATTCTCCAAGAATGGAAAACAGACTTTAAAACCTATCAAACATTCCGGATCGAAACTCGGCCAAAGGAAAGGTTTCAGTAAAACCGACATACAGCAGTTGAATGCGCTGTACGACTGTAAAAGTAAGTGTCAATTGAGTGTTTTTATCAAACGGGATTGCATCAGTTTTACCATTGAGCTTTTCGATTGAGTGTTGTAAATGTAGAACTAAAGTAATCACAACAGCCAATCAGAAGAAAGTAAAATACCTCAATGAGCCAATGAAAACTCAAAGTTAAAACAAGCCAACCACACAGAGCGCGAGAAAACGCTGACCATCAAGTCGTGATTGTCCAGTTGTACATCTGACTGGTTAAGAGAGTGGTGCGAGTTTTCTGGAACAAATACAGAGCGAAGTAAAGCAAAACCAATGCTGTCCTGGATTACTTTCGATACTTGAACGAAAACTGCTCTAGTAAGAATTAAGAAAATGATCACCGACTAAATTCTCCTGGTCAACACTTGAGGAAATGTATAGAGAACAATATGGATAATATGCATACTGATGTTAGGATAGAAAAGGTTACTCCAGGCTGTGTGTCTTCCCTCCTGTCTCTATTTCACTAGTTCATGCATTATTTCACTCCTCTGTTATTTAGTTAACTAATAAATCAATTAAATCATTTATTTATGTATTCATTTATTTATTTATTTATCTGTCTTAAAAACTCGAATAGGTGAAAGCTCCAAGGCGTGGAGTTCTTGGACAAAGTTTGGTCCGTGTAATGACAAATGTCAGAAGGTTCGTCAGAGATTCTGCATGACAGGTGATCGAATACGCTGCCCTGGGGCGGGCGCTTACGGAATTCAAAAGCAGCCAAGGACATGCTCGCTAAACGAGTGTTATGGTACGTATGATAAGCAAGGCAGATAACCACAGGCTAGGGCTGTCATCGTTTTCCACGCTCATAAGGTGCTTAAAACGCCTCATACGCGCCTCCCCCCTGAGAATACGGGAAACCTATATTCATAGAAAAAGCTTTGATGCCGGATACTGTTTACATGTCATCGCGTTTTGATTTTCAGCTCCCGTTCATGGCCACTGGGGCCGCTGGAGCTCTTGGTCTTCCTGTGGTCGAGCTTGTGGGCCTGGCCTTCGCGCCAGAAGGAGGCTGTGTGACGATCCACGTCCGAGGTATGGTGGGAAAAGATGTAATGGAAGCAGCCTTCAAACTGAACGATGCACGAGACGCGAATGTTGACGGAACACTTAGAAAGTATTGAAAAAAGGTGATGAGAATGTCGATAAAAAGTCATTTGTAATAAAACTCCACCCCAAAAACAACTGGAATAATGATTTTTTAATATGGTGCGATGATTCAAAAAGTCGATCAATTGCACTTGTGAATAACGATTCGCGAACAACGGGGTAAGAGTTACATTCTGCACAGGGGTTAGGCTCCTAAGGAGAATAAGACCCCACCCACATGGGGTTTTTCAGAACCTTATTTCCACTCTACCCTACCCCACAGGGGGTTGGTGTCGGGGCTTGCTCGAAGAGATTTTCCTCGTGTTCTTTGGTTTTCCTCTGCACGAAAGCTTGAAGGACTTGAACGTTTTGAGGAGTTTTGAGAGCTCTTCCTTGTTAAATGGGTAAATTATTATTCATTTTATAAGGGTTTCATGATCACTGACTTGAGTTTAGTCTTATCTTATCTTATCACTCTCGATGTCTTATAGCGTCGGTGAGTCTCGTTGGCGACTGATATCGATCTTGTTTAGTGTCTAATAATTTCAGGAAGTTTTAGTCAAATTCATATTGCGAATAACTCACGCAAATGCCGGAATCAGCGGTCAGAATACGTCTACCATCAATTCACAAAACAACTGGCCTCCAACAAAGGTTTTGTTCGAAATGTTTCTGTAATAAATTGGGTCAATCCTAAAGCCATGACACCATTCTAGTTCGTTCTGTTGATATACGTGAGTTAATAGTTTTTCATCACCTATAGCTGCGCAGGTGTTGTATTTTGTAATAGGATTCTATTGGTGTTGACTCCTCCTGGTCGAACTACGGCCGGTAGCGCTTGTCATATTTCAGTAGCCCACTGAAAACGAGAGCGACTGAAGGCTGATAAAAGACCCTTTTTTCGCAATAAATTGTACATTTATTTTGCCGTCACATTTTATGATGGTAACCCATAGTGGACAAAATATTCCGCCACTCATTTTTTGGAGTCGAGAATGTTTCGCTATTTTTAAACATACCTTCTCATTCACTTGCGTAGATTATTGATCGTGAAAATTTTCGAATAAAATACAATCATCTCTCAACTGGCCAAAAAGCTAAACTCGTAAAGAAATTGTCGCAAAAAAGAAAAACAAAATCTTGACCACCTTTACTTTACTCTGATATCCACTACTGCTCTCCACAGTTGATGTGTTTTTTCAAGTCAGTTTATCGATAACTTGTGCTCTGCGTTTGACTTTGCCCAGCCCCTATTTAACTCCTCAGCTCAGTCTTTTTGGGAAAAAAAAAATGCTGCTTCCCTACCCACAATGCTGCGAAGACAGATTCGGTAAAAATCATTAAATGTCATCTTATATGTATATACCATTATCTTAAGAAAAATAGAATCAATATTTACGTGTACAAAATCATGAAAATGAATTTAAAATATGCACCTAAACTTAAACATATTGTATCTTGCTGAAAAGAAGAATGAAAAGTGTTATCGTGACCTCCGGCCTTTTAAGCGGAGAACGCTTCAGGGCCATTGTCATGCAGCTATTTTTGAGGGCAAAATAAAGTGCGCTTTCATATCGATATTATTTTAATACCGCACTTTCTCTTGTTTTCAAAGCAGGTAATCTTCACAACCCGCAGGGAATGTGCTTCTTGTTGCTACCCATGCAAAGATAACGATGTCAGGATGGTAACCAGGTTTTTAAACATGGCGTGCTTTTTAAACCTTACTGTGGTGTGATTAATTTTTTTTTAAATAAAACTCGTCTTAATAAGGCTTGTTTTATTTTCAAGTCGAAAATTAGATTAGCCTTTTGCTCGCGTAGAGTTTTTGTGCCATTAATTTTTACATTTAATGCCCTCATCATTATCTTTTGATAAAGACAACCTTTATCTTCTCTTTTATGCAATATTTTTCACCCTCGTACGACCATGTGTGTGATATATTTTATATATTATGGTGATAAATAATTTTAACGTCTTCAGAATGTGTTGATTTTCAACACGCAGTGTCTTCTTTTGCTATCTTTGTATTTCGCGTGACAAATATTTCCCTGCGTTTTAAGGAAAAGTAAAATTTGTCTTCTTAATAGCTTCGCCGTTTTTTTAATTGGCGACTATTGAATATGACATACATGAATATATATGCAGCCTCTTGCGTGCTCGCTTGAAAGTAATAATTTTCCAATACCCTGCTGTTGGAAGGAGAGCGATTTCCGATAGTCAGCTCATTGTAAACATTAAAGACATTCATATACGTCTTTACAATCTTATTTTGTCTAAAAACTGCCATTCTGTTTCCTTTTCCGCGGATATTGAAAATAGAGTATAAAAGTCATTTCGACAGGGCCAGATGGTGTATAAATGTGAAATTAAAAAGGTGTTTGTGTACAATCTTTCTATAAATTTCGATGTCACTAGGTCCAAACAATTCGTGAAGGAAACATATTGAGTGTTTCATACATGAAGAATGTTGTGATACAACTGACAGGAATACACAAAAGTGAACAGATGTAACATACACATTTCGACGCTTTGTTTATTTTGTTCCCTTAAGTGATGTTAAGAGGATTTAAGTGCGTGATGTACCACTAAAGGCTGAAATTAAAATAGCGGTAAAAGCTGTTCTGTTTATACTTCCAATGAAAAAGGACTTATTCTGAGTTTTTATATAACTTGGGCGACTTCAAATGTCGGCTTCATTAGAAATGCTAACTACTAAACAGTTTAGAAGATTAAGCGCGGTAGTCTTCTTTATGAAGAAACAGTGTAGCTGCCTGATATTAAAAACAATTGATTTTGTCTTTATTCTATTCTTGTCATCTATCGTCAAACAGGAAAAGTGATAATAAACAGTTGTCTTAATGATATGACAGTGTGTAAGGGAATATTAAAATGTGGTTAAATTTAAAGTTTTACCTAATATACTTTCTGTAAATCAAAAAGCCACAGTAAATGTACGTAAGCATTTCTGTCCAAATAAAATTCACGTCGTTTCATGTAAAAAGTACAAAGAAAACCTATTTGTTTTGTAGTTTTTATTTTGACCTGTGGTCTATTCAGCAAAGTATCGCACGGGAACCGAAAGATACACTTGGTATGAAGAATAACATATGCACATTCATTTATAATGCTTCTTGAAGAAACTGTGTGCAGTTAATCACCATGAGAATATATGGTGCCATATTGTCGCCGAGAAAAAGTTGAATTAATGTCAGTTTCCATTTTCATTTTCAAATGATTGTGATTCACAAAATTAAGCGAAATCAATTTTTTTTCATTTTTACATGGTTTTCTTTTTATCCATGACCTACTGTAAAGTCCACGACTTGGTGCTCATAAGGTTTCAAACAATGAAATTCAAAAGTCTTAGTTTACGAGAAAATATATATTAAATAGAGCTCTATGAGCAAGTGCCAAATCTTTGATAACTGAGGCAAGTCGTCAATTTTAAATAATTTATCATATATACTCCTGTCTTTATCTCAGTTGCTCGTTTACTTTTATATTTAAGTGATCGGCCGCAAGTTGACCATTTTTTGAACGTTGCTCGTTAAATAAACTTTATACTTTCATTGTAGATGGACTCATGCAGTTCAGTTTTTGTGCTGTGCAAATCATAATAGAAATGAAATACGTCATTTGTGTTTTATTCAGTTACTCGTCAGCCTAATAGTATTTGGCCAACTTTCCGAGGCAGGCAATAGCCTTCTTCGTCCCATTTCCTCGCTTAAAATGAACCGCAAAAAATTGCAAAATTAAAATTGAAAATGTTTACAACTTTCTAATCGAAGTATCCAGTGTCTTGAAAGTCATGCGAATCGCAATTTTAACCTGCGAGATCTACATATTTATTGCGCTTCAATACGGACAACTTCACCAAAATTCACTTTTTTTGTTGACACTTGATTTCTTTCATCATTGCCTCCATCGACATCTTCTCCATCTTTCAATGATTGAAGTGGCTCATTTCTGAACGAAACACGATATTCTTTTGCCTCAAGGTTAGGAATTAGCTCTTTGCACCAATAACTGTTATTCCACAATAATTTTCTTGCCGCGTAATTGTTTCGTGCACTTCGTGGTGTTGCAAGCTGCATCGTGTAGGGTAGATGGTTTGATTTTCTTTGTGAGCGCCGCTCTCTTCTCCGCGAAATTTTGCTTTTTCTGTAGATGTTCGCATTGCTGCAAGTTTCCTGCGATCGAAATCTTAAGCATGAAATCACCAGCATTTTCACAGTGCCACATGGGCTAAAAATATCCCGGCAGTACCGTCTGTGGAGAAACACAAATATGAACGGATTAATGGCTGAGTTGGAGTAAACCAAGATATAGCAAAAATTGATTATGGTACCAAAATATCGGAGACCCTTCTCCGAACCAAAATCTTTCCAAATCCACATGATATGGTTGGGTAACATACAGAGTGAAAAGGCAATCACCGCAATTATAAATATCCTGACGATTCTCATATTGCGCTGAGCTCTCGCCTGCATGAGTGGCTTTTTACCGTTGCGTTTTCTTTCGCCAATCGCCTTGTGTATTCTTTGTATGTCTCTCCAGAGCTTTTGACTGATCCGTATGTAGTTGGCGGTGATCACAAAAAGTGGCAACACATACAGAGCTATAAAAACTGCAAGCGTGAACACTTTGGGATGGTATTTCTCAGGCCAGTTTTCCATGCACTGAGTTACACCGTCGCTGGTTTCAGCTTTAAGAATGGCAATGTACGGTCCGACCAAACTGATGCTAGCAGCCCAGAGAATAAAAACTATCGTAACTGCTCGTTTTGCTTTTATTTTTGGCTTAAATGGCGGCATAACTGAACGATGTCTCTCCCAGCTCATGAAAAGCAGCGTGTACACAGACACGGCCATCAGAATGGTTTGCAAAGGGTACACGATTTTACACAGCACGTTTCCAAAAGGCCATTCTTTCACTAGTCTTTCCACAAAGTCAAATGGTATACTTATTACACAAGTTGCCAAGTCTGTTGCGGCCAAATTGAGGACGAAAACGTCGGTGATACGCAAGCGGCGTCTTTTAAAAACAGCCAAGCAAATTAGGGTATTTCCTATCAAACCAGCAGCGGTGATTATAGAGTAGCACATCAGTTGAACGATGGCTAGTCGATCGAAACCTTCCACCGAAGTTGTGCTTTTGTTAGTTGCAAATTGCTCCGTTAGGTTTACAGCAGAAGACATGTTAAACAAGAGATTAGTCGCCGAATCACCGCTTCGGGCTTCAAACTCGGACGATTTTATCCCGCGCTGTTTCACAGTGCACCGTTTGTGGCCGAAAAGTTTTTCGATGACTTTATGTGTCGAATTAAAAAGCAGTTTGACCGCGCGTGTGACCTGAATGGTGGCTACTAATATTGAAATTGTTCTTATCTTGACGTGAAAATAAACGCTTCATGGCCATCTGTCTCCAGATTGAATAGCCTTCATCCCCACTTAATAATATCGACTCAACAGCCGGGCGAATAAAAAAGACTGCGATTAATGTGTTTTGGAAGCAGCTTTTATCGTATGCATGAATTCAGTTGTATTCCGCAAACAGTTTTAAAATGCATTCATATGAAGAGAGCAAAAGCACTGTTTGGTAAGCATCCAAGAGCTGTTGAAGTTTATGTCCCCACATCTCAAAATAACAGATAACAGAAGTACCGCGACTTGCAAGGAAAGCAGAGGCCATCTCCGTAATAAGTTCAAAATAAGTTTAGTGATTGTTACTTCTGATGGGTTTGAGGATGTTATTACATTTTACTGTTCGTCGCCTCGGAGGAAAAGTCATTGAGAGATCGAAAGACATGACTTCTAGACAACACAGGAGGTTTTAAATTCATTTAGAAAAGCTAACTGACTTCTCTTACAGCAATTTATAGAAATTCATATTCATTAGAAGAGCTATGTCTAACATCCCGCTGCGTTAAAGAAACGAACGGTTTTCTATTGAAAAAGGTCAGACAAGTCTCTAAACTTGAAATTCGTCTCTGTTCGGTCCATAGAGGAAGAGGAAGGAGAAAATAAAATAAGTATTTGAAATTTCTTGCATTTTCGCGATTAAATCGGTGTTTGACGTCACTTCCTCAAATAAATTGTAATAAAGTGCAGTAGGAGATGAACTGTTTCTCTATTTTTCCTGCATGGGTTATTCGTCATGTTTTACAATGATGTATTAAAATATATAATTCACATGTTATAGAGCGCAGGAAATTTATTTCTCTTCCGATAGTTAATGCTTTGTTAATTGACCCCAATATATGTTTATTTCTGACAAATCTCTGCGGATGCAAGCCGTAAATCAGTGGGCGGATGAAAGTAAATGTTGCCTCTTTCGTGTGTTTTCGCGCACGTACTCGCTGGGTATTCTTGGTTTTTGCGAAAGCAGCCGACGGCAAATATCAAAATATTGTTTTTACTCCCAGCGAAATATTTCAACCGATGAGGTAAGGATGATTTCGCCACTCTTTTTCGGCTTTCAGATACAAAACGTTGTTTTCAGCCTTTCTGGCGTAGAAATTAAAACACGATATTGTAATGCCCCGTCTGCGAAAGATGGGACTTTTGTTTCCAGGGCGGGCAATTAAACTACCCTCGAGCACGTTTCTTTCATTTTCTTTTTCAGATTCGCTAAATACAAGTCGGTAGGCTATAACTAAGCGAGAAATATGTTTCCTGTTTTCCCGGGAAACACAGATAAATGCGTAAAAGGTTGTGGGCTGATGTCTGCAGATGAGTGAGAGAAATGAGTGGAAGGAAATTAATTTTCTCTAGTTCAGAATTAATTCCAATAAAATTTGCCTCAATTATTGGAAGACTGTCGAAATTTTGTCAAGTATTTCAATTATGCACTTGGTCAGAGTGCATAATGGTGTCAACTTGTTCATCATCATGTGTTTTAAAAGCTTAGTATTCAAAGACTCTCCCGTATTACAAAACCAATGAGCGGACACAGGGATCACGAGATCCTCTTTATGTATAAAAATAGAAGGGTATAAAGGTTTTTTTTGTAAAAAAACCTGAAACGCAGTCTAACTTTCCATGCATAGGGCATCTGTAAACGTTTGCCAAGGCCAATTTAATCAACTAAGATTGTCTGTTACTTCTAATGCGAGAATTTTCGCCTTTGCTTTATGATCGCTGACGGTGATCATATCAAAATAACGTGTCGGTACGTTTTTTGATCTTAGTTTATTTTCCCTTCAGAGCCGCCTTCTAAAGTCAGTGCGTGCGCTCAGCTACCGCCCGGTCACCATGTAATCCTTAACCTATTTGCGCTTTTAAGCGGGAACTATGTAACTGAAAAAAAAGGAATGTTGTAAATGACAACGTGTTCATTATTATCTCAGTTTGGCCCTTTATTTTTTTAGGGGAGTGGGGAGAGAGAGTGAATTTCCTTTAAGTATATTTAGTGCTGGGGGTGGGGGTGGGGAGACGTCCCAATCGCACCATGACTATACTGTTTGAAATGAGTACTTCCGTGCCAAAAACGTTAGATTTTACTTTAAACCGGTGTACATATTTAAGGTGCAGAATAATAAACGGCTTTAGACTCTTGGTTTGTTATCAGGTATGTAGCAACAGGCATTTTTTCTTCAATTTTACCCGTATTTCAAATCTAATCAGAGGTCATAAATATTGGATAACCCTGTATTGTAATAAAAGTAAGTTTTTTATTTTCACTATTCCTTTTAAACCTGAGACTAGTGTCTGGGTTTCCATTAAAATATCAAATTAGAGGGCATCTTTTTCTACAAAGGCCTCTTTAATAAACAAAGACCGTGAGTAATTTCTGATGCAGATAATTTTCGCCTCTGCCCTACAGCATCAGTAAATTCTGTGATCAAAACAATAGCGATATTAAATTTCGATTTACCTTTTGAGGCACTTAATTTTGATCTTTAGACATACATAAATTAATTCACTCTGTCCTGTGCAACTCATTTCTTTATTCAACAGAATTAAATACTCATTTTCATACCGTGTACATATTTAATATTCTAAGCTATCGTCGGCTTGCAAATTGAGGTATTCTGAAAAATGTTTCCAAGTGTCACGGTTTAGTGTTCCACAGCATGCTGTAAGTTAGCAACTTCAGAAAACAATCCTTGTTATGCCAAATTTTTTTCCATTTTCCTTCTCTTGAATTAAGTATTGTAAGTTAGAAGCATACTTAAAAAAAAAAACATTGAAAATATATCTTCATTCTTTTACTAGAAAAAAAATTCTAATTTGATTTATACTAAATAATAAAGCAATCAGGATTCAATGATATCTGCAAAGATCAACTGTCAAAACCATACCTGTAACTGTGATTGAAACTGTGCATTTACATTAACACTGGCTACTTTTTAGGATGGTGTGCTACCAAGGTAAGAGAGGGAGGGGGGGAGGGGAGGGGGAATTGAAGTGCCTTTGACCCTTTGAACTTTAGGAGTGACTAACAACTATATCCTTGCTAACCTAGGTTTTATAGTTGTTCTTTTGGAGTTGTCGATATTTCATATTTTTATATTTAAATATAAATAATAAATATCCAACTTTTATATTTTAAGGGTTTATCATTAGTTTTTTTTAAGAATTACTGGGTATTCATAGAGATAGAAGTTATAGACTGAGAGTATTTTATCATGGCTACACAGGGGTCGATACCAGCTTTTACTACAGTACTAGCTGATCCATTTTATAGGGTAAATTAAGTTATTATTATTATTACCATTATTATTCCCCTCACATTATCACCCCTGAATCATTCATTAAGGTCACAGGAGCAAGGGAAATGATCACCAACTAAAGAAGGTTTGGATTGTTCAACAAATTCTCCTTGTTACTACCTTAGGAAATGTATAGAGTACAGTGTAGAGAAAGTGCTTACTGATGTTAGGGTGTAAAAGAGTTAAATAAATTTTTGGATGGAGGAGACCCCCCTTCCCCCTCCCTGCCCCCCCCCCCAAAAAAAAAAAAAAAACAAAAAACAAAAAGGCCACAATCCTTATTTTCTTTAGGATGAATACCCACCACACTTACACAAAACCTCCTGAAATACAATTACAATACAATTTCAAACTTTTCAAAAGTTTTTCAACAGTTCTGTGAGTGAAACTTTCTCTGTAAATGTTACATGGTCCAAATTTGTGAACCAGGGTTCAATAATGGTAGCTGTTGTGTCTTTCTCCCAATCTTGCACATACTCCAGAAGCTGCTTCAGTTGCAGTTCAGAATTACAGTTTTGATGACATGACTTGATGTCTTCAGGCTCGGACACTCTTACCTCAAGCACATGACATGTGTAACCAAAGGCTTGACCAAGACTCTTGTACACTGCATACTCCCAACACTTGGTGTAGACACCATCCACTACGACAAAAGGGCATAAATTTGCCATAGCATCCAGGAAACAAGAGCGACAGTAAGCCTCAGCAATGTTTAGTTCACAGAGATCTAAGGCTATAGCACCTTTCTTTTGAAATAACTGTCTTGAATTACAATATGTTAATCCATCTGATTCTCTGGCTTCTGAGTTTTCAACAAGATGTGTTTTTCCACTTCCAGGAATGCCTCTCATTATTATAACAACTCTACCTGTATCTTGAAAAGAGTTACCTAGTTCTGTCAGTTTTGCAAGACCCTTGTCCATCTCTGAAGCATTCCCTGACTGAAAAAGTGCTTTGATTTTATTTCTTTCATCCTCACAAATCTCTTTCTTTTCAAACAAATAATCTGCATATTGGCAGAACTTTGGTGGTAAAGTGGAAGACAGTGCCTTCAAGGAGTTTTCCACTGCTGAAACTTTCTGATGAGTACCGTCGACAGCTTTTGGCAGACATCTGGAGAACAGAATGAGAGACTCTACAGCCTGTTCTCCAAATTCAAGGTTAGATTTCATTAACTCCTGCAACTTTCTAAGTAACTCATCAGTTAAAGACCTTCCTCTTATGATAGTAAGATGAGGTACAAACTGATCTCGGTTTCCTTCCAAACTTATTCCAGCCTTTCCAAACTTAAATTTCAATGCTTGGACAATTTTCAACAACCTGTCATCAGGATCAACTTTGGCATAAAGAATTCTGTTGTGAAACTGTCCAAGACCATTGATTTTTAGTTTATGCCTGAGTGGAAGAAGGGACACCAACAAAGGTTGGATTGACTTGAGAATGCTCTTAGCAGTGGCTATGTCATCTTCATTCTTCAGAGTTAACATTAGCAAGGTGATGTGTAAGCTTTGACTTGGCGTTACTTCATACTCTGCTTCTTGGCCAAGCTCTAGGTGGATCATACTTTGGATCTGCAAAAACAAAGGTAGTTTTATTAAACCCTTTGAATTACAGAAGTGACCATTATGTAACTTCTCCTCAAATTTTCAATGCATTATTTGGCAAACAATATCGATACAATATCAACCAGACAAGTAATGGGAATAAAGACAAATATCAATTTGGGGATTATGAGTTGGTACAATACAAAATTCTCAGAACTAACATGATAAGAATTGTAAAGCTGACAGTAAGGAGAAATCATAATGAGGTCTTGGAATTTAAAGGGTTACAATTCCCTCCAATTAAATTCTAAACTCACCTTGTTAATGTTTTCAATTATTCCCTCATCTGAAATCTGAATTGCAATGAAATAATTTGGTCCATTCTTTTCTTTAACAGACTTCACTTTAAGAAGCTCTGAAGCATTGGAAACAACTCCAGTATCAGGTACTGTTTCCTCTGTGACTTGCTCTTGATCAGAGTTTTGCGGCATACTGATCCTCTCTTTGACATCCAGAATGGTCTCATTGCTTCCTGTAGATCCAAAGACTCTATCAATACGTTCCCGTTTGTCCCAAACAATTTCCCCCAGGTACTTGAAATACTGAATTCTATGACGAGGAATGGCAAGGTCAACAAAGTGATCCACAGAAGCCAGATCCTCCCATGACAGATCTGTGAAGTCTTTCTCTACAATTCCAACAAATCTATCCAGGTAACCAACCACAAAATCTTTTGGTGAAAGCTCCTCGTCCCATTGAATTCTGGAAATGACATCACTTGCTGTTTTCATGGGAGGTTTCTTCTTGTTTAAGACAACCTCTTTCTTTTCATGATGCCTATTTCCAGAGTTGTGAACAGACTTTCCTGCACTTTTTACCTTTTCAATATCATTGGTGGATGATCTCTCCTCAACATTTTGCACCCCACTATTAGCTTGCACTCCTTCACCATGTTTATTTAAGCACTTGACTCCGAATCTACACTTCCCTTCAAGAAAGAATTTGCAAATATTGGCTGTATTGTCAGGAGAGTTTTTCTCTCCTTGAGAGGAAAGCATCAGTTTTTCAGACAATTCCATTTTCTTTAACCAGTTCTTAGATTCTTCAGTGAGATTATAAATCATTACTTCACCACAGCTCTCCTGTGCAATGTGGTACAACAGTGATTCCAATTCTGTATAAGCTGGTTGATTATCTTGTGTAACACTGATGGAAGGTGCAATATTGGGGTAGTTCTCTGGAGGAACAAGAAAGTCTCTTTAAGAAATTAACAGAACTCTGCAGTAATCACAATTAGTTATGCTTCTGAATTTCAGAACCTCCTAAATGATACTTCACAAACATAGATTTCTTTCATAAGGTAAATAAACTAAAAAAACCCTAGGATGTACTATTTTATCCAGAACACTTTGACATATCACCCCCAAATCACATATCAAGGTCCAGAATAAAAGAAATGCTCATCAGCTAAAGAGGCTCTTGATTGGTTAAGAAATTCTCCGTGCCAGGTCCTTAGGAAATGTATAGAGAACACTATGGAGAATAAGTATACTGATCCTCGCAGTAATGAATAAGTATACTGATGTTATGATGCATAATCGCTTGATGATATATATGTCTTGTAACTACAGAGTCATTTATACACGCAAGTAAGTAAATCATTGCGTAAGGGTTACCCTTCAAGAAAATTAGAATAGGGGCTTATGCAGCCCGGTTATTTGTCTGCCAGTAATTGCAGTCGAGACTTGCTAAGCAGGTGGGAAAAATCTTAGCCACTCAGAGGACAGTCTTGAAAAATTGAAGATGTACTCTAGTTTAAAGCGATCGTAGCGAGAATAATAAGGCTGTTCGTATGAAGAATTATAAATCCAAGGTAAGTTTAGAATATGGGAACTAATGAAGAAAAGTTATCTCACCTGGTAATGTGAAAATTATTTTTGTCTTACTCTGTTGAAAGTTTACTTCATAAGACACAGGTTGATTCTCTTCTGATCTCTTTACCGAAACAATTTCCTCTCCGTAGATTGATTGCAGTGCTTCAGCTTCCATTTCACGTTCCACAGAAGAGTACTCCATATTCTCAAGACGAGTGTTATCCCAGAAATTTAGACTAATTTGACACAGATCACAGAATTTTGGAAATTTATTATTCCAGCAAACAAAATTGCATTTTGTGGTGCAACTGTTTATGGCCGTGAGAAAACTGGACCCTTGATTAAAAGTCAGTTCCAGGTCTCCGTTCGTAACGCTCTCCTATTTAGAATACGTCACGATTTGGAATACCTCGAAGGAAAGATTTATATGCTAAATACTCTTTGACTTAAGACCTGGAGCCATTTAGCTCAAATGATTCACTGCACCTTTCCAGCCTGCGGAGCCAGTACTATATACCAATATCTCGTTGTTAAGTTAGGCAGTTTCTAAGCAAAAATTAATTTCACTTCAGGCACTTTTAAACTAACTTTTTACTTATTTGTCATAGGACTAGTTTTAGTCAAATGGTACTTTATTTTTAGAGAATTTTGGTTTACTTTTACTTCAGGGAACCGCCCTGAAAACCACGTACTTAGAGTGATGGGAGTCTCCTCTCAGAATATCAATTTTGCTTTTATTCTAGGATATTCTTATTTCCCATTTTCATAACTTGGGAGCAAAATTTGACTGCAGCCTCGGATCGCTGATGGTCGAAGAAATTTATTATCACCAGACTCGAAAAAGATCTCTCTGCGCAGTGCAAATGGCTACCGGCTTGAAGGAATGTTTTCAAGCAAATCTCCATTTTATCTTATGTAGTGAGTCCGCAAGATGTTTTTCAAGGTTAAAATCACTTGAACTTTCTAGAAAATCTCTATGATGATGTGTATAATGAAAAGACACTTACTAGCAGTGGAATGTAGCTATATGAGGTTTTCATCGGGCTTTTTTCCTCCCTTTTTGCAAGGAAATATGCAAGAATCTTATAGAAACTTTTCTTTTCTTCTCATCTTAAGTGTATATATCTGATCCGGTCACGCTTAGTTTACCAACTGAAATGAACTCCTCAGATAATTATATTAAATCTATGGGCCATAAGAGTTTGTGTTAAGACGGGGTGAAATTTGTGAAAAAAAAAGTAATGTCGGTACTTAATCGATCTAAAGGGCAGCTAGTTTACTATTTTGCGAAAGCCGGCAAATCTAAAATAAACAAGTTTGATCGACGTGCCATATTATAAACTAGTTTCTACTCCTTGCTTTCTCGAGCCGTACTGGGACCGAGCGCAGCACAGCATCACTTTCACGTCTTTCCTGGCGTCGCCATGGAGACTGTATAAAGGTCTGTACTAAAATTGAACGTGTACCGATATTGTTTAGATCATGTTGAGTATCTGTTACTACATTCCTCATTCTATATCATGCACAACAGGGCACTTGAGTGACCCTTAATGATGGCTAAAACGTCATTTTCGTAATTCTATGTGTGACAGCTAATTTTACGACCAGTCATCTGTTTGGCTAAATATTGATACAGGAAATTCACTTCTTGTACCTAGGTTTTGATCTAACTTAAAGAAATACAAAGAAACCATTTATTTGCGTGATTTTGCTTCGTACATGAAACCTGCCGTTAAAGCAGGTCTTCATATATGATAACCTGAAGTATATCGAATTGCATGATTTTAGATGGTGCACAACAGCTTAAAATAATTTGAAAACATGATGAATCCGCATTGAGCCCCCAAGCATCTAGACCACTGGTGTCCCCGTGTCTTCGAGCCTTCTCTTGGAATTTCGTAAATGGTTAAAAAGAAATGTTGTCTGATTTCAATGTGACTAAGGCCTAAGTTCTGAAAAAGAGGCAAGTATGCGGATAAATATTGGGCTTCGTAAAGTATCAATCTCTCATGATTGTTACGTTTCTACTGGATATACTCTACTGTGTGGAATATAGCTCTACCAAATTGAATTTTTTATTTATTTCTGTAGACTTAATGACTCCAGGCTCTTAGAATTAACGCCACTTGAAATAATAAAAATTATTTTTATTGAAACTCATGCATTTTTTCCATTCAATATAACTGTGTCACAGCTCCGAATATCAAATATGCGGTATTGAGGCGTTGAGGAAATTCATAAAAAAACATGCAATGATAAACTTTGCATCATTTGGCGAGTAGTTCTGGCTAACTAAGGCAAAAATTCCAAGATGTGGCTCTTAGTGGCAGCCTTCCTAGCTTGTTTTGCTTCCAGTGCAAATGGCCAAAGCCAAACAATGCATGAGATGTCATTTGACGATGGAAATTTTAACGTATCGTGGACACACAACAGAAGTACGGAAGAGTTAGAGTTTGAAGTTCATGCCAATGCAATAGGTTATGTTGCCTTTGGGTTCACCTTTACGCCAGAAGACATGCAGAACTATTCTATTGTGGTGGGAGGCACAAATGGCTCCGGACAGAATTATTTCAACGTAAGTTTGTTTTGTTTTTTTTTCATTCTGTAAGATGTGCATGCAAGATTTATCCCCAGATTAGTGACCCCTAGAGAGCTCGTTAGTGAGACAGGCGGTGTGTACTACAGATTTATTGTAGTACATAGCACTGCCACATACTGCTTGGATCAGTTGTGTCGATCCTTTTTTTCCTTAAGTGTTTGACAAGCTTAGTATCAGGCACAGAGGGTCAAACTCCTGATCATTAATTTCTTTTCCGGGAGAGAGATCCGACTAAAATAGGGACCGTAAGCAAACCAAGACAGCGACTGCAAACAGTTGATCTAACGGGCTGAACAATAACTCAGCTTGTTCGTTTTAAAACTTTTTACATTTCTTAGCCGTCCTCTGCAAAACAACAACGTGAAATCACCAAAACTTTCGAGATCTGAGAAGGAAATTCTGACGGCGCATCATGTGCGTCTCCATCTGGAACTCAACGCTGATTATAAACATTACGCTGAAGTTTAGGTGTGGCACCGATAAAGACAGTAAACACATCCAGCCGTTCGCAAAATTCTAACTAAAAATGCAAACTAATTTTTAGTCAACATCAAGTTCCTGAGCATTGCCATCCTGATCGCTTAAGGCCCCTTTTAATTTCCCTTGCTCTAAACATGTGTTCGTTGGTTGTAGCAGTTACGCTGATGAAGTTCGAGCCGAGTCGAAGCTCAGCTGAATTCCGTTTACAGGCTTTATCCTCTGCAATATTGCTCTATTGAAGTTTTACGTATATGATCAATTCGTAACAAAATCCAGTGTCTCCTGTTCCAATTTAGAATTTTTTTTAACCAATACTAACTCAAATTCGCGGTGGAAAACATCTGGGACAACACCCGTTTCTCACAAAAAATTTGTTTTTCAATCCAGACGGTCTTTTTGAGTTCTGTTGGTTTTGTGCAACCAGCGTTAGCTTCAAAATATTTACTTATGACATGAATAGGTTAAAATTCATGGTCCTGTTTCAAACGCTTATCAAAGTATAGTAACTATGGAGTGAAGCGATTGTAATGCTTTATTTGAAATTCAAATTTGCTTTGTATTGCAGTCAGGTTCGTCATGGTTGTTAATTGAAATTAGTTTCGGAAACCGGCAATTTTTTTTTAAAACTTAGTCAGGTGTAAATCTTAATCGCTCGGAAAAACCCGGAGACGAATAATCTCATTTGATTCTTTTTTTGAATCATACCTGCGCCTCTCGCTCTGGTATTCTCGCATTCAAGCCTGCAATCAGCACTTCAGCAGATATTGTCCACGAGACGATTTAGATCACGGAAAAATTGTGTATGTGAAGTATTTTCAGACCATCAAAACATTAGTTGTATTGTCTTGAAATTTTCAGAATATATCATTTGGACTCTCCACGCAACTATAAAGGGGTAACTACCAGCATTTTTATCATATTAATGTTTATATTAACTTTCTGTGAGAAGAATTTAAAAAGTTTTCACTCACAACCTCTAGAGTTACCACACCAGTGGCCTCGGGAAACTTACCCTGGATGCGGACCCGCAAATTTACATACTGGACAGTGCTGAAGAACAAAATGGCACTACAACCCTACGCTTCCGACGACCGCTGGAGACAAACGACAGTAAAGACATCCAGTTTAACGTAAGCATCTCAGCTTAAGTTGTAATTCAAATAGAGCGATTTTCGATTGCGTGTCGAAGAACCAAACGCTAATTAGACTGAGTACCAGGCCTTCCATGGGAAGGGGGAGTGGGTCTGAGCGTCCTATCATTGAGCAGATGCATGACGAAGCAGAACTAATTTTTTTCGAAGCTCTATTTCTTGTAGTGAATTAAGTGCAACTCAGAATTTGGTAGAGGGAATCTGCGCTCTATGAGTATCTTTCTCATTTAACCATCCATGGAATAACCCTTCAAAATTGAATAATCTGCAAAGTAATGTGATGTTAGTTTGTGAGGTGTCCTGCGAATCGGAAGAATATGATATTTTGGTTCGTTTTTCTGCGCGTCGCAAAATTATTTTTAACTTGAGGAAACCACAAAATATTGGTTTGGTTAAATAGAAAAACGTGAATAGGTGGTTATTTACAAAGAAAAAACAACGATGGATAAGCATGGAGGAGATTTCATCAAATTGACGACAAAAAACTCGGAAAATCTACGTTAGCTTTTACAAAAGGCAAAATCAGTCCGTAACATGGTTCTTTCCAAACGTCTTATTTCTACGTTGCAGGAGACCACTCGTGTGTTCCTTGTGTGGGCTTATCATAAATATTCGGATGCAGATAATGTCGTTACATATCACACAAACAGAAATTACACAGAACAAGCCATGCAAGTTGTCTTCCCGCCCATAGAAATGACGTCAACACCTCCGGCCGTCATGACTAGGGAACGGCCAAACCCGGAATCCTCCGCAGTTCAAATGGTTGTCAGTGCTTTCACGCTCTTTGTCCTAGCAATTTCAGCACTTATGTTTTGAAGTAGCTCTGGGTCATTAAAAAAAAAAAAATTATAAAATAAAAGAAGCTATGGCAGTTCAACAGGCACCTGCCCGCCCAAGAAGGGCAATCTCACTGCTTTTTGCAACAAATTAGAGAAGCAAAATTAGTCTCATTCAAATGCATTCTGTGCTCATTTCGCCAATTGGTAAAGATCGCTTCACGTTTTTTTTTCAGGAATTCTGATTGCCTTCTCCTTCTCCTTTTTCTTTTTAAGCCAATATATTATTTTCGTGTTAGAAGTTTTGGATGATATAGATTGGTCTAAATAGTAAGACCAATTTGGTTTCCATGGCAGACTTGAAATATAGGCATGCCTTGTTTTGGTTCTTTTCTAAGAAACAAAAGAAGGAAAACTTCCCATCAAACATTTTTGATGTGTTACTGACCTATCAAATAAGTTGAGAACCACCAAAAATTTCAACGAGTCAAGGTCATGCCTTGTCCAGTTAACCTGCATATTCTCCATACTATTCCTTATACATTTCCTAAGGTGCTCACAATGAGAATCTGTGTAACAATCAAGAGATTCTTTAGTTGGTGATCATTTCCCTTTTTCTCTTGACCTAACAGTGTAATTCATGGGTAATATTTCCAGGAGAATTTAGATGGTGTCACTCTTAAGGGTCAAAGGTTAACCACTCCACAAAACGTTACGAACGGAATAAAATTCATCAAGTTCAGCCTTTTGCTCTCATTACTTAAGTTGTATAGGTCCCTTCATAGGATGTTACATTTCTACAGTGACAACTTTAAGACACAAGTCTTGCTAGTCCTATACAGAGGTTTTAATATCTTTAGTAACATTACTCAAGGGCTGGTTAGCACAAGAAATGCATATTGCAGCAGAAAGAAATAAGATCAGTTGATTTCAATGTACCAAATAAGCACAGACATACAAGTTGCCTACCAAAAGAAATCCTTGGGAGTATTAATAAGAATCCCTGACAGAGAATTACAGTTATGTGATACGTATTTTGTGAAATTTTGGATTTTCTATCAAAATAAGTTACTTTACAAGATTAGAGATTTTGATGCTGGTTTTCACTAATGATGGAGTTACAGTTGTTGTAACTCTCATTGGGTAGAGAACGCTTCTTCGATCTTGTATCACTCAAAGTGATCAGAGTTCTGGTGGAAAGCACTTAGATCACTTGTAATGAAGTGAAGAGTAAATTTTTGAAGTTGTAAATGAAAGCCACTGACTGAACCAATCATTAGCAGTCATCAACATTTAACCCTTAAACTCCCAAGGATCTGATTGTTAATTCTCCCCTCTAGCTGCTACACATTTCTGTGTGTAATAGCTGCAAGAATTTAGTGTTAGATCAAGATAACAACTTTAACCTGATAAGTTTGAGCATTCTTATTACCTGCTTGTTGGTTAATGTATGGATATTATAGGGATAAGTCACATGTTAATCACTTAGAACTGGGAGTTAAAGGGTTAAAGCATTATGATTGGTGCATTGGGGTATTTTTTGACTTCTTATAACCCAACAATTCAGGTTTCATTGGATTCTTACAAACAGACACTTTGCACTCAACACTGTAAAGCTTTGCACTACTGATTACATTTACAACTCAAGATTAAATAAAAGCCTACCTAAATGAAACAAAATAAAGAATTGAAAAGAATTGGTAAAAAAAAAAAATCAGGAGATCACTGGTCATTTGGCTTCTGGTTTTATCTCATTTAGTGCCTTTGGTTTAGTCAAATGATCCATAACAAAATTAAAGACAATGAACTGGGGAACCAGTCATTTTTTATCACCTGGGGGGGGGGTAGGGGGTAGGGGGTGGGAGGATTTCTCTGAAGGAACACAGTTTCCAGGGGGGTATGGAGAGGCTAACAGTCATTCTTGACAGAGCATTATGGGGGGAGGGCACCTTAGGAAACTAACTGCCAATGAGGGGGATCTTTAGTATACTACATAGCCTTCAGGGGAGGGGGGATCAGGTAACTTTTGTTGTAACACAACTAAAATCATTCCACCCCACCAGGTGATAAATAATGACCCGAAAATGGGATCAGAGAGTGTCATCTGATAGTTCTCCCTGAATAGATAGAGCCATTAAAACCCAACCAAACCTTACACAGAGAGGCCTAAACAAAACTAACATAGATTAGGGTCAACTTTATCCATCTTGTAGCATAAGTTAGTTGAACTGTACACTGTGAAACTTCCTACTGTAACAGACACGATAGCTCCTTCCAATTCACAACAACAGCCGTGGTATTAAAGCAGTTATGGATTAATCTTGTTCCACTCCCCATTGCAGTTCATAAATGGAGAAAAAAAATAAATCCAATTCTTGCCAGTCATTATTAAACCACATGTCTGTTAGCGAAGCGTCTTCTATTTTTCTTTATTCACTATGTACTTGAGAACTTTGCAGCTTGACTTCTAACTCGTTTCTCGTATTCTGATCTGTTTTGGCTGAAAGTAAAGTTAAGAAACAAAAATATTAATTTTACAGAAACCAATGGTTAACATGTTCCCTTTATAGCATTTTTATATTTAACTGAAAAGAGCAGAAAATTATCACCAAAGCTAGTTGAAGGATGAGAAAGACAAGTCTGTACATGAGCTAGGTCCTAATCAACACATCCTAGTTCTACTGCCCTTGAACATCACCCAAATTACTCATAGCTTTACTACAAGAGATCACTTACAAGTAACATTTTTGCAAAGTTTGAATATCTTTTTGTATAAACATGTCACATAATAGAACAAAAAGCAGCTGAGGGGGTTTTATCTGCCTATAATTTCTAATCCTCTCTACTCATTTGCAAAGAAATGTATAAAGCTAAGAAGGGAGAATTACTGATTTAATCTTTGGAGTTCAAGGGTGGAAGTTCTTACCAGTAGATGGTATAAGCTTCTGCTTGAGCAGGATCTCTTATGTTTGGATCATTCAGTAAGTCTTGAATTCCCAATAAAATCTAAGAAGTTAAATTTTAATAGAAGAAGATGAAAAATGATGGAAATTACTCAAACAAAACCAATGAAGAGAAAAAGGAGAGGCAATTGCCTAATTATTTACAGATGACTAGACATGGGGGTTTGTATACACTTAAAGGAAGATAACATTATCACACAACAGAAGTTACAGAAAAATAACAGTAATAAAAACTGTCCTTACATTTCACTCAAAGCAGACATGAGCATTTAAAAAAACATCAATTCACAGGTATTAATTTAATTCCATGTGATGAAGAAACTGGTTATTTACCTGTTTTATAGTGACTGCAGGCCTCCAGTCTTTTTCCTCATCCAGAAGAGACAAACACACTGTGCCAGATGGGTAAACATTCGGGTGGAAAATTGGGGGATCAAATTTACCTACAAAAAATGGAAATTGTACAAAATATTGAAACTTATAAACATAGCTGCCTTAAAATATCATGCTGATTGGCATTTATTGGCAATTAAACTTCCATCTGTGCCATTTAATCAAGAACAATCTTAATTCTCCACTGACATCCAATCAAATAAACATTACAGATGGATTTTAACCCGTTTCAAATATATCTTTTCACAAATTAAACAAAATGTTATGAATTTTTGGAATAATTTTACAGTCAGATTAAAATGAATGCAAAATATATGCAAACTTGTTTTTGTCAAAAACAGGAAGTACATGAAAGAAAAAGGAAGTTTTCAAATCTCAATATGATGAAATTGCACATTCTTTGGAAAGAAAAATTATGATAAATTATTGGGACCCAGACGAAATTCTTGAAAACTAGTAAGTGCCGTAAATAAATGAGGTAAATAACTATGTTATTACACACTCTTCCCGTCGTTCCCCTTAGACTAACAGACCAGACCAGAGGCGTGAATAACAACATATTTTACCAAAAGGTCAAAGTTCTTACATTTTGGTGGAGAGGATGGGTAGTCGTCTTTAAATATCATCTTCAGTTTGAAAGAACCTCCTTCCCATGGAGTCTACAACGCAGTAAATGTACAGCATCTTAGAATGTTGTTCGCCTATAACCGGCTTTTTCCGCGACCGCAGTCAAAATTGAGTTTTATAACAGTCAGACATAATATCTCAACGATCAAAACTTACACCTTTATCTGTTGACAGTTGTCAAATTAATTTTTCGAAAAATTGAAAAAAATAAATCGAGTTATATATAATAACAAAGCTTGTAAACATTCTCGTTGATCCTTGAAAACCGAGACAAAAATGACAGCACCCTTCACGATGTTAGAGACACGAGACGAGAGCAGTCTAATCAATTTGGCTAAAATCGCGAGATACATACCGCTTTCTTTCCAGGGATCGCTGTAGACAAAGCAGAAATAAAGTATAATCATCATCGAGGAAGCAAATAAAAATTTATTTTCTTAATGATTATCAATAAAAAGTGTGGCATGGGTATGTCGAGTACACGGATCAGTTCAGAAGCTTTGGCTGGATGAGATTGTGAATCAGACACGAATAAATTGTACATCTCACGTACCACATTCCCAGTTCATCAGATTTAGAGTACCATCAGGATTTTTGAGCGGTTTGGCCACAAATCCCTACAAACAAAAATACTTTCGATTAGAAAACAAAGTCAATTCATTTGGTAAGATCGATCTATTCAAGCATTTTATCATAATCATAAATAGAGGAAATGGGAATGCCGCGTAACTTACGAAAGGATGGTCTTTACGCCAAGCTTTTCTCTCTTCTGATAAACGGCCCAAAGCAATGCCAGACATAGCTACACGAAATCAATTTCCTAGAGTCGAATTTCCAGTACAAAGGAAGACAATAAAACGCAAAAACTAATCGGACGTTGTACAGAAGTCATGCAATCACTGTCAGCTACGACTTTTTCTTTCGATGGATCACGTGACACACTTCGCGCGCTGCAAACATTAGGACCCATTCCTTCTCAGGTCAGCGGTTGCGTCTTCTATAAAGCCTCCCGTAAAAATAGTTTTCTTCTTTCAGAATGTTTCATCTGCTCTTTTAGCCTTTTAAACCCACAGATATGGCAGAAAATGGGGTAAAAAGAGAGGTAAGTCCATTATCTCAGTGAAAATGCAAAATGATTTGTAATTTTTCTCGTTACCGATCAGACGACAGTTTCCTTGTTATTCGTTGATGCCATTCTTATATTGTTTGTTCTAAGGTTAATCGGTAACCTCACAGCAAAGTTTACCGAAAAATTCGATAATTTGTTGTTCAGGGAATTCATTAATTTTTCAGTTTTCATCCTTAATTTTCTTTTGGTTTTCACTGACATCTTGTCCCTTCAGAGGAAAATGATAATTAAAATATTCTGATGTATATGTTTCAGTTGTGAATTATTATCGGTTCAAATATATTTCAGACCAGTTTTGAGTTGTATTTTTCTTGGTGTAATGGATAAAGTTATGTACCCAGAACAAAGACATAATAATTTAAACTGGTTTAAGTGATTCTGATTGTTAATTCATTTTAATCGACCTCATGTGATCATGGTTAAGTAGAACTTTATTTAATCGCTTGATATTGTCTTTTTGTGGTCATTCAAGACAAGGATGGGCAATCAACAAGAAAATGTATTGGAATACTGTTCAATTAACCCTTTAGCCAAAGACAGAATTGTTCTGTACAATCTTAATACAATATCAAGCAGACAAGTGGTAATATCAATTATGGGATTATTAGTTGATCTAATTCTCCAAACTAACATTGTAGGAATGTTCTTATGGTGTTCTTATGGAATCTCTCTTATTTCTATCTACAAACATTACACTAGCGACATTGCTGATCCTAGTAGTATGCAGGACGCGTGTCATTGAACTTTGTAATAGACCTCACCCACTATGGAGTCTCTGTGGCTCAGTGGTAGAACATTGGAGCATGGAATCTGAAGGTCTGAGGTTTGATTCCTCATGGCGTCTCAGAATTTTTTCTTTGTCCCATGCTCGTGACAAGATGAAAAAGACATCTTTCTCTATCATAAAAATTGTGCAGCTGACAGAATGGAGAACCACCAATGACCATGGAAAACTAGAACAATTTTTTCGTCCCAGCCAACCAACTGTTAGAAGAAGGTGTTGATAGGGAATAGGTCTTGACGAAGTGCAGTTCAAAATTTACATTAGTCAATTCATGAACTGTTATTGTTAGATATAAAATTTTGCTATGTAATCTGAAATTATTGGTCAGGATGGTCTGCTCTAGTCACTAGCAATGATTTACAAACATTATCAAGGAATTTGGTAAAATTTCTCACATGTTTTAACTCAATACTTAATGTCAGTCACTGTTTCTGGACAGTAGTCTTTTCTTGACTACTTTCTCCTGGAAAATCAGTGATGAACAGTTACTGCATGGTTTAGAACAGTTACTTGACTTGTGAAAATGTTTTGTTATATTTCCCAGCTCCTCAAAACTTGTCAAACATAGTATTTTGAAGGTTCCATATTTGTAGCTCTTTCACTATGTTAAAATTGTATGAGAGAAAACTCCCTTCTCAGTTGGAAGGACGTGATCATTAAGTGATTATAAAAAGTACCTGTTGTTTATATGTTATAAAATGTGAATGGAATCAAAATCTTTTTCTTATCCCTGCTTACAGAATGCTGCTTCAGGCTCTTCATCCTCTAACCCCCAATCACCTACATCTTCAACAACTCCAGCTGTGAAGAAAAAAAAGCCTGAAGATTTCAAGTTTGGAAAGGTTCTTGGTGAAGGGTCATTTTCAACTGTAAGTTTATCAGAAACTTTGTGAAAGTTTTGAGCCTCCTCCCTCTGCCCTCTGCTGAAAAAATCACAGTTACTTTTGCATTGAAAAGAATCTTGGACTGTAAATGTAACATAAGTACGTGTAAGTATTTCATGCATGGCACATTGATCATTTCTTAGCTTCTACATCCTCCACCCCCCTTTTCCCTACCCCCTTTCTCCCCTTTCCTTTCCCCCCCCCCTCCTCCTCGGCAACCCACACGCCTTTCAGTGGTATGGTAATAAGCTCTGTCTTTCCATAACAGGTATATGTTGTGCGAGAAATAAGTACCGGAAAAGAATATGCCAGTAAGTTTATTATTGCTTAAAAGTTTGTGTTCTTTGAATCATGGTTTTCACCAGCAGTGTAAGTACAATCACAAGTGGAACAGTTCTCATTTGCAGTGAAAACAGCTCAGGCTCAAGCACAAGGATCAGAATTTTTCTTTTTTCTTTTACTTGCACTTGTCCTTGTATCGAGATTGTTTCTATGGTGAATCAAGAACTGTTATACTTGCTGTTCTACTTGCATTTATGATTGTGTCTCCACTGAAAACCAGGCTTTAATTTACATTTACATTGACGACAAAGTTTGTTTTCCTTCTTCTGTCTTAGCCACAGTATGCTATCATAATAATTCTTTGTTTGAAGGTTACATAATTCTAAAAATGTTTCCGCACTTTCCCTCCCTTAGTGAAAGTTCTGGAGAAAAGACACATGATACGAGAGAAAAAAGTGCAATATGTGTCCAGAGAGAAAGAAGTTTTGAGTAGACTCAACCACCCATTCTTTGTTCGACTATATTTTACATTTCAAGATAAAGAGAAGCTTTGTATCCTTTTCATTCAAGACTGTTGAACAGAGATATCACTTATTACATAACCCTCGAACCCCTAAGAGTGACTAGCATCTAATTTCTCCTTACAATATCACCACTGAATCACATGTTAATGTCTGAGGATAAAGGAAATGATTACCAACTAAAGAAACTCATGATTGTTAAACGAATTCTCCTCGTCAGCGCCTTAGTAAATGTACAGAGAACAGTATGAAGAATTTGAATACTGATGTTAAGGTGTAAAGGGTTAATCCTTTATCTCCCAGAAGTGATTAACATGTAACTTCTCCCTTTAATATCCAACATGTAATGAGAATACTCCAACTTATCAGGTAGAAGTTGTTATCTTAATTTAATATCAAATTCTCGTAATTAATTTACATGGAAATGTGTAGTAGCTTGAGGGAAGAATTAACCATCAGATCTTAGGTGTTAAAGAGTTAACATAAAGTGTTATTTGGAATTAATGCAAAATTTTTCTTTGAACGTTGCCAGGGTTTCTTTTCGATAGTTGACGTTTTGGGATCAGAGTCAGTCGCTGAACAACTGGGCACCTACCCCTCCCCTAACCTAACCAAAATCAACTAATAACAAGTAAGGGTTAATGTTGGGTTGGAGAGGGTAAGTGTGCAGTTTCTCAGATACTGACATTGATCCACATTTGATAGAGCTTTGGCCATCTCTTCAGCATAACACTGATGTTTTAGGTTGTTATTCAAGTTCAACAACACAGAGTCATTGCATGCCACAATGTATGGATATTTATAATGAGTACTTTTTGGTGAATCACATGAAAAAAAATCACCATGAAATTATTATTGTTGTTGGTTATATTTGAATTTAAAATTACTAGGTCATTTTCCTTAGCTTTGGCCTCCACAGATTTTGGTTTAAGCTTTGCAAAGAAAGGAGAATTGTTACCCTATATTATAAAGGTAGTCATATTTATTTGGTAATACTTACATTTACTACTTGTTTGCTTGGGAATAACTTTAATTTACAAGGCAGGTAAATATTCTGTGTACAATTAATAATATTAGTCCTTCAATTTAGAGAGGTGTAATCAACATGATTCTAATAATACGCTCTGACTTTATCAGCATTAATGTGCGCCTAAAATGTTACTTCTGAAGAGGTTTTCTTCCCTTGGAACACTTTATATTTTGGGTGCTGTGGTTTCATTAATACCATTTTTTGACTTATGCTTCATGTGAACCATATCCTGATATACCATTTTTCTGCAGCTGGGCTCGTTTGACCTGACATGTACAAGATTTTATTCTGCTGAAGTTGTGTCAGCTTTGGAACATCTTCATGGATTAGGAATCATTCACAGGTACTATCTGTACAGCTGCTAGTAGAGAAAATAAAATACTAACAGTTGTTTCAAATTATCAAGCGATCAAAACATGACAAACCTTTTTTTCTGCTTGAAAGAATAAATATATGCAGGAGTCTTCTTTCATCTCTACAACTTTTGTGGATTATTTCCAATGAAAATGTGATTACAGTTTGGTTTCCTTTGATTGTTATTAGGGACTTGAAACCAGAAAATATTCTCATGGACGCAGACATGCACATAAAGATCACTGACTTTGGTACAGCTAAGATTCTAAGTGATGGTGAAGTTAACGAAAAAGGTTAGAAAACTTAAACTTTCATTCATTTCTTTTGCCTCTCGGCAATCTTCCTTTTATCAAGTTCCTGCTTCTATAGCAGGAAATAATTTTACAGATTTTTTGAATATGACTGCGGGGACTGGTTACTCCTGCATGTAACTGTTAATATTCAAAGAGTGTTTACATAGAAAATAGGGGTTATATCCTATGGCATAAAGTGCCATAGAAGAAAAATAAAAGTGGTAAACATGATTAATGCAATATATGTGCAGAGTTCATTTGGTATGGCTGTGAACTGGCTTCCTGTTATTTATGATCTTGGTAACAGTTTTAACTCTTTTAAAATGTGTACTAATTCATGAGATTTAGACATGAGATACACAGAATTTTTGTTAATATTGTCACTATTAAGTTGTTAATAGTGACACCTTAAACTTAATTTAAGCTGAAATAAGATGGTAAGGCCAGATTTAACACTGTCTGAAACACATCACCTCTATTGTGTTTGGATTGGCTGTATTTTCTTTGACATGGTGTAAAGAGCTTGTGAAAACCTCAGAGAAAATGAAAAAAGTGATTACTGTATCCCTTCCATTGAAATAAATCAATTATTGCTCATTCACTTGAGGTAGCACCAGCAAGTTCTGGTGAAACTTTTGAATGAATCCCCTGCAGTGATAAACAGAACTGTTATTAAAATTAAATTGTTGCAGGGAGAAATTCATTTGTTGGAACAGCAGAATATGTTTCACCCGAGCTTTTAACAGACAAAAGAGCAGTTAAAAGGTAAGGAAAACAAATCTTCTGAAACAGAAAGACTTTTAAGCAAAATTAATTATATCATAATTTGATCTTATAATATTTGATTCATTGACCACTTCAATTAATTTGATTTCAAAATAGCCACATTCCTCTTTTCTGTTCTGTACATCAAACAAACAATAAACAAACAAACAGCCAAATGGATTAACAGTAAGTTTTCAGCGAAATGTCAAAAAATATTTAAGTGTCATGGTGTCATACAGCATCTGTAAAATGTATTCATAACTCTTCACCACATAAAGGACTTATTTTGGCTGTCCAATTAGTTACACATGTGAGTTTTAGCATGAAACTTCAATTAATAAATGATGTCTACAATCATTTTAGAGCACTGAGAAAAATTCATTGTTTGTTCTTTCAGCTCTGACCTCTGGGCTTTAGGTTGTATTATTTATCAACTTCTATCTGGACTGCCGCCATTCAGAGCTGGGTAATTCTTTTATTTAGTGTTACATGATTATATACCAACCAACTCTAAAAATGTCTGGCAAATTGTATGAAATTGTTTTAAATGGTCAATCTTTTCAAAGACCTTATGATAATTGTGAGCTCTCTGACATGAAAGCTGACTTAAGTTTTTTCCCTATTCAGTATTACTATTACAAAAAGATGTGTTTTCAAGGACATAGTTGAGGAAAACCCATGACCCACGACCCCTGTCCATGACCCCACCCACCCTTTGTGGGATAGTTTTTTTTAAAGTCAACACCACACAAACCTTGTGATTCAATTTTTGAAAAAGTGCCCTTTTTGCAAAAGGGGTACAGAAGTCCTGTGATCCCCCTTTGAAAAATCTTAGTTAAGCTCCTCTTTATTGAGGAGGAATGTAGAAAGTACCCCCTCCCTTTGTTCTTGAACATCTGTAGTACCCATACTGATGCTTATTTCTTTCCCCTTTATAGAAATGAGTATCAGATATTTAAAAAGATTATCGCCCTTGACTATGAATTTCCAAGTGGTTTCCCTGAAGTTCCAAAAGGTCTTGTCCAGAGTTTATTGGTGAGTATAATTTTTATTATTTCTTTGATGGGTACCTAATAGTTTATTGATACCACACTGGAAAAGTGATCAGGTTCCTCTCCTGCAGGGCATCATTTCGACACTAAGGTCTGATTTTAGATTGTACCACCCAATTTTGGCCACTAGTGTCCGACTTTAGACAGTAATGTCTGATTTTAGACACTATTGTCTGTTTTTGAAAACTAGTGTCCAACTCTGGACTGCAGTGTTTGATTTTAGACACCAGAATTCAAGTTTAGACATAAGTGTCCAATTTTAGACACAGTTTAGGACACCATTTATTAGACGATACTTGAGTGTGCAAGTTTACAGAAGCGGCCATTTTTTGGTTTTTGACCAGATCAATGACAATTCTTTTTTATGATGTTAATGGCAACAGTATTCTTAAATTATTTACTGCAAAACAACTTATTAAGGTCCTGAATTGACTGTAGATATTAGATCCAAAATTGAGGCTTGGCTGTGATGAGCAAGGAGGATTTCCTTCGTTGAAAAGTCACGAATTTTATGAAGGTGAGAAAGAGCGTCGGTACTTGTTTAGTAGATCCCTTATAATTCCAAAGATTGCTTAATAAGAAACTTCCACTTATTAAGCTCTCACCTCTAAGGTGCAAACATAAATTCTCCTTACTGTCCATCAGACATTTCTCATAATTTTAGCTCTGAGAATCTTTTGTTCAATCCTCGTTTAGGAATCGATTGGGAGAATTTGCCAAATGAGACACCCCCTGATTTACTACCATATCTGCCGTCAACAAGCACGAACGAAGAAGGCCTTCGGAGCAAGTTCAAGGTTAGAGGGAAGCAGCGCTCAGGGTTAAAAATATACCTTCGATAACTGGTTAAATGTGCGGCTGCCTGTTGTCCTGTTTCACTTGGTGGACATCCATGCGTCTGGAACTTCTTTTTTTTTTTTCATTTTCTCTGTTGTTCGAGGGAAGTCTTAATGAAGCACTTTCTTTTAACTCTTCCTGTTTGATTGTGAGGGTCACTGGTGTCCGAAAGGATTCTCATGTGTTTTTCTTTCTTTCACATACCAGTTGAGCCTTCACGATAGCGACAGTGACGAGTTTGATGACCAGCTGTTGGCAAGATTTGGCCTGTCCGATGAAACTCCACGGTCAAGTGGCCCTACGAACATTCTCAATCTTACGGAGAGCGAGAGAGAGGAAAGATTAGCGAAGCAGGAGAAAGAATCACCTTGGTGAGAGTTCTGTTATGACACTTAGTCGTCCTTGGGCCATCTAGCGAATCTCTTCCCCTCCCCCCACCCTGGTAATGGTGTTTAGTGTGGTTTTACTCCAAAGGAGAATACTGCCTTGACTCTTGACTGACTTCCTTACACTTGTAATGATCTTGGTTCGGAGGATTGGTTGTTACATCAAACAAGTGATATTTTTCTTTTTTCTCATCACCTCGCGACTTAAAACTTCGTTGATGCTGTTAGAAGGAGTTCGTTTTTGGTCAGTCCTGGGAGTGGAAAGATTAAACATGCTGCGGGTGCTCAAGTGCTAACATTCTGATTTGGAACAACTTAAGTTGTTGAACAAACCCCGAGTGCGTACAAAATCCTGATTTGGAACAACTTGAGTAGTTGAACAAACCCAGGGTGCGTAAAACATCCTGATTTGGAACAACATAAGTCGTTGAACAATCCATCCCATCCCTGGGTGCGTAATTTCAGAGAGTGTAATGACGAAGGTATTATTTATTTTGAGTCGCCCACAATCATTTTGACCTCTTACCTTCCGATTTTGCGATCGACTGCTGTACCATTTGTAGTGCCCAGTACTCGTAGGTAGTGTGTCAGACATGATTTATTTTTTACTGTGGTTTATCTCTTGTAGGCACCAATTTGTCGGAAATAATCTCATTATCAAGACCGGTGTTGTGGACAAAAGAAAGGTAAGCTAGCGGGTTAGTGCTTTTATTTATTTATTTTATTTCAGTTATTTGACCGAAATAAACTTTGCGGCTTCTCTGCACGGCAATATATTGGTTATTTGTTTCGAAAAGGTTTCAGTTTAGCGCAAAGTTCATCCTGGATGGCATTAGTCTTTTTGCTTTACTTTGCTCTGTAATGGTCTAGAATACTCGCCAAACAGACGCAAAGAGATCAATGTGAGCGAATGCAGGCTACCTGCCCTTAGGCGCCTCTGTCTTCTGTGATGTGTAATTTGAACATAATCGTTGTTTGTTAGTTCTAATGTCAGCGCCCAACAGCTGATTATTTTGTCACTTCTCGTTGCCTTTTTTTGCTGTGCAATATATGGATACTAAATGGAGACTTTAAATTTGTATCACCTTTTTGAGCCGCGAGTTAAAGGCAGTATTGTGGACCTAAGATAACGTGAATATTTTCATCTCTTTCCGGTTTAAACATCTTCACCCCTTTTATCATTATCATAACTTTTGTTCTTTTATCAGGGTCTCTTTCCTCGCAAAAGAACACTGATTCTTACAGAGGGTCCGCGGCTATATTACGTTGATGCACAGGCAATGGTTCTGAAGGGAGAGATTCCATGGTAAATATTCAGAGTTTTTGGAAAGTTAGTTCAGTTAGATGTATTGAAATAGGTGAGTCTCCAGAACCTGTAGTACGTGTAGTGTTCGTCTGGCGTCGATCAAAAGACTTACAACTTAAGTAATGGTGTCACTTGTGTATATGTGGAAGGCATTTCGCCGTTTTGTTAAGAGTATTTAATTGGAAACGACGAACAGTTATCTCGAATGTTGCTGTCGAAGGAAGAAAGATTTAGACCCGACGCAATCTTTAAACGAGGACATGAACTTAGTTAAATCCAGTGATACTTTTCTGTAAAGTGACCGGTATTTCAAGGTTGAGCCCAGTGGGTGGGGTCGGTGAGGTAACATATCCAGTAAGGGTTAACAGTGGTAATAGCAGTGATATCTATTGAGGATACCATTGTCGCAAGAATGGTTTACAGAAGGGTCCTCTCCATTCAAGGAATCTCATATCGAGACAGGTGAAAAGCCACCACTGGAACCGATTGATTTTAATTAAAACAAATGCTTGTATCATCTGTAGGACAAAAGATCTCAGACCAGAAGCTAAGAACTTCAACGTTTTCTTCGTTCATACGGTATGCCGTATTCTGATTTGCATTAAAGTAGCCAGTTTCTGAACTGGAATCTCTTTCCAGACTAACGAACGTAAACAATTTATTTACAGCCTAAACGTATTTATTACTTGGAGGATCACACGGGATACGCCATGGATTGGGTCAAAAAGATCGAAGAAGTCCATCGCGTTTACTTCGGAGATACAACACAACTCTAAGTTTGTACTTCGTGAAAGACGAACAATCTAAACTTCTTTTCAGAGTCGTTTTCCAGAGACTGTCGAATCATATCAGAAACTATCTTTATATAAGTTGTTTGAGTTAATTAGAATGCGAAATTTTTTTCTTTCTTTCCATCAATGTAATATTTCTCGCGTGACTCAAATTTTCGCGCTCTTGGCATCACGCGGTTACTCTTTTTTTCCCGCCATCCTTGCCTCTCGATTTCTGACTCGTTTTGTGTCTACTTTCGTGTTGACTCGGTACCAGGCTCCTCCGAGCTTGAGAATCTTCATTGAACTTAGTTTTTATAGTTTTTGAGATTGCTGCCAGAAAACTACTATTCAAACTCTCACGGACATTTATCACAGGTCGATCTAGAAAGACTTGTTGATATCGTAAGAATGTCTCATGGTCTTATTATCGACTAATCTCCAAACGCTTGTAAAATAATATAAACAATATTAACGGCCGGATTGTGCCTTCACCAGAAAAGTGGTTCAAATTAATGATGTTATCATTTCACTGAAGTTTATGTCGTTCTCCTGTTGAAATAGTGTCCTCTACAGCCCTTATTTGAATAGTCACGCTTAGCAACTGTAAACGCATGCAGCACTTTTTACGTGACAATCATCACGTGACGCTGATTACGTGACTATCTGAACAACGGCTGTGCTGGAATCTAGTAACTAGAGTAAACACCTATCTGACTACAATAGAGATTAGGTTAAGGAATCTTCTTTTGATTTTGATCCATGTGTTCTCTACAAAGTCTACATACATAAATAAACGCTACTATAGTGACTATAGAAGATTGTAAAAGGACAAAAAAAAATGAATTAAGTCTTGATTAAGTAATAAACGATTAAAAGCTATGAAACTTATGTTGCTGATGTATTTTGAGTTTTTAATTTCTTTATATTTTTGGCTGACAAATCTATCCTGCTGAAGAGAACCACTGGCGAACCAAGCTGTAGAGAGGAATATTTGTTTCCCGGTCACTGCAAGTCAGAGGAAAGCGCCTAAAAGCAGACGGAATTGTCCGAAATTAGACGATAGCGTCCGATGTTGGATTGAAAAAGCCGTGGACGGACAGAAGTGTCGAAAATCGGACGATGGCGTTCAAAATTTCCAAATTTTCATGTTTCCACCTTTTCAGAGTGCCGAGTAAGCTAATCACACATCACACATTTTCACGTTTAAAGGTTACTCTAAGGTGATTATTTATATTTACCGCATATTCCATTGTGACGATGTGTTCTTTGCTCTTCTACCTCAAGTCAAAGCCAACCGAAGTGTCCAAAATCAGGCAAGAGCGTGCCAAAATTGGATGGAAGTGTTCGAAAATGGACGGACGGTAGTGTCTAAAGTCGGACGAGAGTGAACGATAGCGTGAGATAGCGTCCGAAACTGGATGAAAGTGTATGGAATCGGACAGAAGTGTCTAAAATCGGACGGAAATGTCTGAAATTAGACGGAAGGGTCCGAAAAAAGAAGGCTGTCGGCCAACATGAGCTGTTTCGGATGATTTCTTTCAAATGACTCCCCTGATGATTTGGACTATTGCTGCAGTCAAATTGTTTACATGACCTGGAAGATTAACGGAAGATTTGCCCGAAACCGCTATATGCCATTCGGTAACCCATCCCAACCCCTCTTTTTTACCTTGGACTGCCCACTCACTCCCCCCTAGTTAGTATTGTTTTGGCAGAAAGTGAACATGGCGATCAGTAACAGATGGCAAAACAGCTGATCGTGTAAAGTCCCACAAAACAGAGATAAAGGAGATAACAATACACACTGAGAAAGCGGTGGTTCTAAAAGGCAATTTTCTCCAACTGACGTCAAATGGAGGCGGTTTTCTTTGATGCAAGGATCGAAACACAAGGGGACTTAGCGGCGAAGAGAGTTTCTCCTTCAAAGGGCATATTGAAAATTGAGTCCTTACGTAACGCGCACAATTACTGTGTGCGTTATTTGGCGAGGCAATTAACTCAGTGTTGGGGGAACAGAACAGCTGTTTGAAGGAGTTTGTTTAATGTAATAGTGATAGTTAATAGTTCACAGTGTAGCGTCCATTCAGTGTGGTTGGAAAATTTATGCTGACTCAAAGGTTGTGATAAACAGTGGGTATTGTATTACAGCTGATGAAACTTTGATTTGCTCGTTATCAGCCTTTTCAACTTTACGAAAAGGAAATTTTGCTTACTTGGAGAAAAGATGTGAGTGAATTTTAAATATCTCCAATTTTACCGGTAGTCGATCGCCTCTCGAGAGGCTAATTTTGACAACTTCGTTTGAAACAATTTCAACCAAATGGCCACAAGATCGACCGATTCCAGACCTCTGGTGGAGATGGACTCATCAGCGGAGGAACTCGAAGGAGATGCAAATACACAGGGAAACTTATGGACTGGTAACGCAAAATCTCTCTTTGACGATAGCGAAGAGCCGTCGGAATCTGCGGAAAAACAACCACTGTCCTTGAAACGTCGGATCGTCTTGGTAGGCGCATTGTTGCTATGTGTGTTTACTATATTCGCCTTTGCTTTTCTTCTTCCGTGTCATAAACCAAAATGTCAGAAGCTCCCAGTCTGTCCTGGCAAGGGGCAACTGACAGCAGTGAACTGGACTCACCAATTTGGTGGTATTATTCCTGTTGTGACTTCCTTGGTTGATGTGACAGGAGATGGTAGGCCAGACGTTATAGTTGAATTTGACATAAAAGCGATGGAGTCAACAAATTCTTCATTCTTGAGCCAACTTTGTAATTACAAAGATTGTCACGGCAGTGGTCTTTTGGCCCTGCATGGATCGTGTGGTAATAGTCTGTGGGTTTTCAGTCGCAATTCCTCCCTTGGACTTTTGGCTTGTGAAAAGGCCACAGAGGGCATTGATGAAAAAAACAACCAACATTGTTTGTTCATTGAAGAAAAAGTAAATCTTGTTTTTTTCAACCCAGAGAATGGAACCACCAAGTGGAAATCATCATTTAGTGGTAAAGTTGGTTCAATTAAATTTGTCAGTGATGTTGATGGTGATGGTGAAAAAGACATTGTTTTCGTCAGTGACCTTCCCATGGGTAACAGTAAAGGTTATATCAATTTGGTATCTGGAAAACTAGGGAAACTTCTTGGCAACCCTGTACCATTGCCTGGAGGTCACAATATCAGTAATATCCTTGCTGCTCACACTCTCCCGAGTAAACAACAGTTTGTTATTGTTGGTACATTAGCACACAAGACAAATACAACATCACTTTGGGCGATGTCAGTTCACAATTTGTTTGAGAAAGTAACCCAGCCAACAAAATCAATTCCAGGAGAAGCATGGGGAAAACATGTACCAGACCCACACACCGGTTTCATCAGCATTCTTAAAGATGCTGTTTTCCTAATCCAGCCGTTGTTGACAGATTTGGATGGTAATGGGGTGAAAGATGTTGTTTTTGTAATCAAAGAGAATGGTACTTCTCTTCTGGCCATGAATGGCACTGATTTGGCTGTTGTGTGGAGAATGGTAGTACCTTCTGATGCAGTTATTCACAAGTAAGTGTTCCAATTTTGTTACTCAACTATTGCATAGAATTATTATAGCCTGACATATTGTTTAATTAATATGGTTAAAAACAATCCTGTTTCCATATGATTAGAAAGTGACCATTGTGTTTTGTTTTTTTGTATTGGCTTAAAAGTAACAGAATTACCCTTTTTGAAATTTGTTTCTAGAAACTCAAAGTCTGCTCCAAAATTACCTCTCCTTGTGCTTGCAAGTTGATCACAGCTGCAGTATATATGGTCATCGCAAATCCTTGTTTTAAATTTTGCCACCAATGAAGTGTTGCAAGTGAGCTGGTTCATTATTGTGGTCTTCTTTAGGTTACCCCCCCCCCCCTTTAGGAGTTTGACAGGGTTATAGTGCAGTTAGATTGAAATTATTTAAAGCCATTGTCCGCAGGACTGCAAGAATAAAGTATCCTTTCCAAGATTTCAATTCAGTCACCCTTTCCAGGTTTTGAATCTGAATGTTTCAAACTTAAGTACAGCATGCTTATTGCTTGATTATCTTACCAGAAATGCAGGATACAAGTTTCTTTTTCTTTTTCATGCCAGGTTGTTTTCAACTCCGCACTCTGTTAAAGAAAATGTGACAGATATTGGATTGTTTGTTGCTCACACAAACAGTTCCTCCTCACTGCTAGTCATTGATGGTCGCACAGGGGAGATAAGTTGGTCTTTTCATAGCAGGACTGGTCTTGCTGTGGCACCAGTCCCTGTACCAGGACTTAGTGGTACCCAAAAGGCTTTTGTGATCTGGATGCCAAAGCCTGAGGCTATGACACTGATTTCTAAATCCAGAAAATCCAGAGACATTTCACATCAAGTGTATGATTGGAATTCTGGTGATGTCAGTCAAATGATGAATGATAAATATGCAAGACCACAACCAAGAAAGTTGTTTTCAGTTAGTTCAGATTTAATTGAGAAAAACAAATTTGATAGGTTATTTACAAAAGCAGCTCCTATATCTCCAGAAGAGATAGGTAATGACTTTGGTGATGATTCTAGTTTTCATAACCAGGAGGACTTCAGCAAAGTTAACAGTGACGACATGGCCCTGAAGGAATTTGAACTTTATCTTTTAGAGGACATTTTAAAGAAAATTGATAATCCCAGTTTTGCTGCAAAAAAGCCTCTAAGGTCAATAAAAGAAGAGGAAAGAGCTGACAGAAAATGGCTTGGAGCAGGGAAAGAGAAGCCTTCTGTTTTACATCAGGGGGGTTTCCAGGAGCATGCAATTCCATTTACAAAGGACACAAGGCATAAAGGTGTCAGTGGAGAGGAGATTATTGAAGTCAAGGCAGATCCACATGTGCGCAATGATCTGGAAGAGCAACTGAGTGATTTGACCAATCATAGGAAAGAGGAGGCTGTATTTGACATTAAAAAGGAGAGGGCACTCCTTGCATCAGCATCAAAAGATTCCTCATCCCTGCAACCCAGGCAAGAAATTCTCAAGGACTTTCCTGGAAAGCAGTCCAGGATGGAAAACCAAGACATTGAGGTAAAAATTTTGCCAGGGAAATCCACTGTCACTCAGCAATTACATGCAGAATATCAAAGAAAAGAAGATTCAAAGTTGGAAGCAGTTGAAAAGCCATCCTATCATAAGCGATCAGTGACATCCTTACCAAGAGGATCCAAGTGTGCCAAACATTTTGGTGACATTGCAGATGCTTATGTGGCTGTTCTCTTGGTTAAGACTGTTGATGGAAGACAGCTGTTGGCTGGCATAACAGAGGAAGATCCTCTATATTTGGGTAAGAGCTGGGTCAGAGGTTAGGGAGGGGGGGGGCATGGGGTGGAAGACTACTTCCTTTTCATTAAAATCACACCTAAAGGAATTTCTGGAAGTTAAACATTTTTTTAATACTTTCATTGTTTCACTTGTTAAAGATAATTGTCGAAGGAAGAATTTCACAGCTAAATAGAGATGATGCTGCTGGAGTAAGGAGCTTGTGGTTCATATAGTTTGCCCTTTGGCCACATTTCTAACACATCTACACCCCCTACATATCAATAGAACCTTGTTTTTTGACAAGACAACAAACTTTTAACTAGATAATGATTTAAAAATAAGAGTTATGTTCATTACAAATGTGGTTTTTATCCCTGTCACTTTTTAGATCAATCACCTTTACGGCCAATTTACATGCCAAGATGGTGGTTGGCAAACTGGTTATGGCCTCTGAGTTATTTTACTTCTTGAGACTTTTAACCTATCCTCCATGCCCTACCCCTCCCCTCTCCTTCCTTTGGACCATTTATTAAAATCAAAGGTGGCAGCTAAGATATTCACCCAGAATACTGAACTTTGTTCATCAAAGTCATGCCTGCTCTACATGCTAAGAATGTTACTTAATGATGAAACAGTCAAACGAGATTTGTGTAATTTTGTTATTTACTTAAAAAAGGGGTATGAACTAATAAAACTGATTGATGACTCTGAGACAATAATTGACCTATATACACGAGGTTGATGTTTACAATTGGCAGGTGTGAGCCCTATGCATGACTGATTTGCCAAGAACACTAGTCTGATAACATTAATTGTGGGTTCTAAATGTTCTTTTTCAGGTTCTGATGACTACAAAAGCTTGTTTAAGACCAGGGCAGGTGATAAGAAAGCCAATCCTTGTTTTCGGTTGGTTCCTCACATTGTTTCACAGCCTCTGATTAGAGATTCTGATGAAGGCTTGGATCTAGTGTATACAGTCAGCTTTGTTTCTAAAGGTCACTCATTACATGTGACAGAAATAAGAAAAATGCCAATGGAGGCTGTCTTTGAACTTCTTGAAGGTGTTTCAAAAGATACCAGGCAGCATCAAAATAAAAGAGGGATCGATTCTTTCAAATTTCCAAGAGTTTGGAAATAATTTACTCCCCAATTTAAGAGCTTTGCTCTGAATGAATTGTAAAAATAGACTGCAAGATACATTCAGTAATTATGGTATAATAAAGATATTATGTTCATTTATATTTTTTTTCATGATAACAGTGGACATTGCTTTGTTCATTGGAGTTTCCTATTATTTTGATATTAGAAAATTTGAAATATTTAGCTCATGACAAAAGAAGGAAGTATGTAATAACTATACTTTTATGTTATAGAATTGAATTCAGATTGAAATCAATTCAAATAAGTTTAAACTGTATTTTTCACTGTCTCAGGATTATGATTATTAACTGTATATGGAGTAAAATGAATAAAAAGTTTACAATCATTTTGATCTAAGTTCATTTTAAACAATTACTACAACAGAAAGGTAGCCAGATCCTTCATTACGTGTTCATTACACTCTCTGAACTGAGTTTTGCTCAACTAAAAGGATCACATGGCATGCCACTTCTGGCAGGCCATGTATGGAATACCTACCCCATAGAGGGTATTCATCAAGAGATGTAGTTCCAGAGGTGCAGTGTAAAGTAACAAGAGCCATGTCTGAATATAAACTAGCTAAACCCTAAGGCTATTGAACATCGGGCAGAGAATTCTCTCCTTCGTCTACCAAACTATCGAAAAAGCACAAATTGATAGAAGCAATTTTGGGAAGAGACATGCATGGGTGACTAATGTATGGAGGGAGACAAGACTCAGGCTAAATTGTTAGAACACCAAATTCTTGATGATCAATAATGGATTGAAGACATAGGAGGGTGACTGTGTTGAGGCCAGTTTTCTGTCTCTTGACAAGACTCTACTCTTGCCAGTCTGACTATTCAAACAAAGTTTAGCCATTGTTTGACAAAATTGTGTCCTGTACACCCCTTGATTTAGCTTAACCTTTTTATCTGAACATTAATTTTTGTGAATAGCATTGAAAGGGCCATAGCTAATGGTGGAAGGACATTTATTTTATTAAACCAACCCTCTTAGAGAAAAAGCCTGAGGCCCACTGATTGCATAAAACTGTGGTTTGGGTTGGACCTTGTGTAAATAACAGGCCCACAGGGTCTGCCTCACCCTGGAGGATGAACAGGTAGCTGCAAGCTTTTAGAGAAACTGAACTAAATTCTCGAAGGGTAGTTATCTCACTGTTGTAGATATGAAATGAATAGCACTTAAAATAGAAATTCAACTTTATTTACACTGGTAAAAAGAGATAAGCCACGATGCAAACAGATTTCAGGGGGGACTAAAAGATAGATATTCTTGAAAGTAACCCACCTCATTACATCTTTTTTTTTTTTTTTTTCTTTTTTTTTTTAAATAAGTTGCTCATTGAGATTCACATATCCTTTAGCCCAACATACAACCTCTATCACTGAAGGTCTGAATGATTTTAATGGCACTTATGCGCAATGATGTCCATTACTGAAAAATTCCCCCCACACCTTTTATTGCACACAATTTTCATGAATCTTTGCACCTTTTTGTTGTTTTCATTGGATTTTTTATTTGATTTGAGTGTTTTTGAAATTGAGTGTTTTTTCTGATTAAAATTCACCAGTCTGCGTGTTGAAAGCAAGGCTTGGGAGCTCAACTTAGTGTTGTGATGCATACCAAGTACATGCATAAGGCTTATTTTAAATTTACCAGGTACCCAATATGTTTTCAACAACCCAAGCACAGAGAATGTGTAGGCTTGATGCATCAAGATACATTCAACCCTTCACCCCCAAGATCTCATTGGAAATTCTCCCTACTGTCTTCCATACAGGTCTTATAAATCATATTAGTTCTGAGAATGTGGTTTTGGATCAACTTGTAATTCCCCAATTGCTATTTTTCCTTTTTTTCATAACATGTCTGTTTGATATTTTAGTGATATTGTAAGGAGAAATTCTGTCTTGGTCACTCTTGGGAGTTGAAAGGACTGAGAAGTAACAATGTTATTCCAATCTCACATTTCCAAAACAATGCTTAACACAAATAAATTGAAGTCACTCTGAAATACACCCAAAAATTTCTGTCTTAGTAAGTGGCATGACTCCCAAGTAGACATTTTCCTCTACTTAGAGACCTTGAAAAAAAGCATTGTGATATGTATGCTGTGTGATCTCCACTCTTTGAATGCTGTATTTCAGTTGGCATGGCAATGTCACAATTTATATATGATTTAAACACCATGATAATAAATAAATGTCAATCACCCACTGCCCCACAAGATCACATGGTAAATATTTGACCTCTTGAAAACTGAGTGCAACCCTGAACATCTCATATACCTCATCATGATCTTTGTGAAAACACTTTAAGCCATAAGAATATTGTTACTATCAAAATGCCCCAGCACATTAACCACAATACCAGTTATAAATCTTCCAGCTGCAATAAACCAAGGCACAACCTGCCACCACATTGTGAAGTCTTTTACGGTATTTGTCATCCTTTCTTACCAGCACGATTGGAGATGAAGATGTTAGACTACTAAGTGGTAGCTTTGCCAACTTTCTAGTGTCATATTCAACTTGATACTGGCAGCAAGGATCAAACTGCCATGATACACCATACAATGCTGCACAAAAAATGCTCACTCCACCAAATACATAACAGGAAGGCTCTTTGACAATTCTGGGAAGCACCCATGGACTAATGAAACAACTAAGTCCACTAATAACAGCTGTTTTGTGTAAACAGTTCCCAACTTGGATCCAGCGTGCTGTTTCTTCGCCAATCATTGTTGGTTCAATAACAATCATGCCACACTGTGATTCCAAGGCTCTCTCCAAATCTGCCTCAAACTGTTCACGTGCATCCTCAGAATCATAGATTTCATGAATGATGACACACCCTCCTTCCACCATATCATCACTACATGGGAGAAGAGAAGAACAATTTTTTTACCTCTGGTGTCTCATTTAATATTAAAAAAAATATCTGTCAATTATTTCAGAAATGAAGTTTTGGAGAGGCATTTTCTTAACTAACTTACTTTCCTGTAACATTCAAGATTAACAAGTTGGGAAATCTAAAATGCTCTTAAATTATGCATGCCACTCAAACAGATTTGTTGTTTATCTAGGCTATTTTCTGTTTGTTATATTGTTTACATTTTTATCAATATCTCCTTTGGGCAAAAAGTTTCTTTGTTTACACGTGCCTTCTCTCATAATGACCACAAGCATTGTAGGTGGTGGAAAACACCGTTTGAAGCTATCATTAAAAGATAATCCAAAACATACACTGTTGGGTAAGAAGTTTATCACATATTTTTAAAACTTTGAATGTTTAGATATTAGATACTACTGTCAAATATCTGCTATTTTGATAATACTAGATATCGTTCTACTTACTTGATATTAAATTCTGTCGAACAAACTTAATATTTAATTCTGTTGATTACAGGTCAAAGTACACACGAAAAACGTACATGTACAGTTTCAAGAATTTTTGCAATTATCAAGGAGAACGCTGGAGGAATTTGTAGAAAACTTTACAGGGAATAAAGAAAGAGACATGTTGTTTTACCAACAGATGTTCACCAAAATCGATACATAAATTAAATTTGTAACGTTGGCAGTTACAAACTACAAAATGACATATAATTACCTCGTTGGACGATCAGTTTAAATATCGCAAATGAACGATCTTAAGATTTACTCTAACTTTGCTAGCTGCCTAACGTGGAACTTCGCTTGCATTTGTAAGAGATCTAGCCCTCAGAGAATCTAAAAGCACCTGCGAAAGAGAAAATTATCAGACAACGGCAAAATATATTACCTCATCTCGTCCGCCATGTTAATTGGTGTAAAACCTGGGACACGTTCCAAGTATTGACGAGAGTTCCTGGGTAGGAGAAACCATATCGAGGCCAGATATTTAAAGCAAATGACGTCATTGTTTCAAAGGGATTCCAAGATGGCTTCCCTGTTTGGACCGAACCCTTTCTCAACACCAGTAGGACAAAGAATAGGTATTTCTCAAGCTAGAAGTTACTAATTTTGGAAATTTTTGAAATCTTACACTCCTTTCCTTTGACAGAGATAACTTTATTGTCCACCTAGTGCATTAATTGACACTTAAGCTGGATCAAATTCTTCGATCATACCTTTAGTGATCGAGCCTGTAACTTCATGTGACGTATAAATTTTCAGAAAAAGCTACCGATGGGAACTTGCCATCCGAAGACTGGGCTGCGAATATTGAAATTTGTGACATAATCAATGAGACCGAGGACGGGTACGTTTAGTCTTATCAAGAAATGCTTCTGTTCTCAGCTGTTAAGTTGCATCCTCAGAGTCTTAAATTTATAATTTTCTAACTTTAAAATTCTTGTGACCGTCATCCCTTCGAATCGCATTTGTGCATACAAGCTAAGTATTCTGTATTTCTGTGATGAATATTTCAATTGTAGATCTTAATTTGTGAATGTTTTTCATTCAACTAGCCCTAAAGATGCTGCTAAAGCCATCCGGAAGAGACTGGCTGGAAATAAAAACTTTAAAAGTGTTCTCTTGACTTTGACGGTGAGTGATCTCTAAGTGACTGAAATTTTGGAAGATACGTATGCAGTTACCTCTGTAAAACTAACATTTATAAATCGAATGTTTTTTCTCATTGGGATGTTTATGTTAAAGGAATTTCATGAACACTTAAAAAAAGAGTGTCTTGGCTGTTTGGTTTATTGTGATTTCCTTCTACATTCAAAGTAGATGCTTTAACCCAATTCTCATGAGTTACTGAGAAATAATTCCTCCTTACAATATCAATACAATATCAACCAGACAAGTCATGAGAATAAAGAAAAATATCAATAAGTTGATTCAATATCAAATTCTCCAAACTGACATCAAAAGAATTGCATAGCAGATATTAAGGAGAATTATTAATAAGTTCTCAAGAGTGAAAGGGTTAGTGTGACTTTGATATTCATTTCGGTTTCTGTATTTTATGTAACTAATTTATTTAATACTTAATTAAAGTACTCAAGCTCTTGTACTTATCTATTCAATTTTGTTCCTTTCAGCCAAAACCCTAAGTTTTTCTCTGTTATAAATCTTTTTCCAGGTACTTGAGACTTGTGTTAAAAATTGTGGTCATAGATTCCATCTGCTTATTGCAAAAAAGGATTTCCTTGATGAACTTGTAAAAATTTTAAGTCCTAAGGTAAGTCCTTGGGTTGGATCAATCAGTTTGAAGTATACCTGTGTTAACTGAATTCAAAGTATTCCAAATTCCCAGTCCTCTAGCCTTTTAAAACCTAAGAGTGACCAGCATCTAATTTCTCCTCACAGTAAATACTGCTGTGTTATTAATTAAGTTCATGAGAATAAAGGAAATGATCTCCAACCTAAGAAGCTCTGTTTGTTGAGCAAATTCTCCTTGCCAGCACCTCAGGAAATGTAAAGAGAGCATTAGGGAGAATTTGTACATTGATATAAAGGTGTAAAGGATTATTAACATCTCTTTCCTTTATAAATATTTAGACTAATCCACCTCAGGTTGTCCAGGATAAGATACTCTCTCTTATCCAAGACTGGGCGGATGCCTTCCGAGGATCTCCTGAACTGACTAATGTGATGGAGACTTATGAATCTCTCAGAGCTCAAGGTTTGATAACATTGTTCAATTTTACCTTTGAAATTAAACAACACCAAAGAGAATTGCTAGCAAGCTTCTGGCCTTAATAAAAGCTGCCATTTTTTATGGGTGCAATGCTCAAGTTTGTTTTTAAATTTGTGTGCAGGAAAAGTGAGAAATGAATTCCAAGGGAATTACCATAGAGACATTTAAGCAACCTAGATCTACAAATGATGACTGTCCCCCATCTTTTTGCTTAAGAGTAAATGTTTAATAGGCCAGAATTCAGCAATGGGGTCTACTGCTCCTAGTATGTTCTTTGAAAGTTAACTGTGCCGTAGGTTCTTTGATGCCCTACTCTGTGTAGTATAGTTAGTTGAAGTTAAGGCTGAAGAATTAAGTTCACCCCCCAGAAATCAGAAACACAGAAACATTTACCTGTGTAGTCAGATTTTGTTGTCAGTACTTTTCTTTGCAACTGTAGGTTTGGAGTTTCCAGCCAAAAATCTAGACACCTTGTCTCCTATCTACACACCACAAAGGGTAAGACACAACATTATAATCATGAGTTCATGGAATTTATGTATTACTGGAAAAGTTTTAGTGAATGTGCAGTTCCTTGAATTGGATGAAAGTGTTTATGGTAAAGGGCATAGGCAATTTCATTGCCTGCTATCCCAGTGTTAGTAAAACTGGTGGCAAGTTACAAATTGTGTACAATGTTGAAATTCTGAACTGTAGGGTTAAGCTGCTTTTAAAATAAGAATGCAATGGGCAAGCCATAATTTTTTTCTACTGAAAAAACCTCTGCTGTGATATTTGTTAACCCTTGAAATCCCAAGATCTCATTAGTGATTCTCCTTACTGTCTGCCATACAGTTCTTGTGATATTAGTTTGGAGAATTTAGTATTGGATCAACTTATAATTCCCTAACTGATATTTTCTATATTCTCATCACTTGTCTGCTTGACATTGTATCAATATTGTAAGGAGAAATTCTGTCACCATCACTTATGGGAGTTAAAGGGTTAAGACCAACAAAACCCAATGGAAACCCAGACTCAAAAGATGGATTATGAGCACATGCAATACCACTCTTCCAATTTCTAGATTCTAGTTCATTTATAGGGCACAAGATTTTCCAGGTACTCCCTCATTTATATAATACAGAATGAAACAACATATATTTACACCGTTATTCACACAACTTCAGACTCAACCAGAACGACCAGCCCCAGCGCCATCAAGGCTGCCTCCCAGTCAGGTAATTTTTTTTGTTTCACTTTTCTTTGCATTTTTAAGGGGGAGATCAATGTAGTTTAGAAACACTTTGGCCCAGTTTTTAGTATGCAAAATATGTCTCAATATCATAATTCAAGTTTTTGCTAGGTCATTTGGTAGGAGTTTCAATAACTTTTTCCTTAAGCACCTGCTGATGGTGAAATAGGCAGCTGTGTCCAGAAATGGGGCTGCTAGGGAAATCCTAATGCAAGAGCCTGTTCTTAGACACAACACTTTAGTCTCATAATGCCTCTCTTCACTCAGGATTACAACTAGGCAGAAGCAAACTCTCTAGCAGAACTTGATAAACTGCACAGGGGTCACATGTATCCATTATGGACAGTTAAGCATCTCATTCAGGAGGAACAGGGATACTCCAGGTCTATTTGTGTTAATGAAACTGGGCTAAGTGCCTCTCTTAAACTTAACATACAGGACAGGACTGTTCAACCCCTCCCTTGTCTTCCACCTTAGTGCAAATCTCTAATTGATATGATATTCATGATAAAGGGAGTTATGCTTTTCATTTCAAGTCAATATGGTGCACCATATTTTTTTCATAAACTTTACATCAGTTAGTTACTCTGCCTTTCAGCCTCCTGTGCCACAGCCAGTCCAATCTATGCGTCCAATGCAAGCACCCAGCGGTCCTGTGGTTCCCACACCTGAGCAGCTTGGAAAAATACGCTCAGAAATTGACATTGTGAATGGAAATATAAATGTTATGTCCGAAATGTTAACAGAAATGACACCTGGACAGGAAGAAGCAGGAGATTTGCAGCTCTTACAAGTAAATCTTTAAAATGTGTATTTAAAAATAACCTAGGTGTACTAGGTGTGCTTTTTGATCAAAAAAATCGATCAGCAATCTCTTGTGTAATGGACAGAAATTCCTCAAGCTTGATGCAGATTAATCTGTTGGACAAAGAAAGGTTAAAGAATGCAAATCTTCCCGGAAGCCATTCAGTTTCATGTTTTGGTATCTGTTGTTTTGATAGGAATTGAACAGAACTTGTCGTGCCATGCAGCAGCGAGTTCTGGAGCTGATTGAGAGAGTAGCAAATGAAGAAGTAGTTGGTAAGAATGTCTGAGTTTTATCCCTCTGACCCCTGAGAGTAACTAATATCTAACTTCTTACAATGTCACTCCTGAATCACATGTTCAGGTCAAGGAAACAATGAAAATAATCACCCACGAAAGAAGTTCTTGATTCTTAAAAAAATTCTCATTGTCATAACCTTAGGAAATGTGTAGAGAACTCATACTATATAGAGAATAATGCATACTGATATTAGGGGGTAAAGGGTCAAATTAATGCAATTCAGGGATAAAATGAACATTTATATAGGCCTAACTTCTTGGTTCAAAGGTAAGTGCTTAGAGCCAAACCAGATCATCATTTTTTTGCTGCTCAGGAAGATGACCTTCACAGCCTTGTCATTTCATTCCTCACCTCCCAGCTGTTATTAACAGCAGTGTCATTGTATTTGATCAAATTTTAAGGGAGAATTTTGCTCTCATCTACATTCCACCTTGGCAGCCATGTGAAAAAAATTTTATGCAACAGGAAAGATTCAAGGAATGTTTTTGCATTGTGCCTGGAAGACTTTCAAAGTTACGAAACAATGTTGTTTGAAAGTATAACAGCAGCATTTGAAAGAACATAATCAAAGGGTCTGTTTATTGCAAGAATTTTCAATGACATGCATCTTTCTGCATTAGGTATGCTGTTGAGTGTTAATGATGATCTCAACAATGTGTTTATTCGATATGACCGGTATGAGAGGTTTCGACAAGCAGTACATCAGCAGAGTCAGCCATCAGAAGCTCCCCCTACACCCCCAAGACCTGCTCCAGTGGAACCTTTACCAGTTCAGACTGGTAGAACAACAACAGCCTGGCCAGAAAATTCACACAGAGTAAGGACTGATTTCTTTACAGATCTTCTGTAAAACCTATAAAACCTCTCTGGATTATCATCCAGGCAGTGCTTGTGAAGTGACTGAGTATCATGGATCTGATGAACACAACGAATGGTAGGGGTGGGGTGAAGATTCCTCTCAGTCCAACAAACATTGAAAGTTTGACTATCTTTCTCTCTCCTTCCTTCACGTAAAATTTCACGTTCTTTCAAATGAGCCTTTGAGGACGTATCTCTCTTAGGGAAACATTGCAGTTTTGATTGTTGACTCAAGGTAAAATTTTTCATTTTCATATATAGTTACCAGGTACAATTGAACCATCTCAACCGCAACCTCCAGTAGCGGTGCCAGCTTCAGCAGCGCTGGCACCAGCTTCAGCAGCGCCGGCACCAGCTGGGTAAGGCGTCATATATACATTTTCTCCGAGAGACATGTAGTATAGAATTGGAAGCTCAGATCGGATCACCTTTGTTTTGTTCTTTGGTGAGACCCTGGGCTCTGAAGTACATGCTGATAATTACTTAATTATTTTTCCTTATTTCTTGTCTCTCAGGGGTGACTCGCTGATTAGTTTTGATGATGACGTATCCACTCCTTCCCAGGCTGCCTCCGTCAATGGCATGACCTCTCAGGTGCAAGCCATGAGTAAGTATTGACTCTGGCTTTGCTGCGTTTTAGGAGCTCATCTAATTATTGTTTTAAGGCGTTACTGCTATATTTGATGACATGTGACCAAGTCTGTTCCAAGTTAATCAGTGAGGTTTTTTTTTTAATAGAAACATTACCTTTCAATAAAGGGAAACCATAAATAGGTGGTAAAAGATCAAGGGACCGTAAAGAAGCTACAAATGAATGGTGGTTGTTTGTTGAGAATGGAGAAGATAAGCGCGGACTTCAAATATAGCAGTTTTCAATCGAGTGGCAAGAAAACTAAACCTAAAGTAATCACAACGGCCTATCAGAGCAAAGCTTAAAATCATGATTAAGCAATGGGAACTCAAAGAAAAAACAAGCAACCTGCTTGAAGCGCGGGAAAACGCAAGTGACCAGGATGGGGTTGGTTTTAGTCTTGCATTTGATTGGCTGAGATGGTGGCGCGAGAACGAGGTAGAGCAAAACCAAAGAAATCCCTGATCACTTTCGATGCTCAACTAAAAGCTGCTAACTTGTTTCAGTGGAAGAGCCGTAAAGTAGGTCCTTTCATCTTACTTTGTCCTGTTTGTATGTAGATATAGGAACCACTTCTGCTGACCAGGAGGATGAAGAATTTGACATGTTTGCTCAATCACGGAAAACTACTTTTGACGAGAGCAGGAAAGGGTGAGTTTCTCAGTTTTTTCCCATATTTTGTGAAGGAAATGAAACCCTCCGGAAGGAAGCTAAGGAGTTCATCATATTCTCATCGGTTTTTTCTCTTTTTTTACAATTCCGAGCTATTTCTTGAAACTTCATTCCTGGGAGATCAGATTCCTTGAGTGTAAAATTACTTTCAGAGTAATTTCGTGATCCTGTCTCTTAGATTAACCCTCTCCTAAGCTGACCCAGCCTTTTCAGTAATAACATATTTCATTAACGATGACAAATCGTCGTCGCGAATTTTTTTATTTTTATGTCGAATGATTTTCCTTGTTTTCCAGCGGATCCTCGTACACGGATAACCTGCAGCCCTTCGATCGCTCGATTGGTAATTCCATGTCTCTTCAAAAGACAGACACCGCAGACACACAAGCAGCCAAGGTATGTGGTATTTTTATTGATAGAGCACTCTTTATTTGATTGTTGTTTAAAACCAAACAAAAGTTATCATAAAAGCCATTAAGAAGACAGGAAAAACCTCTAAGAACCAATGAGAACTCAAAAGAAGAACAACCAAACTGCCTAAGGCGCGCGAAAACACGGAAGGCTAAGTCGTGATTGGTCTAAGTTTTGCATCTGATTAATAAAAAATTGATATTTAGTTGTGTTGTGATTGGTCCTTGTGACGGCTTTGGTTCTGGTGCAACGACATTGTCATAAAGCGCTGTGATACTTTGATGCTGCTCGGTGGTAAGATTTGTATCAAATTCGTTGGAAGGGTTTGAGTATAGAGTATAGAGTCCTCTTTCACAGATCGAAAGAGCAAGGCTAATGATTGAAGATAACTGTCTTAAATTGGCCAGCCCAAATTATATAACAAACTAATATTATTTCAGACAGCTAAGAGAGATTATATATGACTAGTTAGAAATTAGTCCACTTTCGTACAAGATTTGAATAACTCGCAGTCAGTCTATGAGTTATCATAGACTTGATAGTAAGTCGAGACTTTTTTAACGTACTTGTGTTTGTTTTTCCTTTTTCCTGCAGACCGAGGAACGAAGGTTAGAGAATTATTGGTGGAAAAGCTACACCAATGATGACTTATTCGTGCAAAAGCCTTTCAAGTAGACGCTACCCTCCGACTGACAGAGTGTCCCTTTAATCTAAATTGAGGATGTGCATTGTCCCCCCCCCACCCCAGGGCTATAAATAGGTTGCAGTTGGGGGTAATGCAGCAGCATCCCAATTAGGAGGAGTCGCGACTCTCCAAGTTGATTCTAGCCACGGAAACTGGGACAAGCCTTGGTTTTGTGGGCCCTGGGAGATATTCCAGGGAGATACCCCCGGAATAAACCCTCGGGATATATTTCCGTAAGATACCCCCTGGAGATACCCCTGGAAGATACCCCTTGGAGATACTTCCAGGAGGGGTTATCTGCGACCTGCTAACTTTTCGCCAAGGACAAGTTACAATACTCCAAGTAACTTCAAGTTACAGAAATCGGCATAAAGTTGATCAGTAATGGGTCACTTTGCTCGTAAGATTGAAGTTTTGATCCTTTGAAATGGCTGATCCACTCGCCTCCAAGCGTTTTTGTAAGCTATGATTTATTTTGAAGGCGCGTAGTCATGTTTTTTGCTCTAGAGCATTGTACGTATCACTGACGGGGAGCACCTCGGATCAGAGCCATATATCTCCTCCCCCCCTAGTAACAATGTTATAGGGAAGTCCACCAATGTTCAGCTTCTAAAATTGTCTCTGTACTTTTTTTATTTCAGTGCAATGGATGACATTGAGTCGTGGCTCGATATAACGGAGAAAGATGTGGTAAGGATAGCAATAGTTATGTATTTTTATTCAGATTGATATTACAAATTTGAATTTCATAAGTGTATAGACTCAAAACAGTTGTCCATATATCAAATTAGGGTAATTAAGTATTATCAACTGAGTTGATAACGTAAATTGGCCACCGTAAAGAGTTTCAAAGCTGACGTTTGGAGCGTTAGCCTTTTCAAAAGAACGAATGGCGAAGGGCTAACATTCGAAATGTCAGCTTTGAAACTCTTTACGGTGGCCAATTTACGTTATCAACTCAGTTGATAATACTAAATTACCCTGTTTCACTCTCCCACCGACGTAGTACCACAGTTTAGAAAGTTATCCCTGTTATTCTTATTTTAAATTACCTTGGTGTTGTGTTTGGATTCTGACCGCTCCAAGCAAGGTCCTCATGTTCTCGGATCAATGTCAGTATCGGAGCAACTACGTACCTACCCCTCCCCTAACCCAACATCAACCCCAAGTTGGGATAAGTTGACTGTTTTCGGGTTACGGGAGGGATAGGTGCGCAGTTGCTCAGATACTGACATTGATCCGTGTTCCCCATCCATACTCGTGCCCAGTACTAAGCTCTACTGGGAAGAATTTTCTAAGCTAGAGCAGCTTTGTGCGAGCAGAGCGCGCGAAGTATGACTAAGAAGATAGAGAATAACTTTCCTTCGCTACGGAAACGAATAAACAACCATGGGGTACTAGTGCTTTGGCTGTGCCAAAGGGGATTTTATCAATAAGTCAGTAACACATTTGCTCACTCAACAGGCTGAAGCCGCTGCTGGCCAACCAGCTGGTGACACCTTGAGTAGTTCAGGTTTGTGGAGCCTAAAGTGCATTTCGATTTGAAATTACAATTGTCAGAAGTAACAGAGGAAAGTATCAGCCACCAAGGACTCATAGCTAGAACTGCCTGAAGCGCGGGAAATTTCACGTGATCAAGTCATGATTGTTTAAAATTCGGCTGCATCTGAATGGTTAATGGGTACAATGCAATGCAATGAAATCTCGGGTAACTTACGACTCTCAAATGAAGATTTTCATTGATACTATGTGATATTTTCTTTAGTTGTGATCGACCGTTGAAATTGCTTCGATTACAATGGAAAACTTTCTCTTTTTTTTGCAGCAAGTCGTTTACGAACATCATTTTCGCTTTTTCTTTCAGAGTTCGACCAGTTTCTTGCGGACCGAGCCGCTGCAGGCGGTATGCGGAGTGGTAGCGTAAAGGGAGGCAGTAACCGTCCCAGACAGAGACAAATGCAAATGGAAAACCAGGCGGATGATGAAATGTTCGGCTTATGATTCAACTGTGAAAATACTTTCTTTTTTCAGACTATAACCTTGTTTTGGAACGTTCTTCTGCTGTAAAAGAGCTCTACAAACGGATTATGGACGTCTGTTTTGTGAGGAGGATTTTAGTTATTGACATTTTTGTCAAAGAATTACTGTAATGGCACGCAACGTTTCAGTCGATGAAAGATTGCGTTAGAACACCACAAACGACTTCGAAATACGACTTAAAAGAGACAAAGTCGTAATGAAATGGACGTCAGTAGGAAGCACGAGGAAAGAAGGACATAAGAAATGAGAATTTTGGTAAATTGGTGAATATGACTTAAGATATTCTCTGGTTTCAGATGGCCAGATTTGGCCACGTGACGCATTTAGACCAATTTCCCGCTAGAAAATATATTTGATAGGTTTTTTTTTTTTTAAGCATATTGATACTGTAAGAAGAAAGAAGATGATAAGCAGTTTTGGGAATTCAAGAGATGCATTGATCGTCAAGTTCATGAAATATCAGATTTAAAGTGAAAACGTGGCCTTGCCTTTTGTTGAAAAAAAATTAAGATAATTGATGCAACCATAATTAGAATAATTTTCAAGTCATATTCATTATAACATATTGACAGCAGAAATCGTGAGGTGTGATCCTTTTCCTTCACAATTATTGATCGGTCTCGTCTCGCAATCCCGTCACCCAACGCGACTCGCGTGGATATAGCGTGTCATATTGCGTGACTAAGCGACGCTTGTGAAAGAAACCTCTGAGATCGTTTGTTACAATGTAGTATTGATCGTTCAGTGTTCTGTTTAAGTCTCTTTGAAAAATTTGAGTAATGTATGATATGATTATAGACAAACAACAGGATTCTTTACGATCGAACTTTTATTTTTATCTTAGAACGTGTTATCAAATAAGAAAGAATTGGTGAAACGCTTGAGGAATTGTAATAAAAATGTGCACGTTTCAGACACGATCCTGTGAAACAAAAATGGGTGCGTATGATTAATTTGTATTGGTTGGAATGTAGAGATTATCATAGTTCACGAGAAAACTACTGAGAAAACGGAACTGAAGAACATGTCACTCTTGGGACGCAGCTCATCGCTGGAAAGCCTATGATAAGTCATGCACTGCGCACTGTCTGGTGCCCAAGCTTCGGAGCCAGATAAGCTTGCAAAGTCGTCGGTTTTTTTCTTTTTCTTTCTCTTTTTTCCTTTTTTTTTGCGCTTGTAAGGCGAGCAGAATAAAGCGCGAGGCGCGCGCAAAGCGGGCGTTAAGGGCGAGTCACATTCCAAAGAAGGAGCGTGACCATTTATAAAAATAAATATGCAAATTTCGTCAGTTGTGCAGATAAGGACAACATATGTCAAATGACGTGGAGAATTATATTTTAATATCTTAAATTAGTAGATCCTCATAATTGCAACTCTTGCGTGGAAAGCTGCTGGAGCTTTGAAGGTGTGTTCAAGAAAGGATGTGTTCAGAAGCTAGATTTTGTATTACTTTTGAGTCTTATTACCTTCATAACAGTTCAGTCCCCAATCTTCACCTTCCGCGCACTATGTTGGGGTTCCAGGTCTCGAGGTTCATTTATTCCTGACGTTTCTTTATTTTCTGTTTTTTGTTTTGTTTTTTTTTCGAAAAGGCGCTGTCTTTTTGAAATTGTATTCACTTCAGTTTGTTTTTTTTTTATTATTCTTTTCTTCTTTCTTCTATTCGTCATACAAGATAATTACTTTTACTTCAAAGTTAGTTCGCGAACACAACTGTTTATCTTCTTCATTGCGAAACTTCTTAAAAATTCGGAGCAACAAGACTTCAAAAGGGTCTTCGGTTACCTTTTTTTTATTATATTTTGTTTGTTTTTTAGTGAAAATAAAATAACTTTTGACTCCAACTGATAAGTTGTCTTTTTGTGAAGGGGCGAGAGTTAACAGGCAAGGTGCAGGGTACAAGTTTAGACGTCAACACAAGCTCTAAGTCACATGCTTTCGAAGACACTGCGCCATTGGTCAATACTTGCCTAAAACTCACTGCGCCCCAAAAATTTGCCCAATGATATGCCACTAGAACAGCTTCCGGTTTTGTCGTGTCATGTCAGATACTTGGCCAAAGTATTAAAGTATTAGTATGAGAAGAGAACACAAAATAAATTCCTTGTGTGTATAAAACACCAAAGAGACCAGTAAGATGGTGATTTTGTCTGCAAGTCGTCAGGCCCATTGTCCTCGACTAAGTGCCTTGTATCCTGAATTTCTTGTGAAGTTCAAATTTTGCGAATTGTATGACTAAATCTTTTATCCGTAAATGTGTTCCCACGGAAAAAAATTCCGGTGATTTAACAAGACGTGGAAAATAGATGTGTTTTTAATTGATGTATCAACAGCAGACACGAAAATCGAATGGTAAACCAGTCTAGAATTGCAGGCAAATTCTCACTTAAAAACTTGCGCGGAAAGAAACTGGAAATGATGGACCATTTTCAAAACACAAGTTCCCGCCTGTCATTTCAAAATTCGCGGTCAATATATCATCCAAATATGGCGATCTTTTGTACCTTTTGTCCAATCACATTTGCGGATTGCCCTTCGAGGCTCTTAGATATGCGCCGCTGGTTTGTTTTCTGCGCATATCGCACATGTTCCTTTCTTCAGTAGGGAATGTTTTTGAGGTTAGATGTAGCATTTTACCCTAGTGTCTATGATTGATCTCCGGATTCGTTACACTCAGAAACGCAGGATGTGCTCCTGCCCACACCTGAAAGACTTTAAAAAGGCTGATGGCTTCAAAGTCTTTCGTAAAGTCCACGCGCATTTCGTCTGCTGCGGTTCTCGCGAGGCAAGGAAACGAAAGGTACACATGCTTGTAAATTTCCGTAATAGAAGTAAGCTGGTCCTAAAGTGCATCTGTCGTCTTTATTTTCATATTTTCAATTTTCCTTCTTTCAGGCAAGCTTGTGTCACTGTCACGAATGTGGAACATATTCAGGTCGTCTCCATTCCTGTCTTTTGTGCGTCTATTTTGGTTGCTATACCGGAAACCGGCACATTCACCATCACGCAAAATCCACCGGTCATTCTTTAGGTAGGGAACGCGGAACGAAAAAAATAATACTTTGGTACTCTGTTCGATCATTTGCAGCATTCTCATTTATTACATTTGTTTTGCTGTTTCCAGCTTTGGATCTGACTCATGGCGTAATCTACTGCTTCGTGTGCAAAGACAATGTATACGATCTGGATTTGGAGAAGATTCGTGTCGAGCAAACCAGCAGAGCTTGGAAAACCTTAGGTAAGAGCTAACCATAGCTCAGGAGAAATCTGTTTTTATTGCGTGCTAGATTCTGTGGATTTTATATCCCAGCTTGGGGAAGGGATCGAAGATGTGTTTAGTGGTGAACGCTCATCGGAGTCCACGGGAAGAGAGATTCATCAATGTACTTTAACATGCAGAACTCTACATCTTTACAAATTTCCATATTTTGTTAATTTTGCATGCCGTTACTTGGTCAAGACCTGTCATGTTAGGAAGTGCTGTGGCAATAACAGTGGCTGCTCAAAATTGAACTATCTTGCTCGCGATCGCGAAAAAACACGAATTCGCATGCAACTATTGTCAAGACGTCGTACTTCAGCTCCATGTCGCTTTGTTTACTTGTACAACTTTGACAGAACCATCCAAATTTTATACTGTTTCTATTGATTTTGTAATTACAACCAAAAGCTGTGAATTTTAAAGCGGTTTTAAAAACAGAATTGCAAAAATATACAAACTAAGGAAGTTTTTCCCGACTTCTCATCCAATAACACGAGGCTAACATTTAGACTGTATAGAGGACATGAAGTTCTTTCAACTCACTAGATTAGGATAGAAGGAAAATACGAGTAAGCTAATTATAGATTTTATCAAAGCTAAGATGTCATATGATCGTTACACATCAGGATCTGCCTTATCATGGAATAAAAAATTCTGAACTAAAATTATACTTAGAACTCATTGTCGATGTTGAGGTGACCTTGACCTTGTGAAGTTTCTGAGGGGAAGAGGCTTTCTGTTGATTGCAATTTGGTTGTTCATAAAGGATGATAGTTCACTTCAATTTGGGTACCCATCTTTTAGGTGTTGTGATATATTCATCACAAAGCATCTCTCACACAATATCTACTGTTTCCTTTTCACTGACAAATGATAAGCTGTTCCAATATTGCATGGCGGTCTTGCCGCTTGCTAAATGAGAATCCAGTTGTTACACCAGCTGAATTCTCTATTATTGTTTGACAGGTTTCTCGCGCTTGTCATGGTTTCTTTATATTCAGGTGATTGAGTTACAGACAAAAATAAACAATTCAAGTCCTCACGATTTTCATGTGTGTGCCCTTCTTTTGTCCTAAATTACAACTATTAATGTTGAACAATGGATTAAGTTTACCATTATCCCCTTCTCCTTTTTGCTAGTTTATTTCTCTCATTACTTCCTCACATTTTCTCAAAAGTCATTCCAAGCTTCCCTTGATCTTTCTATTTAAACACTTCATCAAAGTACACAGCACTGGCTGACTTTCAAATACACTTCACATGCAAGCTTTCTTTTTTATTTTGGTTTTACATAGTGAAGGTGACATTTCATGTGAATTACACAATATAAATGCAAATTCAAAGTATGAACATTCATTTGGGTAAATAAAATCTTGACCTCAGTGCAAAAATCGGTACAGTTGAATTCCTTAAATTGGCCAAAGCCTGGTGTGTTAATTACATGTATAAAATCTTATTTCTAGCATTGCTCAATACTAAAAACATTGATTCCTTGTTATGTAATGGTGCCATGCAGTTCACACTAGACTGTCACAGTGTCTATCTCTACACATGAGAAAAAAACCAAATTGAAAAATTATATCAGAAAACTTGAAAACTGTAGGAGGTTACTTGAAATGAGTTGGCTTTCCAGTGAGGGCTTGTTTGGAACATGTGATATGCTCTGTATGATCGGGCTACATGGCTTGAAAGACCTAATATCATGAAATAATACATTTTACAGTTACATGCTTGGTTGTCAAGCCTTTGAACATAATAAGTGAGGTCAAGGGTGACCTTGTTATGATACAAACCTTGCTGCTTTTCAAATGTAAATTACTTTGTTATCATGCTAACTAGATACTGGTCACCTTCAGCCTCACTCCAAATCAAAGGCTTGGCGACTAAGTACACAACTGTAAAATGACCTATTCTCTTGTTTTGTGTGAACAGCATTATGTGTTTTTGACCTGTATTTCTTTCCTTCTGATTCTTTTATTTCAGCTGGACATGGTCTCAGTAAGTATGTTCCATGGGAACCAACTAAAGCTGAACTACAACTGCTCAGAGAAAACAAGAAAAGAATAAAGCTTGAAACAAACTCATTCATAGGTAACTGGTAAACATCTTTTGGTGTATCATAGTGATACTGCAGAGATCAATTTCAATCATTTACCAAGTAAATGTACTGGAATATGGGCATACATTTTCCTGGAGTGATCAGTTTACCATTTCTCCTTACTTATTGAGTACATCGCCAAGAAGATAGTTATGAGAATTAAGAAATCTAAAATGGTCTTGATATGATACCAAATTCTCAGAACCATGTAATATAGAATTGAATATTGACCATTTGGGTGAATTAACTTTCAGATGGTAAAATTTTCTTTTGTTGTAGGTCTTAGAGGACTTATAAACCTTGGAAATACTTGCTTCATGAACTGCATTGTCCAAGCATTGACTCATACTCCATTGCTAAGAGACTATTTCTTGTCTGATCAACACGTCTGTGCAGGAGACAAAGACCAGTGTATTGTATGCGAAGTTGGCTCAGTCTTTCAAGAGGTAGTAGAAAATAATTTTTCTGTGGTATTTGTGTTTTTTTAAAAATCTTGTGATGAGTATTATTTAATAATACAGTGCGACAGGCAGGTGTGCTGCTATTTAAGCAATTGCAGAAAAGAAAAATTCAGGCTTTGACAATATTTGAACTTGTACCTCACAGCTACCTGTACTAGTTTGGTGCTACTGCCAACTGAGCTACGAGGTCACTCAATAGAGGCAAGGCAAATTTTCAAGGGTTAATCTTTACCTCAGAGTAACCTGATCACATTTTAAAATTTATTTCGTTAAAGATTGTGATAGATATAGTAGTATCAATAAAAGTGATAACTATTCTGTGCATTAGAAGAGATACCAGGTTTTTCCTGTTGCACCAGTGCACTACCAAATCTGCTCAATTTGACCCATTCTCCCTTGAGAACACTGTTTATTGATACCACAGGTTAAAGAGTGCTGATTTCCAAGATAAATTTTTGTCCCAAGTTTTGCAGTTTTCTGAACTGCTTAGATTTATGGGAAGGCTTCAGAATGCCTCATGTTGCGTAGAATTATTTGGGAGATCAAAGTGGTTAGCAACTGGCTCGGTTTGGTTTGGTTTGATTATGATGGAAGGCTACAGAGATTGCACTTGATTCAGTTCTTTAATCAAATTTGTATTGGTTGATTTTCAGTTTTATTCAGGGCAAAAAGTTCCACATACTCCTTTCAAACTGTTGCATCTTGTGTGGACTCATGCACGGCATTTGGCTGGTTATGAGCAGCAGGATGCACATGAGTTTTTCATTGCTGCTCTTGACGTCCTTCATCAGTACTGTAAAGGTGTGTTAAAATTGAACATAACACATTTTAATATCAGAAAATGTCTTGTTCCCACAGTCAATCCTTAAGGACCTTCTTTTCCTCTTTGTCTCTCTTTTCCCCTCTATCTATTAACTATTCAGAGTGATATATCAATAGAGATCTTTGCTATATCACCAAGATTTTCCAGTTGGCAGTGCTTAGGGGTTTCCATCGGGGAGTTGGAGCCTTAGACAAAATAAAAGAAACACCACAATCACCCCAACCCTATCAGGTGAAAAAGGTGTGGTCTTCTTGGTAGTGAAGAGTAGGGAGTTAATTTTTCCATTTTATTTTGCCCAAGATTGTGGCTTCCTGTATCACAGAAGATGTTCCAGGCACCCATTAAAAAAAGCTAGACAAAACAATTTTCTGATTTTATGCCAATTCCAAAGAAGAGAAGGCCTGTTAAAAGAAAAGACAGAATTTGTTAGATTCAATTTTGTCCAAGCCTTGTGGCTTCCTTAGTCTTAACCCTTTAACTCCCGGATCAAATTAGTAATTCTCCTAAATGTCAACTACACAATTCTTATAATGTTAGTTCAGAGAAGTTGGTAGTGGATCAACTTATTATCCCCAAATTGATATTTTTCCTTATTGTTATCATTTATCTGGTTGACATTGTATTGATATTGTAAGGAGAAATTCTGTTTCGGTCACTCATGGGAGTTAAAAAGTTACAACAGGAGAAGTCGAAGAGCCAATTTTCAAGAAAATGGAAACTACAAGACCTACTCTGTCAGTTGACAAAAAGGACTGCTTTTCATCATACCCCCAATAGATATCATCTTTATTGTGGATAGAGTGAAGAACAATTTTTAATCATGCAAATTGTTTGTTTTAGATGATGCACCAGACAAGGACATCTTGGTCCCTAATAATCCCAACAGATGTAACTGTATCATTGATAGAATATTTACTGGTGGCCTGCAGTCAGATGTGACATGTCAAGCTTGCAAGTAAGTCATTACCAAATCCAGAGATCAAGAAATTGAAGAGCTCTCTTTCTTTCTATTGCATATGATTTTTTTTTACTTTCCAGGTGATAGAATTGTAAAATTGTTATGAATTCATTTAGACTTTATTAAGTTTTTTTCTCCCATAGGTGTGTTTCAACCACCATTGATCCTTTCTGGGATATTTCTCTAGACCTTGGAAATGTTGATCATAGTAATGGTAGAAGCAGTTCTGGTGCATCAGCTGCATCAACTCCAGACCCCACCCCTCCAGGTACATTACAATAACATCAGATAAATAGTAGTGTAAGAGTGACATATCTGTACTTTTGAAATTCAAACTTTATAGATTTCTTTTAATCACTTGCTTAAACAATTAAGAATTTTATAGTTTAATTTTTGTCCTTTTCCTCTGGTTCAACCATTTGAAATATAGATTTGTCAGTCAAGCACAAAACTGTTCATACATAAGGGGGAGTGCATAGACTAAGAGTAAATTTTAAATTCAGGCAAGGATGGAGCTAAGCGGAGGTGTTCTTTAGTGCCAGCAACCCCTTCCTTGTCAGGAAAATTTGACAACTGCTAAAAACAAAAAAAAACCTTGTATGCCTCTAACTCCCATGAGTGACCAAGACAGAATCTCTCTTTACAATATCAAGCAGACAAGTGATGAGAACAAAGAAAAATATCAGCATGGGGATAATTAGTTGATCCATTAGTTGAAGTTCTCCAGACTAACATCATGATAGTAGTATGATGCATGGTATTTAGATTACAAAATGTTCAAACTGGCTCGATTTGGTCAATTTACTATTGTTTTGCAGATGAAAATGGTCAACCAGCCCCAGAGAACAATCATCATGATGAAAGTTTTGTTCCCAAATCACTTATTGAATGCTTGAGAAGGTAACTGGATATAAGATATTCTTTTTTATGGATTAATCTTGCAAAGTCACTTATCTTACTTTAAGTGCTTAAGGTTTGTCATTATTTCTTTGCAATTGACAATGTGGTCTTGATTTAGTGTTAACATGCCTGTGATATAATGAGTTCTTTCATTTTAAGATTTACAAGACCTGAAAGGCTTGGTAGTGAAGCAAAAATAAAATGTAGTCAATGTCAGACATACCAGGTAAGTGTATGGAAAGCTACATGGCATAGAAATACCAACAGCGATTGCTTAAAATGGCAACCCAACCACCAATGTGTGTATGTGTGGTAGGTGGCGAGTCACCTTAAATTACTGCAACACAGAGGTGACTATCCCTACCATAGAGGGTGTATTAGTCTCTGATATTAGTCTTGAATCTCTTTCCAATACAGAGGTCACTATCCATACAACAGAGGGCATATTAGTCTTTGATATTAGTCTTGAATCTTTTTCCAATACAGAGGACATTTTTACTCCCAACCAACAGATACCAGACCTTTTTTTGTGCTGGCCATGCTTATATAGTTTTATTATTATTATTTTCATACAGGAATCTACCAAGCAGTTAACAATGAAGAAATTGCCTATAGTAGTTTGTTTTCATTTTAAGGTAACATCAGCCACTGATTATTATTGTCATAGCAACTATTGAGACTTAAACTTCAGAGTAGAATTCATCCATGATGTTATGCTTCAAGTCCATCTCAAAGACCCCGCATGAGAGAATTGGCTACCCAATAATAATTACACCAGCTCACAGGGCCATTGTTTTGTGCATTTATGCCAGACTCTATCCTGACAGTGCATCTTTCAACCTATGAACTGTGACTAATACTGGTGAACTAATAAGAAATTCTACTGAAACTGAATGCAAAAATCCTGGTGGATTGCCTTTGATGGACAAGCAATCCATAAAAGAAGAGCAGTGATGATGTTTAGGTAGTCACCTGATGCATCGGAAACCAGGCTTTGCTTTTAAATTAGCTGCTGTTAGGCATTATAAGCTTACATATACAATACTAGTATACTGTTCTTCTAAGTAGCCCTGGTGAAGCCTAATGCTGATCAGCTTTTTCCCTTCTTAAAGTCGTCAAACCTCTCATCCTTCTTAAAGTCGTCAAACCTCTCATAAATCAATTTTATTTACTGTCTTATTTGTCATATGTTGTTTGTTTGCTTGCAGCGTTTTGAACATTCAAAGAAATCCAAGAAAATTTCAACGTACATCCCTTTCCCGCAACAACTAGACATGGCTCCATTTATGGCATCAAGGTGGGTGACCCTGCAACAATAAATACTGATGTGATTAAAATATTTCAAATACCAACTGATACAGACAGACAGATGGACATACTGACAGACAGGTAAACTGACAGACCGACTGATCCAATTACTGACTGACTGACTATCTGACTTGATGACCGATTGTTTCGTTACTTGTTTGATTGACTGACTGGCTGACTAATTGATTTATTTTTTTTGAAGATTGAATGGTAATGTTGATCACAGTCAGCCCACCTTCCCATGTGATGCGAAGTAAGTTCTCGTTCACATTTTTGGAGTCATGTGGATGTATCTGACGCGACTAACCAAGTTCATATAGATGACATTTCTAAAAGATCCAAAAAAAACTTAGCCTCAACTACATGTAAATATTAAAGAGATAACGAACAATTATATACATCAGTGTGATATGCTTTATATTGTTACTGTTGTATTCCTTGGATAAGGTCTTTGTAAGTTTCCCCCTGGTAATGCTGTGGTATTTCTACTTGTCGGTTTTCCTCAGGTATACTTTATTTGCTGTCGTGAACCACAGTGGTACATTAGAAGTTGGTCACTATACGTGTTTCATTCGTCAACAGCAGCAGGTCTGTAGCTTAATTGCCTCTAGGTGTTTTACAATAATTTTCAATCGTAACTTAGTAATCCGAGATTGCATTGGTTTGCTTTTGCTTCGCTCTGTGATTGGTTCAGAAAACTCGCTCCACTCTCAACCAATCGGATGGTGAAATGAAACCAATCACGACTTGGTCGCCCGCGTTTCCCGCGCTTTGGGCAGTTTGCTTGTTCTTACTCTGAGTTCTCATTGGCCCTAAACGAATTTTCCTTTTTTCTAATTGGCTGTTGAGATTATCTTGGTTTTGGATTTACGACCGTCAATCGAAAATTGCTCTAAATGCGTTTCATGAATGCTGGGTTAGAAAGAAGCATAGTCCCCACCGTGTATATACGACTGTAAACGTTTGAATCCTCTCAAAATCTTTTTTTTATTTGTACATGTAAAAGGTTAAATTCATCTAGACTCTCACCTCCTTGTTATTCAGATCATGTCGGGTAGATCGATTTTTTTTTTTTACAAAAGATCTTTTTGAAAAAAGTGTTCGTTATTTGATGGGGCATAACAAAGGTCATGGTTTTCAAAGAATCCATGAGTAGTCTCAGCAGTTTTTCATCCGAAGGACTAAAATCTCAAAAAGTCACCTTCGGCCTTAAGGAGACTCAAACCACTTGGCCCAGTTGTATAAAGGTTGGATAACGCTATCCGGCGAATAAGTGATAGCAAAACGTATAGCGTTGTCCACCAGATAGCGATTTATCCAATGGATAGCGTTATCCAACCTTTGAACAACCAGGGCCTGGTCGTTCCTTTATTTTCTGTTAATTTTTTGCGCATAATAAGGAAGAGGCAGAAGTGGAATATCGTTTGGTACTTACTCTTTAACCGACCGGCTTCCAAAGTTTTTGTGCCCAATTCTGCTGCAACTTAAACTTAAAACCTTTTCAATTTCAGTCTGTGTAATCCACTTTCTTGGTTTGACAATTATCTTTTTTTGCTAACATTTTTTTTCTTAGTGGTTTAAATGCGACGATGCATGGATCACGAAAGCTACGTTGGATGACGTACTTCAGAGCGAAGGGTAAGATATGAGGCTCTTCGCTCTCTCTAGAGCATGCGAAGTTTTCAGTTTAGTTGCGAAAGTGATCTGGATTGCTTTAGTTTTACTTCGCTCTGTAATTGGTCTACCAAACTCGCGCCACTATCTCAGCCAACCGAATGCAAGACTTAAGCCAACCCCAACTTGTTCACTCGTGTTTTCCCGCGCTTCAAGCAGGTTGCCCGTGTCTACTTTGAGTTCTCTTAAGATGACATCAACTTTTTTTTCTGATGGGTAGTTGTAATTACTTTGGTTTTGGTTTTCGGAACGGTTAATGGTGCAACATTCAGACACCGCGACGCATATCAAATGGAAATTTTCGATTTGGTGTCAACATTTTTCGTTACTTTTAAAATAATGATAAAATGTTATACACGTTTAACCATTTTGTTGTTTTTTTATTTCAGATATCTACTTTTCTACCACAAGAAAGTCCTTGAATACGAATGACTGCGTAGAAGTCTAAAAAAAGTCAGATCAAAGAGTCAGATCAAAGAGTCAGATCAAATAAGATTATCACCATGTTCTTTGATAAATTACCCAAAAAATTGTACATTTTGATCAATACTGTTTTCATGTCAATGCTTCAAGTGAAACAAGCCTCCCTGCCGTTTTGGTCGAAGAACCCATGAAGGCTCCACACAAACTACTTTCTTGGCAAAAGTGGTTGTGCAAATCTACTCTTTTTTGCTCAGCTGTCAAAAGTCTCTTAAAACGTTCGGTCTCTAATCTTCAAGGGACAATAAAACTTGGATCTTGTTATCGAAAGGACTTTTAAATTTGACCAATAATTTTCGTCATCGGAAGGAGACATTGTGCAAAACTCGTTTTATAAATTTTGAATACACTTACTATGCAAGCTTTACAGCGTTTCAAATGATAATATAATTGGAAAAACACATGCTTTTTGTTGAAGAAATTATCACCCTTTTTGAAAGTGGAAATATGATTTTACACAAGAACTAGTGACACTAAGTGTCATTTCCCTTACTTGTCACATAAAATCTCTTCAGTTGTGGGAGAATAAGCAAACCTTTTATTCCATGTAATTGCTTTCAAGCCCCCAACTCTATCATTTTCTCATTTTCTTTAATTTGTTTGATAACTTAATTTCGTACATAATACAAAGTTGTTAATGAATAATAGATTTATAAAAATTATTTGGTATAAATATGTAGGAATGTATTTATTTGAGGTGCTTTCGCTGTGAAACAATGTTTTTTTCCTGTTACTCTCCGATTATCAAATAAAAAACAACTTTGAGAACACTTGTTATTTCATGATCCTGACTAAAATGGCACGGGGCCTTTCATCCATTTTTGTTTCTCCTTAGGGAATATTATCCCTTAGATAGCAAAGTCTCTCTCTCTCGGGGGAGAATGAGAACTCATTCATTCCATTATACTTTCTCTTTAGAAGAAAATAACAATGTTGTCTTCTTTTCGTTTCTTACCCTTACCAAAAGAAAAGCAGTATCTCATATTAACTGTTTCTTGTTTTTAAATGCCGATCTGTTAGAAACATAATTTTCTTTCTTCTCGATTCTTTATCGTTCTGACGAAGGGCAAAAGCTCAGAGCGTCAGCTTTGAAACTCTTTACGGTGGCCAATTTACGTTTTAAACTCAGTTGATAATACTTAATTACCCTGTTACACTCTCTCACCGACACAGCGCCACAGTTTCTTTAGAAAACTTACCCCCTTTGGTCTTTATGAGATGGTTGAGCGTGCAAACTTACCTCTGTGCCAAATTTATGATGTATCAGCTGATCATTGGCTGATTTGGTTAATCCATATTCATCAAAACTTTAAAATTTTCAGCAAACTACGCTTTTTTCCAAAGAGTGAGGACATGGCATCTCTTGTGATGAAGATGAAGTAGAACTTTGGATGGAATAAGACACCTTGAACTGTACTGAAAAGCAGTGAAAGCGTTCCTCAACAGAAGGTGGGTTTTCCTTTGAAAAGTATCGCCGTGAACTCTTAAAAATACGAACGAGTTGCAAATTATTCGTTTAACGAATGAATAACACGTGTTCGTTGGTTCGTCTTAGTGACTCTTGCGTCGGTACAGCAGTTAAATAATACTGTCTTGCGTTCCTGACGGAGCACGAGACAAATTTTGATAGGATTCAACGCCGTCTTTTTATCGAATATCACTGCAATAAAATGTTATTGAAGCTAGATTGAATTCACTACGGGGATGTTTTAAACTGCTTTTTCAAATCCCTTTAGCATTTCTCAGAACAAATAAATAGAACTGTTCTCTACATCAATAATCCTCGTAAGCACTGCTATCTCACATAAACTCATCTTTCAAACAGTTATCAGTCCCTCATCCAATTTTACAATTCATATTTCAGGAGGGGGAAGGTTGTTAGCTGATGGAAAAATAAAGAATGGGGCAAGGAATCAAGAGGAATCACAAATTTCAAGAGGATACTACAAAGATAGGAACCTTAAATTATTGAGTAAGAGTAGCAAAAATGGTGACTATCAAGATTTCTTATTTCCGTAAGAAGACTTAAATCTTCCCAATTTGACTTGTGCCTTGAAATGGTTAGAATTGTTCGGTTCATATGGCCACCATTTTTGGATTAATTTGTGATGGTACAAACTGTTCAGCAGACCCAAAGTAGTCGAATGAATGAGTTAACTTTGCTAAACAAAAAACAATTTCTTCATCAAAATCGAAACAGGAACCAACACGGTGCCATTTTAAAAATTGTAATTACTATTTTGTCACATCAACTGAGAAAGGGTTAAGATTGCAGATTGCAGATTGCAGGAGGACATTGCCTTTAAAGTCGTGACCGACTCTAAGGTTTCTTCAAGAAATTATACACTGTGTCAAGATCTATAAGCTTTGTTGTTTAACTTCTTTTTCCTTTTTAATTGAGACCTTGTTAAACCGATGTCCTCCTGTTGTCTTGGAAACCATCTGTTTTAAACCCTTATGTTCTGGTCACGAGAACATATAGAAAAATAACCAAAGTTTTCAGATTACCAATAAGCTTTGAATTAAAAAATATTATTTCTTTGTTTTAGTACACGAAACAAAGCTCTTGTAGCTAAAACAGCACAAAAACTATTTATTACTATAATTGAAAAAATTGTGAAAAATTTTTTTGATCGAAAAAATTGCCTCCAATATACAGTTCCAAATGTTCCAAAAAAATGGCCTCTAAATTCATTTCCAAATATGTGATAACTTTTTTGACGCTCTTCATCTTCTGTTCTGTGTTGCATTCGATAACTGCTTTAAGTGTCATTGTCTGAGAAAGTGTTCCAGGGGCCAAAACTTGTGGTCAACCGATTTGGCTGAAACTTGGCACAGAAGTTGGTTGCCATGAGATATTTCAAAAGCCAATCTGGCTCACTTCTCTGACTTTAAGTTTTAGAGTTTCAGGGGGGGTCTCATTTTTTGCTCTTTGAGCACAAAAAATCCATCCTTTCAGGGGTCATTTTGAAAGTGCCTTAAAACCCAACTGGTAAATTGTGCTGCCAAATGAATTTGACTATGAACATTACTATAATAGAGCTTTCATTTCATGCATGTAACTTTGCCCTCAAGGTATTGGACAGAGAGGAGCCTGGGGCTAGAGTTTGGCCAAAATTAATGTCAAAATTACAACCCAAAATTGCCATTTTTCAAAAAATCAGTGTTTCTACCTGCCTTCTTGCATAACATCCGTACCTATACCATTATTTACTTTATTGACCCAATTATCAAAATCACTTGAGAAAAATTTGGCTTATCACGGTTTGTTGAATTTTTGTCACAAACACTCCATGCCTCTATAAGGTCATGCAAAATGGAATTTTGAGCATAATTCATGCCATAAACAAACCAAACTGTTGATATGAAGCCCTGATTCTGTATTTGGTCAGTGAAAATGAATCGTTAAAGCCAAATCAGTTTAATTGTTTAGAAATACTCTGATTCTTACCTTACAATTGCTCTTAAAGGCCTTTGATTAGCACAAAAAATACCCTGATTTAGCAAAACAAGAGTTAATTTGTACTTTGAAAACCTAGTACCCATTAAATACCACAAATGATGAAGGCCTTACCTTGATATAACGACCTTTCTAAACGATGCTTGAATTTTTCATTGATTAATATTCAGTTTCAAGTCATAATTCTTCTCCGTTGCTCCAAGTATGGAAAGTCTCTATATTTTGTCAGGCCTGATTTTTATTATGATTACAAGATAAAGTTAGCTTAACGAAAGCATTCGTTAGCATATAATCTAAGTCTGTTAATAGCCTGAACATTTCTTGTAAATACCCACCAGTAAAGGAGCATGACCATGCATACATAGATATATACGTAGAGATATGCGAGCTGCAGTTTTTAGCAGTGTCGATGTGACCCGTTATTTCAGAGTCCTCTAGAGCGGAGTAAATGAAACGATCCGTCAAGAAGTAACGCACAGTTAGGAGAGCTGGATAGTGAAACAAAAAACTTGTGTTGCTAAATACAATAACCAAACGAGGCCAGGGCATTGAGATGATGCAAAATCAACTGGCCCGCCATTTTGGACATAGGAGAGAGTGGGACTGGACCGAGGTCACGTTCTTCTTCCGTTTCGCGGGTATGTTTTATCAGGTGTAAGAAATTCAAGGGTGATTTCACGATGGCACTTTGTTCCTTTGGAGGGGTGAGTGATCAGTGCGGTGCCACCGCACGGGCTCCGCACGAAACAGGAATGGTTCCTTTATTATCCTGCGAGAATGATATGACTGAATGGTTGAAGCAAAAGTACAAGGGGTCAGGTGCGTCCGGGACAAGAGGAAGACCTGGTCATACCAAACGTACAGGTGATTCAAAATATCTGTTAGGGATCATACACGCGCACAAATGGCTTTTATCGCGATCCAGTGGACTCTTTTCTATTGAAGAGAGACCACGATATTTTACGATATTGTCGTCTCAAATTGTTTTCTTATGACTGATTGAAGATTTCCCGAGGTAATTTACTTGATTCTTGCTAAGAGAAACAAACATTCAACAAATTGTTCACAGGAAGGGCAAAGGGGTCGACTAAAATTCTAACTTTGAAAGGTAAGAGCGCAGTTATTTTATTGCAGCAATCTCTATAACCAAAAACAACGATAAGAATAACTTGAAGTTGAAGGCTGGTTTTCGTCTGCTCGCTCTGTTTGTTTACATTCAGCTTTACCTGTGCAGACGCTTATCACGCAGTCACAATTGGAGCGTGAAACTCTACCGGTTTCCTAAGATAAGTGAACTTGAAAAATCTTTGCAAACATGCTGCATCGAAGCTTTTTGATGAAATTGACATTTTGAGCAAGAAAATGTCTTGTTTCACGGATAACTTTCTTGGTAACAAAAATTATTCGGATACATTTTTTAATTACTTATAATTAGTTATTTTAGTATGTAAATAGAGGCGGTATAATTTTAGGAATCTTATACCCAGTTTAAAATCTATCTCAGATTTATCGTTGTATTCTGAATCTCGACTAATTGATTAAACGTTTTTTTTCTACAAAAATAGATGAATCACGGTAAAAAGAAACTACATGTGGTTTTGAGACGGTATTACGACTTGATAATGACACCATGGTATACGTAGAGAATGTTTTCCCCTATATGGACTCTCTGCTTCGCAACGTTAAGAAGTCCTTATATTGTCTCAAAATCTGCCGAATTAGTTTGTGTTATGGGATTTGCTTGGAAGATCTAAACTAATTAAACTGCGTGCTAATGCATAGGCAATGAGTTCACGTGTGTC